ACAATCCACATCGTAAGATGGCAGATGGACTACACTGACGCCTTGGCTCCACATATCAAGACTCCACAATCACTCAAGAATGTGTAATTCTAGCCACCCTAAGCATCCGGAAACGCATCCGCGAGAAACGCCCAGGGAGGCCGCAAATTAAATGGCCGTTGAACACGCGACCGTATTGGCCAGCACGTTCCTAATTAACGGTCCAGCCCGTACTTTTGGCACGAAGGAATCGCGACTCATCATCTCCCCTATCCCCAAGCCATGTTGACGGAGCCACTAGGCTACGATTATCGAAGTAAGAGATCCTTTAGCCCCGTATACACGGCTAATATATTGTACTTTAAGCAAACTTTTCGTGAGGGCGTCCCGTGTGCCCCCGCCGGACCCCGGGCTGGGACTTGGCTTGGGGCCGGCAGTGAGTTTCCTTTAATCCCAGCGAGGAGCTCCATAACACGAAGGACGTATTTGGAAGCTACTTTCCTAAAAGGATCAGCATGTTTATATTAAATTTGTCGCAAAATTCAATTTGATCAGCGGGCCCATTTAGTTCAGTGGGACAGACGGAAGAGCTCCCGGGATCCAACACAAAGAATCGGGTTCTTAGTGGATTCGTTCTCCTGTCAACGGGGACCAAAAGTCTTCCTAGGTGCAGATTACGATGGAGCTGAGATGTACGATGTGATCATGTTTCCACAAGTCTAAACTAGCGAGATTTCACTAAAGATGAACTATTGAATGAACAAAGTACATATGTTCCTGATCTTCGACCGTTAGCCCGGAGTATTGAGTAGACAATTAACCTTGGAACGACCAACATGATTATTGCATTAAGAATCGGCAGCATTATTGCTTAACAATCAATAGTTCAACGTCCATCCTGTTTTACCTGCCGAGGGGCCGCGGCACAAATTAAAATAAAAGTAAAAGTCTAACCTTCGGGTCCAGAACATGTCGAGGAATTCAATGATCGCCCCGTTCACAAAGGGGCGCAGTTCTAGTAAACTTACTTGTATAGTGGACAGAGGGGTTTTCCCGTGGCCTCTTTGATTACCAGGCACGTGTTCATCGCGCGATGCGGGACTAAAGCTATTCCCTGTCTGATTGAATTTTGCCCCCTGAATCGTAAGGACTTTGTTGTGGGGAAGCCTGGAGACGCGTTGACCTATCGGAAGACACGCTAACATGAAAACGATAGTGTCGCCTCGTGGACCAGAACGTTCCCACAGACGAAATTGAAGTGGCAAGGCCATTCGTAAGTGTTTACAGTCTTCATATTATTTTATAATAGAAGTAAGTTTGTTTTTAGAAAGACGCGAACTAGTATATGCATTCTTACAAAGAAAATCAATAGCTACTTTCTCACGTTAACGCCCCAGGGCAGCGACTTACCCCACCCTTTCCGCGCCACGGTCCTTCGGACGGGATGAACAAACATGATAGGTCTTATCCTTATCATCATCATCACAATATTTCATGACTCCGCGGGACGGGACGTTAGAAAGGAAAGAAAGGAGAGATCGTCGCTCATCCATGGATCGCACGAGGATATGATGCCATGCCGTGTCGCGAAGGTTCCAATATTGCGAGACATAGCTTGGAAATATGGCATAATTTCCATCATATACTCCAATAATTCGTCGCGACCCTCTTTAGCCCCTCCTTATCCAAAGTGTTGATGGATATATTGTGCCGCTCGGCAGCAACGACCTTCACGTGACACTAATACGATACCAATACGTCGCGTTCCTGGTTGACGTTTTTACGATGTTTACCAACATTACGCAGTTTGGCCACTGGTTTTGATCTGTTGAACCTTCTCCACGGGATCACGATCTCCTCCACCGATTTACGTTCATACTTAGCCAGAATGAACTTGTCGATCTATCCGGCCTGGTGGCAATGACAATATGATCAGCTGTTGCGTAAGTGAGTGGATAATTTCCAAACCCTCGGTTCTGTACTCCGTTTGCCTTATGAACTATAACTGCACTATTCTTGTTTTTTTTTTCAGACTACACCCACTACTCTTCACACTTAGAAAATTGGGATATAAGTTTTGTCCTTTCCTTGAGCCTACCCACTTTCTTTTTGTTGCCGTGTCTACGGCTCACAAACCTGTTGTTCGGCAGCCTAAGCTGGACCCGAGGTGGATGCCATAACATCGCGAACCACGGCTTCGTTCGTGTGGGGCTACTGCATCGACGATCAAGTGGGCGCTCGCCTTGCCCGAGGGAAGTGCTGACGGCGGGGCTTGTCAATTTTGCCCCTATGCGGAATTGCAGAAGGTACTCCCCTCCTCCACCTCACGATGATCTTTTCTTGGCTAGGTAATGCGAGGGTTTTAGCTCCTTCACCGGGCCCATTGACGTGAAAGGAGCTGCAGGAGGGGGCAAATAGCACGGTCGCGTAGAATTTTCATCCTAATTTAGTGCGACGTGATAGAAGTCACTTGAAGGATCAATATGCAGGAACGTGAATGGGGGAGACAGGAATTCCCCGGACATTTGATACCGCGAAGGGTTTAATGGCCGGCATTTGGAGATTCCGGAGTTGAGAGGGGAGCTTAGTCCCTCCTCCAATCATTGCGACTTTCTTCAATCACCCCCCTTCTCCACGGTCTGTACTTTCTCGATAGGGGGTTCCCCCGAGCGATCTATTACCATCACCGAATCTCGACCGAGCTGACTCTACTCCGTACGTTCATGTAAGTGATGAGACCTGAACAGTGCAACCAATCTCCAGGTCTGGAAGGGGTTCCCCGTGAACGTGCACGAGGTTCATCACCCGCTTCTGCAACGAAGCGCCCGCACTGCATATCTTTTCTTCACCGGTCTTCACTATATTGTGCCTAGGTCAGTGTCCCCTGTCAAATCATGCACAGAGAATCCTAGCGCATATGTAGAATTACCATTCTTAGACTTGGTTCCCACTCTGGACCAGCCTAAGAATTGAGTATCTGCGCGAAGGAAGGAACTAAGTGGAAACCGACCCGGAAGAAAAAGCTACGTCTTCCAAATATTCCTTTCGGACCAGCCCCCATTTTTCTGCGCCCCCGCGGGAAAGATTGGGTTCAGGTCTACGTCAAGCGGGCCTCATCTAAAATGACGATGAACAATCGTGGCTGTCAATGGAAGGTCTAGAAAAAGAAAGCGTGTACGCCTTCGCATTCTAGCGCGGATAATGGCGCATCCCGGGATCTGCTTTAATTTTAATTTTATGATAAAAAAGGGGGAAGGAGTTGTCAGGCTCCATTAGCGTGTTGAAATGTGGACATCTGAATGGTTTCTTTTTCTTTTCTTTTTTTCCATGAACCAGTCGCTTCTGTTCATTCCGATGTTGTCCATACCTGATCAGGAAGGAGATTTGTGGTTTGTTGCTTTGGTGGTTACGGCCCGCCCCCAAGTGAATGGCTATCTTCGAGCCGTTCACGGGTGCACGTTCCAAAGTGACAGACACGGGATCTGTTGGTCCGTGTAGAGCTTCGTTCCGATTTCAATTCGCTCATACTCGATACTCGATACTCGATACAAGCACTTGAGCTTGTATTTTGTGGAAATTATCTCTAATTTCGGTCGATATCCGAATTCACGTGGACTCCATCACTGACTGCAAGTGAGCAAGCCTCGAGTATATTGGCAAGCCTCAGGTATAGTATGATTACGTAGGTAGCTACTGACTAGGTCGATTTAGTGCTATAGTACAAGCTAAGGAAAGGGGCTGCACTCTGTTGTTGTGTGTTGATGGTAGCTAGGGAGACCGAGCGGAAAGGGTTCGCGGCTGGAGGCATCAGATCAGTTAACGCAAGGTCGTTCTTTGAACATTTGAAGCGTTTCCCGATTGATTTAAGAGCTCATTGACAACTTTGAAGTTGTAGAGTACTCTACTGTTTAGAAATTAATAGTGCATGGTTGGTTGATAGTCAGTTGAGAATATGCGCACCTGGGCAGTCTCCCGACAAAAATATATTTTGGTATAGATCGAGCATTGTATAGCAGTAACGATGAACATCACCTCCAAGGCTAGCCATTCATACTACAGCCGGCCATAAGTGTCTTATTGCTATTGATTTAGTATTGAAGATAATTAAATGAGGTTCAATTGTCGAACGCATCCAAATGACATGTTATTCCCGAGGTCGCGGCTATCAACCTTATGCTAGCGGTTGATGCACCTCGTCAAAGCCCTTGCCGTAACTACATTTATTGACGCCGCTTCCAATGCCACAATCCGTTCTCACATGACTTACAAATCATGTCTAAGCATAAAAACAACGAAATTCTGACCGGTAAGTCTTAGCGACACTTACGTAGGTGGATCCAAACATATACCTTACAGCAGTAAGTATACCTATCCAAAATCTCGTTTCTTCCGGCTGACACCCATAGCCCTCGAAATATCCGCGATCCAAGTCCGTTCAAGGATTTTCCCTTCATAAGCCGCGAGGTGTTTTTGTCTCCAGTAGCTCGCAGTAAAACATCCAAGATAAGCCCAGCTGAATTCCTGGCACCGCCACAGTTGAACAGCCGGGGGCCTAAACCCTTCATACGCGCCTCAAGATTCGCAGGAAAATCCCCGATCGAAATGCAGTCAAGCCTTCTTGTTTCGAACATTGCCCAATAGGCAGTTCCGCATCTCAGGTGCCGGTAGTTATATCAGGGTTTTAATCTAGGCGTGCAGAAGCGGGGTTGGACGTGACCCAATGAAGTTCGAGTCTAAGGATCAAGGATCCAACAACCTCCCACCACGTCGGCATATTCGTCCATGCAAAGATCTTGGCGAACGCATGCTGGGCTGGACGTACGTATGCTTTTGCTTGGAATACATAACACATAACCATGGACGGGGCGATCGTTTTGATCTCTTCACCCAGAATCTACAAGAAGCCCGGAAGTAAATATTCAGAAGGTTGTGAGTGAGAATTTTTTTCTTTATGAATAGGAAATAAAGAGGCTAACCGGCATTTGAGCTAGATCTATACAGGTACCTACACAAGTAACGAAATGAAGTACTCCACCACCATAACCCTCGCCCTTGCCACTATGGCTACGGCCGACTGGTCACTTTACTGCGGTGACTCTGTGAGCACATCCATGGATCCATTTAACCTTATTGCACATTCACTAACAGCCTATATCTGGAACTCCAGTGCACCGATGGTACCCTCGTCGCATCCGGCTCAGAAGCCGTCGAATCCTGCGCAAGCCTCGGTGACACATACGACTACTGCTACATCGAAGCAAACTCCATCTACTACGTGAACTGGTGGAAGGCAATATTCTACGAGAATGCTGACTGTGAAGTTTCAAGCGTCTCCGGAGGCCTGGAGAGCAAGGGGCTGTTTGACGGCTCTTGTACCGCTGCCGGGTCATGGAAAAGTTATGAAGTGGTTGTAAATGCTTAAGTCAGATTACTACAAATAGGTACAGAGTATCTGAGTGATTTATTCAGTGGACGGAAGTACAGCAGGAATGAATCATTTAGGTTCCAGAAGTTGAGACGTCTTGTTACATATCCCTTGCATACGTGGATTGTGTCTTCCAAGTTTATGATGTGACCTGTACATAACCCAGAAGAAGCCACAAGCCACGAAAGCCACCACAATGCCTGAGATATGGAATCAAAATTTCAGAAATCATCTTTATTTGAATTAGAGCCTCTCGTAACGAAACTCTCAAAGCCTCATCTTGTGCAGCATGTAAATTCAGTATAGGTCAGACCTGGGAAGTCGCATCAATCTAGGGCGTCTGACGCGTCGCGTTCAGGATTCCTTACGCCCAAGGAGAGTTTTGTACTCCAGCCTTCATACCACGGGATAAGACGGTTATCCCTATGGCATCGCCCGTTGTGTTGAGGAAATAAGACTGCGCAGTCAATTTTCTCTTCGTGTATGCAAGTTGAACAACACCCATTTTGCTAGACTAACATCTTCTACATCCTTGCAGCACTTTTCATTTAATCGTAAGTATGCGATTATCAACATGATATCTCATAAAGAAGCCTCTGACTGTATCCCAGATCCGATTCTTGCTCAAAAATACACAATGAAGCTGACTGCCTTCCTCACCGTGCTGTCCCTCTCATCCTTCGTTGCGGCAGCACCTATCGACAAAGCTGCACGAGGACTCCTTCCATCTCCCGGCGCTTTATTGGAAAAGGCGTATCCGCATTCTGGTATCCCACAGCTTGCTAACAAGCTTGATAAACTTACTGGTATTTGTATGTGTTATCACCCGACAAGAAGGCATGGACTATCGCTGACCTTGCAGAATTGACGATGATCGAATATATGGAGGAAGATATTGGACGCACGGTTGGACTCGGAGGACCCTCGCGAGACAATGCTTACTGATTATACCTGGTGAATGCTGAACGGAATTACTGAAATAAATGAGATTCTAGTGTATGAATTGAATGTGTTTCATTCGAGTTACCACCCTATATAATTAGAACATCCCTTCCATGTCCAAATCCAGGAACTCGGGATTGCCAACCGCCATATCTGCGGCGTTGAGTACATCGTCAATAGCATCCATGCCGGCAGTTCCTGTATCCAGCCCCATATCTTGACCCAATCCACCATCCATTCCTGCCGCTGCAGCAGCATCAGCGGCTGCTTTGTCAAGCATTTGGTTGATGTTCTCTGGGTCTTCGTCACCAACAGCCTCGCCGACACCGGCAGAGGGCTCAAGGTCCATCCGGTCTGAGCCATCGACACCGAGATCCATGTTGTGAATGATGTTGCTGACATCGATGTTCGCTACCTGGGATGGAGGTGTAGTCAACATGCTGACGCGGCGCCAGAGACGAACAATGATTTGCGCGCGCAGAGGATCTTTCTCCGAGATTTTGGGGACATTATCATGCTGGATAGCGAGGGCATCACGCAAAGTCAAAATCTGACAACGGGGTAATGCTTCCTTGCTCGGATCGACGGGGTGACAGCTGTTTTGATCCACGGCGAAAGACTCGGGCATTGGTGCACAGGTGATTGCTGCGACGATATCGAGGGCTAGATCACCGCTGCCGGCCTCGGTTTGCTGTTTCAGTTCGTCCAGTAGGGCACCGAGGACGCGCGAAGCGCCGAGGATGCGAATTCCGGCGAGAATCTGGCGATGGGAGTAGGATTGTGGTGCCGTGTTTATTACCGAGTTTGTGCTCCACATCACTAGCGACTGTAGGGTATTGCGGATGCTTCCTGGTAGACCACCCGCTGTCTGGGCAGACCAGCCGTCAAGCTCTGTGCGGTGGCAAGCGCCCACTCGGCGGAAGGATAGGTAAGGTTCCAGTGCATCTAGAATCGGTTTGATGTCTGAGCGAGACTGGTGACGGGTCCGAACGTCTTTCAGGCGTTCTTCGAGAGGGCGAGCAGTAATGCAGAGGACTGTGTGGTGGATAGCTTGGGCTTCGCCAGAGATGGAGCTTGGCTTAACCAACGAGTATAGTGTTTTCAAGGGGATCGTGGGGTCAGTCTCTGACTCCCAGATGTGATTACCAAGCCAAGTTAGAGCGAGTACCAGGGACGGCAGCAAGAAGGGCTCAAGCAGATCTGGAAAGTGTCAGCGTGTTGCGTAGATCGCGGCCATTGTGGTTGATCTTACATTCGAGTCCTCCCTTCAATGTATCGAAGTCCATCTTCCCCGACTCGCATGCTCCAAGACTTTGATCAAACAGTGTCGCCACAAGATAATAAAACTCCTGCGGACTGCAGGATGCCATAGTCTCTTCATTAATACCCTCGGCAATAAACAGAGCGCCAATCCATGCACCCAAATCGGTGTTCTGCTTGTCACTGAGCTCGTTTAGCTTCTGACTGCAAAACCCTCGATCCAACACGTTCAACAAGAAAGAATTATTGCTCGTGATGCCGAGGTCGGATGCACTCAAGTCATATCGGTATTTGAAAGCAAGTACTAGCAAAAGGACACTGCCGAATTCATCGTAAACGGGTTGATTCTCGCTTTGTTCCTCATCCCATCGCCAGGTGTCTAGCAGTGTACAGAGAGGTTGTAAGATCTGCTTCGTGGTTCTGAATAACAAGACGACGTCCAGAGCTTGGGGGCGCCGGGAGAGTGCATTGCAGATACCCTTCAACGCGATCGTCTCTCTGCCGTGGCAAAGGGTGTACATGACCTATTCGGATTAGCATAGGCCGCGAAAATACAAGCCCCGACCGTACATACCTCAGTGATCGCACCAACAATCGCACCGGCATTTCCCTCCATGGATTCGATCTCACCAATCAATTGATCCGCACGGTCGGGATGGCTGTTGATCTGTGAGATCAAATCGTCTTTCTGGTATGGGCCTCCGACAGGCAGGGTCTGCATCGGGTTCTCTCCAAGAAGTCGCTCAATGCTGGACTCGGGGATCAACCTGTGGGATGCACAGGCGAACAGAAACTCCTGACGGGCATCCGAGAGAATGCTGTTTCCTTGCATCGAAAACATCTGGGAGAAAGAGGGAAACAAGTTCGGGTCTAGCCGGCTCAATGCTTGACTGACACACATCTCCACATTGATCGGTACCATGGCTGCGGCCGTCAAGGCGGCAAAAAATGCAGGAAGCTTGTTGACTAGAAACGAGCGGAACAAGAACATTGTTCGACCCGACTCATTGCGGTAGACACCATTGGACAAGACATCAAAGGCTGCTGTGATGATGTCCTCAACCAAAACCTCTTGATGGCCCTCATATCGATTTGTGAGATAATTTAGAAGCATGGAGTCATCGACCAAGGGCCGCCCAGCGAGCATGGAATTCAAATACACATAGATGCCAGCTCTAGTGTTGATAGTCGGACCATCCATCACGGATGCCTCAAATTGAAGCGCATTCACATTCAACCCCTCAATAGTGGAATGGTCCAATGGTTTGGAAGCTTGCTCCCCATATAAATTGAATTCCTTCTGAAGTGTATCCAACCGCTGTCGGAGGGGCAAGGAGACATCGACACAGAGAGGAATATAGGCTGAAAGAGCCAAGCCCAACTTTTGTTTCAAACCTCTCATAACACCTTTTTGCGAGTCACTGGAAAGCGTCTCCATGCCCTTGGTGGTACCCGACAGTAAGGCAAGGAGAATGCCAGGCGACTCAATCAACGACACCGCATCAGGAGAACTCATCAGGCCACCCGCATTCTGGAGCGAGCCCAAGCTATTTTTATGCGATAAAACGACGGCAAACATCCACTCGACGACCGCCGCGTAGAGTTCCGCAGCCTCATTGGCGGACCGGGGGATGGTCCCAGTAGAGATAGAAAGCATGACATCCTGGATGACCTTGATATCGGTCATAAGCGTAGAACTATTGTTCCCAGTTCCATTTTGGTCGCGAATTGACGAATGATTCAGTACGCTCGTCAAGGCCGAAGACCATTTGACCTGGCCAGCCTTGCAAAGCCCGTCGATATAAACAGGCAGGAGTGGATCCCAGGTGATGGTGGAGGCGCCACGCGCCTCTAGAAGCATGTCCAATAGCTCATCCTCTCTGACAGGAGAGCGGGCGAGCATCAATTTGCACAAGTCTCTGAACTCGTCGACATCTACTCGATGCGCTAAACACTTGTGGAGGAAGGTCCTCCACTTTTCGGGAGACGCCACATCTTGCAGCATTTTGAGACCATGCGCATACCAGACAACCAATCAAATATACGGACGAGTATTTATAACATCAGACTGATGCCGGGCACTCTTGTACCTTGTCGTGAATCAGGTCAAGATCATCATCAATGATTGGGCCGAGGGATGGCGTCTGTTTGTTGGTCACGTGAATCCAATTATTATCGGTCACATGATCATGGCCTCATTCAAGAACGTTGGTTGTGGCAACTGATGGATCATCAAGACGGAGTGAAATTCTCTCGTTTCACTCTATTGGTCTTTTACCTCTACTTAAATAGTAGACTTGAAAGCTTAGCCATGTTAATGCCACACGTGATATAAAATGGCCCCAATCAAGTCAGATCAAGCCTCCCATGATGTTTCCCATTGGCAATTGACCAAGTAAACATGCAAAAGAATTGTTTTCTTGTCAACGAACAGTTCCCTTGTGGAACATCATAATAAGTTACTTGAAGCGATAAAGTGGTCAAAGACTCGGATTTTCAACCCATGAAGCTCACACAATGTCACCCTCACTCATTACGCAAACCAGAGCACACCCACAGCATTTATCGACTAGATCCTGGGAGCACCTCCCTCTCATCATGACTATCTTCCAAAAATACAGAATCACGAATTACTCGATTTTGGGTATTAACCTCCCGCGAATTCCTACCTAATAGATCAAGATCTACAATTGACTCCGTAGTTCGCGACGCCTCGAACCAAAACAGAAGATTGGAGATGCTAGACCCGGCAGGGATTTTCCTAAGCTAGATCGCTTCATCTAGCACAATTATCTGAGCGTAGGAGATACCCGAACTTTTATACCGGATCTAGAATGGGTTGAAGTACTCAAAAATGGAGACCTGGAACAACGGATTCTTTTTCCGAGGGATTTGTTTTAGGGATTTGTTTTCTCGGGGGGCACCTTACTCCATTTGTACCACTACATAAATGGAAGTCTGTGGGCTTGTATGAATGTGAGCGTAGCGTAAGGCTGACAAAACCTTGGAAGTGGGGACCACTTAAACTATGCAGTAGCTATTAGCGTCTCGGATATCAAGTCTTTCTTGGATTAGTTCACACGTGGGTCATCGCCGACGATGGCAATGGGCCAGCCCTGTCCAGTCATGCACTACACCAGGCATGCACTACAGGATGGAAGAATCCCTTTTGAGCAGGCCCAACCCATGTATGGGTCCTCCGAGGATGCAGCGAGAAGATCGCCCTCAGTGCTTGCGAAGGAACATGGTCCTGGAAGTCATGACTTTTCTGTCCCTGTCTGTATGGGCCTCTCTCTCTGCGCGTGACCTTTCCGCCACCACAAACACAGTTACATTGTATGATGTGATCCGCCAAGGGTCTGACGAAAGTCAACTGGTAGGTATAAAACTATTCCCGCCGAGTGGAGACACAATGCCACCGGCAGGAAGTCCGACTTGGGCAGCCAAGCCACCAGCCACTGGTAATAGCCAAGCCACATCACAAAACAAACCCACCTAGGGCTTTTCCAGTTCTTCTCCGAGCCATTCACACGAAGCAAACCGTTTATGGAGACAGTATCCAAGATTTTCAGGTTTCAGGTCGGAACCATGGTAGTATAAGAGGGGACGTTCAAACTTGGTACGGCGACCCCCACCTCGGATCAAACGGCGAGAATTCGTTCTTGACAGGTAAAACTGTACATAATGTAGATACCATTATGATCCACCTGTGGAGCAATATTGGACCGGTGAGTATATATATCACCGGCCTAGTAGTCCTGAAGGGGCATATTGAACCTTTTCCACCAATATTCCAAACTTGAAAGGTTCAAGCTGCAAGGCCGGATGTTCGAGTCTGAGGTGAATTGAGACAATTCTGCAGGGTCTACTATAGCATCAAGCTAAAGCATTTTATTTTTGGCGATCGATCCGATTTCATGCATATGAACATCAACCAAAGGAAGTACTGATCTGCAGTCGTGAAACCTGGTACTCGGAGCAAGCGCTTGTTTCAGGGGTTGCAAAAAGAAAGAAACAATAATCAATTCATACTGCCCGATTCGCAGATCCCGTTTACCATAAGTCAGGTAAGCCAGGGGCAAGAGGATAGTAGGGGGCTGCGGAATTGTATTCCGCCGTTATACGAAATGGAAAGGAAAAGGGGCAAAACAAAGCGGACCATTAAGCAGACTGGGAATTGAGAATTGAGTAATTAAGTAATTGACATTCAGCCTCCCGACGATCCTGAAAATGGCCGAAGGTGAGAGGGCGTATGCTCGTAATGAGGATGATCTCGGAGAATTAATTTTTTCGGATCGAGGAAATTCACCAATAGGCGTAGAATCCAGGGATGCCCCTCCTTAGCGGCAGAACTATATGAGGCTAAGGGCGGTTTTCAGCGCCGCCACAACACACGGGATCTTCTCCATGACTTCAACTGTGTGGGTTTGACTTTCTCCAGAATAAGTTCATTGGCGGTGATTCCTTTATGATGATCCTTTTGGAATTGTGGGTGCACTGCATGATTTTGGGGGTTTTACTGTACTACAACGGAGTACCTAAAGTTGGAATTTCCAGGTTTCTCTGTATTCGTAAGCTTTTTTCCCCCTTAGTCTTTATCCATTTCCGGTTTCTGATATGATTATTTATGCTAGGGGATTTACTATTTTAAATTATTTCTTTTCAATTTTCAGGGGAAATCGAGGTTCATTGTGTGTTAATACGGTTCCAAAGATTCCTTAAATCTGGTACAAACCTGACCCGCGAACCAGATATTAGGCATACCAAATCCCACATAAAGAATCAAAACGGAAAAAAATAGAACCCTCAATCTGACTGCCCATGAACTTCACAGGAAAACTCCACTACCATCCAAGGGACATCTACGGCCAACCTTGGAAGGCTCAGAATGGATCTGGGGTGTCCACAGCGGAAATGCACGAAGCACAAACTAGTGGGGTTCACAGGGGATTTCTTGAGTAATTTCTATTCGACAGCACCCGCACTTTTAGACCAGTCAAAAAATCTTGAAGGAAGCTAGCACGGTTCACTGGTTGGCGGAGTGATTGGCACGCACGATGGCCCTTTTGCTCTCCACTCCGGTGCCGAGTTTAGTTGGATACCCGGCCGAGATGACGTCCGCCACGGATGTAGCGCTGTAATCAGCTTTTGTAGCGCTTTTTAAATCTCGTATAAAGATAATTCTCACTTTTTCTGGAGCCTTAGGGTTCCAGCAGGCTGGATCCGAAGCGTGTTCCGAAAAAGAGTGGAAATCGGTTTACCGCTGTATTTTTGCGTTTCTCGGATGCTGTCAAGCCCACTCGTGAGTATCTGCAGCAGACCCTGAATGCTTTGATTTTCAGAGATTGCGAGTAGTAGTAATTGTAGTCGGGTATAATCTTCATGGATTTGATTGGTATAAAAAAAGGTATATGTATATCCATCATGTCTAGTTTTGGATAACAGCCGCATAATTAGATCCCCTGTAAATGCGCTGAAACGCTGGGAGATGATGTCGTGCAGACAACTTCGGACCCGGCACAAAATGTTTGTAGATGCTGTATGGGAAAAGACGCTTGAGAGAGTCGATAATAATAAAGAAAGGTTCAATCGCTGGGACTAATGAGCTAGGACTCAATGGACACCAGCCGCCGACCCAATATAGAAAAGAAAAAACATGCAAGAAAAGTAAAAAGAAAGCACATAGTTTAGCCACGTGCGCTTCTAGGTCGCGAGCTCTGAGAGGACGAGTCCCGAAGAACGTCTGGCGCACGCGGCCCTACCATCCAGTCTTCCATGGCAAGCCATTCACTCCAACTGCGCTCGGCGGCTTCAATCTCGGCGTCTAAAGGCCCTTGTAACGGGCGCAAAAATGGAATCGTCTCCAATGGTGACATGTCGTAGTCTTTCTTCACTGAAGCCCAACCTCCACTCTTCGCGGCGAATAAATAATTGCGACGCTCCTGCTCGTGCATAGGTCCGACCCCGCTACCCCAGTCATCACCAAAGAATCCATGCAATACTCCTGGAAAATCCATTCCTGTAGCGACTAGGCGGCGAATGTATGGAATTAACGAAGCGGAGGGCGGGCCGGGTAACTGCTGACCGGCTGACGCTCCGGACGGGTTCGAGTTCAAGATGGGGTTGGGTTGTCGCTGGAAGGGTAGTCGAATGTTCAAGAAGGCGGATAGCGCCTGGACGGGCACACTGTGTTGCGCATGATCCAAAAAGTAGCGCTGACAGCTCTGATAGCATGGGTACCATTCGAAAATGTCGAAATTGTCCTCTGTTCTCCCCGGTGCGCCGGCTAGACCGGCCATGATGGCCGGATCAAAAGGCGGTTGAGAGTTCATGGATGGTGACGGATGATTGAGGGGCTCTACTGGGTGTCTGCTGAGTTGAGGCTCTTAGCTAGAAGTCCTTTTGTCCTTGGGGGGAGTGTGGTGCTTCGGTGTTTGGGTCTCAGTGGGGTCGATCTCGGCTCCCAAAGCCCCGTTTCGCCAAAATCAGCCCCAAATCAAGTCCGGTAGGTCCAAAAATTGGGAGGGAAAGCGTCAAAGGGGATAGGGAAGTGTTACTTGTTTGAAAAAAGATCCCTACCTCGACGGACCAATATGGACACTCGGCGTCGGGAGGAAGGAGAGGAAGGGGAAGGCGGGGGAGCAGAGCGGAACAGGTTTCTGAAGGCCCCGAGTCCTCGGCCAGATTGGGGCTTGTTCATGGACATCGATCAGGAAAGGACCATCTAGGGGAGCGGCTCATGACAGGATCTCCGCAAGACCAGGGGAAAAAGGGCAAAATTATGGTAATAATGACCCATTGGGCTATGAAGCAAAGAAATAGCGAACATACATGGTGCGGGCGAGATAGAGAGGAAGAGAGAGGGAAAGGAAATAATCCAGAAGAGCCGCTAAAAGGAGGGAAAGAGAAGGTTAAGAAGATATGAAGATCCAAGCAAACTTTATTCTGGAACGTTCATAGAAAAAAGAGGAAAGAAAATCGTGCGGAGAGTGGATTCGATGTATACGGAGTATTTTTGGTTTTGAATCGGATCCATCAGAACGGGTCTATCCGGTTAGACCAATCATTACAAGGTCCATCGTCCTTCAGATCTTACTCTTTCCCACGGGTCGCTGGTGGATACTGGATCGATCTAGACATCAGCATCCATGGATGGTACCTGGTTTGGGGATCCAAGGTACGCTTTCACTGATCGTATATCCATATATCCATATTTCCAGGTTACAGGTATATTATACGAAGTTTGGAACTATCTTTTATGTTCAAATGTTGAACATTACGTCCTTGCAAATCTAGAGAGATCTCACAACCCATCTACCAATTCTCATTGGCTAACAAAATCAAGACAGCGTCGATTCTAATAACTACCCACCAGTCTCCCCTTTTTCTATTTTTTTTTTTTTTTTTTTTAATTTTTTAATTCTCTCTTTTCATTCGATGCCCAACGACCGCCTTCAGGCATCTATTTGGTCATAACCGGGATCAGGGCTATAGAAAAAGGGGCTGCCCTTGACTGGGTCCTACCTGTTCGGGGTGAATATGCTTGGCCCCAAAGGTTGTCGCTGCAAGGTGCCTAGTCTTCATTGGAATGCAGCGTCCACGAGGACACCTGAACACTTTCATATTAAAAGACGACTGGTCAAATCTTGCTCCCCACTTGAATATATTGGCCATGTGCCCTGATCTGCACATCAATATGTACTGTCCAGGGCTCGTGGTTGGCATACCAACAATTGACTTTCTCACGCAAGGAATATTCTTCTTCCAATATTTCCTTTTTCATTTTTTAGCGCGGAATACTAATCCTATCTCGAGATTCCCCTGAGTCTTGGGAAGCAAAGCAAAAATAAATCAAACACAAACAAAAACAAATAACAAATAACAGAAAAGGGAGGCGAAGGGAGGCAAAGAGGGGGAGGCGCTGCTGGATAAATCCTAAGAACCGATAGCTTAGTTTGCGATCGCGCGTGGCGCTACACCCAATGGGATAAGACCCGACATACTCGGAACTTGAAATAGACGAACGGAACAGAAAAAGGATTGATCCAATTCCAGATATCCAGTTCACGGAGGCGTATCTGGCAAACCAAGCCAGCCGCATTCCGTTCACCCCTGCAAGATCTCCCCCGCGAACCATTCAGCGCCCTGCAAATCAAAGCAATCGCGCTCGGGACTCAAAATGGCGTCACTAGAACACGATCTAGGATCTCGCTGGAGAGGGAGGTCAGGCGCGAGCAGGGACCACCCGTCGAGCTGTGAACCTTTGTTACTTCCTTAGCCGGAACCCAACACAAGCTACGACCCAATCACTGGGACCCCAAGATGAGAAAGTGACAGAACCGATCACTGGGGCGTGCTCCACATTACGAGTTTTGTGGCCATGGATGCTCTTGTAACTTCTGCGGAGTTCCCCCTTTTCTGGAGTCGAGAGGAGGGAGTCGAGATGCGGGTCTCGTCGGCTGCACGTAATCCATGATCCCAGGGGTATGGACCACCTTGACGGTTGAACAATGGCAATACCCCCGGCACTTATTCTCTTTTATTTTTCATTATATTTATTTGCCTTATTTATTTACTCAAATACTGCCCCCTTTCAATCTAGAGCTGACGACCCTTGTAACTACAGACTCTCCCTGATTTGCCACATGCGGAGGGTTGAGATCCACTTTCTTCTTCCATGACAGGTTAAGATATAGAGGTTTTATGCGCAGTGATTACAGATTATGATCGCGTGTGCATCTCAAAGCATTTTCTTTTTGTCATTTCCAGGGGAATCGATCCTAGAATCCTTACCTTGGAAAGCGTGCAACAACGCGGAAACTGCATCCGCCGATCGGACGCATTTCCCACGCATGATTTGAAATTTAATGCCTGAAAGGATCTTCCCAAAATCAGATTCGAGTTTTATCTCTAAGATCTCAACTTTCCAGCTGTAAAGTTGGCACTTAGCGATACGCTCTGCAGGATTCTGCGGCCCGTGTTCCAGGATATGCACGAGGATGATTGGGTTTCGATCCTTAATGGCGCCAGGGGCGCAAGGTTTAAACCTGTTTCTGCAAGGTGGTCCCATCCCGATTTACTTTTTGTCGCGGAGTAGCTCGGGGCGGAATCGATCTTAAGCTCAGGATCTCGGTCTGTAAGCGCTTGCAGGCTTTTTGAGTAGAAAAATCCCGAGGTCATACTTCCGGCTGAATGGTACACGGGACGGGATCCTCGGCGGACTAAGCTGAGTCGACTTCGATCATGCAGCAGGCCAAAGAGCCACGCCACGCTACAGTATTCACATATGTTCTGCACTGGTACCTAATGAGCCGCCCGGAATTTTTGAAGTACGTGGTCGCCAACAGCGCTGACCCGAAAATGGAAGTACGGTCTCAACAAACGTAGGTTCGATATGGATACTATACCTGAGACCACGACAGACCACGAGACACGCAATCACCACGATACAGACATAAGGGGGTCTTTTTTCCCGACTTTATTATAAAATCGCATTCGGACAGACAAAGTACCTTGGAATTGGCTGCGGTCAGATCTTTACTCTCTTTAAAACACCAATAAAGAAGCGTAGAGCTTATTGACCGCTCAATCTCAAATGATGCTCTTACCCTGGTGCATCTTGCGACATAAGGATATAAATCTACAGATCACACGAAGGAGCATTAACCATTATTTCAAATCACCCGGACCCTTCCTAGAAGATTATCCGGGCCTTCCTACAATATGATCTATCAACTCTTCGACACCGCCACTTCATCTGGCAGGAACGTGCCCAAGCAACCATCAACCTTAAAGTGAAGTAGTAATGATGAAATATACTCTCCGATCGGCAAGCAAACAAAGAGCCATCCTCATGTACCTTTGCCACTGACGTTATGCTGGGAAGCACGGGCATCACCTCCTCTTTCAAGGGTCCCGTCCGACCAACCGAGTTGAGAGGAAAATGGCTAGAAACCTGAAAATCTCGAGTAAATCAATGTGTCAAATGCCGATCCCGTCTTTCGCATCGATAGGGAAACTAGTTGATCAATGCTCCTATTCCTTTTCGATGGTCGGGGTAGGACGCGGAGACCGCCGATGCCCTGTGCATTGATCATGTCTCATATTTACTGACATCCTCACCAGCCACAGTGGCTAAGCTGCATAGGTGTGTCTACTCCGCATCTCAAAGCACGTGGCTGGTTCTGGACTTTTGATATCAGATCGCGTGGAGTTTAAGTTGTGAGTTAGAATTTATTACATGCACGTTGATCCGGGGTAGCCTAGCTGATGTGGGCTCCTTGCAGGCGCTAGGTAGAGACGTTTACGGCTTGTGGGGTTGGGGTGCCAGGGTTGAATTGTTGGTGGATTCTGGTAATGAGTGCAGAATCCACTATATTCAACGCATTATTGTTTTATGCTGACTATGCTGGTTGATTTGTCTAGACTTTTTGTTGTGCCGCACGCTGGTGGGATATTACAACCTGAAGTCTCGAGGGTTGGGCCAGATGCAGCCTTAGGACTAGGCTAGACATACGTACTCGATTTTATTCCAATCGAGAAATTGGACGCGTGTGAGGTTTCCGAATTTCAAGTCCATGTTCATATGCCGAAGCCACGAGCTACTTTAACTTCACCGGACTCTTGAGGTTGACGTATATGTATCGCTCCCCTGCACCCACATTTGGACAACGCTTGACCTCCCTACTTTTCACCTCTCCAAGAGGTCCCGCCTGTCTCCTCTCATGCCTTTTTTGTAGATTTAAACCATTCTCACTCCGAAGAGAAGTGCCGGCTTTGTCAAGAAAGACAACTATTGTCATTTCCTGGATGACTCAATGCGTCTTCTATTCTTTGAGCATTTTATTAGCCTTTATGTGAATTGATGATCTGGAATTGGTTTGTTTAAGAATACGTTCAATAGAAAGAGCATTCCAAGCAAGCAGTGTGCACTCTTTATGGAAGCCTCCCAAGTATGGAGAGAACCATGCATGGTACTGTATACATACATGTCCACGCGACGAGTTGAGAATCAATCCAAGCAATTAGATATTGATAACATAAGCTGAAGTTCATCAGCAGCCATTGAAAAATTGGGCTGCACAATTGACTATGCGGAAGAGCTCAAAAGAAATCGAAACCTTATATGCTGTCCAGAATCGCTGACACATTGGGTGTACAAATCAGGATCTCGGAGATTGATAAGATTAGTGCATATGCAGTAGCACGCACGCACCATGTGTCCACTAACCAGGACCGGGGAACTAGTCCTAGTCAGCAGAAGCTCGAAGCTTAGCTGAATTCGGATCCGAATCGGCGCTCATCCCACTCTTCCAAAGAGGGTTTGGTCCCGCCTTTTTATCGGAAAAGTCTGGAGATTGCAGTAGCCTGCATGGCAGGGTCTCCGTTTTCGGCTGGTCCTCTTGCTGTAGTGTTTAGTAGGTGGTGAGATTGGCATGTGCTATACTGTTAGCATTTAATTTTCGCTTCTACCGGTCATAGAATCAATGGCTGGCCTTTGCCACCATTTGCATGTGAAATTTGTTCTTGATTGCAAGGCAATTTAATTTAATAGAATCGGGTTTCGGTGTGCATTTACGAGGCGACCATGTGAGATTGTTGTGGTGGAAAGACGTAGAAGGCAAATCAGCCTCATTTTTGGTCATTGATCGACGAGTGAGGGGGAAAAAAAATAAATTAATGGAAAGCAAAAACAAAAAGTAATAGGAAGACTCTGCACCATGGCATTGGTGGTTGGCGAAGGCAACAGGCAACTCGAAGACAATATGTGGCAAGATGAGGACGCCGCTGCCGCCGATATTGAGCTGGCGAGTCCCCAGGACTAACCCACTCACCGGGGTAAATACCGACGCTCGGGCTCAGCAAATAGGGTTAATTCAGATCCTTGGCGCCACCCAATAGCTGTGCCTGACAAGCAATCCCCGGATAAGAAGGCGAACGCTAAGGCATGGGCTCGCATGCTCGCATGCATCGGCAAGTTGATTTACTACGGGGATTAATAGTAGGGAGTTGGTCAATTGAATTACATGGATTTTTTGCTAAAGAATTGTCAAGTCAACTCCGCGGATATAGACGTTGGATATACTCGTAGTGTAGATCCCCTCGGTTCTAAGGAACATTTCAAGGGGAAATTGACCCCTCAGCCCCTCCATTTACCCCTCTTAACGCACGGAAGGTTGGGGGGGGAATGCCGAGATGGGGATAATTGTTCGGGAATTTGGGGGAGGTTCGGGGAAGTGATAAAGAGAATTGACCAGTGGTTTTAGTGAGGATGATTCCTGTGAGTCAAACAGTTATGAAAAAGAATTGACAAAGTATCAGATAAGGCCGGTGGGTCCACGGCAAAATGGGTGATTCGCCGCTTGCAGTACGAGGCCACGTGACTACAACCGTGTCGTGGCTCCGAAGTAGGAAGTCGGTGGCGGAGTTGAACGTGAAGTAATGTATGGGATCCCATGTTGCAGGGAAGTTCACTGCGTCATGCATCTTGTAGCGTTCTCCGCATTTTAGATTCCTTTTCATCTCTAGGTTACATTTTAGGAAAATCTTACTGCCACCGTGGTCTATACGACTTCCCAAGAAAAATTGGAATATGCCTAGCCAAATTTGTGCCCAGCAAATTAATTATCGTAGTCGGAGAGGACCGATCCGATATTTCACGAAATAGACACGGAAGTCGAGTGGAAGATCGTGGATCCGAAGGCGGGAATGACCATTCGGGGACTGTGATTAGCGGGCACTAATAAAGTGTGCCGCCACCAGCAAAGATAAGCCCAAATTCTGTGACCTTAAACCATAAGATAAAACTTGCCTAGTCTTAAAAGTGGGCCCCGAAGTTCGGACGTTCTTCCCACGGAAACCCATCCTCCATACTGTTCACTAACTGTCCGGGTATTCACTGCTGTGCAACCAAGGGACTTTGGTCGACTCCATCAACTCCCGTTCTCTCTTCCCCGTCCACACGTTGTCCGGATTCTCTCGTCCGACTCCGGCTTGTCGTTCTCCCCCCACCCCTCTCTGTCATCCTGTATATATAATTCTAGCTTTCCTCCCGGATTCTTTCCTTTCTTTCTTCCTCATCTACTACCCTTCCCATAATAACATACCCGATCACCTTGATCACTCTATATACTCGGAAGGACCCAATTATTAAAAAATCAGCCATAATGACTGCCCAGAACCTCCCCTCCGAGCCCGAGTTCGAGCAGGCCTACAAGGGTATGTGATCTATCCTCGTACTGGAATTCTCTCTCTACCTGCCCCTCCAATTGGAATACCCCTCCAATTGCCCCTCTATCGGAGTTTGCCCCCCGATTTAATCCTTTACCCATTCGGCATCCTCGGCAAGTGGTCCTTCGGCAAGTGCTCAGCTAATCATATCGTTCCCCGAACAGAGCTCGCTTCCACCCTCGAGAACTCCACTCTCTTCCAGAAGAAGCCTGAGTACCGCAAGGCCCTCCAGGTCGTTTCCGTCCCCGAGCGCATTGTTCAGTTCCGTGTTGTCTGGGAGGATGACGCCGGCAATGTATGTCAATGAAGAAAGAAATCTCGACAAACCTTGGAAGTGCATTCCGGCTGACAATTCTTTTTCTTCAGGTCCAAATCAACCGCGGTTTCCGTGTCCAGTTCAACTCCGCTCTTGGCCCCTACAAGGGTGGTCTCCGTTTCCACCCCTCCGTCAACCTGTCCATCCTGAAGTTCCTCGGCTTCGAGCAGATCTTCAAGAATGCCTTGACCGGCCTCAACATGGGTGGTGGTAAGGGTGGTTCCGACTTCGACCCCAAGGGCAAGTCCGACAACGAGATCCGTCGCTTCTGTGTCTCTTTCATGACCGAGCTCTGCAAGCACATTGGTCAGGACACTGACGTTCCCGCTGGTGACATCGGTGTCACCGGTCGCGAGGTCGGTTTCATGTTCGGCCAGTACAAGAAGATCCGCAACCAGTGGGAGGGTGTTCTCACCGGTAAGGGCGGCAGCTGGGGTGGTTCTCTGATCCGCCCCGAGGCCACCGGATACGGTGTCGTCTACTACGTCGACCACATGATCAAGCACGCCTCCGGCGGCAAGGAGTCCTTCGTCGGCAAGCGCGTCGCCATCTCTGGCTCCGGTAACGTTGCCCAGTACGCTGCCCTGAAGGTCATCGAGCTCGGCGGTTCCGTCGTCTCCCTGTCCGACTCCCAGGGTGCTCTCGTCCTTGTCGGCGAGGAGGGCTCTTACACCGAGGAGGAGATCAACCAGATCGCCGCCATCAAGGTTGAGCGCAAGCAGATCTCTGAGCTCGCTTCCACCGCTGCCTTCAGCTCCAAGTTCAAGTACATCCCCGGTGCCCGCCCCTGGACCAACATCGTCGGTCGCATCGACGTTGCCCTTCCCTCCGCCACCCAGAACGAGGTTTCCGGCGACGAGGCCAAGGCCCTGATCGCCGCTGGCTGCAAGTTCATCGCTGAGGGCTCCAACATGGGTTCCACCCAGGAGGCTATCGATGTCTTCGAGGCCCACCGTGAGGCTAACCAGGGTGGTGCTGCCATCTGGTACGCCCCCGGTAAGGCCGCCAACGCCGGTGGTGTCGCTGTTTCCGGTCTCGAGATGGCCCAGAACTCCGCTCGCATCAACTGGACCCGCGAGGAGGTTGACAACCGCCTGAAGAACATCATGGAGGACTGCTTCAAGAACGGTCTCGCTACCGCTCAGGAGTACGTTACCCCCGCTGAGGGCTCCCTGCCTTCCCTCGTTGCTGGATCCAACATTGCTGGATTCACCAAGGTTGCTGAGGCCATGAAGGACCACGGTGACTGGTGGTAAATCAGTCATCATCACAAAAGTTAAAAAAGTGATGATATTTTCTTAACTGTGCTCTGAGCATGGTTTTGATGCATTTATTTTGTTCCGAATTTTGTCGAGCGGGTTTTGGATAGAGGCGCTGGTTTTTGCATTTGATGATATTCCCATTTGAGCATTTGGCTTTAGTCTGGGATCGTCATGACCATTATGAAATTGAATGATTTATTCCAATATATTATTCCATTGTAAACTTTAAACTGTAAAATTGTACCTAGCCCCAACTAGTGCAAGTCCCTTGCTTCGTAGTGACTTTGGCAATGCTCCGTTGCCATGCACAAACTTACTGAACAAAGGAAGGACCATAAGGTTTAGTCATTTAGACTCTCGTGTGATCGAGTATGTACGCGTGATTAGCCAATTTTGTATTCAGAATTCCAATGTTTGTTGTTTCAATTGTTTTTCTTTTATCAAATCCTTTGTCCTTTGATCCACAAACCTTAAACAACCTTATGCCAACCATGTACACGATTTCATCCACGGAGAAAAATCAAAACAGACCTCTGGACAGATAAGGATTTTTGCAATTTGAGGACGTTTTGATGCCACTGATAGTACGCTGGATAGAGCCTTGCAATGTATGCCGCTTCCAAGACGAGAGGAATTGGAAGATAGGTTCTAAACAAGTACTCCCTTTCCAGCAACACAATGTGTACTTGAATTCTTGATTGAAAGAACTTCGTAGATTTCAAATCCTCGAGTACATACATGAATGAAGAACAATCGAATGCTCACGACCAAGTTGTTGCGAAACAAGGTGGACATGGTGCAGATAGGACACGAAGGACAAAGAAAGCGATCTATCTGCCTAAGAATAAGGCGAAAGAACATCATATCGCCCTGTCCGAGCTGTACCCTCGACAAGACCAACACCAGGCGTTGAGAGCTTGCACATAGCAACAATTACCATGATCGAGTACCCTTCAAGCGCAAGATCCCCCACGAACCCAAACCATCCTTCCTCAATTCGGGTCATTGCAATCTTCGCTTCCCCCGGAATATCATACTTGTTCACAATGTGTGTCGCGACGTCAACATTGTTGTACCACCTGTCATACATCGAAACGTTATGAATAGACATACCATAGATACTGAAGCGTTCGGGCAAAACAGACAAGACATTCCAAGTAGCGTTGGAATTGAGCTGAACAGTCGTGTACCGACGAAGGCCGATCAGCCAAGGAAGGCCCGCTTTAGCAAAGATAGACTCGTCTCCTTCGCGCTCAGACCAGGACTGGGGATTCCAGAGTGAAATTGAAATACCGCCTTTGCGGACATATTTCATGAGCGCGTCCCAGATGTCGTTGTTGATATCGTATTTGAGTCTGTCTTCGGTGAGGAGGGTGGCTGTTGGCGGTGGATATTCATCTTCGCCTTTGTTTTCACCTTGCAGGAGATCGATGAGTTCGTTTCGGCGGTAGACGGTTTCGATGGTGAAGCCGTTGGATGTCAATTTTGTCATGAGCTCGGGATGAGTTTGTTTGTAGTTGGCTTGGGGGCCGAGGCTGATGATCAGAATCCATCGCTTGGGTTCTGATTTGGGTTTATCAGCAGTTGACATGTTTGATTTGATGTTTCGTAGTTGGATTTTGGGGGTGGTGTCGAGATGGAAAGGTATCGGCAGGTAGCGCTGATCAGATTGTAGGCTACAAGGAGCTTCAAAACAAATGGGTTGTTGTGTTTATTAGGTCCTGTCATGGATGGCTTATGATGAGATGTAAAAACATTTCACGACAAGTGACAAAAGATTGAGTCAAGTGAATTCACTCAATATCAGTCTAGTAGGCTTTGGGAACTTTAATGTGTTGTGAATTTGATATCAACGAAATTGTGAAGAATGAAGATACCTGTTGGGCAACTGAAGCATTATTCTCTCCGGGGGGTCTGGCCTAATCCATATTCTTGATCTTATTCCGCGTCACAGCATGCCTCATTAGACAAGCCCTGATAAAAAGCCACCCACCCATGGCCCTTAACCGCCGCCGCACATAGCAATGACAGTCCTTGCCAAGTCTGTGCTCATGACTGTAACATCACCACGTAACCGAAATTCCCATCTCCATAAGGGGTCATTGCTCATGTTCCTTGGAGGCCTGGATTCTTAGTCTTCAAACTTGCCAGCAAATATGTTACGGAGAGACATTCTATGATGATCTCTACGATAGTACTGCCTGTGGAGACTATGAAACGATGTTAAACAGCACAAAGAAGTCGGATGTGGATTGCCTTTGCGAGAGTCAAATTGCTGTAATATCGACTCAAACGAACATCACAAACTGCACGCTGGCTGCCTGCTCATCCTCCTATAATCAAACACTATACATCGAGGCTGAAGAAGCATATACAAGGATGTGTCTCTGGTCATTTGGCATGTTCAACTCCAATCTTGAGAAGCGCGCTTGTGAAAACTTTCACTAATGGTTTACTTGTTTATCATAGGAGATGGAATATGTAACTCGACAACCTCTTCGGCTGCACCGACCATACTGCAACCAGCCACCTTCCTGACCACTCTTGCTATGGTCATGAGTGTTCTGGCTTATTAAGTGCTTGGTTTGGAGGAAATGGAAATGCTACGCTTAGGTACTATATGTGAATTACTTGTTCTTTTGAACTTTGGTGTTACCTGCAGGAGATATCGGAGTCTACGTAGTATTGTATCTTTACCCTCACAACATGATGTGACTGTTTTTCTAATTCATGAAGTAGGTATGTTCTGCTTGTTTCTCATGAATAAAAAGTCTTTGACAAGAGTATCTGCCGGATCGGAATACCTGCAATCCGGAAGTTTTTAACCTCAGGAAAAACTGCAAAGAAAGTTCTGACCTTTAGCCGTCTTAGTTCGGACTCCTTTGTCAACCGGTAGACGTTGTTGAGCACGCCTAGACTCAACACCCACGTCATCAACGTGAATGCATATTTACACTCTTCTCTTATTTCCGGGTTTATTTCCGGGTGTTTGGAAATTCTCGGCAATTCAAGGATATTCCCAGACAAGCTGCTTCCCTGAGAATTCCTTACGTAAATTCAATGAGGCTATCAGAGTTTACAGTCTCCGCTTCAAATCAGCCTCTAACGCAAGCATTAGATGATATACGAAAATGACTCGCCACCAGAGTATATTGAAGATTGTTATGAATGAAGGCACCAGGTGGGCTCCCGGGAGTATACTTGCCGTGACCCAAAGTGAAGAGGGATGGAAAGTTATCAACTGGCAATAACTGGTTCGAGCGTTTGAATCTGCTCTAGACCCGCTCTGATCAAGATATCTCTTATCCAAGGCGCCCTTGCACTTTGTAGAGACTTTCGCTTGTATAAATGATGTGTAGACTGATATGACTAATAACTTTGTAGCGCTTGATATCTCCAAATATCCTCCAAATCAGTCCTGATCACGTCTGCAACGACAAAGCCCGTTTGGTAGATCCGGTCGAGAAGTTTCAATATCCTGCGCTTCTTGGAGTTTTCATAGACGTTAGCTCCGGCCATTCTCAGAGGAAACAGCAAGAGCACCCCGGGGATCCCTGAAGATCGAAGAACTCTGTCACTCTGTTCTAATATTGCCTCAACATGTGTCTCAATTTCATGTTCATGCAAAGAAGGAATCGGCTTTCCTCCCCAGAACGAGTGGAAAGTGAAGTTCCTACAATGAAATAGGAGGAGACCATGAAAATTGGCCATAGCGAGCCCGTAGGGTGCCTCTGAAACACCTGTAAGCGATGCGTTTTGACTTTGCCACTTCATGATTTCCTTTTTGATTTCGGTTCCCTGAACGGCTAGTGCATCCAAAGTTGAATCCACACACGTCGGGTGCCACGCTAGGCTTTCAGTTTGGTCGAAAAGGCTGCAATATCCAGGTTAGAGACATAATTGAGAACCGTCAATCAATTGCAAATCTCACTTTTGGCTGAAAGAGGAAGTCTTCATCATGAGCGTGAGAACTGTTCCCACTGAATCCCAACCATCATTCAAGTCGGATGGCACCATGTCTCCAGAAATCGTCCATCCGCCTTGTGAAAGCATTGTCGCCTCTCCATAAAGAATAGCTCTGTTGATCTCCAAGACCCGAAATGCTTTGATAAATTTCTGCCAAGAGGGAAACCGTTTTGTGTTCCCCATTGATTGCAAAAGTTGTGATGTACCAAATACCATGTGTTTTGCCCATCCATCTCCCGACGCTTCGGTCATTAGCTAAACGAAAAGATTAGCAGAAGAAATCAAAAACCACTCTGAACTCACTTCAAACAAACCAAGCAGGAAAGTGCACCAGAGCGTGTCTTCTGCACAAGCTGCAAGGCCTTTTGCTATTTGGAATTGAAGAGCTTGGATTGAGTACCCATAAGATTTCAACGCAACATGGTGAGTTGATTCATTTCTACTCAGTGACCTGACAGAACATCTCCTGCTAGCTCTCAGTGAGCCAATTGCAACAGCTATATGCCAAAGTGGAGGTGACCTGCTCACTAAAGGCACGAGATCGTAATGCACTGAAGCAAATTCCCTCGTAAAGTGGCTTTGATGGAGGAAATCTGCAAAATGATCTAGATACACAGCATGGGTGGGGCTATGCACTTGCTCAGGGACATGAGTCATCGGACAGGACTTGGTAGATTCCACTGAAACGATGAACTTCATCTCGGTATCCTTTACCCTTTGTGCTTGGCATATCTTCCCTGTTCGAACACAATGCTCGCAGGGATGACCTCCTTCACACTAATGTCATTTATTAGCATTGTTCTTAATTGTGTGTCTCGTTGTCAACTTTAGTGTCTCAGACCTTAATCCGCCTCGTGGCACAAGCTTGACAGCGCGTTATCTTCCTTCGCTTGTCCAGAGGACCTATAATTCGCTTCATCGCTTTTTACCGGTATGCCCTTGTCATAGGCTCACCACCATCCATGTATTTCATGCGTCTCAATGGTCCAGAAGGTGTCTGGACGGCAGAAAGCACTGAAACTTAAGAATCCGCTCTAGGCAACCACCACGTCGATGACAACGTCAGCTCAACACCGCTTACCAACAAGGCTTATTTAAATCCTGACAATTTGTGTGTGGCTGTGTTCTTGATTTACCGGCCTAAGGTGGGTTCCAAGAGTGCGGGCCCACTTAATTGGCTGATACCGCTAAATCCCTCTGTCCCACTCTTGAACCATCGAAGGATATGGCTCAGATTAGATTCTAGCACTCTTTCCACGATTAATGTTGTCCAAAAACCCTTGGAGTTTTGGTAAGTGCCATGTGCACTAGCGTACATTGGCCATAATAACTTGACTACGTTAAATTGACGATAAAAACTTCTCGCATGGGCACGGACACAATGTAAAATATGATATTTCGAGACTAAAAGAAGTCACCAGAAACCTAATACTATGACTTATGAGTCCAATTTTGATCAGACAAACAACCAAGCCAATGCCAATGGTGGGCTGTTCATGCAGACTGGAGACATTCATACCACTTCACCTCCACCACAGTAGTCATCCCATTGCAAGCCTTGTCCCACCTCTCTCGGCACACCCTCCAGCTACGCAGTAGATGAGGCATTGGCCTGAATGTTGAAGTATTCGGTGATTGCTTTCGTCCGCTCCCCGGTCGTAAAGAAATCATAACCGACCACGAGGTTGCAATTGTTTACGTAAACTGTGACAGGAATCGCACCTTGATACATGATATCCCACTATTAGTGAATTGTTAGCACAGCTCTACTCCTTGCATTTCTGACACTCTCTGGTCTGGCACATAGCCACTGGGGATCTTACAGATGCCACATAGCCTTCATGGAATCGTCTTTTGACCAGTCCGCCAAAGATCGCTTTATTGGTAACAAGAAAGTCCCGTGCGAACAAAGGGAAGGCAGAATTGACATAACCCTTCCACACAACCACATTGCTGGAGCTGTAATAGGTTGACAATGTGTTGTCTACTAGACCGTCCTGAGTGACGTTGGCATAATTGAACATTGACGAGGCCAAGCCGCTATCGGAGGCTTCATCAACAAGGACGATATCAAGCGATGGTGAGTTGCTGATATGCCCAGCCGTAATGTGAGATAGATTTTGGTTCCTAAGATATTGATTAGAATATGAACGGAAAAGCATCGGATGTGAACATCAATATTGTACCACTTATGCTGGATGAAGTTTGCCGTGTATTCGTCGTTCACCAGTGGGGGGGATGGCTCTTGAAACCCAGAGGAATATTCAAACAAGGAGGAAGAGAATGGCGCGCAGCTCGAAGATTTTGTCGCCGTCACCTGAGGGGAGGTGAAAAGCAATGCCAGTGAAAGGAAGATGAAATGCATGATCAAGTTCTGGAAATTGATGCGGAGAATATGATTTGTATTTGAAGTGTTGACAGTGTTTGGAATTTGTTTTGTAGATGGGTTCTCCTGCGACTCCCGGTCTCTTTATACTCTTGAGAAGGATCTTATCACGCCTTTCTAAGAGTTGATGGCTGCCTCCGAAAATGACCACATATCCGGTCGCGTTCAATTGATGCCTCTTTAGGACACCGATATAAGGCCTTCCCAAGAACTATTTCCATTGAACACTGTTGCCTGGAAAAGCATATGTCTGCAATGGTAGATGGGATGGCAATGAGTTGACCCAGGGGTGGTAAGCGCGTTCGATTACTTCCCAATCTGGCAAAGCGCCTGGATATATTGTGGCCCGTTGCCACGCCTTTCCCCACAGTGGAGTGCCATTCCTCAACCACTTTTTTTTGATTGGTTTTGTCCATCTATGAGGATTTTTACAAACCATTGACCAGGCTTTTCAAACACCAGTTTTCTCGTATTCGCAACTACCCCCACAAATTAGCTCAGACGTAGGCTCAACCATTTGGGTGAAGAATTTCATGGTATTGGAAATGCACTCGACGTATCAGCCACCCAATAGTACTGGCTCTTTTCATTAGTGTCATCATTATTAGCGCTGTGTAAAAGGGGACTATGTGACCTCAGAAGTGAAAACGTGGCGATCACAATCAATATACCACCATCTCTTTAACACGTTACCTGTGCAGCCCTCTAATACGCCCGATTGAGCTAGGCGAAGGAAGATCTAGTTGCTATAAGGGGGGCTGTTTTCGGCGCAATTTTAGTCGCGAGTAAAAATAAGGAGAATATCTTACTAACACCCAAAACTAGCACCAGGGAGTGATAACTTTGGGCCCTTAGCAGATGCAGAGGTTTAGTGGTCTAGAGTGATAGGACGGAGGAGCGGCGGCTCGCCGCTGGAAATTGCGTCAGACTCAGGCCATTTGCGGCGCCAGAAGCTGTCTTTTTAGGCTCCATTATCACAAGTCCTTATATTCTATATGTGAAATATAGCCTAGTGCCACAAGGGGTCCCTTGAAATACACCAGTACATAGAAAAGACATCGTCCAAAATCCAAAGACGCCAGGCTTTCCCAATCCCACGGTAGCAAAAAGATAGCAAGGGGTATCTAGACTTTTCAAATCACAACAGGAAGAAGATATTGCGGTGGTATTATGCGAAGACGAAGGAAAGTTTTTCGTGAATCGTGTCAGGTATAAGTATCATAGAAGCAAATCCTAGCTCATCATTCAGGGATGGAAGAGTTTCGATGGGTTGAAGAGTCATTAGAGGATTGGAAATTATCCTGAGAGGTCGAGGTCGAGCTAGATTTGGAGTGAAGGCGTCGAGAAGAAGGCAGTTGGTGTGTGTCGCCTGGGAAGGGGAGGTCGGGTAGATCGTCTGGGTTGGAGACTAAGCTTCGTCGGCGAGAGAGAACGCCGCCTCTGGACTGGTTTTCTTTCTCGCGGCGTATTGCGCCTACTGGGGCGCGGCTGCGGCGACGATGACGACGTAGGTACTCATTTGGAATTGGATCGACTTGCTTCTTCACTGCGGGTACCAAGTTGAGGTATATTGGGAAGATTGCGCCAGTAGCGAAGACAGCGACAAGAACGCAGAATGAATATGACACCCCACGCGCGTTGTACGCAGCATATTCTGCAAAGGGGAAGAAGACGCCACCGGAGGTACCCATAGCGAGGAGTGCAGAGGCGGTCTTAGTGTGTCGAGCAGTTCCACGTAGGGAGAGGGCGAATACAATGCTGTAGACGCCACTCTCGAAGAGATATACCATCATGACCATCACAACGGCTGTAGAGCCAGTGGTTTTCATGCAGAGCACCGAGAAGACAATCATGCCAACATAGGCCACCATGAGAATCCAGCGGGGTTTCAAGAACCATTGCGCAAATGCAGCTAGGAAACGGCCTATTGCGAATAGGCTTTGGCCAATGGTCAGAAAATCAAAGGGACTCAAAGAAGAGTCCGGTTTCGCAGCAATGACAAAGCGCTCGAGGCTGGTGGCAAGGACTTCTTGGCCTGCCACGTAAAAAAATTGCGACCAGACTCCTAGGCCAAGGGTGAGCCAGACGACTGGAATACCGACGACCTTGGCCCTGTTAACGTCTCGGCGTCGATTCGCCAATTCTTCCAAATCTTCATCTGAGGCTTCAGGGATTGGCAGATAGTAGAAAGCCACTGCGAGAAGCACATCGAAGAGAGCAATACCAAGATAAGTCCACTGGACATTGACCAGAGATGCAACATCCTGGACATTCTTAAATAGAACTCTCTGTGCCAAAAGAGGAGACAAGACACTACCAATGGCTTGCACACCCTGTGAGATGTTCAGACGGATTTCCGAGTTCTCCAGAGGTCCGCACAAGGCAATGAACGGATTGGCAGCCGTTTCCAAAACCGCAAGACCAAGACCAACAACAAAATTCGAGATCGTGAACGCGGGGGTAGATGTGAGTACGGCGGAAGGCCAGAATATGAGTGACCCACACGCGTAGATGCACAGTCCAGTGATGAAGGTAGACTTAAAACCCCAAGTTTTCAAAACCGGGCGACCGATTAACAGTGGGCCCACTACATAGCCTCCAAAGTATGCGCCGTGTAGGCCCAATGAGTGCCAAGTGTCCAACTCTACAACCGTCGCAAATTGGGTATTCAGTATGTCAAGAAAGCCATAGGCAAAGCCCCAGAGGAAGAACAGTAGGGTTGTGATTGCAATCGGAGCTATGGACTCTCGGTTGTTCAGCTTCAGCATGCTCTCTGGGGACTTCATGTTGACGAAATCAAAGAAAGTGATATGAGGGTATGATGAATTGGTTTGGTTGGTTTGGGTATTAGACTCCGTATCTTGGGGACCCGTTGGAGGATGGCCCAGGAAGTCTAGCATAGTGATAGGGGCGTTGGAGCTTCTGCGGCGAGTTGAGACGCTGCCGTGTCTTGGTGGTGAAGGTTTGCTCTCACTGTCCGCTGGTGATTGATTCGAGTCGGAATCTGGAATCGCAACTGGCGGAGGTATAGCAACGGGAGCCTCTCCGGTTGCGTAGCGGTGTGGTGTTGGATCTGACACGTCGTTGGTGCCTTTGATCAATTTAGGTAGAACACGAGCGACAAGAGGTTTCAAACTCGGAACGCATCCACAAATCACAGACACGTTGACCTCGACGACGGACCACATGAAGGAAAGCGACGCATACCCTGACGACAATTAGCACTATATTGAATAGTGTGAAATGGATATTCTTACAGCTAAAGTCCGCAGTGCCAACGTTCTGAATGTGAAGGGACTTCAATGCGACCTGGCGCGAGGTAGCGGCTTGCTGGAGGAAAGCAATTCGAATGACATCGACGACGGCCACGAAGAAACCAAAGCTGAACGTGATGACCAGAATGATCTTTTGTTTCTTTGGAAGGCGCATCTGAGTCAGAATCGGCATTGGAAGAAACAAAATCGCCAGGTCGGTGATGATATTCACGGGGGACGAGGATAAATAGAGCGTGACAATATCGGTACAATGCGCGTCGGCCGGGAGGTTGGCGCGCCACGCGGCAGATACTGGTCGACACTGGAAAACATTGACCAGCGTCAATGCAAAGCCCGCTGCATTGACTACCCCAAGCGTGATATAGTTTGCATAGCGAAACACCTTCTGGTTCCGTGTCAAGGTCATATAGAAAACGAGTATCGAGGTTTTGACGGCCATCAGCGCCGGGCTCTATTTATGGATGTAATTTAGTACGCTGTAATATATTGCTGGGCCTTGAAAGCTCACATAGAGGACGGTGAAAGCATAGTTAGCCTTATTGAGAGCTGCCTCATTTTCAGCAGGGACGTCGATGGCGTGCAGACCGAGTCCATTGTGGATCGCAAAGAACAACGAGAGCGAAAAGCCGAAGTCAAGAACCTGGAGTCTGTCTTTAGCCAGCTATCCAAGACCACGTGACAGAGTATGCCGGTGCGTCGCGACAGGGTGTTAAGGGAACTGCAGCTTTCCGAGAGCCTGCAGTATCCCGGGGTTGACCTACCCATGCAAGCAGCATCAAGTAGTCGTGTAGCGCGACCCTCCTGACTACGAACACGCGCGATATGAAACGCAAAGCCACAAAAACCGTGGCGATGGCGAAGAACGTGACCGAGACGCCAAGTGTGGCCGGTTGACGGCCTGGCATTTTGACCGGGTAGCTGCCACCGGGGTGGTACAATCACAAAGCTCGTAATATTATGACTAGGGAGATCCACGGGCTAGGACATCATTGTGGGCGTAGGTGGGTTTGCGAGCATCGAGATCAACTGGAGACCGCATATCCTTGAAAATCCGGGGTAAGAGGGATTTTGACAGGGAAAATTGAAGGGTTGAAGGGGTGGGAAGAGGTTGAGTAGCAGGGAAATTACGAGAGCATCAACATAGCAAGGAATCCGAGAGTCCCACTTTTCAAGATCTAGGGTGTGAGGGGGGAGAAAAGAAGAGGAGAAAATGTGGAGGTTGAGAAATGGATCCGCGTCATTGGTTCCCGCAAATCCGGAGCTTGGGGAGAAACCGTTGTGCACCAAAACTCAACACCCTTCACCGTCAATTCTTTACGCGACAGTCTTAGGGTTTTGCATCAGGGTTGTTGGGTTGAAAATGACTCACAATCATCCCACCCCGCGCTTATTGGATTTGGCTAATGTATTTCTTCAACGGAAGGCGACGCCACCACGGAAAGTCCAAGCGATTTCCCGTCTCAAATAGCGCCCCTGAGAGCCACAATGAGCCACCTTGAGCCATGGTGAGCCACAGGGGCTGAATACGGAAATTATATCCAATAAAGTAAACCATCGTTTCCCTTCCATTTGGCCGACTTGGTTCGTTCCAACATACGCGACCGGACCAACCCTACCCCGGATCTCGTTTATCCCGCAATTACGGCATATCGTTTCTCCGCTGCGGAAAGCCGCAAAACATCAACCAATAAGCAAAAGCTGCTTATAAGAATCTGATTGATAGCGACATCGATAGAATGACATTGGAAGTGAAATTTGACAGGCAAGATCAGCACAAACTCGGCTATCCCATCTGAGCCAATCATCGTGTTAGATCTCCACACCTTCGGTCGCTTGCAGGTCCGATGAGCTTGGCATGTCGGCCTAAACAGGGTAAGGCGATAAGATGGCCATCGCACGCTAACTCAACATGATCAAGCGCTGCAAATTTCTCATCCTTGGCGGTCATCGTCTCATTGCACGAATTCTCATGTGGGTATGCAGCCTGACGCTTCAAAAAGGCCAAGGTCCCATAAGTAACGTAACCTGCACTAGACCCACGCCGTACTTTAACGTGCAGCGTTGCAGAGGTTATTTGCTTGGCTTCCTCATTCTAGTATGCATTTGCGAAGAACCCCTCTCGGTCGGCCTTCAATAAATCCCGTGAACCCCGTGAACCTGTGAAAATGTTAAATCGTGCCTTCTATTTCCTCATCTATGACCACAATTCTCATTATAAGACTACATTGCGTCCGATCGGGATATTCTGGAGAAAATGCCGTATCCACATATACAAAACAGGTAGCAGCTACTGAACAGCAAATATCCTATGCGATATCTAAAGATCATCATGGCCTATTTTCCAACTGCAGGGGTACCGACCCTAAGCGGACCGGTGTTTCTGGGCATATTCACGAGCATGTGCTCTCGGTACTCAAATTCGGACTATAAGAGAACCGTCGCTCACATCCCATTTCAGTTTGCGAATAATTATTGCTTCCTTGCACCGGTGCTTCCAACTCATTTCAAGCGGCCAATCTCAAGATGTTGCTGATCATGATGAAACAAGCTGCTCTGGTGGCATTAGTTGCGTTTTGGATGCCATTCGCTAATGCTCACACCGAGTCTGCCGAGAGCTGGATCAGTAACATCTGGGATCACTTCAAAGAAGCGGTTGACTGTACCAGCTGTCAGGTAAGTGACGGTGTGGCTCAGGATCGTTCAACATATCACTAGCTAAAGCCTATATGTTTACATAGGCTCTCCTGGGTGGTCTCAAGCTCGTGGCCGGCTTTGGAGACAACTTCATGATAGATGTTTTGACAGGAGTGTGCGATATCAGCGGTGTAAGCTCCCATATGTAAAATGAACATGAGATATGGCTGATATGAATCAGGCCGAAGACCCTGATGTCTGCGCTGGAGTCATTGCTGGCGAAGGACCCTCCGTTCACTACTCTCTCAAAAACCTCAAAATAGGCTCCCACACTGCCAACACCTTTTGTGCAAGCCTGGTGGGCTTATGCAAGTATCCAAAAGTTCGAGAGTATGACTTGGCTTTCCCTGCTCCCAAACCGTCAGCCGGTCGACCTCCACCAAGCGGTGAGCCCCCAATCAAGGTAGTCCATTTCAGCGATACGCATGTCGACCTTGCCTACGAAATTGGTTCCAACTACGCCTGTTCCAAGCCTATATGCTGCAGGACCTACGAGGAAAATGATGCGCCAGGCAACACTTCTTCCCCCTGCGGACCTTGGGGAAACCCTCGCTGCGATCCTCCGCATCGGCTTCAAGAAAGCATGAACGCTGCAATCGCAGATCTCAACCCCTCCTTCTCAATCTACACGGGAGATGTAGTAGCCCACGATGTATGGCTGGACGACAAGTCTGAAGTTCTCGAGAACTTCAATGCTACATACGGCGCAATGAAAGATAGTCTCGGTAAAGTCTACGCTGCACTAGGAAACCACGATTCCGCACCCCTCAATCTCTTCCCATCATCCAAAGTTCCCAGTAGCTACAGCCCACAGTGGGCCTACGATGCCCTAACAACAAATTGGATTGCCCTCACAGGTCTACCATCCATTAAATCGGCAGACGAGTACGGATCATACTCAGTTCTCCACCCAAACAGCAACCTACGAATAATCTCTTACAACAGCATCTTCTACTACAAATACAATTTCTTCGCCTATAACGAGCCAATGGAGTACGATCCTAACAGCCAACTGAAATGGCTCATCAATGAGCTTCAAGCGGCCGAAAGTGCTTCCGAGCGCGTCTGGCTCATCTCCCACATCCCATACGGGAACTCTGATCATTTCCACGATCATTCACACTATTTCGACCAGATCGTCCAACGTTACGATGCAACTATAGCCGCCTTATTCTTCGGCCATACACATCTAGACGAGTTCCAGGTCTCATACTCGGATTATAACAACCAAACCTGGGATACGGCTACAGCTATGGGCTATATCGCTCCGTCAATGACACCTACCTCCGGCCCTCCTTCTTTCCGCGTCTACGATATCGACCCCGTCACCTTCGGCGTACTAGACTTCACACAGTTTATCGCTGATATCGATGCGCCGGAACAAAAATCCCCGGAATGGGTGCCTTACTACTCTGCAAAAGAAGCTTATGGATCTAAGCTTGCGTCGCCTGTTACCGATCCGATTTCAGAGCTCTCACCGGCATTTTGGCACAATGTTACCGTGGCTATGGAGAATGATCCCACAGTTTTCGGTGATTTCTGGGCAAGACGGACGAGAGGGTATAAGGTTCCCAGTTGCACTGGAGATTGCATCAGTGGTGAGATCTGTGCTTTGAGGGGAGCTGATGCGCAATACAACTGCTATGTGCAAAAAGTGGGATTTAGCTTCGAGAAGCGGGGTGGCCAGGGTGTGGGTGCTCGGGAGAGAGTGCTGCCTGAGTGTAACCATGCTGGGATGGCGCCTTTGTTGGCGAAGATTGCTCAGCGTGCATCTATCGCTAGGGAACTGGAGAAGCACTGATACAACTACAACAGCACGGTGTTCATTCTTTAAGAGTCTAGCTTTACATTTGAGCTAGCATGAGGTTGATAGTGATACATATATACCAGTATACATTCAATCATAACCCGAGCCCGACAATCCCTGACGATCAATCATCGCAACGAAATCATCATCCATCATGAACTCCCCCAGTTCCATACCAAAAGGCGAGAAATCAAAGTCGGTAGGTTGTAAAACTTCACGACTGATAGCCAAAGACGGCAAAGAAGGAGTCGGGCCCTCAGTATCTAAATGAAGGTTATCAATCATGCATCATTCAAGAATAGCGCGCACGCGTGTATAGAAGCTTACCAGGATTCGCCAAGACGTTATTAAAATGTTCCAAGAATGACCTACACCGATCGATCAATCGATTCCCATTATCGAGTTTGGAAAGAGCTGCAATCGCGCGAGCGGGGTACTCTTTCAGATCTCTCGCTTCGTTGAGCATTGACGAGCCAGTAAGGCTTGTATCGCGGTATACCCAAATGGCGCCGAGAATCACCAATGCGGCATTGAAAGCTGGTATTTTATTAGTTAAGCAAAGTTGGAGAGGTGGGAATGGAGATGAAAATGGAGATGGAGAGGCTTACTGTAATAAAGCGAATACCAATATGCACCTAACAAGCTTTGTTTCCACATCGGATCGGAAACAGCTTGAAAGATGATATTGATTATCTCCATTGCTGACATCGTGCATATAGCCATACTATTCATTCCGATGCGCTGCAAAAGTTTCAAATCCTCGGGATCCCGATCCGGCGCTCGGCTTGCAGTGATGAATTTGACGAGAACGGGTCTGTGTAGTAGGACTCGGAGGTTAAGGTAGCGTAATGTCAAGATTACACGGAATTTCCAGGAAAAGGATTTAGTGCCGGAGATCTTTTCATGGGACATCTCGTCTAGGTGAGCTTTTGTGATTAGCTGCAATGATGCGGGAAGTGATCCTTCCCAGGAGAACAGATTTTGCTCTATGCTGAAGACGTGGGAGACAGTTTCGCTGACGGATAACGGGTCTTCGCAGCCGATGTTTTGGCCGTACAGAGAGTCGAGGACGTTCCAGAGATTTTTGTATAAGGTACTTGATTGACCTTTTAGTAATAGAAGTCAATTTCGGTTGCGGTGTAACTTACATGGTCGAATTGAAGAAAGAGACGCTTAGACTGGATGTCTCGGCATCCACAAGAGCTGATGATGACTCAAATTGGTGCGTCGAAGGCAAGTCCAGCTTCACATAGCTATCCGGGATGGCAGCCGGTCGTCCAAAGGTCATGCTCAGAGTTCTATAAAGTTAGCGCCGATCATCATGCAATTGTATTCTTCTCACCTATCCAACATAACACAGCAGTACCAAGTACGCTTCCGAAACTCCTGTTCTAAGGGATCAAATGTTCGAGATGCGTGTTGAGAGTGAAGCCCAAGCTGCAAGGCACCTTTCACTGCCAATCCATGAACATTCCATACCTGCACAGACTTCTGAGTACCTTGTAGGTATTGACCCGCCAAAAGATGAAATTGAACTATATAAGGCTTGGTAAGAAAAATTCACTCGACGTTTATCTGCCAGTCTCGTGAGACTTACCAAGTTCCAATGTGGTACCACGCCACAGCTCACCACCACAAAGCCCAAGACCACGCTGGTAGAAAACATCTGACTGGGCAATCCGCGTATCCGCACTGGCACCATTTGACTCAGCAGTGATAGTAGCCATAGCCAAGATCATATTTAATAGACCAAGCCAGCTTTTTCTAACCCCGGAAAAGTTCTCTCGTGCCATGCGGTGGTAGGTCGCCAAGAACGTCGGTGGATAGATATATGGGTAGAGTAAGCCAGTCTCCGAGAAATAAAGATTTATCAAAGCCAGCGTCTCCGATTGAGGAGGCAATGCAAAAACATTGACCTTCTCCTGCGCGGCTTGGCGCAGTGTTGATGATGGTTTTGATACGCTTACGAAACCACCATCCGCAGCACCAGGGGACAAGGAGTATCCTTTCTGCACTACGGCACTGGACAAGTGTCTCAAGAAAGCGATGTTAGAAGATGGACCTGGCGTCATCAGTATTGCTCTCATCTCGCTACATGAAGGACAGGCACGACCATACCGAAAAATCCAGAATCCTCTTCATCAGCAAAAGAGATCGCCCCCATCGCATCGACAGAATCCTCCGATCCAATCAGGTCAGATACCTGGATGGCACTTCGCACCTCCCCACGAACCTCCCTATCACGCACCTCGGGCACCCGATCGACACGAACAGTCAACCCATCAACATCACTTCTCACATTCCTGAAAGACTCTTCAAGCCTCTTTACCCGGTCTTCTAAACCATGCAAATACTCTTTTTGTACTATCACGTTCGTCGCCGTAGCCGGAGGCGTATACATACATTCGAAGCCCAGATCGACGCACAGCGAGCAGCGAGGCCGCACGCCGTCGCACCGGGATTTCCGGGACCGACATGCATCACAGGCGACTGCTACGCGGCGCCTTTTTGACACTCGTCCCTCTGTGGGGTTTGGCTCTTCTGATGGGGCCATTGATGTTTCTTGATAATATAGTGTAGTTGGACAAGGTCAATCGGGTCGGGGAACGGTCGGGTAGGCTTCTGGCTGGCGCGGGTAGATCGGAAGGGATGTTACGGGGGCTGGATAGCGACATGTAGCTCAAATGGCTTTTTACGTATTGGTACTGTATTTACCTTACTTTTGTATGTACTTTCGATCGCTTTTCCCACTGCTTTTACCAAATAGATACAGGGAAGTTGTACTCCGTATATATGACCACATCACACCTTAAGCTGCACCTCGTTGTCCCTCCGCTAACTAGTGTAGTTGGGAACCCCCTGTTACTTGTTATTACGGGATAGACCGGAAGAGGTTTTTCCGACCTGTATTATGACACCCGGTTTTCAGTACACGGGTATGCTGGGCACGGGTAGTATATCTAGCAGCTCGAAGATAGTATTGAATAACACGCTTCTACACCTCTCTTATGCTACATATTTAGGTGCTACCATGGATACCCTATATACCCTGCGGTTTCTTGTGTTGTTATGTTGCACGGCTAGATCGACCCGCACATCCTCGAGTGTGCTGCCCTTCGAGCGTTCCCCTCTTTATATGGTGATCGACGTAGGGGGTAGTGACTGGAGGCAAGAAAGAGGGGTGGTTTAAAAGACCTTGCTAATCTTACGTTATACGAGTCGAAAAATTATCGATGCTATACCTAAATTTTCTCATGCATAGATCATGGTTGGTCTCTCTATTCGCGCCGCTGCAAAGATGCAGGGGTACATAGACAGTAGACTATTCAACATCCCTTTTACAGATCGAAACTGCTATTGGGGTATATGCATATCTTGCTAATGACGAGGTGAAACTAAGGATGCAACGAATTATCTATCATGTTCGTCAGCAGCTTGCACTCACAGACGCGGCCTTGAAAGATGAGTACCCTGGTGAGAAGTTCGGTCTGGCTCTTGCATGGGATGAATATCTGCTTGATCTTCTCAATCATATCCAGAACAAGTCAACACTGTTTATTGAAACTTGGCTCACTCGGATTGCGGCTATGGCTGTGGCAAAAGAGGACAAAGATAATGCAAATCTGATTAAGTCTATTTGCACAGCCCTTCGGGCACAGGCTGACCGCATAATCATGCTTGGTGAGACGGAACATGTCAATGGATATACTGGGGTGGCTGATGGAGATAGCGATGATATGGAAATTGATGATGATGATGACGCTATGGAGATCGATTAGTATCTAGACTGGTAAGTGTGAGAAGAGAGCAGAGATCCCAGTTATATCATAAGCAATTCGATCAGTGTCCTATTCTTACTGTGCTTGTTTATGCTTAATCTGACGTGATTTAATACCAAGTGTTTTACCAAATATAGTAAGGGAAGATTGAAAAACAAGGAAACGAGCCATAGCCTGACTACCCCCTAGTTTTATGGTCTTTTCTAGGGACAATGCTTATATTCTCATTAACGCAGAAAACACTTAATCTAAGGGTTGTCTTGAGGCGGACGATCGCGTGTCAGCGTACCAAGTGGAGGTAAATCTGTAATAAACCATGCCCGGGCTCCAAGGAGTTCACTGCGATCATTTGCACTTGCTGCATCAAGTAACATAGCAGGTGATAGACCTGAGCGATCTTTGATCTCTTTTCTTGCCCCGGCTTCGAGTAAAAGGCGAACCATCACCTCGTTGTCCTTTATTACAGCGTCTAACAAAGGTGTTTGGGAAAGCGGGTGCGCAATTATGTCTGGATTGATCCGCTTATCCGTAAGTAGAATCTTGACCAGCTCCTCTTCATTTGTCTTAACTGCGATATGTAACGGAGTAAGATCGGAAAAGCGACTCTCCGCAAAGATAGCGTTAGGATCAACGTTTTTCCGGTTCACAAGAAGACGAACTAAGTCAAGATCTTTATTTCGGATAGCGCTATGAAGAGGGGCTAGTCCATTTTCTCGCGCAAATCCTGCATTAGCACCAGAGGATAGCAGCATCTTCACGATTTCAGTATGGCCGTTTTGTGTAGCGATATTAATCGGAGTTATTTGGCCCAGTGAGTAAACGTTCTTTTTGATATTCGGGTGTGCCAGGAGTGTCGCAACCACGGCTGTATGCCCATATTGACTCGCCGCGATAAGAGGCGTGCATTTTTTCTGGCCTCGAACATTCGGGTCGATACCATAGTCTAAAAGCATTTTCACCGCAGGTAGATTGCCATTTTTCGCTGCTAGAAGCAACGGCTGGTCGGGTTTAACAGGCAATTTAGCGGGACTCTTAGCATCTGTCCAGGCTTGAAGGGCTTTCTGTAGGGCGAAACAATTTCCTGAGCTGGCTGCATGGAGAATTGCTGTTCCGCCTGAGTCTTTTGCATTGCGTAGGTAGAGTTGTGCTACGAGCGTTTGGTATAGACCACGATTGACTTGGACGAAAGAAGCAAGATCTGATTCTTTGTGGATCATATGCCCAATTTGAAGGAGTATCTCTGGTGGAAGTTGCGTTAGAGGCATGATTTCGAGATATAAAAAAGTCGAATGTGGATAAGATACTCGCGGACTAAAGGGGGTGGATCATATTATATAGCTGCTGCCAAGATATGCCCGGGTGGAAGACCCTGTAATATTCTAGTGTAATTACTGGTAATAATGCAGTTTTCCGGCTACAAACCGCTGCTGTAGCTGACGCACTAGTGGCTGGCTCACTTGAGCGAGCGCGCGTATCCACCCGAAATTCGTCTTCTTGGCAACGAACCTTGGAACCAGTTAAAAGGGGGCCGTGATCGCTGCCAGTGTACCTTAAGTCTGGCGAATGAAGGCTCGAGGGACCTGTCTAAGCGGAGAATAATGTCGTCTAGATATACATCGTGTGAGTTGGCGTAGACCTCGGTAAATGGATCAGCGCTTTTCTTCCTTTTTGCCCTTTGACAACTCTTCACAATACAGCAGCCTATCACTCTGTCTTGTCCCTTTCAGTGTACTCATACACTCTTTTGTTTTCTCTCCTCTGATGTCTGACCTGACCAGCTTATGACGCTGATAGTAGCCAATTACCTAGAGCTGATCAGATGCTTAGCTCACTGTTCCTATCCTTAAATGCAGCCTCTGTCAAGGCTTGGTCAGCTTATGATCAAAATCCCGACCAGGGCTTTTGTGTTTCCCTCCGGCGACGTGTTTATGACGTTGGTGCGAGGCAGCAGGGTGCTGAGGGCCATTTGCGACATGCAGGTATAATTGTCGAAAAGGCATGAGCGGCTACTGTTTTGGATAAAGATGTGTGACGTTAGCGAAACATGACCTGGCAGTTCCATTAACTGAGTGATTACTCTCACTAGCCGAGTGTTCTTCATGGGGAGGAAAAACCCCTCTCTCTCTCTATGAGGCGCCGTATCTTGAGCTTAGTACAGTCGTCCTCGAAGTCCCCTTGACCAAAACACACTTTATGACTCTTTTCTGGCCCACCAAGGCCTTATATTAGATTCCATATTGCGCGGGCCGCATTAAGTGGATACCATAAAATGTAGTTTGTATAATACGACACCTTGCCGTGTAACATTATAGGATAAGTACAAAAAGCCAGTAGAATCGCATGGAAAGCTATAATTAGTGGATCTCTGCAGATCATGTGGGCAGAGCCGCCTGGCACTTTGCAACTTGATGACCTGCTGAGTGGCTTCGATTCTCCTTGTCATCCTATGCGGCATGTACAGGTCATCACTTCTGAGGGGCGTCTCTTTGGCTTAGAGGGTCTCATCACGAATGATATCATCGGCAACAAGGTGTCTCGACCAGTTTTCGATTGTTTGCAGGCGAACAACTACAATAACGGCGGCCGATGGCGCAGACATCAACTAATAGTCACTCACCATAAGTATGTCATTACAACAAATCTGGAAATATGGAGCCCAGTCCTCTCATCAGCCATAACGGCGACGGCGTTCAACCGCCTCTCCGTCCGACAGAAGCTGCACTGACATCGACCTAACACTTTCCATCGGTTACGCCTCTCTACAACAGATTGTTTCGTAAAGGGTAGCCTCCCTCTTATCTAAGTCGGTGGTTGGGTGGAAGGTCGGGCATATGACGAGGACCCACCGACGTATATTCACGACTTGATCGAGTTGGAGGTCGCCCTCAATAATAGGACGCTGGCAAAAGATATTTGATATCTATAGTTACATTTCCTTTGATAGATTAAGCGTGCTTCCCATACGTCAGCCAGTCAAGACCCCCTCGGTAGGGCAGAAGTCACTAAAACTGCAAGTTCAAATAGATTACCGATCAGACGTTGTTATGTCCGAAAACCGAAAGCATACATTAACTGTTAGATAAGGCTTCATAAAGCACACAAACTAATATGACTTATCTTTTCCTGTCGCATGGTCGTTCTGTTATATTGCACCGAGGCCCATACAACATTCCATCAGTTCGATATCACAGGAGTGCTTCGATCCCAAGTGCTCTTCTCAACAGCATCCACCAGACAAGCCGCCACACTAGCCCGCGAAATGCCCCCCAGGCCCGCGAAAATACCAAGTCCCTTCCCATCATCGCCAAGGAACTGAACGGGCGCTTTTTTCGCCATGGTCAGTCGCGCTGGCCTCAACAGCACGAAGTTTAAGTCGCTCTTCTTGAGTATCTCGTCGACATAATTGTGGTCCGCAAATGGATACCGAAGGCTGGTGCTGGAGATTGCCCATCTCATCAAGAAAGTGATATTCGCGAGAGAAGATCCAACTCCAAACGAAGATAGTGTCGCAATTTTGGAGACTCCATGCTTTTTCATAGCAGCGATGAGGTTTTCGTGCGTGAGAGATAGGACTCGAGCCCCCTTTTCTTTCGGGGATGAAAGCGTGACGATCACAGCAGTTGGGAGGTCGCCGTGGACTGCGTTGAAAGCGCTTTCAATTTCCGAAGGTTCCACTGGTGTGCCCTTCACGATATTCAGGCCTTCCGTAGCCGGAAGTGCAGAAGGATTACGGATCAAGGCTGTAATCTTGTGGCCGCGCTGCAACGCTTCATCGATGACGAGACGACCAGTCTGTCCACTGCCACCAATGACGAGAATACGCATGATTTGAAGATGCTGCTGCACTGTCGGTAGGATGCTGACTTGGTTCCAGATTGTTATGGGCTGGTTTGAATTGGCACGTGGAACAATGACTGTGGTGAAACTTTCAACTTTGCTTGAGATTAACGGATGATGAACTAGATAATTTGGAACGATATAGATAGTGAGCTTCCACCAGGTCCACGGGTATATATAGCTGCGGGACAAACTCTATCGAAGGGGTCAGGGCTGATTGGACCTAAGCACTGTCTACAACGCGGCCCGCTTCTGCCTAGTAGTGCTTGCTTAGCTACCGCAAGTGACGGGCAAGCTTATGAATCTCGCCATCAACTGTAGTCCTAAACCCGTGGGTCGCATGGCCCGGGTTTTGTCGAGAGTCCGCAAGATTACAAATCCTGTTACGAAAGTGGCATCAAGTTTCGAAGATCCAAGGGCTCAAGGCCTGCTCACCTTCCCGTGGCGCAGGACGACTAGGCTGCTGAGTCAGGGAATCATTACGTAACTACAGTTCCTCTAGAAAATGGCACCGGGCGGCCTCATAATAGACTTTCATGCGATTTCATTGATTTATTCTATACATTCTGTAATTATAGGTTGCCCTGAGACACGGTAACATACAGCGTGCATCTTATTGTATCCCTCAATTCAATGCGGCCCGCTCGATGATGGATTTGCGCTAACACCTTAGCGGCGGATAAAAGGTACATATCTCATGACCTCCAGGACTTTTCAGAAACAGGTCAGGAAGTTTTATATTAAAATTTTGTTCACAATACGGATACAGTCATCCTCAAAATCGACTTGACCAACACTTCCTTAGTAATTCTTTTCTGGCCCCACGACTACGGACCTGGCGAACACCAATCATTTAGCGGACCTTCTTGAAGCTTATCGATGGACGTAGAAAATGCACTCGTAAAGTACCGTATTTTGTACGAGCCTCCGGTGGAATTCCACGGAAGCGTCTATTTGAGCCCCGCAATTCAGTCCTTGAACCATCGGGTTCAACACTCCTCCTCAACTTGCAAGGCGTTCATACCCTCTACCAGTCAATACTCCTAGTAGGTGTATTTATTTTTTAGACTTAAAGAGTAATTTAAACGGATGAAACCATCGGCGAACCGCTTGTCTTAACTAAGGTCCAGTGAGCGAACAACAGCCTTTCGGCAGCCGATGGCGTAGGCCTCAACTAAAGATCAGTAATAACCAATTTTTCGTATAGTAGGCCCAGAAATGGGGTCCAGTCCTTTCAATAGCCACAATGGCTATCGTATTCTAGAGATCTGCGTGACCGATACACACTGACTAACTATTCCCTGACACGCTAGTCCGCATATAGTAATTATATCGATCCCTTCAGGTGTTGCACGAGTTCGGAATCCTCTCAGATATCCTTCAAGCCTTTAGGGCTAAAGTCTCTTATTTTAATGACTTCAATGTGGTAAGTAAGAACTTGGCCGGCGGAAAATGGTGGCAGTGAGAGTGGGGACAAGTGGTTTCAAACCTATACCACGCCACAGTACGTGGGTATCTGACTCGCTTGTGAAAACACATTATACCATACACGTACTGGCACAACGCCATCAACAGCATAACGTAAATAACATAGACTAGAACATAACTCGTCAGGTAATGGGTAAGGGGACGGCGTCCCCCACTACACTTAGGTGAACGCCGACCTCTTTCCTTTAGCAACACAGATTCTTCAATTTCATCACCAGTAAGGGCCCGCAAAAATGGACGACGAGGTGTTATACCCCCTTGTCTGCATACGGTTCATTCCACATTATGTAATAGAGACCCCATGCATCCTGTATTCTCATCTGATTAAATCTATAGATCCTGACTCATATTATCGTCACGGCCTACCGAAGAAGCTTCTTTTCACCGCACTACCTCTACGTCCTTGAAGATGACGACAACATCGAAGGCGACGCAACAAGCGCCATGGACACGCACTATGAATACGACACATCTACGTTCCACGGGAGGACTATTGATGATATTATTTGTCTTTTTCGAGAAAGGGTTACCGGAAAGAAAGTAGCAACGAACGTGCTCTACATTGCGGACGACCAGACGATCAGGGATCACAGCTTGCTCCTGGTTCAGATTCAGCCTAAAGAGAAGGATGAACCCTTTCTCAGTGTCCGACTCGCATGTGAATTCGTAAACCTAATGGCGAGATCTATCTCATGTCCCGAATACCGAGGTTCAATCCAGGATATTCAGAACGAGGTCGATGACGATGGCGTGTATCGGGGTGGGAAAAAAAACCCTTACACATACTGTGGGACACGGACTCTATACCTAGATAAACAAGATGCGTTGGAATAAGTCATTGAACTGGGAGCCCTAGTTGAAGACTCCTTTAAATACTTATCGCAGAAATAATGGCACTGTCAGCCCGTATATGTGGGCGGGTCCGGTATTGTTACCACTTAATCAATTGTCACACCCATACTTGACTACTGTATCATTGATTTTCAATGCAAGCCACGGTATTGTAATAATGACCCACCCATCGTTATCAAGGAATACAATACGGTTTAACAGAAATCAGGAGGGTGTGGCTGAAATTAGACTAGCGTGTTTTAGGCTAGGGTTCAGGGATGAAAGTCAAGAGTATAGGTAAGACTGATTTCGAATAGTACTGTACAAACAAAGGTCTATCAACGCGACACCCTTTTGTGTAGTTTGAAAGACGAGCTGTCCCTAGAATATAACATTGGTGCTGACGGATGACAAATTGAAATCAAAGTGTCAAAAGCACCATATCACAATGTTTTGTTTATCGCGTTTCCTTGCAATCAAGCGATGTCCATGCAGGTCATTATACCAAAATATACCCCCGGATGACTACTTACAGCTCAAAGTCCCTCAAAGATGAAACTAACCCTTGCCAGCGCGTGTCATGACAAATGTGCCTAATTCATTATTCCGAAGCCGTCCTGTGCATGCTCTGACGTATCCTAGAATCAAGGGTTCTCTGCCTTAAAGGCAGCGAAGCGAGCCCTGGTCGCAGCTAGATTTGCCGTACTGTCAAGCTGGTACCCTTGCGCTTCCGCTAGTTTGTCTTGGTACAAACTTTTAATATCTTCACAGATCCCCCAGATCCGCCTGCGGTTCACAATTCCAGGGATGTAATCAACCGTCTTTTTGTTGTATCGACTCTTTTCCTCAAGTTCACTGAACATTTTAGAGACTTTGGCCTCCATCGCCTGTGATTTGAACGGATTTATATCACGAACTTCCCAAAGCCAAGGCATGTCAGTTTCCAATCTTTGTTTCCAAGATGCGTATGGACAAGCATGCATTGAATATGATGCAGCCTTGATAGCAAAGACGGATGCAATTGGAAGGATTTCGAATATATTCTGACGCAACTCAAATGGTAGCTTGTCGAATATATCATATCTGTTCTGTACAGACGCTGATTTGGACATTTTCTTCTCCACGTCCACAACGAGTTCTTCTTCTGCAATTGAATTCAGGTGAATCGCTAGCTGGGGTATATTGACGGGATGCGTCACCAGGACCTATTTTGAATCTTTAAGCCAGGTACCACTTCTTTTGTTTGCAGGGATGAGTTACCTCTTCGCCCTTGTGGCATTCCCAATATTGTTCAAACGGCGGGAAGGGTTCACCGTAGTCCAGTGCCAACACGTTATGTAGGTCTTGTCTCATCTCTTCGCAGAGAGCATAGAGCACATCTCCGTTTATCTTCTCATTCTTGAAACATCGGAGAAGAATTTCCTTGTAGCAGACTTCATGAAAAGGGAAGACAATAGGAGACTCCTGGGAGTAATCATGGTATCTAGAGAAGATTAATACCTTATCAGAACAAGAGTAATTGGAACATACGTGGAAAAGTAGGACACTCTGCCTCTTTCATCAAGGGGAACGTTAGGGTCTACTTTAAGGTCAGACACGATTTAAGGCGTAGTAGTGCAGGTTTATACAAACCCTCGCCTTGAGCTACATCGATAGAAGCCTAGAGGTGCTTGTTAGGATGCTCAGCTCTTAGTCACGATCACGTAATGACTCACGGCATCGTCATAAGTCCCAAAGCCTGTGATGAAAGATCTATACCTATTAGGACATGATTTGGATTCATGAGACAGATATATTACTAACTTGGTTTCCCCAGGGACATTAGGATTGATACCAAGAGCGCAGAGCGTGTCTAGCCACTTAATATCGCTCTGTCCAATGACTTCCCCACTGTACGTTAAATCGGTCTCGTCGTCTGAATCAATAGAGACGTCGCTTCGGAACGTCGAGCCACATATTGCGCAATACACATCCCAACCGCCCATATTCGAGGTGGACTGACAACAGAAATCGAGGAATCTTTGAAGTGTTGATTGCTTCTCGTGTCAATTTGCAATAAATAGTTGTCTGAAGATATAGGCTGCCATCAAAAATAGGCAGACATAAGATTTTTTCTAACTCACAATGGCTTAGTGTGTGCGGTACCTCGTATTCCGGGACACTGCGACTACCCACGTGACCGCCAAAGAGCTGTAGCATAAACAAGTACAACCATGATCATGTTCTATGCTTACAACAATATTCGAATTCAATTTACCTGTGAATTGATTCTCGGATAATGGATCCCAAGTGCGCTCATTCATTTCCAGGTCACCTCTCTGCAAAATCTTAGATAATTAACATAGCTGAAATCACATGTGAGCATAGCGATACCGGAATGAATGACATGATGGTATCCTCAATCATCAAGCTTTTCAACGTCAGCCTCATTCTCTACAAGAAACTTCTGTCCACCCGGAACCAGATCAGTGATCCCAGGAATAGCATTTTCGTAGTAAAATTGGAACTCAGACGGGGTGCATAGCTCCTTTCCAACAGACCCCGCTCTTTCAACAGTGACTCCGTGCTTTGTCATCTTCTCCGAACTTTTCACCCTCTCTCCAACCAACCATCGTTCGTCTATGGTTCCGATATAAAGATCTAATGTGTCTTTCTTATCTTCTGACCTCCATATCAGAGAGGTACCGCAGTTCACGCAAAATCCTCGGAAACGACGAGGCGATGATGAGTATTCTTTGTACATAGAGAATGATGATAAAGGGGGAACGATTTGTTCAGGTGCAATAACGATGAATTGAGTGAAAAGGCTGGCAGTCCATTTTCGGCACATTGTACATTGGCAACTTGCGGACTGTTATGACTGTGACTTAGAAAATCTCAAGCTTGGCATGAGGTGGATTGATCTCCCTTGGGGACGTACCGGTGGCGGCCATGGAGCGGTCCCGTCAAAGACGATCTCATAATTGATTGACTGACATAGACAACCCCCTGATATCTTCTCTGGCTTGACGCTGCCTTGAGTCATCTTATCTTTATGGGATAGCCGAATATATCGAAAAGAGCGTACAGATTCTCGTGGCGACCAAAGAAATGGGGAAGCTGGCCATTAATTGAGGGGCAGCGGAGAAGAGTACATTAGGCCGTATAAGAAAAAACTCAAAGATATAACTATGAGTCACGAGGTAGTTTTGTGTACATTATTTTGGTATAAAATACAGGGACCATCCTAGGAAGCGGTCTAGAAAGCGGCCCGGGGGAATCAATTATTTATCCTCCCTGGACCTGTTCGTTTCGGAATTATTTATCGCGGTGTTAGTCTCGAGATACGGTGGTATAGACGATTTCGAAAAATACTGCATGCGCACAGCACACCCATCTTCAGTCAGTCCTCGAGTGCCCAAGCAATAGTACTTCTTTGGTGTCATGTAGATCCGCTGCTTTGGGTATTCTGGTGATTGGATACTTTTCACATTATTTTCCCAACAATATTCTCAATAGCTCGCAACAACAGCAGACCAAAATGCAAGACCAGTGAGTATAGAGCCAGTTACTGTCAGGGCAAAGGGTGTCAAGCTGATATATACAGGTGCAGCCGCGGCCATGCAGGTCAAAGCCAAACCAACGGTAGATAGTCCAAAAGTCAAAGCCACTGCAATATCTTTTACTATTTTATGTTTCTTGACCCATGCTTTGAGGTAACCTCTTTTCACTTCATTTTTGGTTCGACGGTCCTTCAGACAACAGAAGAAAAAAGCGAACGAAATCACGAGAGATAGAAACTAAGATGTTATTGATCAATAAGCTAACATTGCCTCCAAGCAAAGCGGGACTAGAAGTAGAGCGACTCACGAAAAAGGCGAGCAGTGAAAGGGCAATCTGCCAGTCGTGCAATTTCTCTGGCTGTTTATTAGAGAGGAGAACAGCGTCAGTAATTTTGATATGTCTGTGCTCGCCATATCAATATCGCCTCACATAAGTGAACCTTGGCACTGCCATCAAATCTATCATTATGAAATGGATGCGCACTTACTGTTCGGGAATCCATGTTCGGATTTATATTGATAGACTTAGAGAAGTGGAGGTCGAGATTCGAAGGTTTCAGATCTTCAAATGGCTCCGTTCAGCAGTCATTACTAGGAATTTGATACATCGCGACTGCCATCTTACATGAACATGAATCAAAAGTTTGATCAGTCTCATGGGTATCTTTAATAAGTTGTATGACTGTAGAGCGAACGATGGTAAGCTGCTCTTGCTTCATCACTCAGTTTCCAAATTTCTCGAGTGATGAGATCAACCTTCGTTGCTTCGTTAGCTATTGGTCAAAACTGCTATGGCCCATAGTTGACGTGCTGGAAGCCTAGGTTGATACTGCTAAGTGGTAGGCGGTCACTTGATTTCTTTTTAAGATTAGCGGGGTAACATTCGAATTTGAGATTCGTTGCCTGAACCGAACGAATAAAAGCTGAAACAGATACCATGATAGTGATTTAGTTTTTCCTTCTAACGGTAGTAGAAAAGTATAATTACGCTGGCCTACAATAAGCCGTCATATAATACGAGGAGATACGAACGCGGCGTTGAACATTATTGGAGTAGTAATCGGCGGTGTGGAAATGCCGTAGGAACCATTTTGACGGTCAGCAATATGGTTGGCAATAGGTCTCGTCCGGTCTACTGCATGTAAAGGTTCCAGGCGCTAATCTAAAACTAGACTGCATAGCTTTACCAAGGTAGAGTTCGTTTCCCAGACTTCACTTTCCACTCGTCGCCACCGATTTGAATTATATACTGTGTTTCCGATAATGGGGGTTATCTCTTACACAATTTTACTCCTTTTTTCTTGAAACTAATCTCAAGAAACGCTGAGCTCTCTTTTTGTCTATAACAATATGACGCTTTTCCGTAGAGTGCCCGATACTTTAGATGTTTACAGTACTATACAATGACTCATTAAGCGCTGAAGTCTATTATTAACATTTCAAGACCTATGGTTGAGCAGGTTTATAGATAGACAAATTGAGTACAGACTGGAGCTGTCTCAGATACGGAGCAAGAGAAAAAGCGTGCGCGTGCAAACGGAAATATATTTTCGAATTTAGCTGTAGTATGCTTTCTATCTGAAACTCCATAATCAAGCAATATGCAAGATCCCCGGACCAACCGAAAGCTTCTCTCAGCCCTGCTACGCCCGTCTGCATTGTTGTGGTGCATGTTGGGAATGCGAATGAGGAGATTGCTCTACGCGCTGACCCCACACTTCCACGGGACCTTGATAAGGTGCGGGGTCGTTGAATTTGCTGAAGAAATGGCTGCATCGGACATAAGATATTTGAAACAATGAATTTTCAAAGGGAAAGAAAGTTTAAAAGGATTTTAAGGACGAGCGAACTAACAAGTGAGGTTCTTCGTATCCAGTGCTTACAGTAGTATTCGAAATTGAATTTACCTTCACATTCTTATACTTTAATTCTCGAACTCCAAGTAAAACCTAATAAATTAGATTATTATTGCCGACGATCTTTAAATGCTTATCATAGAAATATATACAATAGTGGACGGGGCTTTGCCGCTGTGTAACTTTCGCGAAGCTGCATTCGCATTTATTGTGGTGTCCCGGCTGCGCAGCTCGCTTATCGTTTACCCAGAAACTTGGCACGCAGGTTCGCCCCTAAACTAGTCTTCAACTCCACAAAGTGCGCCACGAATATCCAATTTTGGAGTACACATATTCCGTAAGACTTGTAGTCCGTGATAGGTTAGAGGTGATGGGTCCTTTGTTAGCGCTGGGTAAATTCATAAGCCTCTCACCGATACCTCTTATTCAGCTCAGCCGCAACGCCCACATATACTTATGACGTCGGCGAATTTTCATTATATAAAGACCTTGCCTTTAGCGATTATCCTAGTCTCGAAAATTATACAGTAGATTATCAGTTGTCACATCAAAATGCCCACGGTATGTATTCAACGACAACAATCATGTATAGGTGAATATGCATTTTGTTCAAGGGGTCGCTGATATTTTTTATGCTTCTCAAGACACTCATCCGGTTTTTAAATGATACTTTCTTGGAGTACCAAGATGAAATTACTCGGTGAATCATATACGCCATAGTATATTCTTGCAGTCATGCTAATCATCAATTCAGTATCCTCGCAGAAGCCGGGTTTGAAGAAGGGTCTTATATAAGTACCCGCAGTTTTCCTCCGATTTGGATGATACATGAGTAAATTTGCCTTGACTTCAAGAGGGTTCTCAGGACATGAGCTGACTTATCAGTGCCCTCGATGCCGATGTCCTTAGCAAGTTGAACGCATATGATTGTGTGAATGCTGAGGTCAGAGAGGATTAGATCTAGCTGCATTACTCAGTGGAAACCAGCCCGTTCTTCTGAGCCTTATGACTCTATCGCATTCAGATCCATTCACCTATTATCAAAGAGAGAGTATAGGCGAGGAGCGCATTGCGTATATAGTCATGCATGTACGTTGGATTGTCTTACCCCTCTCAAGATAGCACATAGAGAGCAGAGACAATGGAATTGAATTAGACAAACTTATTTCATACTATATCTAGCTGTATAAGATAAATGAAGCTTTCAGAGATATGACTGGCGAGCGAAGACGAGAGCTGCGCTGCATGCGGGAAGGGTGAGGTGAAAGAGACAACTTGTGGCTGACGGGAGTATAGAGGAGCTACAGCAGGCGATCTTGCTAGATTTCCACATCGATAAGGCCAGTTCCCGATAGGAACCTGGATGTCCCCATGTATCATTCATTACTATGTTACAACGATGGCCCGCTGAATACAACTATAGTCAAGATGACAGCCTTGCCAAAGTTTAGAGTTGGTGAGCCAATCAGGTTAGCCAATCAGGTTAGCGTCATCCGGAAATATTTTCCCGGAGGTAAATTGTAAGCCGGCGGTTAGTTTGATTTCGAATACTGAATCGAAGATACATACACGTTTTACGAATACATGAAATCAAATAATGAAATACTTTTTTGTTTGAATGTTTTTGTATTTGTATTTGTCTATGTAAGACAAAACTGGTATCAAGTCTCAAATGGTAAAAGGTTGAGAAAAAGGTTTCGTAAATCGTGTCGGCTCGCAAAAATGGGAAAGAACCAGCAAAACCCATATATGCAAATGAATGTGCCAACGGTCTCGTACAAGACATCTTTTTCAGAGAATGTTCACCCTTGATCTGTGGCACGGCCACAAGATCAGGAAAAAAGAATGGGTTAAAAATGGGGGGTTAAAAGAAGTGAAAAAGAAAGTGGTGTGAAAGAATGAAAAATGAAATGCAAGGGAAGGAGACAATTATGCTTTCACACAATATCTGTATCCCTTCCAGAGATTTGTGCAGGTCTCGTCCAATCCAGAATTCCAGCTAATGAACTCGGACGCAGTGATGCCGTATTGGCTTTCGACTTTTTCGCAGTAGTCGCCTGCTACTACTGCATGGTACTCCGTGCAAGACGAAGATGCGTATGGGTAGATAGGGATGGCTGATGCAGATGCAGAGGCAGATGCGGACGCGCTAGGGGTCGCACTAGGGACAGTGGTGGGGACAACGGCGGCTGTGGGGATCACGGCAACAGTAGTGGGGACTGCAGCTGCGGTGGTGGTTGCCTCGGCGGTCGGGGTAGCAGCTACGGGGGTCTCAGTGGGAGTGACAGTGGCGACGGGGGTAGTGGTGGAGACCACGGTGGGCTCTGGCACGGTGCTCGAGGTAGAAGTGGAAGTGGCGACGGCGGAGGCTGAGGCTGAAGTAGAGCTTCCAGAGCTGCTACTGCTGCCTGTCCAGCTAGTACCGGTCAAATCGCCGATGGTATCAGCGTCACAGCTGCTTGTGCCGGAAGACCAGCCCAAGAGGCGGTTGGCGACGTCGGAGCAATAGCAGGCAGTGGCACCACCCTGGCCGAGGTTGCCGTCCGAGGCGACGGAGCCGGAGTTGTAGACACGAGCGGTCTTGTAGTAGTCGGTGGCGGTGGAGCCGCCCTCCTCGGCGAGGATCTGCTTGAGACCGTCACCCTCGGAGGTACCTTCGACACCGTCGACAATCATCTGGTGGATCTCGCTGTATGGGCAGGGGTTCTGAACGGTACCATCCTTGTTGCAGGAACCGGTTCCGTCGTGGCTTTGCATGAGACCGGGGTTGACGACACCGTTGTCGGTGGTTTGGACACGGACACAGCCGTTGGACTCCTGCATAACGATGGCCAGAATGAAACGAGCGTCGACACCGCTGGAGGAAGCAACTGCTTCAATGGCCTTCTTCACGTTGGCGTTCTCGTCGTCGGAGTTGTCTGTCTCACCGAATTGAGCACAGCTCGAGGACATGACATCCAAGTTGGACTCAAACATATCGTCAAAGGTGGAGATCCACTCGGTGATCGAGGGCCACCCATCAGACACCAAACCATCACCACCAAAAACTGCTTCGTAAAGATCGGAACTGCGTTCACTGAGGGAAGGACTGGACTCTGCGGTTGCAGACTTCTTGTAGAGATAGGATGCTATCGGCGCCCCAGAAATGAGGGGGAGGCTGCCGGCAGCCAAAAGCTATTCGAGTGTTCATTAGTATAGAGATCGTCAGGTAAATAGATCGGCAGAACACATACGAATGGAAGGATGAACATGTTTGCTGAAAAAGGAGTGCCCAGCACAACAAAAAAAAAAAAAGAGAGAGAAGAAGACTTGCTTGCTCAATCCATCGAGGAGAGCGAGGATACAGTATATGTACCCTGTGCAGTGGAGAAGAAACTCAGAGGTCCACCGCAAGGTACCAACCTGGATGGAGAGGACCACAAAACGGGCCAATCACGGGGCGACGGGAACCTTGCGGCGCAGGAGGTGAAACAGCCTAAAGGACCCATTCACTGGAACGGGGTGGCCTGTGAAAGGTAACGATGGACGGAGCCATCGCTAGTTTCAGGTGAGGGATCATTAAGGCGGAGACATGGTCTTGCATCGGTGCGCTATGTTACGGGTCATGATTGGTGAATGGAGTTGATCTTTCCTCACGCCCTCAGCTAAGGCCACCACCAATAATACTGCGCCCTCGGTGGTTCCGTGTGATTTTTACACTTTTCCTCGTTCCTTTCATTGTATCATGTTTTTCTCGAATTATCGGGTTACATTTCCAGACAATTAAAGTAAATTAAGGGGAAGCTCCCTATTCATTCGAGTAATATTCCTTTCATTACATCTCGGTAAAAATTGATTAATCGAACTCCTCATCTCTCTTTCACTCTAAACCCCGAGATACGAGTGGCTTGATTTCTTGGCTTTGAAGTTCGGTGGGGCTCCCCTTTCTCTAAGCCTCCATGTGGGCATTCCCATCGAGGGCTGGAAACCCTTGAACTCGGCCCCAGTGAATCAAGTGACATAATGTCCTCGGCGAAAATATTGAGCTGACGAGTCCCCTAGTGAAAGTAGTATCCGATCATAAAAGCGCCCCAAACTAGTCTCAAGGCTGATCCTTCGGACTCCGCAGATTGGTCCCAGTAAACGGTATTGTCATCTCGGAGATCGCGCGCGTATGCGACCCGATCACAAGAGTTCCCTTACCCGAGGCCAAGTCTGGGCTTTGTGATTTGCCTTCACGTAGCATTGTGGCTTTTTTGTTCTTCTCCATCAGTGACGCGAGAGAATACCGAATAGGAAGGATTGTTTCTCGTGCGTTGGTCCCAGCGTCTAACTGTGGGGCCCGCGGCCCAAGCGAAGTCGCAGGAGATGTAGCACAAGGAATTGATCAGATTGGTCACAGTAACTCTGCAGATTCGATAATCCTTGTATGCTAGCTATGTCAAAGTCTTTGTCCAAGGATTGGTGAAAGTGTTCGGACAACCCATGTCCTCAAGTATAGGGGATTGTCGAATTGATAGATACACCGCTTCTTCTCGATCGGCAAATGCTACCTGTATCACGTCGGGATAGATTCCACTTTTTCCCTAGGAGAACTCTGGTCCTGGTCGTGGAGTGGATATGCGTGATGATAGGACAAACGAAAAGTAGTCTCATCAGAGGGTGAAGAGACTCGCTAGAAAACACTGGATATATTGTTCTAAAACATGACTCACCCAAAAATGGGAGTCGGTGGCGAAAGCTCAGTGGATTTGAGATTATAGCATGCCTTAGAATGGTACCTCACTGACTTGAATCTCAGAATGTGTATCGTATCAGCTATTGTCACAGATTCAGCATCTATACCAATGGAGAATGCAACAATGTTGCATTCTAAGGGGCAACAGATTTTCAATTCAATAGTTGCATATTTTTAACGCCTCTCCTAACGCTCCTAAAGATCAATCCTAGCCTACACTTTTCCCTATTCCAGGATGTTTAAGCTATAGACGGAGGGATAGCATATCGCAAGCCTTACCACTTCACTGAAATGTCAGCCCACATGAGCTCTTTTACCTGGAGCAAGGCGCCTGTCTGATCGATGTAACCAAGACCAGCCTATCAGACCCAACCTGAAAATTTTTCGCTCAACGTTAGGGCAGTTGATTCTCTGCTAACTGCGCTGACTAAATATATTCTCATCTTTCTCCAGATCATGTGGCATGAATGGTGTCTACCACCAGTCCTCATCTCCAGGTGACAAAAGCCAAGTAAAACAGTACTCTAAATCGAGCAGGCAGCCCACAAACACACAGAGCCGCTACAAGGGAGCGTTTTCCCAAATATTTACGGTAAATATGTATACGAAAGGACATGTGAATTCAAAAATCCAACCTTGGAATCAGAACATGTCACCAAATTCTTATCATGACCATAAGATCTCCGGCTGGGGCCCCGGGTCACATTCTCCGCGCTGCATCTTATGCGCCGATCATGCAACCAGCGTCGAACTTCAATGACGGGTCATATTACAAACGCCGCGGCGGTGGGCTGATGACGTCTTGTTTTGGCATTACGAGGTGCAGATTGATGCGGGAGGGATTGGCGGTTCAATGTGCATACTTGACGGGTCAGTAAACTCCACATCTAATGAAGCGGGAGAGAAAACCTTATGCGTGGCTTGCTGCCAACAATACTTGGCGTTCTTGAGATCCAGGGACAGGTTGGTTGCCTTCTTTCCCGTGTTCGGTCGGGTGGCCTTGTGCGTTCATGCACCAGGTATGGGGTAGCGGTTAGGAGGATCAGCAGGGTTTGGAGGTGTCAGTCATTCCATTGGAGTTCTTAGCTACCAGATCTTTGCTTATTCTAGTATAATTGTGGGTTACCACATTATCATCTCTGCTTAATCCTGGGCCTGTGTACGGCCGGTAAGAAAAGTAACTTCCCCAATAAACCCAAATCTCCGGCTGCTGACGCGGCATGGAATCTTCGTTTCTCCTATAGCGACACGGCCGTTTCCACAATGGCTGTCCCACGAACATATCACGCTTTCTACTTGCGACCTGTCGGGAAAGATCCAAAAGTGGTCTACGAGGACTGTTAGGGTCGAAGACTGGCTTCTTCAATACATTCATTACAGTGTCCTTTGTCCAAATCAGATCTCTTTCTTTGGGGGTGCAGGTCTGGGATTAGTTGGTATCAATGTCAGATCCCGTCTCCTAGTTTTCTCTTTTGCGTAGTAATTCGGTTCTAATGTAGTCCGCGCAGCAAAAGACGCCTTAATATAGCTCAATAAATAGGAAAAAAGCCATGGTCAGGTCCCTTTTCCCTAACATGTCTTTTCTTCTTAGTCTACTCATAGATATATATGTTATACCTCTTTTAACAAGAACATCCAAATTATCAGCTTCAAGAGGTCCTGAGCAATGAAAGGCTCTTTTCTGTCATTATTCGCTAGGTAAATGGCATCATCCATCCCAACTGTGATATTACATGTGTCCAAGTAGCTGAGTGTCGTGATGAGGCCTTGGATGTCCCGTCAGCGCTCAAATCTCTGTTCTTCCATATCGCTTCGACTGCAGACATGGTGGAAGGGACATTGCTGATAGGCTTTTTGTGCTTGAGGACTGTGAAGAACTCGAGAATCTTTACTCGTCCTTCCTCCTGAACAACACAGCTGGCGATAAAAAGCGGCCACATTGGATAAGGTATGAAACAAAGCAGGGCACCTTGTGCCTGATGAATTTGCTCGAGGGCATCGATTATCCTAGGGAGATGGACGCTTTGAATAATGTCACTCTGATAAGGCTCGTCATTGATTGCATGGTGCAGGTAGATCCAAGTCGCCTCTTCAAAAGCGGTAGAATGTAGCTTTATTAATTGGGTGTTGTCTGAATTCTCATGATTTGTAATACAGCTAAGTCGCTGTTGTATGGTCGCGAATATCTGTCTGGTGTCATCAAACTGGCGGCCTGGTATACTTCGTCTCCGGGCGTGGTCACTGATGCAGGAAATTATGTCTAGCAATTCCAGAGACAATCCCATACAGGGGTTCACTCTCATGCGACCATGACCTGCAAGAAAAGGGAATCCAAAAGGTACCTCGGTTGACCCGTCGAGACCGTCAAGATATTTTCCTTCCTCGATACTGGGCATTGTCGTGCTAGTATTGAGAAATGTAATTTTCTCAATGAAAAACGTATAGACCAACTCCAGAACCTCTTGGCTGAAAATTTCTCTTCGAGGTATGGAGGTGCAGCTATCCATGTAGAATTTCATAATCTTGAAAGCACCTTTCATATGGTATGTCCACTCCACAACACTTCCACTGGCAATCTCCAGGAGACAATGAAACATCATGAGAAGAAGAAGACTGTCTCGTTCACATCGGGTCCGGACTGGAGATCCTGACTGATCGCTGCAGCTTTGGGGTAACATGTCTTGAAGGTATTTGAGAGACCGACATTTGTGCGTAAGAATCATCTGATCGTAATGACACACATCACGATCCTCGCACTGATTACGAAGGGAGTGTGCGGCCCACGCGATGGCAATATGTAGAAGGCCATCTGATTGGAAACACATGGGAAGGAGAACTGATCGCCATGGGTTCTCAGAGTCTATCAAAGATCTTCGTATGGTGCAGATGTCACTAACTTCGGAAAAATCAGCATAAAAAGCAAGTAAAAAGCGACGAAAAACCAACAATACTGAAAGAGATAATGATCAACCTCCTCCAGAGGAGGTTGCTGTGACAAAATCAGGGGAATGTCATTATGGGCAAGACTCCCGGCACCTATTATTTGAGGGATCATATCATAACTAGCCTGTCGTAAACTGGGGTAGCCCTCGTAGAGCAAATGGATGTCCTCCGATGTCGTGGTAAGCCAGTACCGAGTAGCATGAAAGTTTGCGGGAACAAAATAATATGAGGCTGTGGACTCGATATGTTGCTTCGCGAATCGATGTTTCAAGCCGGATCTACCAAAAGCAATGCCCATTGCTTGGGCTTCGTCTTTCCATAGCAGACGGATGCCATAATGGCACTGCTGTTTACGCTTGAGACACTCCTTGCAGACTGGTTTGTCTTCTGTGCCATAAATATTTAGCTCTTGCCTTAAGCTCCCCAGTCACACAGATTTTCGTTAAGCATACCAGTACATCTTCGGCGTCTCTCTGTGGCATGTTAGCGGGAAACCCCCAACGATAACAAGTGATTCGATCTAACATACTCACTTTTACAGTTCCAGCATCCTGAGCGTGTTCGTCGGATGCTGGATTTTGAAGAGTCCTCCATCATTCTGTCAGGTCGTGGATCTGTCAGTGCCTTGAACCTCAAAAAGCAGAGGAATGAAAATAGAAGTTTATCGGAATTACTCCCCCGAGGACATCTAACTATTGGCCTTTCTTAGGTCAGATAAAAGAGGGGGTAATGTGTCTCAATGTGGAGAGCCTTATCAACCCCAAGCTGTCGGAGCGATTGTGTTCGCTGATTGGAGGGTAAGAGCGGGGATGTTCCGGGACAGCATAGATGCTGGATAATTGACCAGCTATGCATCGCCTTTTATATTTCTATCGAAGTACCAAAACACACATATGACAGTATAGAGATACGATAACAAGAATGTTTGCATAGTGTGGCGCTTCTTTCTCTATCCGGAATTATGACAGTCTGACAAGACCTAAATTTGCCTATGTGGAGTCGCTTGCTTCTGCACGAAATCGTCGCAGAAGCAACAGTCTGTATGTAGGTAGGCTCTCTAGTAGGCTCCCAGGTAGGTTTTTATCGAAGACGTCTTTCACCTACAGTAAGCTGGTTGGGCCACCCCAGCCGGGTAAATAATTCAGATCCCTAGCCACTTCCTGGTGAGGATTCGTTGAATAGTCTCCAAGCTTAACACCTGGTCTCCATTTCCACTTTTGAGCAATTTCAGGGCTCAGTGTGTCTTCCATCATTTCAACAATGTACTTCCCTAGCACCGGGAGGAATTTGAATCCATGTGCGGACCCTCCAATGGCAATCTTTAGGTTTTTGTGGGTGGGATGTGGTGTGATCAGGAAATTGTAATCTGGCATGTCACCATCCCTAGAGAACTATCAGGAAAAGGCCCACGAAAATATGTCAAGCTGGAAACTCACCAGCAAATCCGAGTTTCAATCCATTCTCGGGAGGCCAGCTCAGGTACACAACCTGCCATCCATTTACGAAGACGAGCTTCGATTTCAGCAGGTATGCCATCCTGAGGATTGTCGGAGCGGTAACGTGGAAGAGAAGATCCGTTGAAAGACTTGGCATAGTTGGTGACGAAATGAATCGCACCAATCTTCATGATGCCGTCTTCTTGAGGTGGGAAAAGAATTCCTAGTAGGCTTAGTGATTTTCTCGAGTAGAACTGGCAATTTTCACTTACCTCCTTCCAAATGGTCCAGGATAGGCATGCTTTTATATTTCTCAACCTCGTCAGGAGTCAACTGAATATGGCCCACAGTATGACCGTGAGCCACGATCTGTCCTTGCAGATCTAAGAGACTTCCTGCTGCCGCTCCTGCTGCAAGCAAGATCTTGCCACCAAAGTATGCCTTGCCATCAGCACATTTCACCCCGATACATGTCTGATGCTCATCGTACAGAAGCTGCGTCGCGTGCCCCGAGCTACCCGAAATATACTTCACTCCAGCTGCCATCGCCTCTTTAGCCATTCTGACAATGGCTTCCCTTGCATTCACCCAGGCTGCATTCGGACTCCAATATGATTTCCATCCTTGAAAGTCACCATTCATTGCGGGCCATTGCTGGTGAATCTCTTGGGTCGAAACCAGTCGTGGTGGCTCAACTCCGTTGGCATTTGCGCTCTTGATTGATTCATCGACAAAGGCTTGGGAACGATCACTGGTCCCAATGATCCAACCACTGGGGTTGTAAAGTCCAGCAAACAAGCCATTTGGATCGCACCATATGTCTCGTGAATCTGATGCTAGCCTGGTGTACAGATACTCGGGATACTCTGTGCGAACAACCTTATTTATGTCATTACCAGCTGCTTCTGCTGACGGCACAGGGAACCGATCAAGGACAATAACATCCTTGTATCCTTTCTTGGCCAAGTGGTAGGCTGTGGTTGTGCCAAAGGTTCCACCTCCGACAATGATGATCGGTTCAGAGAGCTGGGAGGGAATCATTGCGAGAGATCCAATTATGTTGCGAAATTGCCTGCTGGACAAATCTACGGTACTGCGGACATCTTGGGCTTATTATACTCCGTTTCGTCAGCCTTTTTGAAAGGCCCATGAAACATCAGATACCCACAGGTCAATGGCAAGTCGATGCGCAACATCCCAGGATAACATTGGTGGGGTATGTCAGTCTCTGCCTAATCTGTACTAGCGAAGATTCCAGCCTTATAGTAGACCATTGATAAAGCTCCAATCACACCAATGGATTTTCAGAGAGATAACTCGGCCGACCCACTTTGAGATAGCACTTGCTTACAATCCAATCATAGCACGACCAGGAAGGGAGTAGGACAATTGAAGAGTTGGGGTAATTTCAAAATGGCGCATCGACCTGCCCTCATTCTGGCGTTATCTTGGCATCGTCTATCAAGGTCTTCACATTGTATGAATACACGGTATAACTTCCTATCATAGTGACTCGTTATCAAGATGCTCGTAGTGAGTATAAATATCTCGGCCCTTGCTCATGCTAAACCCCGTCGTCACGGTTATCAGTGTATCCAACTGCACATCCTGCAAGATACATGCGCGCCGACTTGCTCTGAACAATGTCGCTTTTGGAAGACACGAAAAAAGATGCCATTTCTAGCACCCAATCACCGGTTGATACAAACAGCGACGATAACATAGGAGAAATAGTTCCACTGCAGAACAATGCTGGGTTCCACCGTACTTTCACACCCAGACAAATACACGTATGCAATCTAACATCGTCATATTTCCGTTTCGAACATATTGATCCCAGATCCCCATCTAACAAGTAGCAGGTCATCTCTCTTGGAGGCCAAATTGGAGCTGGTCTTTTCATTTCGACTGGTGCGAACCTACGGGATGGTGGCCCTGGTTCCCTTTTCCTCGGCTTCGCAGTTGTATGCTCGTGCGTATGGGCAGTCCTGCAGACAGTCAGTGAGATGACAATCAGTTTTCCCACTTCCGGTAATTTCATCGACTACGCCGATCGCTTTGTTGATCCAGCTGTGGCCTTTGCGGCTGGCTTTTCGATGTGGATCGGCTGGACAGCTATCATCGCTTCCGAGGCGACATTCTTTTCTGTGATTGTTAACTACTGGGCGAAAGAGTCTGTTCCCGAAGCAGTCTGGTGTATGTTACCTCTTATGCAAAGTTGCTTCCGCTCTACTGAAAGTGTCTTTAACCTTGACCATCCAGTGACGGTCTTCCTTATTGTGATGTTGATCATTTTCAGCTTGCCAAATGTCGTGTTTGGGTGGTTCGAGTACTTCACCTCCATAATGAAAATTTTGGTTCTGATTATATTCATCATCGTCGGTGTCGCACTTGTATTTGGAGCCGGTCCAAATGGCACCATGCACCATGGCCAAACATGGCAGAATGGAGAAGCGTTTTTGAATGGATTCAAAGGGTTTGGCAATAGCATCCTACTAGCCATTCTCGCAATAGGAGGTATATATTTGTCCATTTCGTGAAATTTCCCCAACTTCATGCAGACACTCACGATCGATCCAGATAATACGTTTACTGGTTTCCTTGCTGGAGAATCCAAGAGCCCTCGGTTCTCCGTCGCCCACGCAGTATCGCTAATCCCGATTCGAGTCTCTTTCTGCTATCTGGCCTCCGTAGTTTTGATCGGCATCCTGGTTTCTCCTGACAACACGAACCTGCTAGGAAGCAGTGGCGTGGCTGCATCGCCATTTGTCATTGCCATCGAGCAGGCTGGCATCAAAGGCCTTCCAGACTTGCTTAATGTGATAATTCTTTTTGCAGTAGCAGCTATTGCTGCAGAGAGCTTCTTCATCGCCTCGCGAATTCTACAATCGATGGCTCATCAAGGGTTGATCTGGGCTTCTTTAGCGAAGGTCGACTCACGCGGACGCCCTCGAGTATCTCTGGCCATCACAGGTGCTCTTTGCATTACTCTCACATATATCAACCTGAGTGGAGAAGGTACTACTGTGTTCAACTGGCTGTCCCAAATCGCTAGCACTGGGTTCTTCATGGTGTGGGTTGTCATATCCATTACGTCGTTTCGCTTCCGGGCGGCTCTCAAGGCTCAAAACGATCCACTCTTCGCGCAGACATACGCTTGGAAATGCAGCATGTGGCCTTTTCCTCCCATTTGGCTTTTGACCTGTTGTTGCTTTTATATCGCATGCTCTCTATACCTTGCTTTATACCCCATTGTAAGAATCGTTATCAACTGATTATGATTGATTCTCAGAGTGACTTACGATTTATAGGGCTCAAACACGCCAACCGCATACTATTTCTTCCAATACATGTTTGGTTTGGTTCTGATTGTGTTGAGCACCATTGCCTACAAAGTCATATATCGCACCAAACTCCGAGACCTCCGAACAGTGGATTTGCAAACAGGAAGGAGGACTCTTGGTACAGATGAGATCCTGGAGTTAGATGACTATGAGCGGATGCCTCAATGGAGGAAGCTTATGGGTTTTATACAATTGTGGTAGTCCAAACTGTGTAAGGTGAGAAGGCGTAGTGGATGAGCTCTTTAATGTAAACAAAGGGACAAGATCGATATGTTGAGTACGAGGCCCTATGAATAGAAAGGTACTTTCAACTATGACTACATGTCCGTATGTATACTTTCAGACGCTTGAGTTAATTCGAATGCTACTTGGTCTGGACCAAAATCTGTACCAGCTAAATGTGGGGTTTACAAGTGGAGCAGCGCAGCTGTGTCGTGTCGGCTACCCCGAGTACCTTTGCAGCTGGATACATCGACCCATCAATCATACTTGATACATAAAAACATAGATCCAAAACTTTCAAGGTTGTTAATCATACCCAGAATAGCAGTCAAAATTCAAATTGACTTTTGAAATGGCTCAGCAGAAGGTTGTGGCTTAATTCAGGTACAGATTTTCAGGGGGATCATCTCGGGCTATGCAACAGGCACCAGCAAACAAGAGGCCCCGAGCGTTGGGTTAATACGATGTGATTGGTTAAAAGTCGATTGTGAGACTTGCGCCATCCCTTTCCTACAGTCCCATCAAAGACGCATTACGGAGTGCAGAAGACACATACGACCTCGGGAAGAGGCGAAGTTTAGACATGTCTCACTGGAGTATGGGCAGTTGCCTGGGCGGAACTACGAATTGTAAATTGTCAAAAATACCAAGAAATTTGATTCACTTGGACTAGAGAAATCTCAAAATTCAATTTCATAGACCGTGAAGGTGTAATGCGACAATTTTGTGCTCATTCAACATGATCATCGTAGATATCATGACACTCCCACACATCAAGATGCTTGTATCCACTGCTAAGAACAATGAACAAAGTATCATAGACGGCATTGCTAGCATGCGCTTGGGGAGGCAGAGTGTTTTTTCGTTTCGTTTTTGTTAAGAGATTGGGCAGATCACTGGTAGGTAATATTGTCACGCAGGCTCGGAAGAAGAAGAAGTCTATCAACATGAATCAAAAAAGGTGATGAAAGCAGCCCACTAGGGGCGCATTTCAAATGAAGTTCCATAAGGGAGTGTTGGAAAGAAGAGAAAAAAGGGCCCAGTCTGTTATTTCACCGAGACAGATCAAAGGAAAGATGACTGTCTGAGGTGCAACGGCAGATGGGAAAGAAATGGGTAAAATGATCATCGAGACCAGGGGAGAGATGTGACATATTGAAATCTACCAGAGATTTCCCATTCCCACGCCCGCGATCTACGCGTTCGTAAGGTTTTTTTTCGTTTAGTTGATGTACCAGGTAGCGCCGGAGATACGACCAGCTGACAGGGAGTCGAAGGCCTCGAAGAAGGCGCGCGACAGATCGACGGAGGTGTCGTCACAGCCCATGCACTTGTCGACAACGGTACCGGTCTTGGTGACACCGCCGTAGCTGATGGTAACAGTCTTACCACAGTCGGAGTCAGTCATGATGCCGACAGGCAGGGCGAGAACCAGCTCGGTCAGACCATCGTTGGTGGTGCCACAGGAGCTAGGGTTGCTGGCAGAGGTGGCAGTGTCGTAGTAGGTCATCTGTCCGGTGCAGGGGGAGCTCTCGGAGCAGGAGCCGCTGTAGTCGGAGGAGCTGGTGGAGGCAGAGGTAGCGACAGCAGCAGCAGTGGAGGTCGAAGTAGGCTCAGCGGAAGTGGTAGCCTCAACAACGGGGGCAGCAGAGGTAGTGGGCTCAACAACGGCAGCGGCAGAAGTAGTGGCCTCGACAACGGGAGCAGCAGAAGTAGTGGGCTCGACGACAGCGGCAGCGACAGTGGTAGGCTGCTCGGTAGTCTCGGGAGCAGGAGCCGGAGTGACAGTAGAGCTGGTGCTGGTCGAGGTAGTGTGAGCCTGGCGGTATTCCTCGGGCTTAGACTTCTCGGTGGGAGCAGTCTCGGCAGCGGCGGAGGTGGTCACTGGGACCACAGTCGCGGTAGCGACGAACTCCTGGGGGTAGACGGTGGTGGTGATATCGACAGTGGTCCAGACAATGTCGGTGACAGTTTCCCACACAACAGCGCGCTTCTCGATAGGAGCAGCGACACCAGCCATAGCAAAGAGAGCGCCAGCAAGGGCAAGAGTCTTAGAGATCGGGGCCATGTTGGCGAATTTGGAAGGAATGAAGATTCTTGAAAGAAGGTTTAAAAAGGACTGAAGACTGCACAGCAGTTGAATCACTCAAAAGAACGAGAGTGAGGAAATCGAGACGAATCGCAAAGGAATGGCGAGTTGGAGAAAGAGAAAGTGGAAGGAAGGCAAAAGGCTTTAATAAAACCCTCGTTATACAGTACAGTCATCAGTGGAAATCTAAACCCTCGACCCACTTTCCAACTTTCCCATGGATCGGACTCAAGCCACAATTCCCCTGGATTTTCAGACCCAAATTCACCCCCAAAATTCACCCACCAGGATTTACTGCTCACAGGTACCGGATACCACGGAGCTCACATACCGGTACCTGATTGGCATTGAGTTGCGCCAACAGGGGTGTGATCTGTGCCACCGTTTTTTCTCCTGACCCTAAACCACTTATGGGTCCGGGCGGCTGAATGAGCCGATCCAGCCCAACACCAATTACAAAGTTCCCCCACTTGGTTCCTGACTTTGAAAGATGGGGATTCGGCTCTTGGCTCTGGCTCTGGATTTTGAACCGTCTTTAGGAAAGTTTACCAGAAAGACCAGACACAAAAAGGCCCAGCTTCGTTCTCCACCCTACGACTCATGCCCCTGACAGGTCGTATTGGCTGTACAAACAGCGGGTCTCTCCGCCATCATCCAATTGGACGCGATGAGACACGGCGATATTTCAGTATGTACTCCGTCCAGCTGAACAATCTGACTGGGCCACGAATAACGCCCAACGCACACCCTACACAACAGGGACCTGTACACTCATACGCAACTTCAAATCCCCGTTCATTCCACCTGAACTCGCTTCTCATCACCATCACTAATTCCAGTGGGGCCTCACAAGTGTGGCTTACGCCATGAACCCCTCCAAGTACCCTGAAACCGCAGGATCGATCCAACCCTCCAGCCTACAGGTTGACTGATGCGTCTCCGGAGTACGGACTACGGACTAATTAACAGAGCCATTGGTCAGTACTTGTACCATGCAACATTGTATCTCTAACATAACTGCAGTCGTGACTCCGACATCATCCCGCCCTACCCACGTCAAGTAGCGGGTACACTAACAAGCCTTGGAATCCGTCCTGGCATTACAATAGGTTCCCAGATCGGTGATGTGAAACGATTCCGATCTCCATAGAATTCTAGACCGAACTGGGGTCCCTGTCAGCCAATAAATGACGTGCTGGTCGCCTTACGGCCCCGTCGGTAACGGTGACTGGTGGGCATCCGCTTAGCAGTTTTTTCTCGCTTGGTCCGGTTTGGTTTTTCTGACCAGTCGCCGTTACTCCACTCTGCCGACGATCACCCCAGAATGAGAGGCAGGACCATGGTCTGTCAACCGGCAATTACTGAGTATCTGTGCGGGAATAAAAATTTGATGGTTGTATGTACTGTAGGCTGGGCTAGAATAGAGGAGTGCTTTTCTGTGCAAAATAGTTCATTGTGTTCGATCGGTTGATTCAAGGAACGTAGAGTGGAGGTGTATTATATCTGACGGTCAATGGCGACTTCATTTTCTCCAATCCACGTTCTTGCCATGTGCGATGTGTGATGTGATATGAACGAGCCGAACTCGTGGCGTCAAATCGAATCCCGGTCGTTTCGGTTTCAGATGTGATTGCGAATACCTACTTTCAATCCAATGACTTTGAGAAGTATGAGTTCTTTGAGATCTTACTATTTCCGTAGTGTGCCCGAGTCTCAGCATGGATAAAAGCGCAAACAGGTACATTCAGTTGGAGTTCGTTCCTTGAAAACCGATGTTGCATCAGGAACCCGTGGACCGATTCCAATTTTGTGGGTCGTTTCACGTTTATCCGTTCTATGGTTCGGGTGGGAAAGAACCCTTCGATCCATTCTTTTCTTCTTCTTTGACTTTTCAAGGTAATATGTCATCGCCGGAATTGGAATGGCTATCCGTTGAGCCGGCTTGTTCGGAGAATTTCCGAGGCTGGTCGCTCTGGTGGAGGCGAAGGCGAAGGACCCGTTACAGATTCGAATACAGTACGTAGTGAACGAACTGAATCTACGGCGAATACTGGCATGTGATAAAGATAGGACGTCATTGAATGAAGAACGTAAATATGAAAGAAACAGACTAGAAACGCCAGAGAAAACCTCCAAAGACAAAAGGAAAAAAAACCATCAGACTCATCATATAGGTACATAAATCACACACGGTGTGGCGTTGCATGGGAAATCAGAGAAAACAAGAACATTACATCATGGGAGGGTAGTTTAGCCCTGGCACATGAGGCAAGCCTCTTTGTTCTCGATGCTGCACTGGAGAACAGCGTCGGAGAAGATGTCGCCCTGGGGGCCATCAGTCTCCGCGGCCTCCTCAACAGGGGCAGCCTCATTGGCGGGAACAGCCTCGACGGGTGCAGGAGCAGCAACAACGGGCTCAGGAACAACAGTGCGGGGGCTCTCCTGGCGAGGAGCGCTGACGGCCTCAGGGCCGCTAGCACGAGGCACAGCGGAGTAAGAGGAGACAGTACCACCGACACGCTTCTTAGAGCGGGCAATGTTGGTGTCCTCAACCTTCAGCGCCTCCTGGTCAACGGTGAACTGGATGGGGGCGGAAGCGGCCATGGTACGCAGGTAGTACATGCCGGTCTTGAGACCCATCTTCCAGCCAGCGAAGTGCATGCTGGTGATCTTGCCCATGGTAGGCTCCTTCATGTGGATGTTGAGAGACTGGGACTGATCGATGAAAGCACCACGGTCGGCGGCCATCTGCAGGATGTTACGCTGGGAGATCTCCCACACGGTCTTGTAAAGAGCCTTGATGTCGGCGGGGATATTGGGGATGTTCTGGACGGAACCACCATCGGCGATAATACGGTTCTTCATGTTGTCGGACCACAGGCCAAGGTCGACCAGATCCTTCAGGAGCCAGGGGTTGACAACCTGGAACTCACCAGCCAAGACACGGCGAGAGTAAATGTTGGAAGTGTAGGGCTCGAAGCACTCGTTGAAGCCCAGGATCTGACTGGTACTGGCAGTAGGCATAGGAGCAACCAGCAGACTGTTCCGAACACCAGTCTCAGCGATGGTGGCCTTCAGGGAAGCCCAGTCCCAGAGATCAGTGGGGGTACGGTCCCACATGTCGTACTGCAGGATACCCTGCGAGACAGGAGAGCCGGGGTAGGTCTCGTAGGGACCGAGCTTCTTGGCGATCTCAGCAGAGGCAGTCAGAGCACCGTGGTAGATGGTCTCGAAGATCTGGATGTTCAGCTGCTTGGCCTCAGGAGAGTCGAAGGGCAAACGCAGGGCAAGGAAAGCATCAGCCAGACCGTTGACACCAAGAGCGATGGGACGGTGACGGAAGTTGCTCTTCTTAGCCTCGGGAACGGGGTAGTAGTTGATGTCAATGATCTTGTTCAGGTTGCGGACCAGGACCTGGACGACCTCGTGCAGTTTGCCGAAGTCGTATTCGCCACGAGCGGCATCAACAAAGGTGGGCAGAGCCAGAGAAGCCAAGTTGCAGACAGCGACCTCATCGGGTGCGCTGTATTCGATGATCTCAGTGCATAGGTTGGAGCTGCGGATGGTACCCAGGTTCTTCTGGTTGCTCTTCTTGTTGCAAGCATCCTTGTAGAGCATGAAGGGGTTACCGGTCTCAGTCTGAGCCTCAAGAATGGCGTACCACAGCTTTTGGGCCTTCATGGTCTGGCGACCACGGCCCTCGCGCTCATACTTCTCGTAAAGAGCATCGAATTCGTCACCGTAGACATCAGCGAGACCAGGGGCCTCGTTGGGGCAGAACAGAGTCCAGTCACCGTTGGACTCAACACGCTTCATGAACAGATCTGGGGTCCACAGAGCGTAGAAAAGGTCACGAGCACGAACCTCCTCCTTGCCGTGGTTCTTGCGCAGGTCCAAGAACTCGAAGACATCGGCGTGCCAGGGCTCGAGGTAGATGGCGAAGGCACCAGGGCGCTTGTTACCACCCTGGTCGACGTAGCGAGCGGTGTTGTTGAACACCCGGAGCATAGGAACGATACCATTGGAGGAACCGTTAGTGCCAGCAATGTAGGAACCAGTAGCACGGATACGGTGAACGTTAAGACCGATACCACCAGCGGTCTTGGAGATCATGGCACAGGTCTTCAGGGTGTCGTAGATACCCTCAATGCTGTCACCGCTTATATCGACCAGGAAGCAAGAAGCCAACTGGGGCTGTGGGGTACCGGCGTTGAAGAGGGTGGGAGAAGCGTGGGTGAAGTACTTCTGGGACATCAAGTGGTAGGTCTCAATAGCCTTCTCGATATCCTCACCGTGGATACCCACGGAGACACGCATCAACAGGTGTTGAGGACGCTCAGCAACCTTGCCATCGACCCGCAGCAGATATGAACGCTCCAGAGTCTTGAAACCGAAGTAGTTGTAGTTGAAGTCACGGTCGTAGACAATAGCAGAGTTGAGCTCATCGGCATGCTTCATGACAATCTCATAAGTCTCTTTGGAAATCATGGGGGCGGGCTTGTTGTTCTTGGGGTTGACATAGTGGTAGAGATCTGAGATGGCCATGGAGAACTGCTTCTTGGTCTGCTTGTGGAGGTTGGAAACGGCAATACGAGCGGCCAGGATGGCATAGTCGGGATGTGTGACGGTCATGTACGCCGCGGTCTCGGCAGCCTGAACAAAAGCAATCAGTAAGAGAAAATTTCCTTTAGGGGCAGCAACAGCAGTGGGGTCATACCAAGTTGTCCAGCTCAATGGTGTTCACACCCTGGTAGACACCAGAGATAACTTTTTGGGTGATAGCAGCAGCATCGACATGCTCGGGGTCGAGGCCGTAACACAGTCTCGAAACACGGGCAGTGATCTTATCGAACTGCACGCGTTCCTTACGTCCATCTATGAGAATTCAGTCAGTGTCTGTGTTTGACGTCGGTGGCAAGACTGGGTGTCAGTCCCATATGCAATGGGGATGATCTGCCCCGCGTCTCGAGGCAAAAAGCTTCATCTTCGGTGATTGCACGTACCTCTCTTGTAGACGAACATTTTGGCGGGATGAGTGAAAGGGGGTTGCAAAAGAAGAAGAATAAAGCACAGTGGGTATTATTGAAGATGTGCAAGCAACAGAGAATATTAGAGATTGGGGGGGGGAGGAGGAGTGTTTTGGAGGGGATTAGGAGTAGAGGGGGAGATGGGAAGAAAGAAAGATGGACCAGAGGGGGAGGATATTTGATGTCGCCAGGGCAGACGCGTTTTTTCGCGCATGGCGTCTCCTAGCAGCAGCTTCTGAGTAATTATTATGTGGGGCAAAGAGTTTGGATTGGTAAGCTTCGTACACCGTATGTTTCAGCGGGGTTGAAGATAGGGATAGCGAGAGGTTATTCTGGCATATACTTGGTTGGAATACTGTAAGATGATGAAGATCCCGGGATTAAGCTGTGCTAACTCCATACAGACTTTTCACATTCCAATTAGACTACATATGATCAAGTTAGGGGGATTCTCATAGTGATCTACTTATCGGCAGCAGAATCTACCTTATAACTTCCCAAACCTCGGTCGTGCAGCCTTGAGCAGTGATCCAATCATATGCATAGCTCATTCCGAAGCGTCTCTGGTTGAATTGACCTCTTGACACCCGAGAAATGCCTTCAAGAGCCTATAGAAAGTTTAGTTGTAGATTAGGAATGTAAGTTTTCATGTACTGCATTTACCACGCTAACCTATTATAGGAAAGAAGTGGTCCATTTAGGAAACCCGAGTTATGGATCGTGATGGTCACGTGTTTACGTGTCTGGGCTCCGTCCGATGCTCGGAAGGTTGTCGCGCATGGCATCGGCATTGCGGTGACCGAGCGGAGTCTAGCATTCCGGGCTCAGGCAACACTCCGATATCATTAGGCTACAATGCGCATCTACTGGTCCCCCGCATTGTTGATCCACAAGTTGCCGTGACAGTATGGGCATGGATACACACCGACCTTTACTATCAACCTCCTTACAGCACTCGACTTTGCAGCCGAAGACGTTTTCCGGGCGAATAACCAATGAAGGGGTAAAATTTGGATTAAAACACCAAAAGCATTTGAATTAGCCTTTCTAACATGACAAGCGGTGTGGAAAGTCGATACAAAGTCACATAGGCAAGCAAGTCATCAATGTGTTCGAAATCGCCCCTTTCCGAGAAGTACGTGGTACCTGAGATCAGATCGAACACAGCATATCCAAGCCAATTTATCTATCAATACATCCGAAAGGGTCACACCGCAGAAGCGATCAACCTGTCACTATTGTGAAGTCTCACAGAAGTGCAGCAGCACCGAAGAACACCGCGGCAGCGAAAGCGGTGCTAGAGAGGTGTTGACCGCCCGCAGCGCCAGCAGTGGAAGGCGAAGGGAAGGCCGAAGCGCTGCCGGACGCAGAGCTCGAGCTAGCCTTAGAGGTCGAAGTGCCAGTAGTCTTAGAGCCAGATGTAGAGACAGCAGTGGTGAAACCAGAGGCGGTAGCAGTGGCGCCAGTACCGGTAGCAGTGGTACCAGAAGCGGTGGCAGTGGAGGCGATTACTGTATATCAACATGAGTATAAGGGTCCTAGATATAAACACCGGCCAATCAGATTTCTTAGGGGTCCTTACCAACGCTGTGGCCATTGCTCTTGCAGATGTTGGCGAAGAAGGTCAGGGCAGACTCGGCCTTGGAACCGCAGTTGTCGGAGAGTTTCGACTGGATAGTCTTGGAGCTGCAGATAGTCGCAAGATCGTCGGGGTTGCTCGTGTTATCGCTGCGGATGGTCAGTATCTTGTCATCGAAGGTATGCCACTACTGGTATCTTACCCAATAGTAGAAATGACACAGGCAGGAGTCTGGGTAGCGGAAACGATGTTGGCGAGGGCCACAAAGGCCAAGACGAGAGTAGACTTGAACAGCATGATGCAGGGGAATAAAGTCACAAATTTAAATTGTAAGGGAGAGTTGGTTGGATGGAGATATCGCGCAGCGAATCGAAGGGTAGTAAAGACTGTGGGTAGCAAAAGAGCGACTGTAGAAATGAGTGTAAGTCGAGGACAAAGAGTGACGAAGGAGAGATAAAAGCGGATCTCGAAGCGGAAAGGAGATTGGGAATAATCAGGGTCTGAGTGACCCGTGCTGCTGCAGTTTCGTCCCGCTCTACTGGGAAGTTGATTGACGGTCCCTGTTGTATGGTAATGTAATTAACCCTGATAAAGTACTTGTTTTCCGCATTATTGCAGCGAAGGCACATGTTTGATACCGTAATACCAGTACTAGTGTACACTTCCTCCCCCACGGCCGAGCACCACTATACCTAGAATCGACTAGCGTCAGGGACCGAGGACCCTTGGCCCCAGTCAGCTTCTTCACAGCAAACAGATCAAAATGCATCGTTCTTATACATTGTGCAGGGTGCATATTGCAATGATAGACTCTTCTTGTTTATCTTTTCTTTCCTATTGTCTTGAATTGATACAGATTATCTCTAACCTGAGTGGTGTCGTCAATGTCTCACCCTCCGATCCCAGAAGGGATAAGCCAATGTCTTGGGAACAGTCTATTTTTAAGTTCGAAGTGCTCAATTCTTCTCTGGTAGCCTTTCTTCGACTACGTCAATGGTGTCATTATTGATCTTATATCAGACTGGCGCCCACGTGTGAAATGGAATGTGCTGATACATAGCCGGAGTATGTAGCCATGACCTACGTTCTTTGAGTGACCCAGACATCGATAAGAACAATGAAAATCATGTAAATCATGCGCCAATCTCGGGAGTCACATTAGTACCTAGGTATCACTCTATGCAGCATTATTCTATCATACCGACACAATGCTCTGCAATCTTCACTCCATCATCTGCGCAAAGACTATGACTTCTCCCACGTGGGATCATAGATACTCGAAACCATCTCCTGGATCGGTAGCCTACAATCCACAATCTCTTTCCCATTGACCAAATCATTCTCCCTGACCCTCTTATCAGCCGCCTCCTCGTCCTTCGCAATCCCCGCCTTAACATGCCTCTTAACGAGCCTAGTTCTCGCAACCTCAAAATCAACATCCACAAACCACAACTCATCCATCAGTCCAGCCGCCAGATCCCATGGCCCCTTATTTAGACTTAAATAATTTCCTTCAAAGAAAATTACCCGACAAGACGCCGGGATAGCAATATCATCATCGACAGGATCCTTAATTGCATGATCAAAGCTGGGAGCGTACAGGGCCGTCGAAGACAATGTCAGCGGTTCCCGTAGAGCCTGAACAAGCTCTAGAAATTTCTCTCCGTCAAAAGTGAATGCTGCACCCCGGCGCGCGAATGCGTGGTCCGGGTCTGACATTGCGGATAGCTGGGCTCGGGTGAGGTGGTATCCGTCCATTGGCACTGCGGTAGCGATTGGCGTTGAACTGGGGTTTTCTGAGGCATAGATCTTGTTGATTTGTTGCGTCATCATGTTGGCGAGGGCTGTCTTGCCGGAGCCTGGGATGCCACTGACGGCGATCATTAAGCGGGCATCATCGGGGGTTGAGCGGAACTTTGCTGAGAGGATTGTTAGCAAATTGAGGATGAGATGATGAGGCTTTCATTCGAGATCTAGTTCTGTGACGAATCGAATGGGACCTCGCGCTAGTCTGGTGCTAACAGGGGTTGACTTGGTGACGGGCAGTCCACTTACCCCAGGTCTTCTTGACTAGGTGCTCCACCTGTGGATTCATGATGCAATGGGATTGCAAATCAAGTGTATATATCATAAATGAACGTCGGATATAGCAAGGTCCCGGTGAATGCTTGTGTGTGCTAGGCGCGCAATCTTCAGGCGACTTCGTGTCGTGTCGCGTGCTGTTGAGATGGATGCTTGTAACTGATCACGCTTTGTAGCAATTCCTTCAAATAAGACAGAGATCGTGGGAGTAGTTGTTTTGAAATGAGTGGAGGACGGAAAGGCGTTAATATGTACGGAGTATGAGGTGGGTTAGTCGTCGCTGAGAATCCTACACAATCCCGCGATAACGAATTGGCGGGGCTGTCTATGACTGAGCCGGTGGGGACTGCTGTGCTCCGAGGCCTAACAGACTTACGTCACAAATCATTGGTCCACAATAGACCGCAATTAATTCGACATTTTTGTTGGGAATGGCATACTAAAAAAACAAGATCCGAAATATGAATGCAATGTAGATCTGATATCTCACTAGTCTTTTTAAAGTGCTGATGACATCATGCACGATTTACTTCTAGGGCTGCATTATGTGGCCGTGCGCCTTTATTGGATAAAAAAAAGGACCACAATCGAGGAACACCATCAAATAGGGATGCATGATGAAGTGGTATTCAGGTAAATGACTCGGGTCAATGCCGAGAAAAAAAAAAAAAAAGAAAACAAATTGCCTGTGCAGCTTCGACAGGCTCAAAGCACAGTCAATCAAGTCATGGCAAGGGTCGTCATGAACCAGCGGAGCTGCCAGGCATATTCTTGCGCCATGATAAAACACATCCTGTCCTAGAAAAGAAGCCTCACAGAGGTATGAGCCGGTCCAAAGGAAAACACCTAGAGAAAACACCAAGGAAACACCGGGAAACGACATCATCATAATAGATACTTGTCACATGCAATATGTAATGTACGGGTCAATTGATTAATCGGTACCTTCGTTGCCATTGGCATGAGCGTTGGTGCCGGTACTGAGGCCACGGCCCATGTTGCGCGACAGGCCAGCACCCGCCCACCAGTCGTCCGGAATATCCTCGCGACGGGCAAGTCGGTCCAGAATGGCCTGCATTTGCTGGAGATCCGTATCGCTAGAGGAGTCGAAAGAGAAAGAAATGGTAGGAATGGGAGGGTGGTTGCTCATCGTCGAAGAAAGACCAGCCCCCCGATAGAGTGGAAGCGGGAGACCTGACGCGCCAAAAAGGATGGGTCCGGAGGAATTGTAATTGACAGGTGTATCCTCGTCTTCTGACGAGCTCAGGTCACAAGGGTGAAGCTGATCCGGGTATGGGTCTAGGGCTGTGTGGACAGGGGGCGGAGGCAGTCTTCGAGATTGGCGAGCAGAGTGTCGAGAAGAGGTGTCCGTGGTAGGAGCAGTGGCCGAAGAAAACGATGTGCTAGTGGATGGAAGATGGGAATCTGGAGTAAGTGTAGAAAGCAGAGTTTCCCATGCGGCGTTCGATTCGCGGTCGTCTGGGCTCACGCTTCGCTGCCGATCACCAAGCCCATCCATAATAGGGTCCCGATGGGGTCTTCTTCGCGCGGGCCCGACGATACCGTCCATTGACAGAAATTCGGCGGGGTTATAGGATGGCGGATCATGATTACGACTATCGGTACGGCGGAGAGGAGGGGGTGTGGGAAGATGAGGACCATCCAACGGGCGGGGCGAGATACCGGTACGGTAGGCAGCGGCGGGAGCAAAGTTTGGGGTCAGAGAAGGGCTCGCACGGCGCTCGCCAGTTTGTGGTTGGGAATCAGTGCGACTGAGGAGGTTTTGCAATAAAGCTCGATCCCGGGCGCTTCTCCACCGGGCCAAATGGTCTGGGGGAAGGCTCGTGCTCGGTGGTGGGCGCGCGGCGTTTCGGCCTAAAGCTTCGCGACGACTGGTATCAAGATCTAATCCATCCTCACTAATACCCAAGTTCAGAACAGGAGAGCGTACCCCAATCTGGGGCTCACCCATACCGCGCTGGATCTCATCGAGGATTTGGGAATGAAACGAAGATAGGACGCCGGCACCACGCGCGCGAGCGCTATGGCGCGATGGACGTCGGATCGTTGCTTGACGACGGATCGCAGATCGTGCAGATGCAGAAGAATCTTTTTCCACGGCAGACTTGAAAGCATCTGACTCTGTCGGCTCGCGCCACAGCCTGTAATCATGTCAGTTAACGCGGCGACAAGGTGGCGAGGTGGAACGTGCGATAGCGTCCAGGAGGAGCTAGGAGATTGACTTACGGGATACCCATTTTGGAATGTTTGAACGAACGACAGTGAATTAATAAAATGAAACTTTTGAAAACACGATGTGACGCGACCCCGGAAACAAGGCTGTAGTGGAGATTGGGATGGATCCCGATCGGAAGGGGGAAGATTGCGTTTTTCTGCCGGATGGCTGGATTGTCACGTGGCCCTATCTTTTTATTTATGGTCTCCGCTTTTGATGCGGAGTTTGTGATTAAACGGCTGCCATTGCGGAGGACCATGACGCCGTGAGCTCTTTTTCGCTAGATCATGATAATTGATCTGATTTAATTACCACCATATCCCGGAGGAATGATTGAGTTAGGACTGAGTCGCGTTTCGCGTCTTCTCCAACAGACCCCGCTCACATGGAAGGCCATCCACATTGCGGGGACGAACGGCAAAGGCTCGATCAGCTCCTATCTCTCCCACCTGCTCTCAACTGATGGCGTTCGGTGTGGCCGCTTTACCTCCCCGCACCTGATCGACCGGTGGGACTGTATTACAATCGACGAACGAGTCGTCCAGGAATCCCTCTTTCGACAGATCGAAGACCAGGTTAAACAACGAGACCAAACATTGGGGATTGGAGCGTCCGAATTCGAGCTCTTGACAGCAACAGCCTTTGAGATATTCAATCATGAGCGAGTTGAAGTGGGCGTTGTCGAGGTGGGCATGGGCGGACGCCTAGATGCTACAAATATACTGGGCAATGTGCTGGTGTCGGTCATTGCTAAGATCGGAATGGACCACCAAGCATTTCTGGGCTCGACGATTGAGGAGATTGCCCAAGAAAAGGCCGGCATCCTTAAATCGGGAGTGCCTTGCGTCGTTGATAATACCAACGAGGCAGCCGTGCTGGGGGCCTTGTCAGCCCGCATTGAAGAGCTCGGCATCGATGCAACATTTGTCTCTCCGGACACGGCAGAGGAGCAGCTACCACCGCTTGCGCAGCTATTCCAAAAGCTGGATCTAGAGCGCCACCAGCAAGAAAACATGTGCTGTGCCGTGACAGCATTGCACCTTGCTTTACCTGCAATCCGCCCTGGAGCAGACACCTTTTCCCTGCTCCCGCATCTCGCCAACGTGAAGTGGCCTGGTCGCTTGGAAACCATCAGTCTACAATCTTTGGTTGGCCGTGAAGAACCTGCCCTCCTAGATGGTGCCCATAACCCCCAATCGGCCGACGTTCTGGGAAAGTACGTTGACCGCAAACTCCGACCCCAGTCCGGAAGCGTGACTTGGGTGGTTGCAGCTTCAAGTGGAAAAGACTTGGCTGGAGTTTTTCGCTCCATCATCCGCCCTGGAGACAATGTCGCAACGACTGAGTTTGGACCTGTGGATGGGATGCCTTGGGTGGCACCCACTAATGCAGTGGAGCTGGCATCGACCATCCGCTCTATCCCTGAGATTGGTCAAGTGGACAGTTTTGAAGGAGATCTCATCCCGGCGCTTAAATGGGCCAGCAAGGTAGCTCAGGGTGGACCACTTGTTATTGCAGGCAGCTTGTACTTGATTTCTGATGTGCACCGATTGCTTCGGAAAGCACAAAAATGATACCCTCTGTCTTTGGTTTGGGCGCTATATATCCATGGAACGGCGCGTAGGTACCCACCTAGGTGTCTATGTATATTTGTACGAATCATAGAATGACAATGCAAAGAATATTTCACTTCTAATTGATGAGATAATTTCAATAAATTATGCTTCAACCTTGGAAAGGAATCAGGTTTGTAGAAGAGTGGCGTAGGGCTGATCGGCGGGCAGACGAGCACAGCCGCTGCATGATGCGGCGAGCGGCCTGTGGAGAAGGAAAGTTCAAAACAATCACCAATTTACACCACGACGCTCCCAACGCCGCTATTTGGTCTGGTCACTGTCGCTCTGGTCTGGAGGAGACTCGAGTTATTTTTATATCTGATATCGGTCCTTTTGAATGCGCATCGGCCCCAAGTCCACCTATCCTGCCCGGGAGAGCTTCCCTCCTGTGATGGTCGCTTGGTGAGACCCTCCCCAACACTTGCATACGGACAACACCCTTCACCCCTAACACAATCGTTCGCGACCGGATTGATTCAGACAAGTTAACAATTTGAACTCTCTAGAACCTGCGGACATGAACGCTGAGACTGCTGCCCTCGGCTCCTGCCTTTTTCCTTAGCTTTCACCCCACCCCCGTCAACCTGAAACCACATCCTGAGACTGTCGATCGGATCGAATCCTTCGTACTGGGCCCCAAAGAATACTGGTCTGCGCTGTCATGGTATCTCGCTCCGGCGAAGGGAATGAGGGGCCGCGCCCCCTCACCCCCTCTAGGACCCCCGGCACGCCGATTAAGCCGCGATTGACACGAATCAGCACCAGCCCAACCAAGCGAGATGAGAAACCAAAGGAGGAGAAGGTCTTGAAGTCATCAGCTAAGGATGTGGCAGAGCTCAAGGACTACGTATGGACCCATCAGATGCGTCCCCGAATGATGGAGCTGGATAGATGCTGACTGTGGCTTTCTACAGCAATTGGGCGACTGCTTAGGCAAAGGCGCTTTTGGATCGGTTTACCGTGCATTGAACTGGAATACTGGGGAGACAGTTGCGGTGAAGCAAATCAAACTGACAGATCTCCCTAAGAGCGAGTTGCGGGTTATCATGGTATAGCGATCTATCTACTGCGCGTTGTGCTGGGACATTTGCTAACACATGTCGTCTCAGCTGGAAATCGACCTCCTGAAAAACCTTGATGTGAGACTCCCCACGTTCTCACCCAGGAACTAGTGTTGACAAGATAACAGCATGCGAATATTGTCAAGTACCATGGATTCGTGAAGTCTATTGAAACTTTAAATATCATCCTCGAGTACGTACCCATAAAAGGAGACTGCTGAGGAGTCGAAATATTAACGATGATTCTAGATACTGTGAGAATGGCTCACTACACTCCATCGCAAAGAACTTCGGTCGTTTTCCGGAGAACTTGGTTGGCTTGTATATGTCTCAAGTGCTGGGTGGTCTCTTGTACCTGCATGAGCAAGGTGTAATTCACCGGGATATCAAAGGCGCCAATATCTTAACTACCAAAGAGGGTCTTGTCAAACTTGCGGACTTCGGTGTTGCCAGCAGGACGACTGGCCCGAGTGAATCGAGCGTAGTTGGCACTCCATACTGGATGGCGCCTGAAGTCATCGAGCTCTCTGGAGCAACTACGGCCTCAGATATTTGGAGTTTAGGATGTACAGTCATCGAGCTTCTAGAGGGAAAACCACCTTATCACAACCTACAACCTATGCCGGCATTGTTTCGCATCGTCAACGATGACCATCCTCCACTTCCCCAGGGTGCTTCGCCAGTATGTTCTACTTGAGACCGAAATTATATGTGCAAATCTAACAATTATGCAGGCCGTGAAAGACTTTTTGATGCAATGTTTCCAGAAAGACCCCAATCTGCGTGTTTCAGCCAAAAAACTACTTAAACACCCTTGGATTGTTAATGCGCGCCGGTCAGATTCTGTGGTCCCAAAGAAATCTACCGAGTACGAAGAGGCCGTAAAAAGTGTCCAGGAGTGGAATGAGGCACTCCGATCTCCGGGTGCAGGTACCTCGAGGAAGAGCAATAAGTTTGAGCATGGTGTCGGGCCCCTGTCTACACAGCGCAATTCCCTCGTGGACACATTGCCATCTCCAACTTCCATTAAAACCACTGATCGATTTCGATCCCCGGAGTCTGCTGAGGATGATAATTGGGACAATGACTTTGCGACCGCGATATCTCCTAGCGCATTACAGCTACCTCATCTTCGGCCTCATGATAATTTTGGTGGAATGCTTTCCTCCGAACGACTCAAAGCCTTTGCGTCGCTTGACGGGACAATGTTGAGACCCGATGATAGCTTTGATGAATTCGAAGACGCATCGATGTCTGTATCGGAAAATGACCCTCTACAGACAATACGGCCATATCCAACCAAGCCCTCGGCAGCTGAGCCTTCCAAAAACCAGAGCCCCATTCGACATCAAGCAAGCAAGCCTTCGGCCTCAGCTCTTCAAAATGTCCCAATCTTGACACAGAATCCTGTGCCACCGATGAGGCGGGCTCGTCCGGCTAATCTTTACAAAGAAAATTCCGTCGAGGATTATACCGATCTGATAATGGCGAATGAGGATGTTCTCGATCGGAAACTTGGTCTCATCATCGAAGACGAGGATCCTGCTTCTCCGGTACATGAAAACGGATATAACGGCTTTGATGATGACCGAAGTGGTCAACATCCTCAATTACGCAAGCAGCTTTCTGTCAAACGTGACCGTTCTACAATCGAGATTCACAAATTCGCTGAAAATGAGACCGATGAGGATTTCTCTGACATCCTCGGAGCCGAACAAGTGGGCATGGATACTGCGGAAACTGATGACAGTTCGGATCGTAGCACTTTGATGCTCAACTCGAAATTGTCTAATAACTCGTGGCTAGGAGATCAAGATGACGACGACGATCCATTCGCTCAATTGGAAGAGGGATTCGATGAGATGGATCTTGAGGCTAACATCGCGCGTGACAAATATGCACGCCTCAGGAATCAAGTTGAGGGCCTAGTCGGCTCTTTGAAGACTTCTCAAGATGAAGACGTTCTTGCCGACATCTCGGAGCAGCTTCTCACTGATTTCTGTGACCTCCCAGAGACCAAGAATATTATCATCAGTGCACACGGAATGCTGCCGATTCTGGAGATCCTTGACACGTCGCGCCGACGAGACATCGTAATCTGCTTGCTCCGTGTTGTCAACGCCATAATCTACAATGACTACGAGGTCCAGGAGAACTTATGCTTCGTTGGTGGCATTCCCATTATCAATGAGTTTGCGTCCAAAAAATATCCACGGGAGATTCGTCTGGAAGCTGCTGCTTTTGTACAACAGATGTATCAGACATCAACCCTTACACTCCAAATGTTTGTTAGCGCTGGTGGCCTTAATGTCTTGGTTGAATTCTTGGAGGATGACTATGAGGATGAACGCGATCTGGTATTGATTGGCGTGAATGGAATTTGGAGCGTCTTTGAATTACAGGTGACTACACTACGACGACGCGATTTCCTTGAACTCGAGACTGACTAGTTCCTCACAGGGCTCAACTCCAAAAAATGACTTCTGCAGAATCCTGTCGCGCAACTCTGTCCTAGATCCCCTTTCACTTGTCCTCAGCCGTGTTTTGGACGAGGAAGGTGAACTCGCGGAGATTATTGAAGGCCGCATTGCCAACATCTTCTTCATCTTCTCGCAGGCCGAGAATCATGTCAAAGAGATGGTTTCAGAGCGAACAGTTTTGCATAGGGTTCTCAAAGAATTGAAACGGATGTCCCCTATCCACCAAATCACAATGTTGAAGTTCATCAAGAACCTTTCCATGCTTTCGACCACCCTGGACTCGCTTCAAAATTCCAATGCAATCGATGTTCTCACTGAGTTACTTCGGTCTACTATGAAGAGAGGCCACTTCAGAGAGGTTTCGAACCAAATTCTCAACACCATCTACAACATGTGTCGTCTGAACAAGTCTCGACAAGAGGATGCTGCTCTTAATGGTATTGTGCCGCTGCTCCAGAAGATTGTCAATACCGAAAGGCCCTTGAAAGAGTTTGCTTTGCCCATCCTTTGCGATATGGCGCAGTCCGGCAAGGTCGGTCGTCGTGAGTTGTGGCGCAATAAGGGTCTCGCCTTCTACATCTCGCTACTTGCGGATCCATATTGGCAAGTGACTGCGTTAGATGCCATTTTCACGTGGTTGCAAGAAGAGACTGCCAAGGTCGAGGAGCATCTGCTAGACTCCCGTCCAGACAGGAATTTTGCCGACGCCATCGTGCGGTGCTTGACACTGACGAAGGCAAACGCATTCGAGAATATCCTCGACCCCTTACAAAAACTCCTTCGCTTGAGCCCCCCTGTGGCATCAACCTTTGCTCGGCCAGATCTTTTCACAAGACTGGGGCAAAAGCTTCACCACAACAAGGCTGCCGTTCGGTTGAATATCTTGCGTATCATATCCACTATCTGTGATTCAAGTGAGCAGCAAGGTGGTCTGCTCGCTACCTACGGCCTGCTAGATGCCATTCGAGAGCTTGAGAACGACCCCGCTATTCTTGTTCGAGACATGGCAGGCAAACTCATCCAGTCCAATGAGAGGAGCGATGCCTTCGCTGTTGGCAAGCGCAGACCGGTCAGCCGCAGGAAAAGTCTTTCCACAACCCCACCCAACCCATTCTCTAGCTCCACACCTTCAACTCCTCAAGCAAACCGCACAAGCCAGTCAAGGGCATTATTTGAAGGCCGTGAAACCCCGCGCCATCCACGCAACGCCCTCAGCGGCTCTTCCCTTGCTCTACGACCTGGCAGTCGAGATGGCAGCGCATCTGCCCTTGGCTCAGCAGCCAATGGTAGTGCAGCCGCACCACGACCCCGTATTCCACGGGGAATGTCCAATCGACTTTCTTACATTGAAACCCTACAAGATGAGGAAGGAAAAGCACCCAGCTCCCTCAGTCGACGACCTTCTGTGATTCCTCGACGCCGCCGGACAACGGTTGCCGATTCTGAATGGACATAACTTGGTCCGTAATACTTGATGTCTTGTACTTGTTGTTCTACGTCATTTTCAATGATTATGTTGCTTTTGTATTTGATCTTAGAGAGTGGCGTCAACAAAACGGAGACGAGGGTGGGCTCTAGGATTGTTTGTTTGTTAAAACGTCTTTTTTTCTTGTTACGCTATGATGGCACTGGATGCTGCACATAGACTTTACATACACTTTCAATCAGACGTAATTATTGATATCAAGGATCTATACATTGCCACCCGGACACGAGGTCAATATATCTATCAATCTTGAAATTTGACTGCAATAAACTGCGTCAGCATAGGACATAGCTCCTCCCGAGGTCTAGAATTCGTTTATACTTTCTGCGCACGAAACGCATACTTGTGATATTTAAGGTGCCGTTGCTAGAGTATTAGGTCGATAGGCGTCGCCCATCCACTCAATATTAAATTCATTCACTGGATCGATCAACAGATGAAAAGCCAGAATATGGACATGAGCTCTCGTGGAGTCCGCATGGCTTTTGCAATATCATATTAATGATGCTGTATATCGTGACCAGGACTATAGCATTCACGAGGGTAGTGAAGGAATTCATGATTGACGTCAGTTGGTTCGGAATCACGTGTGCTACGGCCCGGGATCGGGCGAGACTAGCCGATTGGCGGCGAGAATCGTCCCAAAAAATCTCCCTGGTCATACAATTCCAGACAGAGGTATGGTATAACCTAGGCGCAAACCTGCGATCCACCATCAGACTCTTGTTCCAGCCACCAAGGACGGTAGATGGTCGGAATGAGCGCCGCAATTCGCTTGCCGCTGCGGACGCTGGCCAATCCCGCGCTGGTAGCCCGAGAAACATCAAAAGCCTCAAGTGTTAGCGCCTCATCGAATCTATTTGCGAACTCGTTGCGCAAGACTCTGTCGCCGTCCAGATCGATCACCCAATCATGGAATCCTCGATCATATGAACCGATCCCGTTCGCAGCCTTGTCCAGACGTTTCGCCACGAGAACCTCGCCCCTCTTAACCGCGGAGACCAACAGCCAACAAAACAGTGGACCGAAAGTCAAGCCACCCCGGTCGAAGAAGGCGATTGGATACTTAATTGCCTTGGGCGTTCTCGGTGCCGGCGCCGTGGTGTACTCTGATGAGATCAAGCATGGATACCAAGCCGCAAGACGGAGTGGTCGTGTGGTCGGCACATTGGCACTCTGTATCAATGAGTGAGTACCCCCTGGGCGAACTAGCAGGTTTATCGGCCAGCATCTACGAAAAAGCAACTTTCCCTGACATTCATTCAAACTACAGCTACCGCGTCACCTTAAAGCAAGAGTTCCCTACACCCGAAGAAAGTGATGCCAACCTCCGTGCATGCCACAAGCGATGCGCTGAGCGCACGCTCCGTGTGCTTGAGAAGAACGGATCTATTTTCATCAAGCTGGGCCAACATCTTAGCAGCATGAGTTACCTCCTCCCACTCGAATGGACTACAACCTTCATCCCGCTTCAGGACAAATGCCCGGTCTCTTCTATCGAGTCAATCCAGGAGATGTTCATTCAGGATACTGGTCAGACAATTGATGAGCTGTTTAGCTCATTCGATCCGGTTCCTACTGGCGCTGCCTCGCTTGCTCAAGTTCACATTGCCACCCTAAGAGAAACCGGTCAGAAGGTCGCCGTCAAGGTCCAGCACCCGGCTCTTGCTGAGTGGGTGCCTCTCGATCTTGCGCTGAACCGATTCACCTTTTCTATGCTTAAACGCTTCTTCCCAGACTACGACTTGGAGTGGTTATCTAGAGAGATGGAACTTTCCCTGCCAATCGAACTGGATTTCCGTATGGAAGCTCAGAATGCCACTGCAACCAGCGAATACTTTAAAAAGCACTCCGACGCTCCGTTGGTAATCCCCGAAGGTAAATCAACTCTACATCAACAGACAGAACCACACCAATACTAACATGTCACCAGTCATGTGGTCCCAGAAGCGCATCCTTGTCATGGAGTACATCGCCGGCGCCCGTCCCGACGACGTCGCCTTCCTCGACGTAAACAATATCGACCGTGACGAAGTCTCCGCCGCCTTCGCCCACATCTTCAACGAAATGATCTTCGGTGACGACGCTCCTCTCCACTGCGATCCGCACGGTGGTAACGTTGCCATTCGTCTCAATCCCAACCGCAGCCACCCGAATTTCGACATCATCCTGTACGACCACGGCCTGTACCGCAACATCCCCCGCGAGCTACGCCGCAATTACGCCAAACTTTGGCTAGCCGTTATCGACGCAGATGTTCCCCGGATGCGCGAATTCGCTCACAAAGTAGCTGGCGTCACGGACGAACAGTTCCCGCTCTTCGCTAGCGCTATCACCGGCCGAGACTACTCCGTCTTGACGAAGCAGAATGTCGTCTCTTCGCGTACTGCCGAGGAGAAGAAGGAGATCTCCGGTGCACTGGGTGAGGGCATGTTGCAGCAGTTGGTCGTATTGCTGAGTCAGGTCCCTCGAGTTATCCTTCTTATCCTGAAGACCAATGACCTTAGTATGGCTTCCCCCTTGTTCTGATGATTATCACATTTGATACAATTTACTAACAACCCCACAGCTCGCAGTCTCGATGAAAATCTACACACACGCCAGGGCCCGATGCGCACATTCCTTATTTTAGCCCGCTACGCTACTCGCACCGTCTTCGAAGAACAAATGGAGACAATCCGCGATTCGGGTGGTATCTTTGCTAATTTCTTCAGCTATCTCTCCGCCTGGATGGGATTCCTGCGTGTCGAAGTTAAACTGTCTGCTTATGAAACTGCGCTGAGCTTGAAAAGCCGACTTGGTCTGCGAACTGCGTTGTCTTAAACAAGGTCCGGTTTCGTGATCTTGTCTGTCATTTTATTGTATATAGATATCCCTTTCTGGATTTTGGGGTTCGCTCTAGGAGCACGGATGTTTCATTCTGTGCATCTAGCGATGGCGTTGTTCTTTTCCCTTTCCCTTCTCTTTTTTCTGACCTTATACATCGGTCTGTATAGATACATGTGTCGATAGACCTAGATAGACCGTATTGTATCTTCTATTGAGCAGCTTATGCATCGCTTATGCATTGCTAGAAGTCAGCCTCTACATTGATTACAAGTAAGATAAGTTCTGTTTTCATCGTTTCATTGAAACTATCAAGGCACCATCGCTTTTGAAGAATAGAGTATCGATCGAGGATCCCAGATACCGAGGCGCCCCCACAGAAAAAAGAGAAAAAAAAAGATTCAAACATGCAAAGAAAGTAAAAAAGAAAATCTGTACAGCAAACAAATGACGCGTATTTGTTTGAAACTTCCATCACCGAAACATTCTCAGTCTCGACGACCATTCCATCCATTCTTATTCCGGAATCCGGAACCCGGTATCGCTCGATCAAAGGATTGTGCTTGTGTTTCACAACGCTCTTAGGGTAATCACATCTCAGTCCAAAATCAGAACAAGAACAAAAATGAACGTTGGATCCGAGGTCTATTTCAACCCTGGAATCCGATCCGGATCCCTCCGCTTTATTATTCAATTTATACGGCGGCAGCGGCGCTACCAACGGTGGCAGTCACATCGGGAATGGCAGCGCCAGTTCCGGACAGATCGGTGGTCTTGGCCTTGGGGTTCTTGGTGTAGTAGTCGGAAATGGCGGACTTGATGGCATCCTCGGCAAGCATGGAGCAGTGAACTAATGAAATATGCAGATTAGCTAACGAATCCAATGACGTATGAATGGAAGGGGTGAAGGGAACATACGCTTAACGGGAGGGAGGCAGAGCTCCTTCGCCACATCAGTGTTCTTAATCTTGCCAGCCTCATCAAGGGACATGCCGCGAACAAGCTCGGTAAGGTAGCTTGATGAAGCGATAGCACTACCACAGCCAAAGGTCTTGAAAACAACATCATCAATGCGACCGGTATCCTTGTTAACACGGATCTGGAGCTTCATGACATCGCCACAGGCGGGGGCACCGACGAGACCGGTACCGACGTCCATGTCGCCCTTCTTGAAGGAGCCGACGTTGCGGGGGTTGTTGTAGTGATCAAGGACCTTCTCGTGGTATCCCCTTCGCTGGGTAGGAGCAGGGACAGCGACACGACGCTGGATAGGCTGGACGGACTGCAGAGCCGAGAGGGGTGCGACAGTACGGGGCGCCGCAGCGCCGACGCGGGGAGCGACGGTGACCAGACGCTTGAACATTGTGAGTATGTAATATGTAGTTGAGTGTGGTTAATTCAAAGGTGATATGTGGTGAGGTTTGGATGGAGTTGGGTAGATGGCGAAAACAGATCTGATATGGAAGAAGAGGATGATGAATTCATTGCTAAATAATCTGATTCTTATTCAGCGTCGCGCTAGGCCTAATGGGGAACTCTAGAACATCCGAATCGCCGGACTTCGGAGTTGACTAAGCCTTCCCCGTAAAAGGCGTTTTTTGCTCGACGAACAATATTCTATATAGCTACCCACCTGTTACTTTGAAAGTAAGTGATGAACGAGGGTTGATCCAGTGAGAATCCACCATGGTGATATCATTTTTCAAAAGTCAGTGGCGAGCTTGGCCGGACAGCCATTAACGTTGTCCGCGGTGGACTCTTGCAACAATCTTGTTTTCCGATGGAACATGCCTCGGCCAATGGAATGCCTATGATATCAAATGGTGGGTATCACGTTCATGGTAAAGATAAACATTCTATGATTTAATATTCGATCAATGTTCCGTTCATTTCGCTCGAGTCAATGGAATTTCCCCGCAGTCTTCATTGGGATATTATTTCTGTAGCCTAACTTCATTACTGTCCGTGACCTCCGCGGAAGACCCGAGGAGGTTCGGAGATAACGTCACGGACTCGGCAAATTCAAAGAAAGATAATGCAAAGCCCGAGCACGCATGAACTAAGCTCGGGAACAGAGCCCGATCAACTGATCGGATTTCGGTGAAACTTAAGGAGGGGTAATCTGCGGATGTTGTTTACAAATAGGGAACGACTAAAACGACCTTACTTTCTATGATACCCCTCTTCAATACGCATATTCGCTGGCGTTCTAGAACAGTGGCGGATGCGGTCATATACAAACCCTAAAACCGCCGGCCCATTGAGCGACAGTCCAAGTCTAAAGTGAGTAACAAAGAATGTCGACTTGAAGTCGGCAGGGGGTTATTGAGCAATAAATAAGTCAAGGACTCAGCGATCAATCAAATAATTCTGATAGAACTGCAGTTCCTTTGAAATTCCTGGTACTTGCCAATTGGCTCCTAAATTCCATCACAGCCCTGGAGTACCTAAGATGCAGACTCAGAATACAACCCATGCCACATTTTGTGTACCAAGATAAAGTAATAAGGTCTGGAAATTTCCACGTATTCAGTGGAGAGAAGTGGCCATAAATGCTTGGTTAACACCTCAAACATGCCCGAAGGATCAGTCAGAGCCAGAGCATGCCAAAATGCTCTTGCTTCCCATGCTTTAAAGCAGCAGCTGAGAGAACGACCGACCGACAATGATGCGCAATTATCATTTTACAGCAGTGTATGGTTAGCTAATTTTTCTTGAGAGCACGAGTAATCCAAAAAGTATTGTTTAGTCAGAATGTACTAGATCGAATCCATTCGATCCTTACTCTGTCGAAAGTGTTTTTTTTTTGGACATCTAAAACATCAGACTGAACTTGCCTGCTATATTAGGTATAGCGCGGTTATACTACGTGAGCACTAATGCGGAGGGGAAGCCAAGAGGCAGGTGTCGTATCCACAAATCCAATATGCGTAATCTCGCGTAAGTTCTGGATATTCAGTTGTTCGCAGCTACTGGGAACTTATCCAATAAAGCCGTCGGTGTGTTCTTGCCATGTGAAGCAATAAGTTATTCTCAAGGTTGCTGACCAAGTAAGCAAAGTCAGCAGAACCAACCTGAAACGCGTCTTGACTGCCAAGTAAAAGAACCCAGTGAGTTGGGCAAGCGATGACAAGCCATGATGCGACGACAGTGGATGGATGTGAACCATCAGCTAGGCCGTTACATCCACAGACTCTAGAAGCCGCCTATAAACTCGGCATCGACTACCATGACAAAGGCAATATATTGGCCGCAGAAAGCCACCTACTTCGTGCATCCAAAGGCTACGAGGAGACGTGCGGTCTACATGACTCTAAAACACTCGATGCGCTGGAATACCTTGGCATCACATATCGAAAACTGGTCAAGCTCAATGAAGCTGAAGCGACACATAAGCGCGTCGTTGAGGCTCGAACTGCCATGTCAGGTCCGGACCACACAGCAACTCTGGTTGCATGGAATCGACTTGCAATGGTATATCGTGCCCAAGGAAGACTTGACGAGGCCGAGGAAATCTACCGAAGAGTATGGGAAACCTTGGACAAAACTTTGGGCTCAAATGATGAAGCAACACTGCGAGCCTCTATATCGCTAGGCAATATTGCATTCAACAAGAAAAATTTCACTGAAGCGGGCGAGATGTACGCGTCTGCGCTGAGCCGGTATGAATCTGTACTTGGACCCGATCATCCATCTACACAGCAGGCCGCTAGCAATCTGGCAGCTGTGCGCATCCATCAAAAACGATACTCCGAAGCAGAGACCATACTCCTAACAATTGTGCGTCAAATTACAAGAACTCAGGGATTAAAATCCGTGAGACTTTTACCACCCTGGCTCAATCTATCGTGTGCCTATGATGGTCAAGAAAAATACGACGAAGCACAGAAGACCCTCTCCTCAGTCCTCAGCTCCTATGAGGATGTATATGGGCCAAGCCATTCAAAAACGCTAGGAATCATACGGCGCAAGGCGATCACACTCGCCAAACAGGAAAGGCTCACGGAGGCAATCGAGATCATTCAAAAAGCCATTGACTTGTCGTCAACTGTTGATGGCTACCCAGACGATGCGCAAATTCAGTTAATGATATCCCTGGCTCGCATATTTGACCAGCAAGGCAGATTTTTTGAAGCCCAGCAAATCCACCATCAGTTGTCGGAGGCATATGAGAACAGATTTGGGGATGATCATGACTGGACCATCAGGTCACTGCAAAATGAGGCAGAGATGCTTTTCAAGCAGCAAAAATATACAGAGGCAGAGCTGGCCTTCCAAGATGTCACAGAAAGATGTAAGAAGGCTTTCGGTGATGAGGACGAGCGCACCCTCTGGAACCTGATGGGTCAGTGCCACGCCGCTTGTGGAGGCCAAAAGGTCGCAAGTGTTGAAAGTGATATTTGGCTACTATTTTCAAAATGCGACGAGCTTCCATCACTTCAAAACGGCAGAGCAATACTGGTTTTCCAACAGTTGAGCAAGAACTGCGTGACCAGGCGCAAGTTCAAGGAGGCAGAAACCTTGATGGCCAAAGGATACGAGATATGTCTCAATATTTTCGGCCGCGGACACCCTATCACCATCTCTTATGGTTTGCAAGTGGACAAAGTGCGACGACAACTTTGGCAGCATGAAAAGGGTCAAACCGTCCACATCTCAATATTTCCGAACACGCAAGACCGCACGCCTGATGCAATAATTGACATCCTTGAATTCACGACTGCGCTCAGTGTGAAACCAGCAGACGAATCTGCGCCGCTTCCCTCTCAATCACTCGCGAATCTAGCTTTATCCTATGGGGAGAAATGGGAAGAGAGTCGCGATCCGCGGTATTTGGATATCGGGATCGACAAACTTGAGACGGCCATCCTGGTGGGAAATGAGGACGACGAAAAGCGACCTCTGTGGCTTAATAACCTGGGAAGGTTCTACCAGAACAGATTCCAGGCGCGGAATACGTTAGATGATCTTCGAAAGGCAATTGGAGCCAAAGAAAAAGCCCTTAACCTACAGGATGAGGCTGGTCCAAACCGTCCAAAAGATCTGAGTGTGCTATCTGTGTGGCTTATCGACCTTTATGAGCGTGATTCGGCACTGGAATTACTAGACAGGGGAATCAAATTAGGCGAAGAAGTCCTATCTTTGACGGTGCCCGATGATCCCAGGCGAGCAACATACCTGAATCGTCAGGGCATGGCATTTTTGCTCCGCCATGAGCTGAATGGGACAGTTCTGGATCTTGACCGATCGTTCGAGTTAATAGAAGCAGCGATGAAATTGACTCCAAAGACCGAATCTCAGTGGAAGCTACTCTGCTCTGCATATGCAGACCTTTTCAGACATCGATTCAAACTCAATGGAAATATTGAGGACCTAGAGGAGGCAGTGAGTCGAGTTCGAGAGGCCATTCGTGAAGAGGATGAAGAGAATCATATCTTGTTGGAGTCATTGGCACGTCAGCTGGGACATCGATACATGACCCTAGGAAGAATTGAAGATCTTGACGAAGCTATCAGGGCAGCTGAGAGAGCAGTAACGCTAGGGCATCAAGACCAAGAAAACCGGTACCAAGCAGACGGTCTCATGAGATTGGGTTATCTATTGCTGGATCGTTTTGACGCAAAAGGACACCAAGAGGATCTTGACCGCGCTATCATGCACCTTGAGCAAGCGCGCAATACTCCGAAGACAAATTCGGTTGCACAAGCAAGATGCTTAAGCGGTCTAGCTGGTGCATTCAGATCCCGCTGGAAGCGCACGGGAGATAAAGATAGCATCGAAGCAGCCATCGATCATGAGAGACTGGCACTCAACCTTATTCCAGACAAAGATATCGCAAAGTTAGACGTGATGAACAATTTGGCGAACAATCTGATTGATAGATTCAAGGATACAAAAAACCCCAGTGACATGGAAGAGGTTATTAACCTCCAAGAAACGATATTGTCTCTCCGGCCGTCTACCCACATGCATTATCCAGGAAGCCTAAACAATCTTGCCAACGCTCTTGAGGCACGGTTCACTGCATTCAGAGATATCGAAGATTTGAACTTGTCAATTGAAACTTCCGAGAAGGCGCTCTCGTTCATGCATGCTAACGACCCAAGTCGTGCTGGTTACTCTTTCAATCTAGGTGCCAGGTATTACACCAGATACTCGGAGACAAATGAAGAGAAAGACCTTGTTTCCTCCGTGAGTCACCATTTGAATGGTTGGCGAGTAATCAACGGATTACCGTTCGACCGCGTGCTAGCTGGCTCACAGGCAGTCTATAGACTGAGAGATTTGGAACGATTCGACGAAGCCACAACAATAGCGATGGAGGTTGTGGATTTTCTTCCGTGGGTGACAACAAGATCACTCCAAATCACCGATCAACAATATGTCGTGCGCGAGTTTTCTGGAATTGCTGGAAATGCCTGTTCTTTGCTCCTGCGGGCGGGTCGATTGCAAGATGCACTGGAGTATCTGGAGAAAGGACGAACGGTCATCCTGGATCTGATGATGAGTAGTCGAACGGATCTCACTGAGCTTGAGTCCGTATCTCCAGAGCTTGCAGCCCGATTCCGAGAACTACAGGATGAGATCAACCAGACCTTCAATATTAAGGGTATGAGCCCCAGTGGAACGGAAGGTCTTCTTCAAAAACGTCTTGCATCTGTGTCCCAGCTCAATGAGTGCGTGGAAGTCATCAGGTCGCTACCTGGACAATCACAGTTTCTCCATGGACCAGATTTTGAGAGTATTAGGTCTGCGGCGAAAGGAGGGTTCATCATTGTTGTTAATATCACCACCACTCGCAGTGATGCCATAATCATCTCCGACGAGAAAATCGACAGCCTGGAACTTCCCGATCTATCACGCTCCCGGACAAGTGAATGGTTGGAGAAGAATCTCACTCGGAAGGCCAAGGATCGAGCAGGTCGAAAAAGACAAAATGAAGAGTACACAAATCTCCTCCACTGGCTCTGGGTGTCCGGCGTGAAGCCCATCTTTGACCGAATCAAATTACTTTCCCAGTCTTCAACGGTGACTGGTGCACTACCCAGAATTTGTTGGATAGGTAGTGGAGTGGCCAGCATGCTTCCATTCCATGCAGCCTGCGACCGCACATCTGACTTGATGGAAAGCACGTTTTCATATGCCATTTCTTCATATTCACCCTCTATCAAGACTCTGTTCCAAGTCAGAGCCAAATTAAGCGACGCTGCACTCAGTTCCAATCCAAGCCTGCTTATGGTCGGAATGCCGACCACACGTGGTCATGCGCCGCTCTCCGGCGTTGAGGATGAAATTGAAGAGATTACAGAGGTAGTTGAGCCCTCGTTTTCTGTGAAAAGTCTTCTTCACCCACAGCCGGCCACCGTGCTATCTCATCTGGCATCTTACGATATGGTCCACTTCGCATGCCACGCGTTATCCGATAGCAAGAATCCACTTAATGGTCACCTGTTGCTCGAGTCTGATGGTGTTGAAACCTCTGAATCTGAAAAATGCGGAGCGTTGACGGTTGAAACCATTGTCAAAATGGATCTGAAAAGAGCTCGTATTGCATACCTATCTGCATGTTCGACTGCAGAAAACAGGGCAACCAAGCTTCTTGATGAGGCGATTCATCTTGTTAGTGGATTCCAAGTTGCTGGATTTGCCCATGTTTTGGGTACTATGTGGCCGGCACCGGACTTGGTTAGTCGTGATGTTGCTGTTGGTTTTTATCAAAATCTTGCTGTACTTCTCGTAAAACAAGGTGTTGACCATGGTCGCGCTGTGGCGGAGGCGTTCCATTTGGCTGTTAAAGAGGTTCGGTCTGAGTTTGAGGACCAGCCTCTCTTTTGGGCACAGTTTGTACACTTTGGAGGTTAAATGTTTGAGATTGGCACAAATGAGCCATGTCTGATTATTGTATAATCCACGGCTGAGGACTAAGTCAGTACATATTCATTAGACGAGAAGAAATTCAGTATGAGAAATTACGAGATATCTGGAGGCTCAACTACCTCCGAGATATTGAACCCGGGCGAAAAGTCAATTGGGGCTATAGTTGGCGGAAGGACAGAAGCCGGGGGGTAATTCAGTGCCAAGGCGGCTCATGGCTCAGCGAGGGAGTTCAGGCTTTTCATTTTGAAACTGGAAAATGCGGAGGAAATGTACTCTATGTTTCTGATTGGTTTGATTATAGAGCCTAAACCCGTGGGCTGAGTAAGATCCAAGGCTCTACCAACTTTGTACACGGGCGGAAAAAAAGTTATAACAAGGATGTAGGTGGCTGATCTCTAGTTCGCATGGCTCAGCTTCGATCGATCTCCTCAACGAACCGAGATTGAAACCAGAGAACCGGAGAGGCCTAGACCAGCCGCCTCAGCACTGTAGATGGTCTAGTCTGGAAAGCGTCGTCAGGCTTAAAGTACGGAGTAATCAGGCACAGAGAGTACTTTTGTTACCAATCAGATTCAAGAATAGCTTAGTGCCATCAGCGCTTATTTATGGGGCCGTTTATGCCGCACTTCTCACTCGCATATAAATTCTCTGCATGAAAACATTGACTTTGAGTACATGGTATCCTCCTGATATTATAAATATGGCCCTGAATCACAGCAGCTACCGAATCGGCTGGATATGCGCTTTGCCTATCGAAATGGCCGCAGCGAGATGCCTCTTAGATGAATCTCACCCCGATCTCGAACAACCCCGCACCGATACAAACAGCTACGCACTTGGAAGTATCAATTCACATAATGTTGTGATCGCGTGTCTTCCTTCCGGGGTATATGGTACTACCTCCGCAGCCATCGTCGCAAAGCAGATGATCACGACGTTCCCTAATCTTTCTTTCGGGCTGATGGTGGGAATTGGGGGCGGCGTCCCTCCTATCTCACGATCGACGCCGGATATCCGTCTAGGAGACATTGTTGTTGGCATCCCCAGCGGTTCATTTGGGGGTGTCGTCGCATATGACTACGGCAAGACAATCGCGGATGGTGATTTCCTGCCGACGGGCTCGTTGAATCACCCTCCTTTCAGCGTTCTCACGGCAGTCAGTAACCTCCGTGCGTCACATCTTGTTGATAAGGGTCTTGTCGGAGGGATAATCGACAATGCCGTTTCTCAGTATCCAAATTTTAAGTCACCGGGCCCTGAGTACGATATCCTTCATGATACTTGTACCAATCCAGATCTGCCTATCAATGAAGCGCCCGTTGTGAAGCGTGCAGCACGCCCGTCTGATCTTCCACAAATACATTATGGAACGATCGCTTCTGGAAACCGTCTTATAAAACACGGGAAGACTAGAGATCAATTGGCCGCTAAGCATGACATTCTTTGCGTCGAAATGGAAGCTGCAGGGCTGATGGATCTCGATAACTTCCCTTGCTTGGCCATTCGAGGAATCTGTGATTACGCCGATGAATTCAAGGCCAAGGAATGGCAACCCTATGCAGCAATTGCCGCTGCAGCCTATGCAAAAGAGCTACTGAGCGTCATTCCCAAAGCCCATGTCGACTTGACAGTCGCTTCGACCGATTCGACAGAGACTTTAGTTGCCACTTGTGCTCCTCCTCTACCTTCTGAGATCTTGCACCATATTTTCCCCGTGGAAAAGAACTTTATTGGTAGCCTCATAACGGATACGTTATCCCCACGACAAAATTTTTACTCCTTGCCGACTTCCCCATCTACTACCCAGCTCGCTGTCATTCACCAATCAGTCCCACACACCATCAACCTTTCCGTCATCGGATACACGACCTTTCTCTCAAACAAGTCTGCAAAGGGTGACCATGCCTCCGAAGCCGACCACTCTATCACAGTCGACCGCTCCAGCTCATGCACGCTAAACAATTCTAATGACTGGTTCGAAGCAATGAGCTCCAAGAGAAAAACACGACAGTGGGTGGAAAAGCAAATCGAACGCTCGAATGAGCAAATATACTTAGTAGTCGGATTTCGGAGCATGTGGCACCGGGACATAGACTCCTCGTTCAAGACCAGCGAACAGAGCGATACTAGTGCTCTACCCTGCATTGGTGAGGCGGTTTACGCCGTGCAGTACCGAAAACTCAAATTCAAATGGTACCGCAGAAAGGATATAGACGCGGCTAGTCTGCAGAAGGGGAATTGCTGGCAAAGCTTGTATACTTCTCGTGGTGATGATGATGAGGACGATGAGGCGGAGGATTATTTGGAGGTCACTTTGAGTGATGATGTGGAAGCATCTTGATGAACGTATAGGTATAGACTACCTTGGTTCGTCAACATTTTGTGATGTTTATCACCTATCGAATATATAGTCAACTCTCACTTATTGTACACCCTCCTGTCCGAGGAAAACTGTGTACAATAGTTAACTTTTGTGAGAGGATGACATAGTTAGTCAGCTAGACCTAAGCCCTACTTCCTATTTAAGCTTCCACCCCATATCCTCTTAGGTTACCACGCTTCTCCTCGACCTGAATCCTGCCAAATTCGCTGATTAAGCTCTTGATTTGACGTATATGGTCTGATGTGCTCTTTTTCTGCTTCTAATCTATAGTAGAATATCCTGTAGATGACTTATTACCTTAGAATTAGATAATATCCTAGCCTCTGATACACCGGAACCAATTTCTTTTTCAATTTATGCCAGAGGCAAGGTCAAGTTCCCGTCCAAGGGCGGGCCTATAGTCATTAGAGCGGTCTACGCGCTCTCGGGCATTAGGTACTCGCAATTCTATGATAGAAGCATGAACTCATCATCAAAGCCCCTCCCCAGGAGCTTAAAGCTTGTTCATGGTAGCGATATCTGTCGACTGGACGTAGTCTTCGAACTCCTGGATCTCCTCCTCGAGGTCGGACAAGCTGATCTTCTCGTCCTCGATGACAAGGTTGATCTGCAGCTTCTTGATACCGAAACCAACAGTCACCAACTTGGAAGTACCCCACACCAGACCATCCTTCTCGATGCCGCGCACGGCAGCCTCAAGGGCAGCCATGTCGGTCTCGTCGTCTGGAGAGTCATTGTTAGCGAGTAAATTCAACCAAAATGGATATCGAGCCTCAACGTACCCCAGGGCTTGACGTCTAAGATGACTACAGACTTCGCGGCGATCTTAGGCTTGGCCTCCTTCTTCTTGCGGTACTCAGCCAGACGCTCCTCGCGGACGCGGGCGGCCTCAGCATCCTCCTCCTCCTCCTCCTCCTCGTCGCTGTCGAACAGGTCGACATCGTCGTCGTCCTCCTCAGCAGCCGGGGCCTTCGCGGGGTTCAGAGTAGCAGCGACGACTTCAGGACCGTAGACGGTGTAAGGCTTAGCCGCATCACCGGGCAGCGTTGCTAAGTCATCATCGTAGCTAACAATGTGCTTGTACCAACGCGCAGCGTGCGGGTACTTGGCAGCCTCAGGGGCAGTGCTCAGGGCCTTATAGACGACCACATCGGCCTGGGACGGCGAGAAGCTATCAACGCGATGAGTCAGTGAAGGCCGAATGAGGGGGGCTTCAGGCGGCAACGACAGCAAGACGCAAGGAAAAGGGTCAAAAATTGCAAACAAATGCTTGGTGAGTCATCATCAGCAGGTCTTGAGGTTGCTAGGAAACACGGACCAATTTGTATCATTATATTATTTAGCTCGGGCATTGGGGAGAAGAACAGAAAGCAGACTGGAACATACCCGACAATGTAGGAGCGAGTGGTCAACCAGCTGTTGAGAACTACGACCGGTCAGGCGGTGCTCGCAAATGCATCACATACCACTACATACCGGTAAGACCAGAGTCCGAGAGCAGGTCGGCGAAGCCCATTATGACGGTATTGAACTTGCAGGTGGTGAGGGAGAGAGAGAAAGAAAAAGATTGAATATCAAGAATTTGAAAGAGAAATAAAACAGGAAAGGCTTACATGTAGGATCCCCTAGGATCCCCTAAGATCCCGCCCCCAAACACTCCCCGATTCCTGTCAGTGTCAAATTAGAGGACAAAGTATGCCCCGGTTTCCGCCAGGACCCCACCTCAAGACGAGGCTATGATACGCACAGACCAGAACCTAAGAATCAAAACACCCAGGCACCAGATAACCTGCTCCTGCTATATTCTTATGGGATGAGGAATGCCAACAGGCCTTCGTAGAGCTAAAGGAACTTTTTACCAATGCTCCAATTCTCGCACACTTCGAAGAAAATCGCGTAACAGTCGTTGAGGCGGACGCCTCTGGCTGGGCAACGGGCGCCGTTCTATCGCAATATGGCCCCGACAGGCAATTACGACCGTGCGCTTATTCATCTCAGAAGCTATCTCCGGCAGAGGCAAACCATGAGATCCGCGACAAAGAACCATTGGCAATCGTACGCGCCTTGCGTGAATGGAGACCTGAACTAAAGATGGTGCCCCGATTCATGATCATAACGCACCATAAGAACCGACGATACTTCAGCAAAGAACAACACCTCAATGAACGGGAGATGCGTTCAAATGTCGGGCAGATCTCCTAACAGAATTTTGACTTTGAACTCCGATACCGTCCAGGCAAGCTTGCCGCAAGACCAGACGCATTATCACGACGAAGCCAAGATATACCGAAGAGTTTCACTGATGAAAGGCTATCGAATCGCTTCCGAATTCTCCTTGGAAGAGTCAAGATCAAGGTAGGCCGAACGAATTTCTAGTCAACCAACGACCCGTTATTCATAGAGCTTAGCTTTGAAAGAAATATTTCTCCCTGAAGAACCCATCTTATAAAGGGTGAGTGTACTAAAGCGGGAGTTTTGTAGGTAGAATCAAGTAAAGTGGATCCATCCAAGCGAATCGTGTATAGTATGTACTAAAAGCGGGAGTGTTCCAACCGCGGGTGTACAATAGGTGAGAGGTGGCTGTATATTTTATGTTAACACTGGAATGTCGGTCAGGACTAGCAGCCTGGGGCCTCACCCCGGGCAAAACACAAACAGCATCAATAGCTAGATCATTCAAAAGTACATTCCGAGACAAAGATCATTTCAATCCTTGAATTTAAAATAATTTTCCCTCCAAATTAGCCGCCTGGGCACATGGTCATTTAACATGCAACTCTCGTTGATGACAAAACGCCGTTAGTGGAGCCATCGGGGGAATTCTCGGCATCTTCCCGCCTCCCAAATTCAAATCGACAGTCTTCAAGATTAAAGAAAAGCCCTTCATCCACATCAATACAGGAGGGATTCAATTAATAAATTTCTAAGATAATACCTTGGTGCACCACAAGCAGCGCCCCGGCGGCGATATTACAGCAATAACCAACCCAAGAAAAGGTAAATCACTCGCGGGAGGACCTTGCCATATCCAAATCCATGTTAACCCGAACCCAGCAGTGCTAGCCAAATAATCCACATCTACATGGCACAAAAGGGCACACCAAATCCTAAGGCCCTCGGCCGGCCTTCAGGGGTAAGTCTGTTCTTTCCCGAGGCCATCAAGCCACAGAGCCTGTGGCACTGTGGCGGGACCCCAACACGACAAAGACTAATAAAGATCCAAGTCCATTAATGCACCCATTGCGGCTTTCACTATGGCCGTCCTACTATGCACATATTGCTTTAGCTCGATTCGTACTGCAAGGCAGGATGCTCAGGTTCAATCACCAGCTACATCGAAGCAGCGGGCATCACGGGTAGATAAGGATGCATCGTGGGTTCAGCAGGCTCTTGAGGAGAGTCAGGCGGAGAAACGTGGGAAGAGGTGATCTTGAAAGGGTACAATCAGGGTATTTGGTCAATGAAGGCATTTTGTATATTATTCTTATGTATGATCAAACTGTCGTGTTGCAGACCTAGCCTTGAGCCAATCAGGATGTTTCAATATAAAACCCTCCCTGTCTTTAGTCTCATTTTCATGGGCAGATTGGTTCAGCGCTCGGCTGAGCCATAATACTTGCATTAGCTCCCGAGGTATCCTTGTTTTTGCATTCCATTTAAGAACGTTGTATCGTCCTTTCATAATTCCATGCCACAGCTGAGCCATTATTCATGCATTGGCTTCCGACGTCCTCTCTATACTCCTGATTTCAGTTTATCGTGTACATTCAGACCTTTCAGGATGGCCCAAGAGCATTGCAACTCCGTTTCTAGTATCATTTCCTAGATGCCATAGACGCCGAGCCATGATTGGAGCTTTAGATCTTCTCCCAGCCAAAGGTTCTTTTTAATTTCTTGACTTCCCGCGTGGATGTACGGATTGGCTAAGCCTAGGGAAGTCGCATGGTTCTAAGCAAGACAAAGTGTCACATGACTTATGGAGTGGACTTGCTTGTACGTGGATTCACATCGAGTGCCAGATTGATAACCCATGGATCATTACAAACAACTTCCTTTATGCAAAGTCGTGAGACACTTGGTCACATTTGTTTTACGTGGAATTTGCTCTTTTCAGTACTTGGAATAATGTATTAAATTGAATGTGATATAACAGAGTCGATAAGCGACAACAAAATATAACTTCATCTTCGTGATTATTCAGAATTTTCAGTGTATTTGTGATCATGCCCCAGGAGTCTAAGTGTATGACAACCTGGTTCAATATTTATAAAAAATCATCATAAGAATCGTGAAGAGAAGTGTGGGAAGGCAGTCATGTATGATAGGAGCAAGATGATGCACCAATTCCAATACAATCATGTAGTATAGCGAGTTTAAAGTCAACAGAGTTAGACGTGATGGCTTTTCGGGTCTTCAAACGGTAGTTCGACAACGTGTTTTGCTGGGTTCCTGTTGGGGGTTAGAACTGGCGGTGGATGGTGATGGCTTCGCATAAGTAGCCGATGAATATGCAGATGTGTTGCAGCAATGTCAGTTGCTGCCCTGGAAAAGCATCAAAATCCCAGGTCGCTTGTTGCTGGTGACAAGTGTGTGAAAGAAGGAGGAAAAACGAAGCGAAGAAAATTATGGGTAGGAAGTAGTCACGTGGTGATTGTATTATCTTAGCGGTGACCCACTTCTACACCAGTTGACGGGAAGGTTCAGGTTAGGCCGGGGAAATGATATACCTCGCTTTTCTATTGTATTGGATGTTTTTGTCTATTACTACGTACTGGGCGCATTGAATTCATTGTATCTAGATAGATGTTAGAGAATTTTGCTACCATGGAAGTGTTTTGAAGCTATCCAGATGTCATCTACCATCACTGAGATCTAGGCTTATATATGCCAAGAACATCAGATAACTCAGTATTTCTTGAGCCAGTTCCATCAGTTCAATTCCAAGCGCGATTAATCTAGAGCAGTCATTGCCTGGTGCAGTTTCACTGTTTTGGTGGAGAGTTCCTCCTTAACATACCATGGTGACTAAATGGGGCAATAGCAAGGATGAAAACAAGTTGATTAGAATGGTGCATGCCGCTACTCTACTAGTAAGTGAGCAGTATCCCCGAATAATGCGTCTTTGATGGCGCTAATCTGTGGATTGTGGGGTTTCAAACCATTACGGCAAACCGTCGCTTCAGCTCCAACAACCGATACGTGACGAGCACACATCAAATTGAAAAACTTCGGCAATATTCGCGTCGTTGAGCTCAAGATTCGCTAGCATTGGTGCTACTTGATGTTGCACTGTGCGAAGTTTCCCCGGCGCCATGATAGATCATACCGGTTTCACCGAGCTTCGGACCGAGAGGAACCTAATTCGGACATACTTTACTGTACCCATTTTTTCCCCATGGGGAACCTGCACACTCCTTCTACATTTAAAGGACATGTTTCCAATGCCAGAATGAACGAATTCATCAAGCCAGGTATCGGCTCTTCATCACTGCCTTCGTCGTCATGGATCCTACTCTTCCAAAGGAGACCCTCGAGGCCGAGAAGAAAGCTTCAAGTCACATCGAAGTCGCCGATGAAAGTGAAATGAAGCAAAGTATACACCAAGAGCCAAACATAACAGCAAAAGAGCAATGGAGCAAGCTTTGGGCGGCCATCAAAGCCAACCGTCGATTTTGCTGGTGGACCCTCTACACCATGCTTCTTACTTTCGGATACGGCTATGATTCAGGGCTCTCAGGCACTGCCATTGCTTTCCCCGCATTTCGACAATACTATGGACAGTATTACACCGACGGCAAAGAATGGGTCATTCCCGCTTTGTGGCAGTCCCTCTGGAACGCTGCGTCGACCATTGGCCAAGTCTTTGGCGGATACGCTGCTGGTCAATTCGCAGATGTACTTGGTCGCAAGAAGCTGTTGTTCGCTGCAGTTTTTATTTCTCTTTGCTCATCCTTCGCGTTGGTTTTCGCACCCAGTCTGCCTGTTCTTTTTGTGTCGAAGCTTCTCCTTGGTCTCGCGGTAGGACTATCAACGGTCCTTCCACCGCTTTACGTGACGGAGAATGCACCGACCAATCTGCGCAGTACGGCCTCATCTCTTACCAACGTCATTATTGTCTTTGGGTTTTTCTGCTCATCGATGACGGGCTACGGAGCTTCTAGTATTGCCGGCAACTGGTCTTTCAGACTTGCTTTTCTTATGACCTTCGTCATTCCTGCAATCTATCTCTGCGGTCTTCCTTTCCTTCCCGAAAGCCCGGTGTGGTATATGAAAAAGGGTCGCGATGGTGACGCGCGCAAGGCCATCCTCCGGCTATACGGCCCTGATGCTGATGTCGAAAGCTACATCCACAACATCAAGCTCGAGCTAAGACAATCCGAGGACGAGGAAACCGCGGGTGGACAAACAAGCTGGAAAAGCATATTCTCCAAAGAGCACCGATCTCGCACTTTTGTCGCAGTTCTTGGTCTTCAATCCCAGAACTTTAGTGGTGGTTACTTCGCCAACACCTATCAAACTTACTACTTCGAATTGATCGGTCAAACCAACTCCTTCCAATTGACAGCAATCTCATCTACCCTTCAACTTGTCTCCAATATCTTTGCGGTGTTCTTATCCGATGTAATCCCCCGTCGCAAGGGTCTGATCGGCGGTGGCACGTTTCTCATGCTTTGGTCTGTTATTATTGCCGGCGTGTCAATCGCGCCGACTTCTAATACCTCGGCCAATATTGCGCTGCTCGCTTTCATGATTACATGGTCGATGCTTTATACTGCGACTGTTGGATGCTATGGGTGGGCTGTCGCTCAGGAGACAGCTGCACAGGCTACACGTCCTAAGACTATTGCGTTCGTGCTTGTCTGTCAGCAGCTTACGGCGCTGCTACTCTCATCTGTCTTCCCTTACTTTATCAATCCTAATGAGTTGAACTGGGGTGGTAGAGTCATGTTTTTGTTCGTCGGTGCAGAGCTTTTCATTATGGTTGGGCTTTATTTCTTCCAGCCCGAGACGAAGAACAGGTCATACCCGGATATAGATGCACTCTACGCTAACAACGTTCCTCCGCGCAAGTTTAAGGAATTTGTCATTGTGGATGGTCAGGCCGTGAGGAGTGCGAATACTAGCAACTTCATTGATCGGGTTCTTCGGAGAAAACAGTCGAGTGTATAAGGCAATGTTGAATATTTAGGAATGAGAGAACATTTCGGACATATGGTCCCGCACATCACATACAGCGCGCAAATTTGACGCTTATTGACACGTAAATCATGCTGCGAAATCATGGTGAGACGAATGGACCTTGTCCTCAGAACTTTCAGCCTGAGGAAGTCCTCGAAGAGCCTCCTCGGCCATTTTCTCGCGTTCCTCCTCCGTCGCATCGTACCAGTGAACGGCAACATGAGCATCGTCGCCAAACAAAGCACCAATCTCCTCGAGAGCCCGTCCCTTCGTTTCGGGGAAGAAAAGATAAATCACTCCGATATAGAAAAGGGACGGGACGATCAGCACTAAGTAGAACTTCCAGCCAATCTTGGCTAGACCTACAGGTGCAGCGACCAAGGTAACTTCTGATGCAAGGTAGAAGAATGCAATACCCAACGCTACACCTTGAGTCCGCAAGTGGTTCGGGAATATCTCGGAAATGTAGATGTACTGCGTAGCATCCATAAAGAAACACCACCAGAAACAATAGAAGAAGACGAAAAAGACGGCAGCGTGCAGCCCAGCTGTGTTGTCTGTTCCAAGATATTGGGCACAAAGCGCACACAAAAATATCAGACAGCCAACACAGCCAATGGAACCAATCAGCAGGAATTTCCGGCGTCCATATCGGTCGACGTAGAGTGCCGTCCACGTATTTCCAATCAGGGTGAAACTGGCCCAGCACGCATAAAGCAAAAGCGGCACCGGGTCCTGAAATCCAATACTCTCATAGATTAAAACACCATAATTCGTAATGATGAAAATCCCCAGAAACTGATCCCCCCACATCAACGCACACGCCACAAACGCCCGTCGCCGATTAGCAGGAGTCCTCAAGATCTCAAACCACCTCGTCTGAATTGACCGATCAAGTTCAAACTGCTTCTCAATTAAAAAGAACTCCTGTCTCGCGTTAACGATATCCCGCTGTAAACGCGAAACAACAGACAGCGCTTTCTCTCGATATCCCTGCTGCAACAACCACCTCGGCGACTCAGGAACAAACGGACTCCCAACCAGGACAATAAGGGGGAAGAGAACCTGAACAGCCAAAGGAAATCTCCAAGAGAACTGAACCGCTGAATCGCTCTCACTAATATGATAACACGCATACCCAAGCCAGGCCGCAATCGAATACCCAACCGCATACATAATCCCCGTGATAGCAACCATCGCACCCCTCGTCTCGGCAGTCGCGATCTCAGCTTGGTAAGTGGGTACAATACAAGCCAGCGCACCTGATCCGATGCCCGCAACCAGACGCGCAACGATGAACATCGCGATATCGACTGTGCCTGCGCACAATGCACCGCCAATGATCAGAACCACGAGTCCAAACTGCATGGTCCATTTTCGACCGAAGTAGTCGCCGGCCCAGGCTTGGAATATACAGCCTATTATTGCACCGGCTGAGTTTACTCCGTTGAGCGCGCCGATTATGTTCGTTGTGTGGTCATATCCTTGTGTGCCTTGTGGGGCTAGGTTGAAGTATTTGTAGAAGTTTGGTTGGCCGACTGTTGTGCCTATTATTGCTAGACCGTAGGCGCTTGATATTGTGCCTATTGCCACGTATGTGACTATCCAGAAACTGTAGGTGTTTATCTCGAATTTGTTGGGCATGATGGCCGAGGGGAGTTATTGTGATTTGACATGGGAAAAGGCGGGGAAAGCACTTGAATAAATAGTAGGAATTAACGTCAATGGAGATCTGCGCTTATCATTTCCTTGATTGTTGATATTATCCGGTGGCTGGACTGTTTCCGGTGGGCTACTCTACTAAGCATTTGTATTGATTTAAACTTTGGTCTGGGGTAATGGGGTTGATGCGGGGAAGACTATCAATGACTTCATTCTTTGCCTCGGTCTATCAATCATTCCCTCTTATTCGGCAACTGTTCATCACTAGTCGGCTGTATGATTTTGATTTTTTTCTTTATGTGATAGGGTTGAGTGTCAGGCCACAGGCTGGAGAGGAGTCAAGCATCTCAACCAAGGGCTCTCTCTTCTTACCACCCAATTAGCTATCCCTTCATGTCAGTGCACTTTATGTTTCAATGCGTGTCTTCTGTCTCAGAGAAGCGGACTTTTCCTTCCTTCTCGATCAGCTACTTAGAACTTAATTCTCAATTTGTCTTCCCATGGGGTCTTGATTCTCATTCAGATATATGATATGCACTACTACCAATGTCCACAAACCAGCTGAATAACATCAGGTAAAGCAAGTTCTTAGTCATTCCTGCGCAGGACACTCCTATTCAAATGCTTTGAAGAGGAAGACGGAATACCAGCAAGATGAAGCGTCAGCTCCAAGTCACCACAAAGACTACGCAGAACATGAGACACCCCCGCTTCACCAGCAATAGCAAGTCCATAAACATACGGCCGACCAATAAGAACCATCTTCGCTCCAATTGCTAACGCTCTAGCAATGTCAGCCCCAGTCCTCACCCCAGAATCAAATATGACTTCCAATCGATCCCCAACAGCATCGACAATTTCAGGAAGAACGTCAAGAGACCCGACTCCTCCATCCTGTTGACGGCCTCCATGATTGGAAACCACAATACCCTGCACGCCGGCTTCCACAGCCTGTTCCGCATCCCGAACACTCTGGATCCCCTTCAAAACAATCGGTCCATCCCAATGGTCTTGGAGAAACTTCAAATCTTCCCACGAATGACTGGTACCTGGGAAGATTATGTGCGCCCACTCCGCCGCAGCGGTACCTCTATCATCCTCGACATCTTTCCCATGCCGTTCCCGAAATTGGCGCCGAAAAACTGGATCAGAGAATCCCAGCTCAACACCAATATTATCCGGACGCAGGAAAGGGTTGAATGCGTTCGTGAGGTCTGACGGACGCCAGCCAAGGATGTATGTGTCGAGTGTCACCACAAGCACGCTGTAACCTGTCTCCTTGGCTCTTTTCAAAAGACTAATGGTTATATCATTATTTTCATTCGACGGCCAGTAAAGCTGGAACCACCGTGCGCCCGTGGAATTAGCAGTCGCAACATCTTCAATGCTAGTCGATGAAGCCGAGCTGAGGATATATGGAATCTTCTCCTTGGAAGCCGCTGTGGCAGCTGCAATTTCCGCGTCGCGGTGGAAGATGTGCTGTACACCCACTGGTGCGACGGCGATGGGGTATTCGTACTCTTGACCAAATAGGCTTGTTTTAAGATCAGGGAAGTCCGCTTTCACTAATCGACTTGGGACGATGGACCATTTGCGAAATGCTGCTCGGTTGTTGTCGTCTGTCTCGCGGATACCGGCTGAGCCCCATACATAGCCGAAGCTTTCGGCTGGCAGGACTTCTTTGGCTGCTGCTTCCCATTCAAGGGGGTTAAAGCTGATGGGCGGTTTTATATTCTTCAGCCCGTTCGCATATACTTCATTTTCGTAAATGTGGGGTTGAGATGTCGACATTTTTGGGTCTGAGGAGATGTGCTTCTAGGTCTAGAGAGCTGGGGATACTTTATCTTGAATTGAACTAGTATTTGTACATGTAATGTCTCAAATGGTGTTTATCTAATCCCGTACTCGTCCGAGAAGCGGGCCGAGAAACTGCCGTCGATACCGGAAAATGGCGTCAATGAAACCACCTCGACGTCATATCTTGCCTGCCCTGGAAAACGAAATATCTATGCATGATATATCCAAACTTAAGTGATAAACAGAAGTTCAAATTCAACTTTGGCCGAACAGTCTATATAACCGTTAGCGAAATTGCTTCCACCTTGCCATTTAGAACTGAATAACATTTGTGAAAGTAGCAACACGACTCGAGCCCAGCACGGTAGCTTAATTTTCTTCTTCTTACTATTGTCTTTGGGCATCTAAATCTAAATAGATTTTAATCCAGCTTGATTTGTACATATGGCTTGGGCGGTGAAGTGAACCACTTCGCCCCTGAATAGCGTTTATTGAGTTTGAATCTTCGACGCTAGCGAGCTCTTTAACGCATCGTCGTGAAACTGTCAAAGATGGTCATCATCAGGTCAGCCAAACGCGCCGTGTGTCAGCTCACTAACTCGAGGATCTCTAAGAGGAATACTGCCAAAAAAAAAAAAAGACTACTAAGAGCAAGGCGATCAAAAGCAGTGCGACCAAGCAAAGACCGACAAAGAAACGACCACCCAAGAGGAAGCGTACTAAGGCAAACTCCACAACATGAATAGTAGGCGAGACAGGACTGCACTGTATCGTGAAAGATTGATAGAATTGAGAGATCCAACCGATGGTGTTATTCCCAACACGAGCGAAGTATTCTCTCTTCTACAACAACTGCGCAAGCAGAAAGGTTACCAGGCTGTTGCACGAGGCCGTCGATCTGAACCAGACGGAATCGAGTGGTGAATAATTGGTAAAGTGTCTACCCATAACGTAACGAAGGCGCCTCGGCCCTGAATTGGCCCGGTCCGCATTTGCGGGCAGATTTCAGCATTTTTGACGGCTGACTGAGCTTTGAGCTTGCAATTGTCTAGAATCTTCAAGCGATTTTAGCTCTTAAGGCACGAGATCCACTTTTGAAAAACCCACTGCCAGGGATCGACACTTGTCCGAATCTCGATCATTGAAAACTCTGACGTAGACTGCTTGTATGCAGCTTGGTTTTTGGGTTCGAGAAAGCGGGTACGCAAAACACAAGATGTAATCTTGAGTGTGAAGTGGTTTGATTTGGTCTACTAAATACTAAATACACACCGAAAAAAACAGTGAATAGAAATAACGTGCCAGATAGGCTAGTTGTTGATTTTACACCAACTTTCTTTGAGAGCTGTGAGACCTGGTATTGGAGACTATCCACTCATGGTTTGCTTCAAATCTCCCCCTATGCCGTGTGCGGCTTGCGCCTCATACGCCTCGGGCTTTAGCTAAGGTTGAGAACAGAGCCCAAAACCTTGGAGCGATCGATCGGCAGTAATTATGGCGTAGCGCCTGAAAACTCACTCCTCCAAATTTGTATTAGCGCTGTGTTCATGGGTGGGGCGGGATGCTAGCGTGCTCGGCACGCGACCCCCTGCCCAAACCGTGGAAGGCTTTCCCGTAGTTCCCGCACGTTCCAATCGATCAGGAGAGACCAGAAAGGAAATTATTCCGTTCCAAGGTGCACAGGGAGCTCTTGGAGGAATCTCGGACATAAGTTTCCTCTCTGCCAATCACAACCTTGGAGTGGATGTACTATCATATAGGCTGGCAGAAATCGACAATCAAAAGGTAAATTAAACACGCCACGATTTTGTAATAATATTGACATCTTGACGGACGCCTCAGAGAGGTAGCTCATGGTATAACCAGATATTCGGTTCCAAGTAGACACAGCGTTGCTCATCAAGGTAATACCGCAAAGGGACGAGTCCCTTCGGAAATACAGCCTCCAAATAGAGCTTGCCCGAGTTGGCCTCTTGTTTCAAGGGAGTGTCCTTACGCCCAATGAGCTGGCTAAAATTGACACCAGTCCACTGCTGCCAATCTTGAGCACTCCCCTCAACGTACATACTCCGTCGAGCCACCTTGACCACCCTAGCTCCCAGCCGAACATGTTTCCTCAGCCACGGATCAAAAGGTAAGCTCGGGTCCGTGCTTTTAGCTTTCATCTTGGAAACTCCGTAATCCGGGTTTGGTGTCGCTAACCATGACAAATAATCAGCCATTTCTGTTCTTGGGTAATCCGACTTTCGCGTCGGCCGAAGAGGGACCACCAGTGCATCATAACCCTGGTCCAATGCTGTTTGCTTCATAGCCATTATCAATAGATCTGCCAGCCCTTGAGAGCGGTATTGTGGAGAAACAGTGATCGAAATAGCGGAGAGTGCATTGGGTGCCTCTGTTCTCGTCCTGGCGGGATCGGATATAGGTCTTAATCCATTCATATCTTGAGCAATGCCTTCTCGTGCGAGCTGTTGCTCAAAGGCCCGAGATAAGATGCCATCATAACCTTCATCTGGTAGGCTGTGCAGTATTTCAGGATGTTGGCGCAGCCCTCTTTTGCCCCCGATTCTGTCCAATTCAGGCCAGTAAAACGGAACAGAGCGTCCACAAGCAATGATGTGCTCCCCTCCGTGGGTGTCAACGTCGACAATGGCATACTGCATAGGAGCAAAAGCTTCAAATCTGTCGAGCTGACTGCAGTAATGTTGGAAGTATTTGTCTTGGTCAATGAACGTTGGCCAGGCAGCATTCAATGGATGTGAAGGACTTTTAAGGATTTCCCAAAGATCAGGCCTGCTTTGAGCAGTATAGAGACGAATGTTGTCCATCGTTGCTTGACTTTGGTCCTGGAATCTGGAACTGGAAATTGGTCAAAGGTGAAAATGAATTTCTTCTACGAATGCAAATACGCTTGGGAAATACCTGCAATATGGTCTCCGCTTAGACTTATCCCGTCGAAATCACGCAGTTTGCAAGTGCACTACGCGCAAAGCTACATTGTGGAGCCGCCAAAAGACAACAAGGAGAAGCGATCCACTTGGCACAGCAATTACGTACAAGAAAATCCATTTGGCTTTTGTTCCCCACCAAGCTGAAGATTCGAGCCCACATGTTCATCAGCCATGCCCCATAATATCCTCCCCAAAATAGGGTCAGATCGTCATCGGCGCACCGCACAATATTACGTAGCAGCCTGCCAGAATCGTCCTGGCTCGCTTCTTTGAGATGTTTGTCTTGGTGCCATACCTCAATTTTTAGAGCCATCGACTTTTGAAGAGCTGCTAAAGATCATGCGCACTACAGGGCCCTCGAGGGAGGATGAGGGGATGACTGTGGGACCCGGTTAATTTGTGGCAGAGATGAGAAAATTTTGGGGTGGAGCCCACGAGTGTAAGAAATGATCTGGATGCAATGCAGGTTAATCGGTGGGAAAATAGACGCCAAGTGGATACCGTAAATATGCTAGCAAGCCGCATCGACCGCCACACATTAACTCTCTTCCTTAGTCATTCCTTTTCTTTCATTACCACGAGACGAGACAAGCATATAGCATTTTCTCTCGAAGCTGACTTCTCAGCATTCCAGAACCGCAATAGAAGATATGTTGTCAACAGGAACTGATGCGGGAAGGTTCTTCACTCGACCCCGGATCATCTCGATCAGAGCACTCAGATTGAGTCTTGGCTCACCAGCGAAAATGTATCCCTCCTTTCTCTCCAAGTCCGGGAGACGATGGCTCAAAGGAGATTCTGCCCACAATTGCCAAATTATGCAGCACTATCGAAGCTGATGTTCAGGAAGCTTACCTTTGCACGGTGGTGCAGAGGCGGCAAATAGTGAACAATTGATCCCAGATCTTTTCTTTCCCGTTCCACTGGAAACTGTCTGGAAGCTTCTTATGGATAATTAGAGAAGTCCTGGCAACAGGAGTCACACGCACGAGCCCAAAATCCTTCCCAGCTGTGTAAGCTGAGTCCTATACACCAGCAGCTAGGAAGTCATTTATTCACGAATTGACACTAAACCAATCCATGGACCCTGACAACATATCCATGATAGTCAAGATGGCATGTGCAACTCTGGAGTATTTACCGGACTAACCTTTGACAGGGAAGAGAATGTGGTCTCTCCCTCGGAGATACAGCGGGTCTTTGACTTTTACAGGGGTTTTGTTGAAGTGAATGTGCCTGACTTATCAGAGGGACCCAGGACAACCTATCCGGACCGACGCATAAAAAGCGAAAGAATGCAAGAAGCTGAAGGAGTCTCTTTGGCCCAAGGATGGACAATAGCCACGGACGCTAACCATGTCCTGTGATGAGTTTCCCTATATGTCAACATTGCAAGCTGGATGCACTTGATTGAAAGCTATCTACTAACACGACACTCATTTAGTCAGCTCAGCAGCAGAGGGGGGGCACAGGTGCTATAAGCCTATTCTCTTCCTCTCCGAAACATATTGCGTGAGAACTAAATTAACATCCTTAGGAGATACCTTAAGTTCCGGACGGTCAGTAGAAGTATCAATCGAAGATCAATAACTAGCTTCTAAATCAAGTACACTTTCATTCAACTCTGCTGCTCTGGTAGCATCTATCAAGTATTACTAATTGATTGGCCAACGGGGCAAAACAAATCGCAATACTGGAAAAACCCCGACAAGACACTAAATCATGAGCTCCTTTAGCTACACGAACAACCAGAGTAACCTCGAGACAGTGTGTGACTAATTTGCCTTTAGTGTCACGATCAACCCCTCCATGAACCCAGGAACCGGACTGCACCATGTTTTGGGGGTATCAACCTCCAGGGAGACCCGGGACCCTCACTGACCAACAACGGCGTATGCATTGTGTTCCCTTACAAGAAGAAGACCCTTGGCACGCTCATTACCTTCGTACTCGCCTGACCTGAATTTATACAGAGAGTTCTCTGCTGAACTGAAAGGCTTTATAAGGCTTATTTGGAGATACTACGCGGAAGATCCTGATGGAGAATTCGGCACCTTTCTCGAATCGTGTATCAATTAAGTTAGGGCAAAAGAAAATAGGGTGAGAGGTTATCTTCGGTATGCAGGCCTGAGTATTGAAGATGTGGATGCTTGAAATTCTCCTTCCGATGAAGCAATAACATCAAGTGAGCAATCCCACCTTCCAAAGCACCTATTATCACCCCATCACTTCAATCCTGTCTAGTTATGCTTTGGCCAGGACATAGTTTCAGTATTTATCTCTGAAACAAGCTTCCAGGTCTGTCTTTGCATTTTCTGCGTCCACATCATCCGGAATAGTGCCGTGTTTCGCCAAGATCCTGTGACTGTGTTTCTGGGCTTCTTTCTTCAACTCTGCATTTTCAGCATCTTTGTTCGCCTGGAGAATGATATCCTGTTGACCGCTGCTGGGCGTCGCATCTTTGCCGAACCTGAAGTGTTTCTTTTTGTCATGACTTTGGGACGGAAAGATACAGCAGGCGACAGACTTGGCTTTCTACAAGTTTTACACTCCTTCGCATATTCTCAGTGCCACAGTGGGGCACTATTCTAGGCCTGGTACTATGTAGCCTTTATTTGCGTTATCTTGGCACTGTTTCCAAATCGAAAATATCCGAGTGAGGGTGAATTACACGCGAAACTTCTTTGGAGACCCGGCTAAAAACCAGTGGCAACTCGCCCTGATTGGTGAAGGGCACAAAGTAGACATAGTGCTATGATAACCTATCATTTCTTATAAAATGGATACTTAGGAAATAGTTGAGACACTGGGTATAACGAAGTAGCATCTTTATATCAACGTACGAAGGCTTTTACCGAAATGTGGAGCATATGGAATTGAGGGTTGTATGAGAAATGCAAGTCCTGATAGACCTAGACTATAAGCGATTGGATTTGAAGGCGTTTTGGTCAAAATAAATGCATTTGCAAAGAATAGATAATATCAGCTGATCCACTTAGTTACGTTATCCACTTGGACGAGAACTCCGTTGAGCTATAGGCGCTTAGCTTTGAACTTTTTGCCAGCCGTACCGTTGGTTACCACTTTCCATAATACCCATGAGATGGTAATCGAAGAGACCAAGTGCGAATTTCAAAACTTCATGATAGTATTCTTGTCGTATAGGCGTGTAGGTTGCCATGAAAAACTCAAAGCTCTGGAAGTGATGACTGAGGATCTGGGCAAAAACACGCGAGGCCTCTATTTCGCTCCACTCATTATCCCTCATACTAACTCGGACGAGATTCAAGTAAGCGGATCCATCGTCGTGTCTCTGTAGGGACTCAAGGTCTTTATGAAGCCCAATCATATCGTGAAAGAGAGCAATAAAAATAGAGATTTGGATAAGACACGGGTCCTCTGGACTGAAGAGTTCAACGTGGGCTGGTTGCAGAAATAGAAGGAACACCATAGTGGTACCAATAGTGAATCCTCTTGTTCGCAGAATATTCTCTGACGTTTCTTCTGCGCAAAACATTTGACCTTCTTCGTATTGTTTATCGAAGAAAAGGCTTAATGTGTCGACACATAACTGGACATGCCGAGTAGAAAGCAGTTTCCTTTTGAGGGGCATAAGGTCTTGGGCAAGGATTTCTTGTACATTTATAGCCTCCTGGAGCAGTTCCTTGGGACAAAGACTCTCGTATTGCATCAAGTCAGCGACAGGAAGCCCATTCATGATATTTTTCAGATTGCCAAGGTACGACTTCTCGACATTTGCGTGCAACTGATGAATTGGAAACTTCTCGCAGACCTCATCCATCAAGAAGATCCACGTTAAATGATGGTGGAGAAGAACTCGTCGGTCGTATGATATATGAGTTTGAAGAGAACAATAGTGGGACATATCAATCCCTAAACGCGCGAGGGGCTGAGGGAAACTTTCAAAAAATTTCCATGCTTGGAGATCATTGGAAAGTCGATTTTCGATCTCCCGATCAAAAGATATTCCGACATCAGGTGGGAAATATATAACACAATCGTTGGGAGAAGCAATCATTGCTTGCTGAGCCTTTTCGTGGCTGCTCAAAAACCTCAGATTTAGGTCGGTCTTCTCATGTTTGAAAGAGATATACTCATTGTCGACGTAATAGGGTAGATCTCGTTGAAAGGCAGAAAGAATATGAGTTGGAGTTTTCTTCTGAGCCGGGTTCTGCATGGCATACGCCGTCTTCTTGTATATCTCAACAGCCATATCGACAGATTCAGTAGCTTGTGAGTCAATTGAGTAGTTTTGCGCAACTTCTTGACACTATATATACTAGATTTATGTCAAAAGGGAACTTGTTTTTGTTCTCTTATCTAAGATTACGTACCCTATAACGCAAGACTGCCCGATGATGGGAACTTTTCAGGATATTGACAACCTCCCTACAAGCCTTGGAACGTTGTGTAACACATCTTCGCGTCATAAATAGTGAGAGGGTGTAGGGTATGGCCTTGCATTGCCCATTAATTTGGCACAAAAACTTGGCCTTGAGGTGGTCGATTATCAATCCAATCTATTCCGTGGCGTGTCCTAGGAGAGACCCGTGGAATAGAGGCCTATGATTAGCCGGAGAGGAGGGAGGAAGCCCCTCTGTGGGATTCGCCATTCCTCGGCGTTGTCCACGGGGTCCGGCCCCTTCTATATACGTATAAACGAGAGATTCGATCCTGCACGAGCACCAAATATCTGCATCTAGCTGGATGGGTCTACTCAGGGTGGATCATGCTCTTGGTCAGTGACCATGATCGTCATCTCTCTTTTCATAAGTACCTGGGGGTCTTAGAGTATAGAATGTTGCATATGATCTCAATGATAGACAGATCGGTCAATTCTAAGTGGCCCATCAGCAAGTTGCGGCCTCAGCATTAGTTGGTTAGTGGCTACTAGACTGTGCCGCTTCTGCCGCTCACCTGAATTTCAAGAACCCAGCAAGGCTGGCCGCCTAGATACGACTGAATTTGTAATCTTTCGAACTAGTGAGATCGATGGTGTTATGCTGCGAGGTATCTATATGAAAAGTTGTAGGAGAGTCGACTATTTAGGTGGTTTTAGTGAACAGTTAAACTTGAAGACGAGGAAGGGGGCAAGAGGCCAATACCGGCTTAGGGAATGTGGCTGCGACGAACGCCACTTCGCCCAGCAGTGTTCCAAGATAAATTCCCCGACCTGTCGCGATAAAGTCCATGTAATCAGATCAGGAAAGATAGAGACACTCCTTCCTACCTAGGTAGACCTATGCACCTATCTCTGTCTACTTCTTAATGCGGCAGTATACCTGAAAAGTCACGAGCATTTCATTACATTAGACAGTACTGCTTAGTTGGGCGCTACCCACTTTCAAAACCCCATTCCAGGAAGCTCAAGAATTATTGGTATATAACATGAAGGGTTACATTCCTCGTATTCATAAAACTCTCGTTGCTTTGACCTATGACTATTCACTAACCCGATACAACTAGATTGCCACAGGTTCTCCTAAAATAGCGACCCGCGGAGCTATACGTGATGCTCGAATTACATATTGGGGCCCCCCTATCTTTCCAGGAAGGTGGCTGGCTGATAACCGCCGTTTCATTATGTGGATAATGAAGCCGTTGGGTTCAAACATCCTTGTGGTGACATTGTCGTGAAGACTTGCAGCAAGTGGGAAGATATTCAAAACCCCACAACGTTTGCCAATAATGTCTGTCTGATATACTTCCCTCATAGCCTTGATATTTCTTTCGCTTCCAATATAGAAGCTCGACTCGTGCAAAGCTGGAGTTTATTTCGATGTTTCAGCCCTTCGCTCACCAAGTTGAGGTTATAGCTGTGTCGCTCAGCATTCATCAACACGAATATACCGCAAGTATTCAACAGCAGGAAGATCTATCTTGAGATTCTCAAAAGCATTATGGCAGATTGTTCAACTGAAGACCTATTACCATTCACAGACTGCTGCAATGACAAATCGATCTGGTCCTTCTTTGGGAAAGGAAATAGTAATGTCATGAATATATATATGCTAATCTCTGCTGCTGCCTAGGGAGGGTCTATTGGCTTGCATAATTCAGCGTCATCTCATTAAGTTCAGCCATGTGGCCACCACGGCGCATTCGATCTTGTAGTTTATATCGTACGTCGGGGATTTTTGACTTCAGAGGACCTATTGTTCAGAAACAGGCGAAAAATATTGTTGAAGGGCAGTCCAAACACGGCTTCTCTTCAGTGACTATTCCACCGGGTGGATTGTCATCTGTTCATCAAGATGCTTATCTTTGACATTACGGAGCATACAAAAAAGGTCTATGCCCGTCTGAATCCCAAAGAAAGCCACTGGGCACCAGAAAGCGAGGGCCCCATTCCATGCCCAAACACCATGGTGTCGTGTGTGAATGCCTGCAGCGAAGCTGAAAACAACTGGCGATACTAGATTCCATACCCCCAACATCTTGGGAAATATCGGTTTGGCGCTGCGATCGGAAAAGATCACCCATGCGATGGTCCATCCCTGGATCCAAAAGGTCGGCCATTGGCCAACTATCAAGAGCCAGCTGATATCGCTGATAAATAGCGTAATTTGGAGGCCATAATCACGAAAAGCAATCAGACAAAGGAAGAAACCAGGCATCATGATACCGAAAACGGATGCTGCACATGCCGCCAGCTGTAAGTTGCAGATCATTGGGTCAATGTTGGGGATGCGTCGTAGTTGGTGTGAGATGACCGCTCCCCATGGTATGTAAAGGCCGCCTGCGAGAATCATCAAAGACCCGGCTGCAGCTGTCCCTGTCTGATGACTCTGATAGTGCTCGTACACTTTTTCAGCTCCCCAGGAAGGCGGGATTGGAGGAAACCCGCCTAAGGATATCATGCCCAACAATAAGAATAGACTGCTAAGCGCGCCGCTTAACATGCAACAGTATTGCCAGTTTTGGATGGTAAATACCCCGGAGCGTACACATATGTGGTCTATGGCACGTTCGAAGCTGAGCACGGCATGTCGTAGCATTTTGGAAGGAATTTCACGATGGAGGGCAGTGAGGTCGGAGATAGGTTCGCAAATCAAGTATTGTAATTTGTAACAGTGGGATTATCAACGCAAGTAGAACGCCGAGACAGCTCTTAGAAGTAGTTTGGATTGATGAATAAGATTCTTTGTAAACGCAGTTTAACACCTGAAGCGTTGCACACGTAATGTGCTTACTCCTTAGCTTTGAGAGAACTTTGGGACTGACTATTTCAAGATTCGATTTACAACTTATTTCTATTCAAATATCTTGCCTTTTAATTTAATTTCTTTTATTCTTCCATATCTTCCATTTAATAGCGGAATTCCATTCCCCATGCAGACTTCACTAACCGCTTTCAAGGAAATTCAGCAGCTGATGCTTAGAAAGAAGCGTCAAATGGAAGGCTTATCCACGATTGATCGTTATCGAAAGAAGGGTATATATTGATGGTTGGTTCGATCTGGCATTTCTGAAAGCCTCTTACGACTGCGGTGATATTGTGGCATTAAGTCCTTTCTCCTGCAGGTCGTGATGTACTTGTACTATCCAATAGACAACCAAGGACTATGTCGCCTGACTGGGTTTGGACTACATAGCAGAGGACTGTGGGTTTGAAGACATGTGGGCGTTTACAGCTTGCAAGATGAGAATGTTACCCCAAGACGTTAGGGCTAAACTTTGTCTGGAAATAAATCTTGAAAAACAAGAAGTGAATCTTAGAAACCAAGAAATTAATCTTGGAAAACAAGGAAAAACTCGTTTCCTCCTTGATTTCTTCTTTCTCTATCTATGCATTGACTTGTTATGCAATAGACATACTGTTGTACCCCTCAAGGTTGCTTTGCATGAACAACTCATAGGATGTTTTCTGCCAGACCCCGAGGTTCCTTTTTCCACTGCATGATGGAGAATGTAGTGTATGTATAAAGGTATAAGAGAAGAGGGAGTTGGTGCTAGTTTTGGGTCTAAGCTACGCAAGTTTAACGATTTTGAAGCTGCAAAACCCGTATAATCAACAAGCTGACCCACCTGGCCCTGGCTTTTGTCTTACGGTAGTCATTTAGAGCTGACCAGATGCAGGACTTCAATATGACCTCGGTCACGAGACACTGGCTTTTTGAAATCAAACACATGCCCTTTTTGGTCTCTATCTGTGTCGGGTTTCTAGTGTTACAGGCTTTCTATCGAGGTAACCAAGCCTATGAACTTACAAAGCAGACATATGAAGCTAAAGATTTTAATTCTCAGTCTATCTAAGTCCCTTGTCTAAATTTCCGGGGCCCCGGCTCGCAGGTGTTTATATTCCAGTCCTGCACCTGCTCCTTATATTAACAATTTGTAATCAGCCTTGACAACCTGGTATATAGCTTACCACGACATCTATCACAAAGGGCAATTCTTTAAAAAGCTAGAGAAATTACATGAAAAATACGGTTTGCTTTCTATTCTTTCCCCACATATAATGAACAAATGCTGATTTCATATCCCCCTCGTCCAACGACAGGGCCGATTGTTCGGATTAGTCCAGAGGACCTGCACATCAACGATCCGGAATTTACTGATGTCATATTTACGGGCGTTGAACACCGGAGAAACAAAACCAAGTGGATTGGTCGCTCACTGATCTGTAAGTAATCTGATGCCGTTTCATGAAACAGTCACCGGAATACAAATCTGATCGAGGAAAGTACCCGATTCCACTGTTGCAACGATACCACATGAGCTGCACCGCAAACGAAGAGCCACTCTGAATCCATATTTCTCCCATAAAAGCATTCGGAACCTTGAGAATGTCATGCAAAAAGGACTGAGACGTATGATGGGCCGCATCAAAGAGAGTGGTCAAACTCATAGCGTACTCTCTCTTAATCTCTTGTTCAAGGCAGTTACTAGTGATACTATTTCCGAGTACTGCTTTGGAGTTTCAACCAACTATCTGGATCATGACGACTTCAACGCCACATGGTTTCATGCAATTGATTCTGTGCTGGGGATGGCTTGGGTCTTAGCGTACATTCCATTCCTAGGACCCCTGATGAAAATGATGCCGCCGTCTATCATGGCATCACTGAAACCTGGACTGAAGTCTCTGTGGGACATGCATCAGGTATGCCTATAATCCTTGATTCTGGTGGAGCATGTATTGACTTTATTCCTCAAGCAATGGGACAAGAAGATTGACGAAATCAGGGCATGTCCGCCAGGCGAAAGCAAGAATGACAGTGTTTTCCATGGTATCATTCATAGTGACTTGCCAGCATCCGAGAAGACGACGAAGAGAATGCAACAGGAGGCACAGATGTTGATTATGGGCGGGCAAGACCCAATCGGTCAGTAAAAGCTAGCAAGCACATGCCAATCCCCCAGGATGCGGTTCATAATTAACAAATTCATAAGCCTATACCCTGAGTGCTATCACCTACCACCTACTCTCGAACCCAGACAAACTGGCAAAGCTAAGAGCCGAGCTCAAGACTGCATACCCTGACCCCGATAGCACCCCCGCCTTATCAATTGTTGAGCATCTTCCTTATCTGCAAGCAGTCGTTCTAGAAGGCCTTCGAATCAATCCAGGGGCATTGGTACGGATGACACGTTCATCTCCAGACGAAGATCTGGTGTATCATGACAAAAGTAATAACAAAATGTGGGAAATTCCCCGCAATACGCCTATCACAATGAGCGCTCTCCTTTTGCAAAGGCATCCGTCTGTATTTCCAGAAGCAGATAAATTCGAACCGGAACGCTGGCAAAATAACCCTGGGCTCAAACATTACATGATAGTATTTTCTCGGGGAACACGGATGTGTCTAGGGTTAGTCTCCTACCTATAATCCCATTTTGCCTCCTACTAATTGATATTGACCGTCTCAGATTCAACCTCTCCTACGCTGAGCTCTATGTCACATTGGCCAGTCTTTTCCTTCTGTACGATTTATACGATGGGACAGGAAAACAGCAGGTGCCCACTTTAGCTCTGTATGACACAATCCGAGAACGTGACATAGATGCTAATATGGACTTCATTGCGCCTGCCGTGGCCAGAGGAAGCAAAGGCCTGCAGGTGGTAGTTAGAGGGTAGACGGAGGGCTGTTCTTCGGCAGGTGCGACTGTCAGTCTTCCTGGTCATAACAACATGCCAGCAATTCCTTTGTTACGGGCCTAGCTGTTAGTAGCTACACTAGGCAAAGATCTCTATAAGAAGAACCCAATCAACTTGGTCGTTCATAGGGTATGGAAAGCGGGGGTAGACGGGAGGTTTGGCTGTCGTATGACCTCCCTCCCCGCTAGGAACCTGAACGCTCGCCAGTGGCAAGCGAAGATAGAATCTACAAGGACACTCATTCTTCATCTACTTAGATCCTTGTGATCAATATGTTGCTTTTACTTTTGACTTCCAAGGTTTCTAGTTGAAAACTATTTTACCTTTTGATTTCTACATGGGCTTCTGTAGGACCTAGCGGGACCTAGAGCCATCTAATGGGTGCTCTTAATAATCTACTAGACTATAATCTATCTTGGCTTCATAATTATGGGAAAAAAGGTCTTCGTAAAGTAGACTATAAGTAGTTTTTAACCATGTTCATGACTTGATGGAATGCGACTTAGCTTTACGCTACTTGGGCACCACTGGCTGAACCCAACCGAGAATAACCACTACTGACTCCGCACCCAATTGCTGAGGTGATTGGTCACCTTTCTCCACAGAGAGCAGTGTTCTGGAGACGCATAAACGCTTTTCGGATGATTATCAAGAAGGGCTATCCATGGAGGATAAACAGGGAGTGGTGATATCCCTGGGGGCGGGGCACCCTATCGACATATCAACATCAATGCTCTCCAGTCCTAGTCTCGCCCCCCTGGTTTGGATATCTTAGCTAGGTGGCTTAAATGGCAGTGTAAAGAGGCTAAGCAGCTCGAGGTATAGGTGATGGAGATCAGCAAGACGAGTCTTGCTTATCCTTACGGGCAAAATAAATTTTACGCGATCATAATCCTACGTCTGACATGAACCCTTCTTAACAGTGTGCCAACAGAGTGTTAGAAAGCCCGATTATCCTTATTTTTGACAAAATCTTTCAGCGCATAGTTCTCAAGAGTTCAACAGAGAATCAGGCAACTCACAGAATGACGACACGCTTTAGCATGTGACTCAAAATAAGAAGACACGTCCTTTTTCCAGTCCGGAAGGTGGTCAAGCGCTGTTTTGCATACGTTTATGGCCACCGCTTTAGTAGATCAGGCAGGACTTTCACAATGACTCTTTGTAGGAACGTGAAGTTGTATCGAACTATCCGGAGTCACTGCAGGTCTGGCGGTCTGGCATCATCAACCGCTAGCCTCCCTCCCTTCGGCGACCTGACCCCATATCACCTTGTTTAATGTATAGCTTCTCGAGGACTTCTGTTTGAAAAAGAAGAGATAGTCGCTCAAATCAATAGGGAGAGAACAAACCACGAAGATGATTGCGATGTGTAGCCATCAGCCATCCTCTCCTTTTGCTCTCGTAGTATGGAATGCACCTCGATGGTATATCTTTCGGGTCAATCAGAATTTTTGTTCTTTTCTGTAAAGTATTCCTAGTATTATATCTTACTCTTTCCAAGTTCACTGAAAATATGGCTTCACATCTTCCCTCTCCGAATACAATTTGTTTCACCATCTAATGAAGAGGGGAACGCTTGTTGACAGCACACTCCGTGATCTGCGGTGGCAACACAAAACAACAACACAAGCTACCACAGACTATACCTGAGATACAAGACAACCACCCATGAGATTCAGATAAGAGAGGCGAAGAAGCATGTCATTGAGTAGGATTTCGTACTTAATTAAAGCGGGGAATTACTTGGTACCAAATTTTATTTTAATTTCATCTAAAGAGGCCTATTGATCATTTGCAGGACGAATTGTTGAAAGTTGCCCTCAGCATGACCAAAGACAGGGATCCCAATTTAAAACAAAACCACACCGAAATACTGTCGGAAAATCCTTCCTTCCTCGCAGCGGACAAAGCCTTCCATGTCAGCGACACAAGCTTCGTACTGTAGCCTGAGCCACGGTTCTGACACCTCTCAAGGTCTCTCTAATTTAGACCTCAAGATAACCGCTGTAGTTGTTTTGAAAGTTAAAATCACCAGATCCCTTGTAGATATAACAATTTCCGACGGTACTGCTTGATGCGAAGTTACAGTCTGGGGTGGCGTTACAATGTTCAATGCACTGTGTGGTCGTCATTGCCTGCATGATCGGGCCAAGCCGCACATAACCCTTACCACTGGCTGTTTGAAGTCAGATAAGATAGTCGTTCAAGGCATCAGGTAACTTACATGCGCGGCAAGTAGTCTTCCACTTTCTACCTGCGACCGTGTAGACATTCCCATTCCCGGGGCCTATTGCGATTAGTACATTGGAGAGACCTGTGTTTGCCTAATAATAAGAATAGCTCACATTGATTGCCGTAGCGATCAGGTCCATTGCTGGACGAAGATCCACCGCTAGGTCCGTTTGCTTGGCTCTGCTCGAGCTGCGCTACCTCAGCCTCTAGGCGGGCTTTTGCCTCCTCGCAGGTTTCCTCCGGGAAAGGATCCTCATCCTCATCCTCAATAGGGAAAGGATCTTCTTCCTCAACCTCCTCCATAAAAACGGAACCATTCCGTGGCTTGCCCTTCGTGGGTCCACTGAGATAACAGTAGGATGTGTCTCTATCCCAAGTGCTTCCAGTGCATTGTGCAGCTGCCTTGCATAGCTCAGCACATTGTTTCATCGTACTGCCTTTTGTCCGGCTCGAGAGATCGTAGTCTCCCAGAGTGTCACAAGTGTATCGCACGGTGAGCCCCGGGCTGATCTCCTCCTCCGCGAGTTTGCCAGGACAAACGGCGTCATACTGCGCAGCGGGACTTTGCGCCATGGCAACGGATACAAAAGAGGCACAAAGGAGAACTTTTGCGGCTATCATGGTGGCTGGTGAGTGGTTGAGTAAGAAGATTGGGCTTTGGATTGTGTGAGATGGAATATCCCGAATGAACGGGGTTTGGTCTTGAATTTATAAGTTCTCATCGGACCGATCTACGATAAAAAATTCTGCAACTGGAATATGCCAGATAGAATTGTTGAAGCACACTAATGAAGACAAGTGGATATTACTAGATTGATCGATCGATCGATCTTAGTTGTGTAGCTGGATTTGTAACAACCCTTGCCGTCTGCATATTTCGATGTGGGAATCACGCGGGACCCTATCAACTCCAGCTATGGATCTCAAATCTGTGGCACTAGCTATCTAGATCTTACGTGGGCCACTCTATGATTTTCTGTCCGCTCATAGTGACGCTGCCATCACTGATTCACTGGCGCCCCTTACAGCAAGGCAATGTTTCCAAGCGTCAAGCTTATTAGACCCACAGTTGTAGACCCACTTAGTCTTCTCTTGTACTCTTCACTTTCTGTCCAGTGGCCAGAACTTTGTTGAGAGCGTGCAAATGCACACCAACCCTGGCTTTTTGAACTTATTCTTCCTTATAGTGTAGCTCCAGAAAGTAACTGCATTGCTCTGCAAAAGTGCCACCTGTCCTGTTGTGTGGCGTGTGTGGCGGGGAAAAAGCAAAAAAAGCAAGAAAAGCAAAAAGCCAAAAGACACTAATAACCCGACACAATTACAGAATTACATGTCGAGTACTAGCAATATCCAAATTCTAGGGTCTTTTTGTATCGGGATATATACTGTGTCGGGTCCGTTCTCAACTCGAATGTATTATTACCAAGCAAGAAAGATGGGTCCTGCTCCAGCAGTATCTCTAAGGATTTTAGCATGGTAGTGCCTATCCGCACCCGCGAAGTCTGTTGCCAGACGTCTAGTAGTCAGATAGACTAACATGTCATTGATCCTCACTCACCGCTGTTTTGTGACCCAGATTGTCGATCTAGAAATCAAAGTGTCTCGCTACAGGGCAAATGACTAGTCTCAGTGGAGTGTGAGAGTTTGTTCTTCTCCTTAAGTCCAAAAAACGCCACATACATATGGAACATATACCTAAAATTGATTTCTTTCGAATATGCATTATGCGCATCAATATTGGTCACACGGCCTACATGATCAACAACGATCTACCAGAATACATCACGAAGAAGAAACGTAAACCTAAATTACTCAAGACCGTACAGTTTTGGTGGTCTGTTAACAAGAGATCGCAAAGAAGCTGCCAAATTCCGCTATCATAAAATTATTGAGAACGAGCAATGGCTTTATTTCAAACCCTCTATTGTTCCCACCGAATGGGCTGGTAAAAAAAGGGAAAATGATACTAGGCCTGCTAACTTTACTTCGTAATCCATAACAAGTTGTATTAATATTACTAGATCTATTCCTTTCAGGAGAAAAAGAACACAAAAGAAAATTGGACATAATGTCTATAGAACTGAATTGCGCTAATATAAGTGGGTAGTGCAAATTGGTTCTCAGTAGGGTCATTTAGCCTCCTTGCAGAAATAAAGTAGGCCATGATGCATGAAATGCTAAGTCAGGTGCTGCATACTTTGGCGTAGACTCATATAAAGTTTAATCTTTGTGTAACATGAACAGCACATGAACAGCAGGGGGTGAAGATGCGGCCGCTACCTCGGTTGAGACATACGTATCTATTGAAAGGGGCTGTGTGCATAGCAATAGTTTGGTATGTAGATCCTCTCCAGACTAATTCCAGACGATGGTAATGGAACGCTATATAAGTCTGTTATCTGGCCCTCCAACAGCTACTAACAACATCAATATTCTACTTCCTAGCCTGAAGACTCTATCAAAACGACGGTTCAAAATGAAGTCCCATTTGTTTCTCCTTTCCCTCTCTGCTGCTGGTGCTTTTGCCCAGACCCAGTTCTTGCGAGAAGCACAGTATAATGCTATCTGCGCCTACCAAGATGGCCTGGAGGATGAGATATCTCCGGGCTACTGGGTGCGCTACAACTGTGGGGTCATTGGGAGCTGGACGAGCCCTACCATCAGCAACATTCAAAGCGCCCAGGCCTGTGCCGAAGAGTGCAAGCAGGTTGCAACCTGTGTCGGAAGCTCCTGGAGCGCAAGCAGTGCGCAGTGCGTTCTCAGCGGCAACAAAAAGAGCATCAACAGGTCTTACGCCTTGTTTATGGAAAAGATAGAGCCCGCAGATCCATTCGAGACGTGCGAGGATACTCTTGATAATTGCAAGGCAGACCTCGCGCAAAGCAAGGCAGATGCCGCTAAGAGCCAGGCAGCCCTCACGAAATGCCAAAGCGACAAGCAGAAACTTGATCTGATTTGGGAGCAGCGCAAAGAAGCCATGGAGATCTGTGGCTATGGTGGCCGTACCAAGATTCAGGCCGGCAAATATGCATATACCCCTCGTTGCCAGCGATCGGCTACCACAGGCGCGTTCTACAAGCAGCTGGACCTTGGTGTTGACAAGTGTCTTCAGCAATGCTCAAAAGAGACAAGGTGCAAATCTGTCAATTATGTCATCATGAACAATGCGCCCTGCAAGTTGCATGAGACAGGTACCACTGCAGCTATTCCAGTCACTGATGAGAACTCCTGCCCTGTCACTCCCATGATTGGATTTACTCCCACAACCAAGAAATAAGTCTGCTGTTATTCTTATCGATGGTACTCCATAAGATGATGGAAGTAGGTTACATGGTCCTTTGACTTCCGCGGAAATTGACTAATCTGTCTCCTGTGCTAGGGAAATTGCCTTCCAGACCTGTGGTTATATATCGTTGGATGGTTTATGCAGAAGGAAAGTGAGAGCCCCAAACATTGTATCTGATACCTTGGATTGAAGAGGGGTTTGCTCGGACATTTGGAGGGTCTGATGGATGAGTCGTATCGCTTGGTCACATATTGTGGTGATTTGAAACCAAATTTTCGGTGTATGTTTTGATGGATTATTCATTCGCGCACTAGGAATTCAATGCCATCTTTTCCTGGTCAAGAAGCCTGATTTGTTACGCGCGTAATATCTTTCTTAGCTTTTCCAGAATATAAAACCGGTTCTACGTTTAAACTCGAATTCAAAGTACTGCGATACTAGACTCGAAGTTCATGTTCCCCCTGGTTCCATTATCTGGCCCAATCCATTCTTAAAAAGGAGCGAAAGCATGCAAAGCGAACCCAGGGGCTAATGATATAGCGTCTAGAGGAGAGTTTTGCCAATTCTTGTCACCTTTCTTTACATAGGCTTTCATCATTGAAGGATTCGTTATTGTTTTTCTTTTTGTTTAATGTCAGAGGTCATGTGACTGATATCTGTTGATAGATATGGACTTCGCCCTCTTCTTCCATTGTTCTGCTTTATTTCCTTACTTAACCTACTAAGGCTACGTTCACAGCCGGCTGCTGCCTCATAGAAAGTTACCCGTTTTAATATTTAAGGTTAGGGTCTTCGAACTTATATTGCCTATTAGAATATTTAGGAAATTAACTCCCATTCGAAAGTGACCGTTATGTAATAAGCTTAATCCAACACATTGATAAGCCTTATTGATTAATTTGTGTTACGAAGAGATGGCTGCCAACTTTGTTTTGCTTGACATTGTTTAGATAAAGGAGATTGACTAGGCGAGGTCAAAGATGCTATGTATGATTCAAACGTAGAATAGCCAAAGACTAATTCTTTAGCTTCAAGACATTTCCTCAAGTGCATTGAATATATACATGAGGGGGCAAAACCCTGTCCTGGCGAGTCTAATAGTGTTATAGACTAGTTTTCTTTGATAATCTTGGCTATGAATCCATATACCATCTCGCCAAGACCCTGAACCTGTATGCAATGTTGAAAAAATGAATTCATTACTTACTTGTTGGATAGAACTAAGATATAAGGACATTTCTTTCTTAAATCCAGTAAAAGCTATTGTGAAATGTTAATATTCAAGTGACTTAAGAAGTCCACAATATGTTAATTGTAACCTCAGCCTTAGATTGTACTAGGTATACATTTTATATTCTGAATGTAAGCCAAGCGTTGTGAAGGAGGGAGAGTTAAAAGAGACCTATAGTAAACCCACTCTAATCCTTCAACGGCGCCTTTCTTGGCACGGGCTGAATGCTTAGGTAAAGAATGTTTAAGCAGGCGGAGAGATGCCTGAATTGTCCTGAAGTGGGCTGAATAAAGCGGCGAGCCGCCTACGCAGCGCGTCGTGGGCGCTAGGTGACCACCGACATAGGATGACTGTTGTATGTTTTTGCTCTGTTTTTTTCTTTGCCCGCCGTATTTCGTGCCACTGTAACAACACCTTCACCTGTCTTGGTGGCCTCGAATCACCTAGCTTGCTGACGCGGTGCAAACTAAATACGTTGTCTATTACCAATATCTAGTCTAGCTCTGGTTATCTTGCCTCGATAGACGCAGTGCAAACCTTATTAGCGACGAGGGTTAAAAGCGAATGGGATTAGCTGAGGTGAATGGCGAATATCTTCTGCATAGCACCGTCTGGTGCAAGAAGACTTTATATGGAAGCCCTTTTTAGAACCTTTTGGGAGTAAATCTATTGTTGCAGATATTTTTCATGGCGCATCTCTTTAGTAATGGGGCCTCAAACTGATTCAATACACTAATGGCTTAGCGGAACCAAGTGAGCAGGCTTCTTTTGATGCCAGAAGTACAGATGGTTCTATCAATCAATAGATCAGCAGATTGATACCTAGCTCGTCGTACCTACCTCACTATCGAGTGGCACTTAGGAAGCGAGGTAATATCATGCGGATGTGTGCTATGGTCTTTCTAAATTTGGATTTACTAACAAGACCTAGGGCCATGCATTAAGAAGAATTTTCCGCCGAACAGCAATTCACTGGCTCATGCGAACTAAGGAATATTCAATCCAGGGCCTTGGTAGACTTGGACGGAGGTACTGATGTGTTACTTGACTAAGATGACCGAAGGCGAGGTGGGGGACAGGCAATTATACGATTAGATGGAATGAAAGAGATTCCAAATCGAGATGCATTTACGACTAGCTGGTTCTTGGTGAGGATAGATGGTCCTTTTACTCGGCTTTTTACTCGCCCAAGTCGCAAGATCATTTCGTGAGAACTAATGCACACCAGCGAAAGCACTGACTCTAGATCAAGATGGTGAACGAAGGTCATCATCAACCTAATCAAATCTGTCATCATCTGGATCTTTCCAGAAAAGTTCCAGATCATCTGGATCCGACCCTTTCTTCACATTCCTACCATTTGGAATGCAAGGATCAACGCCTTCCAAGATCTTGAGTCCTGGCAGCTTCGCATCTTTTTCATGCGCCAGTTGCTCGATTTGGGCATAAACATCTAGATCAGATTCGTGATCCAGATAGGGATATTCCATAGGCTGTCCATGGCCGTAAATCCGGAGAGACTCAAGAGTAGACGGGATATGATCAACAAGATTGAAAGACTTTGAGTCACGCTGCGTCTCGCCATCTCCTGTACCTCGAGCTAAGTAGCATAGCGTATGAGCTCCAATACTGAGGTTCCTCAGCTTCGGAAAGTCTTTCAAGGAAACGCGCGCGGGTGCGATTTCTGGAGCGGCTAGCTCCTGTAGCTCGTCTGCCCATCGCTCTTCATAAACCTCTCGGTCCTCTTCACTCATTCCATCCCCAAGGCAAGGTTGATATTCCTTATCGTACAAGTCTTTCCGAGGTATCTGGCTCTCCATATCCAAATTTAATTCTTCTAGAACCTCGCGATGTATCCAAAGAGACTTGAGTATCGGAGTCACGTCTAAGATAGCGATGCCACCACTATCAGGCTCTGAACGACCACCGATAGTGAAAGTTAAACTTTTCAAGGCCTTGGCGGATTCTATGATACAGCAAAGATCCCAAATTTCCAGTCGCGAATGTGTAAAGCTGATCTTGCTGTAGTTGGCGGAACGGGGCGGAGGGGGTATTCCCGCTTCATTACTCCACGTTACTAGCTTGAAAGCGACCGATTCAACAGCTGGTAGTTTGCGGATCATATTGAGCCGATCATAATATGGGTCTTCAACATACTCATTGAATTCGTTAATTGTATCGTCTGGGTGGAAGCTAAAATCTCGTAGATTTTGGCAGTATGGCACCGACTCTGCAGACGCGGACGCTTGACAAAGAAATTTTTTGAGAAGATTCACCCTTTCATAATCTCCGGTGGATGGGGATCTAATGTATTCCAGTAATGGATACATTGACATAGATTCAAGGTTCGGGGAGACTGCAACTAAGAGCGTAATGAGGGCATCTTTGAACTGAAGAGTTTCCATGCTTGAACAAGATCTATAATCCTAGTGAGTAAAAAAAGCATAGCACTCCGTGTGATATTTTGAAAGATCAAAGCTTACTGGAATTCAGCAGGGTTTCGTAAAAGCATAGTTAAAATTGACTCGCGCTCCTGTGCATCTTGGAAGCCGGCGCGTAAAATTGCTTGCTTAATTGTGTCGATGTCCTCAGGTGTTAGCACAGAATCTTGATTTGAATTTTCATCGAAGTCAATCATTCCCGTTCCATACAGGTCCACACGATGAACATAATCTCCAAGGGAGGGGTTTCGTAAGATGGTAAGTAAAGTGCCTAGGCCAGCCTGAAGTACAGCTTTATGGGCCTGCAAAGACTCCTCTCGGCCGAACTTCATTTGATGATATTTCTGACGATTTCTCACGTCATACAGAGCATGTATTCCACGGCTTTGCTGGGACAAGGCCATATTATTGTATACCGAAAAACTGTTGACCACGGTTAGCAGCAGTTCACCGGAAAGATTCTGCCATGGCAGAATTTTTGCCCATGTAGCGACATTGCGTCCAATGAAAGCCCTGGGACAACATAGAGATCGGAGCATGTGGGCGTAGGTCAAAGGAAAGGAGGTGCGAAACGCTAAAACTCGATGTCCCAACACAAATCCTCAAAAATTGAGTAGAAAAAAAGTGCTCCCTATAGTTATATGATGAAACTCTTCACTAAAGTCTCCTCTAAGATAGGGGTCTGGTTACCCGTGGCAACCAAGATATAAAGGCTTATTAGAAGACTTCACGAACGAGGGCTCATAACGCTAGTCAATTGTCAGAGAAGAAAAGAAGAAGCACAAGCTACTGCAGTCTTTTTATTTATATAATAGACCTAATTCCTCTTCAAAAATAGGGTAGAACGCAGCCTTAGGTATTCTACATGAAAATGCTATATGTCACCTCTGCGCCTGTTTACCCTCCATCAGCCTCACACACAATTTGGGAGCCCTCGCGCCTGAGAAAAAAAGCCAGATATGACTCTCGGTTTTGGATCTCAGAATATTCTAGCTTTTTCGATTGTAAATATCATTATATTTCTTCAAAGCTTGCTGGATAAGCGAATCAGCTTCAAGCCCTTGAAAGCGTGCAGGATCCAGCGCATTCAGAAGTGCCTTGTCTTCGGAGGTAGTTGAACGCATAGCATCACGAAGGATCTCCCTTGACAACAACTTAGCCGTACCAGCCGCAGTCGTGACCCAAATCGCAGCGGCCAGCCACAGATTAGCAACATCGGGTACCCGACCAGCGAATGGTAGGTTGTCAGGTGTCACAGCAAAGATACCATTGAATGGCTTTTCCGGTAGCCAAGGCTCCTCTAAGTCTGCACTGTGCCCCCGGACTTGGAATTCAATTCCATTCTTCAAGCATGAAGAAGCTTCCGAAAGCACTTGGTCGAAACTTGAAGGCCAGGCTCCGATTGCGCTAGTTTTCGGGTCGAGCTGCAGGGGAGGATGGTCATAACTGCCTAGACCGTCCCGATTGCCATGGTCTCTTGCGTAGACATGATGGTCCAGCCAACGAACGAATGGGTATGGGCTCCCAACTCGTGGAGGCCGAGATTGAGTAAAGGTGTAGGGGTGTGCGACTGGGACAATGGGAATCGGAAATTCTGTTATAGGGGCATTTCTGCCAGCGGAAATCAACGAAGATGTCCAAACACCCGTGGCGAAAATAACAGTACTGCTTTCCGAGTTGATATCCCCATTCTCAGTGCGGATGGCTGCTATCTTCGCGATTTGTTCGTCGTCGCTCTTTGTTTCGAAGCCTGTGACGGCAATTTCCAGGAAATCCACCCCTCTGATCCGAGCTTGATCAAGATAATAGGATGTAATTACTTTTGCGTTTGCAGTTCCATCTGATGCAAAATGCAAGGCGCCCTTCACCGAACTGGCATCGATGAAGTCTGGGGCAAGGGAAGCAGCCACTTCTGGCGTGACAAGCTCCGCAGGTAAGCCAGCAGCTCGTGCTGTCTCTTGTCGGCGACGCAATTTCTCCAGGCCTGAAGGGGTTGATGAAAGTTCCAAGCCGCCGACAGGGTCGAAACCGCCGGGAACGGAGAGGTAATCCAAGACAGTATCCTTAGCGAGCTGAGTCAAGACAGGTGACTCATTGAGCTGGCCAACGAATCCTGGAGCATGGCCGGTGGAACCCAATTCGCTCTTCAAGCTTCTGTCAATCAAAACGATATGATGTCCACTTTTCGCCTCGGAAAGATGGAAAGCGAGTGCTGCGCCGACAATACCTCCCCCAACGATAATAATCCGCTGTGGGGAGGGATTGGCATTCAAATATGCAATGTCTAGCGTTGACAGCATTGCGAAAGTGCTACAACAAAAAACTGAGTGAAGAGGAAGATGTGGCCTCATAAGTTTCGTACGGCAGCACTCTTAAGCTCACTGGCCCGAAATCGGCCCATCGGAATATCCGTCTCCAACCGATTGTGTGCGCTTACTGTTTCTGATAGAGTTGACTCATTGAGGCCGCAACTGCCCTCAATAACTGCCTTGGCAGTGGGGCCCGCGAGACAAGCTCAAGGAAGCTGACTTCGCTACAGACTGTAGTCAAGGATGTCTGTTCTCTGCAATTAACCCAGTGAATCAGGGCCAGCCCTGTAAAAATGCTGGATGGACCGTCTATACTTTACCATTGCCAATGTTTAACAACCTTTGAGGCCCAAAAGTTGCCAAGGCGGATCTTAGCAAGGAAGGGCGTGTAGAGTGGAGACTCCAAAAAGACATGGAGCTGTGATAGAGGCCGTCTTGTCCTAAATATAACTTTGAAATGACATGTTCTCACACAAGTGTTGCGTAACATAATTGCTGTGACAAATTTATGAGGATTTGGTCACGTTTACAAAAATCACGATCACGTTCTACTGGACATAACACCAACTGGCACTGGACACCCCCCGGAGATTTTGATGTGCCATGCGCCTGAGCACTGAATCATTAGTTTTCCCGATCCCGATTTTTCACCGACGAAAGATTACGCTACTATCAAGCCATGTTGTTATGTTGCTATGGCTATGTCAAATTGCCCCTCGTCACTCCCCCATTGAGTTCGGGAATACCTCGGGGAATTCCGTCTGCACCCCGCGATCGCGGAGTAGATCCTTCCTAGGTTCCTCCGAGCCTCCATTCCAACGATAAACACTGAATGGTTTCTGGGGATGTATCGGGGAAATATACAAGGGATATAAGGTAGCCTTTGTTGAGTTAGAATAGCCGATATACATTCTTTTGAAACCAATCATACATTTTCATTGTAGCTTGATCGAAATGGCTTCTCATCAAGTGGAAAAGACCTGGTGGAAAGAGGCCATCGTTTACCAAATCTACCCAGCTAGCTTCTCGGATAGCAATGGCGATGGTCTCGGTGACGTCCGCGGAATCATCAACAAGGTGCCCTACATCAAGTCTCTGGGCGTAAATACAATTTGGCTCTCCCCCATCTACGCTTCACCCCAAAAAGACATGGGATACGATGTTTCTGACTACCGCTCCATCCACGCCCCATATGGCACAGTCGAAGACGTACAAGAGCTCATCGATCTACTCCACGCAAACGACATACGGCTCCTGATGGACCTGGTCGTGAACCACACAAGCGACGAACACGCCTGGTTCAAAGAATCCCGCAGCTCAAAGACCAACCCAAAGCGCGACTGGTATATCTGGCGGGATCCAAGATACGATGCACGAGGTCAAAGAAAAGAGCCTAATAACTGGGCTTCTATCTTCGGTGGGCCAGCCTGGCAATTCGACGAGCATACAGGACAATACTACCTCGCTCTCTTCCTACCCAGCCAACCAGACCTGAATTGGGAAAGTGAAGATATGCGAAGAGCAGCACACGACGATATGCGCTTCTGGCTTGATCGTGGCGTGGACGGGTTCCGCATCGACAGCATGAACTTGATGTCCAAACACCCCGATCTACCTGATGGGAAGGTCATCAACGATGAGCCCTACCAAAGTGGTGCAGAGTTCTTCGCTTCAGGCCCAAGGATGCACGATTACATCCGTGAGATGAGGACGAAGGTTTTCGAAAAGTACGATATCATGACAGTTGGGGAGCTGGGATTCACTAAAGACGAAGATTCTGTCCGTGAATACGTTGCCAAAGACCGACATGAACTCAACATGCTGTTTACGGGCGATATAGTCGATATGGATTTCGGTGCTGAAGCAAAATACGGACGAAACGATTTCCATCCGAGAAAGATTCGCCATCTGACAAATATGTGGCAGAATGCTATGCCTAAATTCGATGGCTGGAATACTGTTTATCTTGATAACCATGATAGCGGTCGCTCGATTACTCGGTATGCGTCTGATGCTCCTGAGTACAGGGCTGCGTCGGCTAAGATGCTCGCGACGTATTTGACTACGTTAAGTGGAACGCCGTTCCTGCTTGCAGGTCAAGAGATTGGGATGGCTAATCTTGGGAAGGAGTATGGAGCTGAAGCGTATATTGATGTTGAGGGGAAGAATTATTACAACAAGGTTTTGAAGGCGAGAGGAGGTGATGTTGGTCGGATGGGAGATGTGCTTAGGGAGCTGCAGCTCAAAGCGCGTGATCATGGGCGGCTTCCTATGCAGTGGGATAGCTCGGCGAATGCGGGCTTTACGACTGCGTCTGAGCCGTGGATGGTTGTTAATAAGGATTATACGAAGTGGAATGTTGAGAGTCAACTTGATGATCCTGGGAGTGTGATGGGGTACTGGAAGGAAATGATTGCGATGAGGAAGAAAATGGCGGATCTGTTCGTCTATGGGTCTTATGTTGCTCTTTCGGAGGAGGACACTGGGGAGATGGTCCTTGGATATGAGCGGGTTTCTCAGACAGGTCAGAAGGCTGTTGTGCTTCTCAACTTTTCTGATGCGGAGCAAAAAGTGTCAAAAAAATTTGAGCATCTTGCGCTTTTGGTTTCGAACCAGGGAGAATTGCGTGTTGGAGATGGAGAAGTTGTGCTTCAGCCCTTTGGAGCCGTGGTTTTGTATAGTGCATAGATGTTTTGTCCTTTACCTATAGTGACAAATCTGATAATGTTCGTTCCCTGTGCTTGATACACCCCTCATTCCCAAATTTAGGTCAATATTCAATCCTGATCTTTGGTTATTGCGCACGGCCGATCTGTTGATTTCGGACAAGAATGCAATCGATTTCGACGAGCAAATTGGTCTAGGAGCTCCTGAGGACTCTGTTCAAGTGTATTGAGCTCCGAGTAGCCGGACAATCTTTACTCGCGCTTAAAAGAACACGGTTGATTTCGTTTTTTTTTTTTTTTTTTTTTGGCTTAATGCATTTGGAAAGACTATATCAGCATCAGCGGCCTTTTGGATTACCATAGCTTGTATGTAATGATTACCTTTGGCCGCTTTTCTTCTGTAATACTTGATGGGTCTCAATTTCTGCACGTGACTACAAGTAAGGTTGTGTAGTGTAATGGCTATCACTCCAGATTCTGATTCTGGCGATCCCGGTTCGATCCCGGGCACGACCTTTTTGCCCGTGAAGAAGTGAGCCAGAGGGGAGGGCTCACTGCTTTTGCTAGGTTTGCTCTCAAAGCCTGCACTTTTTTTTTTTCTTTTACAAAAAGCCTAGCCCAGCATGTTTATATGACCGGGGTCTCCAGGGACTAAGGCGAAGGGTAACCACGACGACAACTTGACCCGCTCATTTATGTACTCTTTCACGGGCATTGCATTCAGAACGTTGAGGGTAGATATAGGCACTTGAAGTCTGTTGAGGGCGATATTTGGACGGATGAGATATGTGGGAATCAAGAGTACTTGCATGGAAAAGAAATCTGGGTAGTATGTACAAATAGGATATGTAAAGCCATGCGAAATTGGTTGAAAGACCTTTGAGAGAAACGCTTCAAAATCAGGGGGATCTTGATCGTAGTCAAAAGCACGAGACCCCTCCCTCGGCATGTGCCATCTATGCCAAGTCTTCAGACTGGTAAGATATTTTGTTAATGCAAGGCGTAAAGCCTACTCGCTGAAGAATCCACCAACTGGAAGCAATAGACTGGCTTCCATTTCTATACAGATCGCAAAAGTGTCAGGGGAGAGCGTGTTGAGTAGCGGTAAGAGAGGCACACTTTTTATGTGCACGCGACTTTGAGGATGAGTTGTGGGAGTTGAATGCCTTTCTAAAATTTTGACAGGTCTTCGTCATCAAATCATGCTAGGCGCATCGGTCTCCTTTTCCATGGCTAGCTTCATTTCACCCTCATGTTGGAAGTTGTGAATGACCATCCGGAGATACTCATAGGTGAGCATAGTCGTCATGGCAGCCGGAACGGCCCGGAAAAGGTTGACGCCAATCCCGGAGTAGAACGCACGCCATCCTTCTTCCTTCAAGATAGTTTGGCATGTGCGGATCATTCCGGAATAACGAGGACTGAGAGGCATTCCATCCGAGGAAGAAGCTCGGGGTCGGCCACGATCATGGGGGTGTTTCAGGCCACCGCGGAAGGCGACTTCTTCATGTGATGGAGCTGGAATGTTGCGCTGCTGAGTTTGCAGTCGAGTTCTTAGAACCTCGTGAGGGTAGGTGATGGTGCTTGCACAGATTTTGCTGAGGAATGTAGCGAATGAGATACCCAGCCAGTGGGAGCTCCCTGTATCTGGGTGCTCTCCGATTCCATATCCGGTGAAGCCCATTTTCAGATACTCATAAAGGGGGAACTGGATGGCTACGTGAGTGAGGCCAAGAAGGGCGGGTGTCAAGCCAGAATAGAACGAGCGAATGCCCTCAACCTGGTACATCTTGCGAGCGGCATCCCATGTACCTGAGTACTGCCACGGGGCTCGTGCTCCTTCGTGGTTTTGCTTAAGGCTCTGCGACATGAGCCTCGTCTTAATGACCCAGATGGGATTCGTCACAATTGTTGAACAGGCACCAGCGGTGACCGAAGCATATCCGCGGGATAACCACCAACTATCTAAATCAGGGGTTAGAAAACAATGCATCCGATATAGGCCAAGAAACAAGACCAACCTGTTTGTTCATAAAAGTATTCGCGAGATCGGTCATAAACAGCCAGGTAGACCGCCCACGTCGGAAGATATCCCATGAGCATCGGGCCAAGTCCCTGGTAAAGACCACGAATACCATCTTCTCGTATAATCACCTTTCCGGTGCCAAACATGCCTCTGTACAGTGTTTTCGTTTGCATGGCTGACCCGCTCCGTCGGGCAAAGCCACCCTGGGCCTGCAACTTGGTCTTGATAACATCGAGGGGACAAGTCACAATTCCTGAGGCCACACCTGCAGCGCCGCCACAAAAGGGAGCGACCCAGAAATTTGGGATACGGGTGGACAAAATCTCCAAGCGCTTGATGAGCTCGGAGTTTGACGATGTACCGGAGACAGGCACGTGGGAAGCGGGCGAGGCAGCACTATCTCCCGAGGAGCTGTGCGACTGTTCGGAGGAATTGCTGGCAGCTCCGGAGCTGCTTCTGTCATCGGGGCGCATCGTAGAAGGTTGACAGGCGCTCACACTTGTCTATCCGTCTTGATCACCGAGGGATCCCGGACTCGAGCATATCGGTGCTCGATCCGGAACCCAAAATTCCGTTTGAACTCGTTATAAAAGGGAGTTTAAGGAATCGATCAGAGTGTTGAAAGATGATGTGATTAAGAATGGGGAGGGTTCGACCGAGGAAAGTTTTCTGGAGCCGATGGTTACCGAGCGGTTCTGAATGCGATACCCTATGATGTCGGATTTCGGAGCACGGACTCGACCGGGGCGGGGTTATAATTTCTCCTTTGGCAAGCAAGTTGCCAGAGAAATCGAGCGTTTAAAAACACCGACACCTTTTCCAAACTGACCGAAAGGTGAGAAAAGTGGAAGAGTGAGGGTGAGAGAGATAGGGTTCGAGATTATGACATGGGGGATTGAGTGGTGCGAGGTGGAGTCACTGATTGGCATTCCTCTCCGCGGGTAGCCTCAGGCACACGTGCATCTAGGTCACATGAATCTATGTCACATGATATTTGTTTATGCCTCAGGTGTTAATGACTGCCATTTACAGACTAGCGCCTCCAGCTTCCGTTTTGCACAACCTCCATCGGGTCATCTCGTGTTCAACCGGACCGCCCTTTCCAACCTTCCCTCATTCCCCAGAGCCTCTGAATACCCGGTATTCACGATGTCTGCCCCTTCGATCACCAACTACATCGTCAAGCGCCCATGGCTCAAGCGCTGGATGACCCCTCTGGCCAATTGGTACACTGATGCCGCCGGCTACAGGAAGCTCGGACTGAAGTAATTATCGCCCCCTCTACGCCAATACCTTTCCACCTCGAGCGATTGGACGACCGGGATATCCGCATCATACACAGTCCTACGGATGGCTGCAGCCCGCCGATGACAGTGTCAATTGCGTCCTGTCGCAATCGCTACGTCCCGGTCATCCGGAGATCGCTCGCGGAGACTTTTCGTCCACCACGGTTGCTAACCCGTCCCCTAGGTTCGACGATCTCATCCCCGAGGAGAGCGAGGTTGTCCAGAAGGCCATCAAGCGTTTGCCTTCCAAGGAGGCCTACGACCGTGTCTTCCGCATTCGCCGCGCATTCCAGGTTCGTTCCAGACCCCCCTTCCCCAGCATTCGACTATCAAAACGCTAATGAGATCGCAATCGCAGTGCTCCATTTCTCACACTCTCCTTCCCCCCAACGAGCAGATCAAGCCCCACGAGGTAGGTTCTCCCTGTCCGAATTTCACGGTCCCCGCAATCCGACCCCATATTGGCCAATCCCGTTGCAAGGATTTGTCACATATGGTTCAAGACCCTGAACACCCATCGAACCCTCTCAACCAAATGAATACTGATCACCTGGACTATTTAGGACGTTGAGTACCTCAGCCCCATCATCCGCGAGATCGAGAAGGAGAACAAGGAGCGTGATGACCTCGACAACCTCGTCGTCCGCAAGTAAATGCACCCAGCCAACACTTGTGCCTGTCCTGCGACTCTATGACGAAAAACCGGTGAAATTATAGTGCTATGGGGTTGTTTTCGTTTGATAGACCTTCAATTTTTGCGATGGATACGGACCAGCCGTAGATGGTGGTTCCTGGATAATCCTATGTGTGTACTGATATTGTACAAATCGATCTTCTTTGTTCTGCCTTAATACTCAGAGTCCGCTGCAATCTCTACCATGCGCTGATGCGCTTTTCCAGTAGCGGAATGGCTTTATGCCCAGTCAGGGTGTCTGCGTTCCTGCATCTGTCCACAAGTTGTGCGCCTAGTGTGTCAACCTCGGACATGGGTTCGAGCAATGTCCTGGATTCAATCTAGGATCCATTGTCCAGAGATAAAAGAGGTGATAACTATTCGCAGGCATCTCATCCTACTGTCACAGTTCAATTCCCAGAATAGGCATTCAACGCCACTTCCGATGAACTTCCAAGGATCAAGGATATCACGCCACTTGGCAGACTCGTATTACGGCCCATTCCTTCAAATGCTCATTGAACTTGAAGTCAGCTTGGGGCTAAAATCCTCCATGCATTGATTAGGAGCCTGTTATAACCTTGGCATAACCTAGTGTGGTATAGCCCCCATCCTCCAACGCTTACTGGATCATCCATGTATGTACCCCTTTCGGAAGGAATAAAGGATCCACTAGATGTATGGCATAATTCAATAGGGGCAATGCTGACTGTTTATTGACTAAGATGCTATATCCAATACATCGTCAACCTAAAGAGGTATCTGTTTCATGCTAAAGATATACTCGGTGGCCAAATGTATTGACGATCGCCGCATCTAACAGTAGAATCTACGTTTACGGATGAGATGTCGGAGACGCTGAAGCTGACATCATGATGGATGTGAGGTTCTACAGTCTATCGATGTGATTTTGCGAGGTTAAATAGCGAGAGGATTCCCCGATCATCGAATATCATCAAACCAAGCAACTCAATCAATCCAATCTACTATCCAATTCACTCAACCAACAAACGATCAACCAATCAACCAACTCCATCAAAATGCAGTTCATCACCGTCGTCATTGCTACTCTGGCCGCCGTTGCCTCTGCCTCTCCCTCCGCCCGGGCTGCTGAGAAGCGCTCCTGCGTCGCCAGTACGTTTCTACCACACTTCAAGACTGTTGCGCATTCGCTAACAAGGTAACCCATTTAGACTACGAAGTTGCCTGCACCTCTGGCGGCGACCCTTGCTGCGATGGCTGGCAGTGCGTTGGTGCCACTGAGTGGAACGCCGGTGTCTGCATCCCCAACTACTAAGGGTGCCAAAGAAGGATTTGATATTTGTGCGGGCATAAATAGAAATCCATGATATTTCCTTCTGTCTCATCGTTATTCACTTTATGCTTTATATCCAGTAAACAAATGTTTGTATGATCAAACATCGTAAAAGTCTCCCAGTATATAGTCCAATCGACGACCTCATTCACCCAGTCAGAACAGCAACATCAACATTCTCAATCCGCCACATATACCACATGAAAAGGCTTCTATAAGGCGAAAACTTTGCAGCCAGTTCTAGCATATCCTTTTCCGACATATACTTAAACTTACCACCACCCTTGCCTTTCAACTTACTTACATCTCGCCCCACAAACGCGGCACAACCCCGTCTGGAAGATGTCAGTATATACCCCAAACGCTTGGTTCAAGAAGACTTACTGCACACCCAAATCCCCAGTCGAGAAGACGTCAGTACGCTTCAGCGCAAAAGTCGCAAACATCTCCACAGACCACTTCCCCAACCCACGCACAGCAATCAACATCTCAACAAGCTCCTCATCGCTAGCCTTAGCTAGTTTCTGGGCACTAAGCTCTCCATTCGCGAACTTCTCTGCCAATCCTTGTATATACTCCGCCTTGCGCTGGGATAGTCCTGCCGTCCGCAGGGTAGGTATATCGCACTTTGCAACCTCTTCCGGTAAAGGAAATCGGGAGCGCGAGCCATCCTCGCTAGGTTCAATTTGGAACAGTGCCAGGAATTTATTGCGGATGGATTTCGCTGCGGCGCCGGAGACTTGTTGTCCGATTATACTGCTCGACAGGCTGTTGAAGGGGTCGACTTTCTCGGCGAGACCTTCTGGCGAGAAGAGCGGGCATGGATGCTGTTCGATAACGGGTTTCAGGCGTGGATCTGTGGCGATTAGATGCGCTACTGCTTGGTCGAGTAGGGTGCCTGTTGTAGCTGCGGGACGGGGAAGTCCTGTCTTTGAAGGCGAGGCATCTTCTGCATGGGATGGGTATGCGGCTACTGAGGAGCCGTGGGGTGTGAGAAGGGTTGCGTTTGTTCGGTGAGGGTCGACAGGACGGTCGAGAGGGGGTGGTGTGTGAAGTCTGTTATTTGCGGCGGTATTAGTAGCTGGGTTTTGTGCCGTTTTGTCGAGTGCTAGTGGTTCCGGGGACCAATATGAGCTTCCTGAGTTTGTGGGCGTCTTGGTGTTTGCTTTTGGAGCTGCTTTCTTGGTTGGAGAGGTCTTGCGGGGCTTTGTGACTGCGTTGTTCTGCACCCTTGTCATTTTGGGTGCGGAGCTTTGCGCTGGTGCTTTGATGGCTGGGATGGAGCCCAATCGGGCGGATCGCCTTAGTGACATGCTTGGTCTTGCAGTTTCTTTACTATTCAAGGCGAAATTGTATGTTTCTCCGTAGAGAAGGGAGGAATAAGGTTGACGAGGACGTCGAGGACCCCGTCCCCGGATTCCAGGCTCCCGGCTGACGCATGCCAAGCAAAGAGCCCCATTGCAGCCTGGAGCCCCTTCACGCATTGTATATGGAAGATAGAAATACTAAATCAGGTCAAATAGTGTATTGTTAAACTTGCCTTCGAAACTACCCTACTACTTCATGTCTTAATTAGCTGTGGATATTTTGAAAAGTATACTGCAACCATGAAACTCATTATTGCAATGAATGTTCCCGCTAATATATATCAACGTCAGTCGCAAACACAATCTCATAGGTATTAATCCTGACCCCTTTTGCTCAACTTCTGCAAAGGGCGTGATACATCGCCCAAAAGATTAATAAGTGCACGAAAATCTGGATTTCGTTCGCCGGTGACTTTTTCAAATCTTGAAAGCGCGGTCTCAGTACTCTTCTTCAAATGTTCAATCATCTCCCATGTTTCTTGAAGTGCACCAGTAAGTCGATACAAATCAAGAATCTGTTCCTTAACATTGACAGCCAGCGGGCCTCCACTCGCTTGTCGGAAAATCCCCATAATGATCTTCTCGGCCGTTGGATCACGATGACAGCAAACAGTAAGTGGATATGACAACTTCCCCTCATCCAGATCCTCACAAAATCCCTTCTGCAACGTATACTGTTCATCCTGCAGATTCTGATAATCATCTCGTACTTGATACCATCGACCGAGAGATGTGCTAAGCTGAAGCAGCTCTTTAATCGGCCAGCTTGCAGTTGTTGAAAAATGGTCCATCATCCGGATAATCATTTCAAACATGGCTCCGGTTTTTCCATCGACCATTGCCATATACCCCTTTGTGGAAGGACATTTCCCTTTCACCTTCCAGTCGATATCCCAGCTCTGACCCATTGCGAGTTTCTTCAGTCCCTCCAGGAATATCTTTATTAGCTGCTGGTCTGAGTCCGGGTGAGCGACAAGCCGGGATAGGGCTCTGGCTACCATATAGGTGGCACTGTTGACGCATTGCGCTGAGCCGAAGACTTGATGTGTTGTGGCAAACCCTCTTCGTAGGCCGGATGCATCCTGTATATCATCGAGTATTAGGGTTGAGTTGTGGAGGTCGTTAATAGCGCCTTTGATGGTATCTAACTCGTCATTCGGAAGTTTAAACCATATATTCAAGGCGTCGATGACTTTTATGCGCATATTCTTGGACGGGAGGGACTCGATGTAGTGCACTGGATCCATCAACGCAGAATCGTCAAGGATCGTACTCGTTGTGATTGTGCCGCTGAAGTGTTGGGAGCTGGTATTTTCAGACTTATGCCGAGTCGTACTTATTGTGGCTTCTTTCCCATTCGGTAGAATATGAATCTTGTATCTTTCAGAAGCAGCACTCCAAGCATGATGACCACCAAGTAGAAGTTCAAGCATGGCAAGGAATCTGCGCAAATGAGCGGAGACTTTCTGGGGTGGCTGTAAAAACTGATCCGATAAGAGCTGATACTTTGCTTCATCGTCCAGAATTGCGATCTTCAACTTTTCTTTGGCTTCCTCCTCGGATATGCTCTCTTTCTCCATCATAACTTTGATCACGTTTTCCACTTTGTCGCCTTCGTGCTTTTCAACATCCCAGCTAAAGTAGTCGTTTGTGTTGGCGATGATTCTCTCGGCAATATCCAAAATGTGCTTGATTCCTTTCTTCTCTGCTTCTGATAACAGAAACCCAAGTGAGAATTCAAGGACACCCAGAGTGGCTCTTTATTCAGAATATTAGGAGGGATGGTATCTTGTGAGATCATGACACACCAAACATACCTTGTTCCCTTGCTCACAAGCTGTTGAGAAATACACTCTTCAACATCGGGCGATTGATCTTTTTCCGCCTCGTGGCTCAGCGGGTGAGTCCAGTTGTCCAAAATCCTCTTGATCAGGACTTTCCACTCAACTCCATACTTGGCATTGAATCCAGCGGCCATCTTCGATGCTGACCGCTGCTCCTTTGAGCTGCGTTTCAACTTGTGAGTATGGTGCCCTTGGGCGGTACGCAGGATCAATACTAGTATGCGCTGAAGCTCCTCTGCTTCCTGTATTTCACCTTTATTAACCAAGTCTTTACCTCAGGTTAGCCTTCTTCCATAGCTTGCAGCATTATAATTATGCGATGGACCTACCATCATATATTGTACGTAGTTCCAGTACCATGGTGACTGTATCTAACCTCTCGGGTAGACATTCCGGGAATAAGAGACTAGTTGCGTAACCGATACTAGAGTTCAACTTGCAGGGAAGGCCTGGTTTCCATTGGCCCATTGCCGATGTGATTTCAAAATTAGACAATTTAGCTGATTCGACTGTCTGCGCATTCAACTTGTGGACACGACTAGGGAACGTGGTGAAAACATCGCATTCTTGGAGCTGAGCATCGTCTAGGGGCTCGGAGTGCAAGAAAGCGTCAGCTTCAGATTCGGTAGATAGGACTGAAGTACTCGGTTTGCGAGTTAAGACATTGCGAAATTTAGTTCTTAGTTGCATTGTGACTCAATAATCTCTCTCGCCGGGATAACAAGTGCTGATGGACATTCAGGTTGTAGTCTCAGTTGAGGGATCGATGTAGAATTCAACTCACTTCCAGGGGGGTTCCCCTGAAGATATTGTATCATTTCCATGAAGGTTCTATTTGCTTTTCTGTCGCTTTTCTGTCTATTGTCCATTCACATCTGGCGTCAGAGCTCGCAGCTCGCCTTCAAGTCGATAGCCTCGACTTCAGATCTACTCTTGAATAAAGGTTTCACAATACAAATGAAATATGCCGTATTGGGTTTCACGAAAAAAAGGAATCAAGATCTTATTGAAGCATAGTAAGGTGCAGGCTAGTAGGAATCAGCCACATGTACCATATGTACAGAGTAATCGATCATGTGGTTACACTGAGTTCTCACTAGTTGCTCCTTAAAAAAGAAAAGCCTATTTCCGATAACTCGGCCTTATATCCCATAATAGAAAAATGAAAAGGAGTTTCTTCACAAATATTGCTTATTGCTTATTATGGGGTAAAAGATAACATGAAAAGGGGTAAAGGAGCTGAAGTGGGTTCATTCAGGCGTCTGAAAGCGCGTGGGAAATTACACATTGAACTAGAATCACTAAACTGGAGAATAGAAGAGATAAAGGGGTGGTAGCTCTCCTATAATGGATGGTCCCCTATTTGACCTCCTGCTTTGCTGGTCAGTCCAGTCTATCACCACGTTGTACCACATCGAAGACCCTTGCAGGTCGCTTTGTCACTCTATAGGAGGCTTTGTCAGCGAACGGCAAAGTGCTTTTCGATATCAGATCGATTATCTAAGAAAGAGCATCATGAGACAATTCCGATGATGCCTTTTCCTTTTGAAGGTTGAAAGGCTGCCTACTTCGAAGCAAAAAGCTTCGTCAAGGGAAGCTTTAGTCATTCCATCACAGCCTGGTCTCTAGCTCGAGTCTGGCGATTCTTTCCTCACTGGGAGAACGCAGTCTCTTCCAAATACCCATGGATCTAACCAAATTATCAGATTCCTTAGGTCACCAGAAAGTTCAGTATTTAATCACCTCAAACACAAGGGTTCAGTGAGCGCCATATAAAGTTACCCTTTGTTCTAATGAACTTTGATACTTGAAGATGCTATTACGGCACACACCGACAACCTTCTTCTATATCCATTTCCAAGTCGGCGCCAAAGTGGGACATGGTAGTAGTCCGCACACCAATCAAACCACCCCATTCAAGCGACCGTTAAAACCCGAGCCAAGTATAAAGAATTCAAATCCCACCTCTTGGACGAATAGAGCCCGCGCCATAATTGGCTGAAGCAGGTATTTTTGATTCCATGGACAGCAGTACCCGAATTGTATGCAGGTAAGTCATGCAATTGGGTCGAATCTACTCCGCTCCGCATTTGTTCCAAGGAACCATTTCTAGGAACGCACGAGATTCATTCAGATCCACGGATTCTTACATAAATAGCCCTATTGAGAGCAATTGGCTGGAATCTTCTCGAGTCGAACCTAAACTACAAAGAGTCCGGTGTTTAGACTAAGGTGGCTGGACAGCCAGTAAATGTAAATGCCGAGCCCCAATTAGCGGGCTTGCGTCACCGTTCCGAATGCCGAATCAATCTGGAACTTGGAATCACCGTACTTTGCGCACATCACAACGGAACTCCCGAGGAAAAAAACCGAGCTGGAAGTGGGGTAAGTAAAAGTCAATATTTACTAAAGATCTGATCCGCCAGCAATTGAGAATCTGGCTGGGTAGATCCTCGATGTTGACCAAAGTTCGAAACAAAATCGCAATCCCTGTTCGGTGCGACCGAGGCCATAGATAAGTACGGAGCAGTACTTTAAAGACAGAAGGGTTCGTGTACAAGAAAAAAAAGAATCGGATCACCTGCCCCGTTACGGAGTCACTAAACCAAAACCGGCTTAAAGACGTCTCCATTCTTATTTTGCCCAACCCCAGAAGAACATGCTCAATTCTTGAGTACTCATGGGCCGAAGAATGCCCCAGCCTCCCCCTTGACAATGCTGGGGCTTGGCTGCGTGTACTAGCCGGTGCCACGCATTCCACGAACAGAAAAAGAATACGCTGACAGAGAAATCTTGGTAATGGAATGTGAACAGAATCGAATCGCCACGATAGCCGACACAGCTTTGACACCGACGCGAGCTACGAGTAGTCTAGTCCATAGGGCCGCGCGGTATCCATAATTTGTGGCGTTCGCGGGTTTTTTAAGAACTTTTGCCCCCGGACTGATTAGGATGCTCAGCAAGCTTGGGCCAAGGTAAACAAGTAAACAAGGAAGTTAGTTAACCCGCTAGCAGAGCAGGACAACGCGGCCAGGGTTAATTATAAGTGAAAATTTCTTCGATATCAGTCCAAGTTTGGACAAGCGATGCTTGAAAGTGGAGTTGCCTAATGGTTGTCAAGTGGAGCGATTATCTCTTTTCCAGCAGGGAATTGGGTCCGTTCTGCGATCTGAAACAAACGTTACATGTACTTACCGGCCTCAATTACCGCTGCATGACCGTAATTTTGAAAGGCCCGATGTTACCATCTCCCATTTTGGGTTTCAACCACTCTATCCATTGGGTCATGACAGGTGTTTATTTTTAATTTATAATTTACTTGGCGGGGTCTTTAAGGATGCTTCTATATGATCCATTTGTATCAGATGGACTGAAGAATCCTTCAATTGGCAACGGTCGCAGAAAGATGGATCCCGAGTCTATGAAGCTCTAGACGGGCGATCGTCGCTGTGGCCAGCAACAGAAGCTCCGTACGGATCTGGACTCACTCAATGGCCAGAACCGATGCTTCATTTCGGCATTGTCAACGTATCGACCAGTTTCATACTATACATACACAGGCAGATACTGACCAGGAACAGTGTCAATTTCGATCAAGGTCCATTTTTTAAGGTCCTGTTCGAAGGAAAAATATTAGTCGCCTCCTGTTAGGTACCGGCGATCCTAATATACCATTCACAATACAGCTCCAGCACAGGCAGGGGATGTTTTGTTGCTCAGGGGATTAACATCGGCTGGCTATTTTCTCCGCGATCATTAAAACGTGATCACGGCCTTTGATTTTCCCCCCCAAACAACGGATAGCCTCAGATAAAATATGATATAACGGAAAGCAGCCAAAACTGGTGTTGATCCAGGGTGAATCATTCCAGCGTGCCAATCAGAGGCCTTACATACCAAGCCCCGTCGACGATAACGGGGGGGGCGTGGCGGGTCTGTCAAGGCTTGTATCCTGCAAATTTAGATCAACCATCCACGCGCAAGATTAATCTTATATAATTGAGCGATAGGCCGGATAGGGCGAGAAAGCGACCGAAATGATTATATATCGTAAGGAGTATAGTCAGGAACGAATCACTTTTGCCACCAAGGCTTGGATCAAATTGGATGCAAATCTTCTTATGTAGATCAGGGGGCCTGTAAGCTAAAGTACTTGGATGACGACAGCTTTATGATTTAGATATGGATGGGGCCATTTCACTAGACCTTTTTAAGAGATCAGGGTGGGTTTATAGTAAATTAGACTGTATTCAAACCAGCAGGTACTAATGGGGGCTTCAGAAAACTACCACGTTCCTGAACAAATAGATAGAGACAACTACAATTATATTTTGCTCGTGATATTAGCCTATCACCAGTCAATGATTTTGATTTGCCTATATGCACGCTGTACGGATGGTTGCTTTTAGATTTCTCTGGCTATCTTGCTTTCGTAATGAATGGTAATATTGGTTGTACAGCTTTGATGTACTATGCAGAAGTGGCAATCTCCTGCACTAAAGCACGTCCTTTTGTACGAATCATCAGTAGCTCCCAAGGCACCAACATAGCAGTCAACATACCTACCGGTTATACCCACCGATCACCTTCGAACCAAGGATTATCTTGACCAATTCCTAATGCTCCCAGTCAAAATTTGCATCTGATTGTTTGCAGAGCCATGGATAACTCAAATACACGTGTGGGAAAATAATGAGTCTCGTGGATCCACTAGATGGAGAAAGGGGGCCATTGACGAATCGGTGATTGGTGAGGTGGTACGGAAACAGCACTAAAACAGCGGGTCATCGAAAAAGCAGGATTGTGCGCCGGATGCGGTATTGTGTTGTACTATACCTTGATGTAGGGGGTATTGTATTTATACTCTGTATCCGTACATAACAAATCTCCACTTCCAACTTGCGCCTCCTTTCTATTTCCCCCAAACTTCTTATTCTTCTTTCTCCCCCCAACCCGTCCACTCGTTCTTTCCCTTGTTAACCCCCAATCGCCTCTCCTTCGTTCCGAGGCCTTTTCTTTCACTCGTTCTCCTGTTTTATTAATTTCTTGCATCCTCTCTGGTATGTTTACAATCTCTCTGCTCTACCCCCTGATGCGAGTGAAACTGCATCACTAACACGGTCGCGTTTGTAGAGTTCATCGCCATGTCTTTCGCCAAGTACATCGTCCCTGCGCTCGCTGTCGCCCAGGGTGCTATCGCTGCTTGTGAGTAAAGTCTTCTGGAGGATTGCATTGCGACATTCAAACTGATAAATTATGATAGCCTGCGGTGACACCACCATCTCCAGCCAGACTGATGCCGACACCCTCGCCGCCGACTGCACCACTGTCAAGGGTGATGTGACCATCTCCTCTTCCTACTCCCAGGGCCTTGACCTCGGTAGCATTGAGAAGATCACTGGTACCCTGACTTGCTCCGACGCTCCCAACATCACCAGCATCACTGCTGGCTCCCTCGCCTCCATCGGCGGCAACTTCACCCTGGATGGCCTCACCACCCTCAGCTCCCTGAGCATGGCTGAGTTGACCTCCATTGGCAGCATTGCTTGGCAGGCACTCCCCGCCTTGTACTCTCTGGACTTCACCACCGGTGTCTCCACTGTCGGCGATCTCAACATCTTGAACACCGCTTTGACCACCCTGGACGGTATCTCTCTGGACACCGTCGGACAGTTCCAGATTGAGGACAACACTGGCTTGAAGACTTGCAACATCAGCTCTCTCAAGAACGCCACTGGCCTGATCAGCTTCGCCGGTAACCTCGACACCCTCGAGGTTGACCTTGCCAGCCTTGAGGGCGGTACCTCCATGACTTTCCGTAACATCAGCAGCATCAACATCCCCTCCCTGGAGAAGTTGACCGGTCAGCTTGGATTCTGGGGCACTGACTTCGACACTTTCTCTGCCCCCAAGCTCACCACCTCCGGTGACCTTGTCTTCACTGACAACTCCAAGCTGAACAACATCAGCGCTCCCGTCCTGAAGACCGTCGACGGTGGTTTCACCGTTACCCGCAACGACGAGCTCCAAGTTATTGACTTGCCCGACCTCGAGACCGTTGCTGGTGCCATTGACTTCACCGGAAACTTCTACGAGTAAGTTTATTCAGGCAATGACTACTGAAAATCCAATGTGCTAATCCGTGACTCTACAGGGTTGAGTTCGGTTCCCTCGAGCGTGTTGCCGGTGCTTTCTACCTCGAGTCTTCCAACGGTACCTTCAGCTGCTCCAAGCTCAAGGCTGCCTACAAGGCCACCTCCATTGTCAAGGGTAACTGGAAGTGCGACGCCACTGGCTACAACACTACCACCTCCAGCGATAGCGGCAGCTCCACCAGCTCCAGCTCCAGCTCTTCCAGCACCAGCTCCGGCGCTGCCATTGCCAACTCTGTTGCCGCCCCCGTCGCCGGTGCCGCTGCTTTGTTCTACGCTCTCGCTCAGCTCATCTAAGCGCAGCACTATGGAATGATGGAGATATCTTTTTTTGGAGAGATTGTAGATGCAGAAGTTACAAGCAACGGTTTCGTTTTCGCCTTACATTGTTTTTCTCATGATAATAATTCCGTCTTGATGAGGAAAATTCGCAATTTGGATTCTGTCCTCGCATGACACCACCTCGCGCCGTTCACTGGAATGGAGTTTACCCTTTTATTACCCTTGCGCTGTTTGATTGTCTCAATATGTCTTATACTAGATCGCAGTCCGTCTAATGTATTCGGTTGCTTTCTGTAACCTTTCGTTAAACTGCCTAGGTGATTGTAGATACACCACCCTTAAGTATGTAGTACACTCTTGAGTAGTATAATCTTGAGGCTCAGGTTGATTCACCCTTTAGCCAACAATATTCACCCTGGATTAATGACTCATGTGTATCCCTTTCATACCCGCCCTTGTGTTTCCGGGGCTTACTAGAACTGTGATGAAATATGTTCCTGCAGGTCAGCTCGCATTCCAATTGTTGAGTCATCGGTTCGGTTTGATTCTAGATACATCTGTAAATATTGTACAACAATCATTACTATAGCTAATTCTACATGTCGCCTGCCAGGTGGGCAGTTTTAGAATGATAGCAGTGAATTTGTTGCAGGTTCAAAGTGAAATTCTGAGGTCATCTAATGTTTTAAGTGGCCGTGTCATACCTACCGATGTATATATATATATCTGTTTGAGGTCCGCAACTACCGAAATTCCAATCCATTCCTCAACCGAATACTTTGAGTCATTCTGCGTTAAACACTACACCCATTGTTAAATATAAATATACATATTCCAAAGTTCCTCTTTTTCAAACTGAAATTACTTTCTCAGCTCAATCACCCCAGCAAACGTTTCTACATGTCCCTACAATGGGCGGAGAGTATCATGACATAATGATCCAAACACAATCCACAACACCCGTGGTCTGCACCGGGCAGGACCGAATACCAGGAAATGCACTCACCGATGCCAGATTAGAATCTTCTCAGGTACAAGACCTGATGTCGAGAGATCCAATATGACCTACCACCAAGTCCAAAGTACCTACATCTACGAAACATGGATTCTATTAAGCGAACCTGAACACGAAATTATCGTAAATGTGCAGTACGCATGCAGATGCAATGCGCCTTCGAATATTGTTTCAGGATAGAAAAAGTCCCTGAGGAGCCTATTCAATCAAGAAGTAAAGTCACATCTGCACTAGAACCTTGGAAACCAGGCCATCGCAACTCCGATTTTGAGCCGACAACGATGATCACTAGACTCAGATCATTTTCTGCCTCGGCATGTAGACAAAAGTCCAATGGATCAGACTAGAATCGATACACTACATCATCAACGCACACCGCATTATCGAGACAGCGTCAAGGAACTTGAAAGTATGCCCGATGCTAGTACTAGCTACATGAAGTCGAACCTAGCACAGAACCAAGTGGTCCACTGCAACTAGATACGAAACATACAAGCGGGCCCAAGTAAAACTTTGATAGATTATCCGACCATGAAATCGTACGATTGCGATCGTGGATCTACGACCCTTGGGTGTATGTGTACTCAAGAGGGGAAAGTATGAAGCAGATAGACCGAACCAGTAGTGTCATGACATCAAGACTAAACAAAATGAGTATATAAATTTCCACGGACCGAGCCAGAACCCCTCACGACATCTCGTTCCCGTCCATGTGCGCTTGTGTCAGGCATGCAGAGTGGAGTGGATGTGTCGAATCCACAGCGGGACTGGATGCTGTTCGGACATCCGATTCGAGGCTCAGATTCCGACTCGAGGTGTGCTGACGGATAGCGGTTGAAAATCGAGAGGCTGTCAGAATCAATTTGGGAATCACTAGTTATCCGTACTAGCGAATGAATGGGGCTCAAGCTAGGTGAGTTTTGTGGTGGCTCGAAGATTTCTTTTCTTTTTTTCTAAATACTCCGAGAAGGTGGCTGGGGCTGTACTAGATGAATTCTAATTCGACCTGTTTCTAGAATTAATATGTAGGATTGATTGATCGTGTGCTAAGCGTCGGCTTGTAGTGTTACTGTAGTGTCGGTGGCTGGGAAACCCAAGGAGACACGCTAAGACATTTGTACCGAACTGAAAATTCAGTTCATGCAAGAAACCTAGGTGTTCATCATTGTAAAGACCTTATCTTGCATGCAAAGAAGCAGGAACGGACAAAATCAAGGAACTGGTTCTATTCTGTTGGACGTGTGGAGCGGGATCCATATAGGCGTGGTGCACTGATCGCGATCCCATTCCCCGCCTCTTTCTGGCTCTCGAAACCATCTTGTAGCCCACCTACGTGGCATTAGACCGTGGCTGCACGACTAAAAGGGTTTCTGTCGGTGGTCGTATTTGGTAATGAGTGACAGGTCGAGGCTGGGAATTATCCGTTCTGTTGTGGTGGATCTGTCCACATGGTTGAGTTTCCTCGGAACCACTTCGCTATGTAGTATTTTCTAGCTTGATCCATGATCCATGCTTGTGCTGGTACTTTCTCGAGTAATCGACTACTCTTGCGATTGACCTTCCAGAGATGATCATGATCGACTCCAGCCACTGCGACGGGTCTTTTGGCCCGCGGGGACCATAATAGACTTTAGCTTTGACGGCTTTGACCCAAGTCCCCGACAGAACCGAGCAATGCCGATGGGGGAGATCAACTCCACTTCCCAAGCGCTCTGCTGATTTAGTCCTGATGATCTGAAGAAAGTGAATCGGGGTTTGCTCGGTGCCAAGGTGAACGGATCGCGGGATTTGAGATCTAGATGGGCGATATGGTAAGTGGGTATGAGAATGAGCAAAACTTCGCGAGCTATGGGTCAAATGAGGGGACGAAAAGTCTTTCTCGCAGTAGCTCGTAACCTGGCCCACAGACAGATCCACGACCAGGTTCATCCAAGTACGAGGGGAGCCACCACATGTAGAAACAAAAGGACAAGTATGAGCTGGCCTTCTCGTGGAGAGGGAGATGTGCGTAATAAAAGCCATAGCTGGATAAAATATCCGATAATTGGTAATAGGTGACAAGGGATACACTCTCCTCCGGCTAGATCACATATTGTATTTAAGACTATTGCATATAGGAACAAGGGTACCTGAATAATCCAACGCACTCGACTCCACGGGAAGTACTTCCGCCTTGCATTGGAGGCAATTTGATAACCAGGAAATGGGGATTCATGAGTCCCTGAGCGTACAGCGATCGCGGATGCAGACCAGAAATCCAAAGTTTGCCTACTGTAGGCCTACTGTAGGAACAAGTTCGATCGAGGGAGAACTCCACGGGCTAGGGGATGCATCTCGGGGAAGTGCGAATTACGATACATGTCAGATGCGGCAAATTTGAGTTTCGAGACAAGAATAGGGACCAGGCGCTAGCTGTACATATGGTACCTGTCGTCCTTGCAGCTCCCCGGCTACACCACAGGTACAGGTGGCCATTCGGGGAATATCCACGAAAAAAGATTTCGGATCTTCCGGAGGCCTGTGGTACAGCATGCTCTGTTTCTTTTTTCGGAAGCAATGCATTGTACTTTGTTGTCCTTTAGATTTGATGATCCGCAATCGATGACGTTCCAAATTCTGATCCTTGCCCTTGCTGCATTTGGGGCAATTGATATTATGTACGAGATACAAATTATTTAGGGATCATCATATCATTGATAGTGGCTTATTACGATTTGCGTTCTTATCACATTGCAAGTGTAATAACTTTAGTTGAGGTGATTAGGTTTTCTGAGCGAAGCTTTCATCCCTTTGTAGACCCATGCGTCTTCTCAGAACTAGCACGAGTAAACCATACGTGGTTGCCACTGAACTGGGATGCGTGGCTTCCCCTTTCAGCCGGGCGAATGGAAACCGCATGCACGGTTGCATATGAATTCGTGGTGGAGGCAAAGTGCAAATCCCGAAAAAAACAAAAGCACAAGGACCAGGCAGATCGATCTTCGACTGAAGAAACCGATCGTACGTTGACCACGTAATGATCGTTCGCCTACATAGCGTGGTTGATGAGGGGAAAGTCGCAAAGTGGGCTCTAGTACAGTAGCTTGCTGTAGTGGAAGTATCTACAGTGGCGGGTTATGTAAAAAGGAATTAATCTTGCAGCTGTGAGATGCATGAACCGGTACTTTTGCACCCGCTGAGTCGATCTAGCCCCATGTGGGGTGGAGATCGAAAGACGAGCAGCCCAGAACGAGATCTCAAATGGACAACAAAGTGGTTCTTTCATGCAACTCCAGGAACACAATGGATTTCACCTGCCGGTAGAATGCTCCATGTCATCGACAGTTGAAACCTGACATGTCGCGGGCGGGTCTCGGATGTGTCAACTAACAGCCACTATTGGAAATAACTTGGCATGAGGAGGGCAGCTGAGCCAATTGATTGGCTTATCGGACTCAGAAAGAGTGTGGAGGTGGAAACCTTGAACAGGGTTAATCCTTGTAAAGGAGCCGCAGCGGATGAACCCGTCGCTGTGTAATAATAGTAAATAACAGCAAACGGTTAAGAGAAACCGGCAACTGCAAGAGTCGTACGATTGTGATGTCAAGTTCACAAAACCTTTCGTTAGAGATCAGAAACGAGATTATTCAGATCAGAAACCAGGCATCAAGCTCTGATCTCTGATCTCAGAAGATTGAACTCAAATCATGAATCAACCAACCGATAGGCTTGTCAGATTATCGGAAGCAGATACCGGGTGCAAGCCACCTGCAAGTCACTGAAAACGGCAAGAAGGGAGAGGCAAAGTTCCGAAGATCCTTGGAATAATTAGGTCCGGGGAAGTCTCGGAAAGACCAGAGTTCGATCTCGAATGGTTCGTGCCTGGAAGTCATTCCATTTCAGTGAACTTGCAGCCGCAGCTGCGTGCCAACTGCACACTTGTGCTAGGCGCAGGCGCGGGACCCAGTTTCAAGGTCCGTCTGCAGGTATTGAAAATTGGCTTGATATGGGCCGTGTTCAAGGTTGGAAACGGGAGGCAAAAGGGGAAATAAGTCGAGGAAATGAATTTGAATTAGCAACGAGCCGTCTATACGAATATTATATGAATGATTTTCTCCCCGTGACCAGATTTAAATGACGATTGCCCATGTTCTTCGAGTATTCCATTTCATTCCAGGGACCGAAACTGGGAAGAACGTGGGGTCTTTAGTGTCTCAAATGGAGCCTGGACCCAAAGCGGGAGAAATATGACAGCTCTGATCTACTAAAGCCCCCGAGACCCACATCCACGGTTTAGCGAACTTAACAGCACGGGAAAGACGTATGAGAGCCATTCAATTCTATTCATACTAGGGATCACCCGTGGGGCAAATTTTAGTCAAGAAACGTGCAACTGTTAGGGCTTGACCCCATCGAGGCTATTCTCTTGCGCTCTGACTCGCCTAGAGACTAACGACGCCAACGTCCGTGTGTTGACTTTTCAATTCCAAATCAAACTACGGCCTCTGATTCGATGACTGACAGTAAACGTATCCTGGTCTCTGGGAACTGGGCTGTCCCAACTCGGTGGTTTTCCTCGAGCGATCTTTCGTTTTTGGCCTGTTTCCACTTCCCCTGGGATCGTGATTCGCCTGCCCTAGCAATTGATTCCTAATTACGGGGATAATTGTCATTGTCCGCAACGCTCTAGACAATGACACCATCTGATCTGTAGATCCAATGTCTTTGTAATTCCTGGTCCCTGATCATTGATGTACGTATGTCATATGAAGATTATAGACTATCGCCTATAGAACCATGATTCTAATTAATTGCCCCTTAGTCTAATTACGAGCCTCCTCGCATGTTACACCATGGAACTTCCATGGTCCTTGCTTGATTCTATTTCCCTAGGGTGGCTCTAATTAGTGGTTCGAAGGGGATCTGGGAGATGAGTTTGCCCCTTGATCTCCCACGGGTAGGTTCTCCTGAATATCGACGCAATCGATCGAAGATAAAAAGGTAAATTTGGGATAACATCTTACAATGGGCGTTTCATGATGCATCCAAATCTAAGCGGGGGTTCGTAAAGAAAAATTGATCTGGAATATGCAAGTAAAAAAAGGATGTGGAGACACCGTTCGGGGAATGATTTCCAGATTTCCCGCCATCTCTCGTTGGTCAGATGCATTCTGTGGATCTTCGTATATCTGTTAATCCAGTGTTTACTTTTTCCTACGCAAGCAGTTTTTGGAATCCCATCCACATGGACGCCGGAGAGTTTTTTTTGTTGTTTCTAACCGTTCCCAGGCTAACCACGCACGGAGAACGCTTAGATAATGTCATTAATTGGCGACTATTGATGTAAGGGCCAACGCCGCACTGCCCCTAAAGCCTTCCCCGTGTCGATCTCGATACCACCAGGCCGGTGACAAATCAAGGGCCATGGATCATCGTAGTGAACCTTCCTCTCGGGGCGGGATCGCGACATTGTGATTCGTTCATCACTCAAATTGGGTCTGCGATGTTCGTCCGTGCAGGATGTGACAGATACTCGACATCTCACCCTTCCCCTCTATAATTCTGTGACGCTTCTTCCGAAGCGGGTCTTCTTGACGGTCCAGAGCCCACCCGGGATGCGAACCTCGCTTCCCCGTGGGTCTACAGCCGACGCCATGCACTCTGCACAGTATCTGTCTGTATGACATCCCGGGTTCCGCGCTTGGGGTCTCTCGATGATCGGCCCTGATCGTTCATCGTTCCCCCTCTCTGGGTCCGAATGAGTACGAATCCCGCGTCTCAGGGTTTATCGATGTGAGATACACTTGAGGCAAAAGTACTTGCCCCCCTCGTCATTGTCGACATATAAACCATGCACCCAGCCCCGTATCCCTCGTTGAATTGTCTCACTCATTGTCTTCGCCTCGTGTGGATCTCGATCCTTTCGCTTCATTGTCTTTGCCACTGTGTTTATCTCCACGTTTACTGTGCACATACCATTGCTATTGTGCTTTGCCGCCACCTGCCCACTTCGACCCTGTGAATATCTCGTGTTTTTGGAAACGATTAGTGCCTAGTATATACATCCTTGCGGCTTTACTCGACTACATCGACCCTCGCTTCTGCACATATCACTTGTATCCACGCTTATCAACGACTCATCATGATGTATGAAGAAATGGGTTCTATGACTGACGACATTCAGCGACGCTGCTCGCTTCCGTGAGTACTAATGGGCTCTATGAATCTATATCTCATTCTAATTGGGATATCAGCTCTCTCAAATCAACCACTTCTATGAGTGGCTCTGACCTGGGCGAGGACCGCCGCCTTCCTCCCCTCCCTCGTGTGGACCCATTGCCCCGTGGGCCATTCCACTTGAACCCATTCCACAACAAGGAGAACTTCCCTCCCACTACCCCGGGCCCACAAGACTCGTTCCAGTTCAAGTCGCCCTGGTCAGGCAGTGAGAATATCGCTGCTCCTCCCTCGCCAGCCAACTCTGCCGAAAGCTCCTGGCAAGAGTCATTCGCGGCCCAGAAGGCTGCTTCAACCGAGTGGCCCAATGATCTCTCCCAGACTGAGATCATGGCTCTCATTGCCCCCAAGAACATCAACCGCAAGCAGCCTCTTCAGCAGCTCTGCGGCCGTAAGCGCAAGGGCAGCAATGCCTCCCCCGACCCTGATGACCAGCGGGAGAAGCACCGCATCGCCGAGGGCAACCGCCGAAAGAACCTCAGCCAGCTTCACCGCGAGCTTGACAGCCGCATCCACGACTTCTTCCTTGAGCGTGCAGGTTGGAACCCATCCAAGAGCCTGACCCAGTCCAAGGAGCACATCGTCCAGGGTGCAGTCTACCTCATCGACTTCATGTTGGCTATCATCGTCCACCTGATTCGCCAGGAACAGGTCACTCCCCAGCTTTCAGAGAAGCTGCAGCCCCAGGTTCGCTGCATGCAACTCCAGCAGCTGGTCACCTCTCTCCAGCAGCAGAACCAGACTACCCAACAGCAGCTGCGCGCCGCCAAGGCCGAGAACGATGTCCTCGCGGACCGTAACCGCGCTCTCGAGTTCCAGCTTAAGTCCTACGAGGCTATGTTCCGCTCCCCAAAGACCGAGAGCACTAGCCCCCGGACACTCGTCGATGTTCCTGAGCACAAGCGCCAGAAGAAGGGTGGACTCCCGGGCCTCCGTGTCTTCTGTGACGAGATTGGACAAATTGCTCCAGCTCCAGAGACACCTACTTTTTACCATGACGGCATGCACAGTGCCACTTCCCAAACATTCGGCACTTCATACCTCACTTCAACACCACCCGTCACTGGTCCCTCATCTCCTGCCTTCCCCCTTTCGCAATCCTCCTCTTTCAACTTCCCCTCTTCGCGACGCCACTCTCTGATCCCGTCGCCATAGGAAGGTGCAGAGCTATGACGATGCATGCTTCCACTGACTCCTGATGTTGATGATTCCCCCTTTGTTCCCGCCCAGATATTCTTCCCCCTTGCAGGTAGCGGTGTCATCGCTCCCCTGCGTCATTTTGGGTTCGAGGACAGTTTTCCCCGCTGCATTGTGCCCCTTAGCGTGTCCGCACTCACTGTAATACTAGATTTGTCTCTTCGAGACTTGAGGTTCCCGCTCGGTGTTTATATTTTCTATTTTCTTTCTTCTGTCTATTTTCGTTGGTTCGCTCTTCTTTTTTTCAAAATTCAAAAATGGGTGGCCTATATTTATTTCTTTTGTCTATTTTTTATTTTGTCGGCGCTGACATGATGGTATATATGATTGGGTTGGCTATTTGCTTTTCTTTCTTTTGTTTATTGTTGATCGGTTTTCTTTGTTCATACTCTCGAGTCAATATATGACGATATCTATAATCATTCTTCCAAACGTAAAATAGGTTCATCGTATTTATCTACGTTCTGTTGATGACTTTATATCCACTTGATATGGCCTGTCGCCTGTCTCACCTCGCGAGGTACTACATGAGGGCCATAGGTGCGTTTCAGTATAACGTGGCATCGTTTTGTAGTACAGATGCCGTTAACAACTGCATTGATATTGGATCTGTAGATGATGTCTCTCTTTTCTATCGAATCTGAGTTTGAAATCATTCGAATGTAAAGGCTTTTTTTGGACAAAGCTCCTCATAATAGATAGTCCTGGAGCGATTTAAATTTTCGACCCTTGCACCAAATATGTTTACTTGAACACTCAGATAAAATGAGCTGGTCCGACCCATGAACTTCGATATTGATGGTCTTATACTGAGTTTGCTTCTGCATAATGCTTTGTGCATGGTGGAGTCTCGGCCATTGAGTGGGGTTGAAGGCAGCAATATACTATGGACCAGAAAACTCTTCCGAACATAGAATACGGATTTACAGCATTGTACAATGATACACGATGTTGTCCTCGGTCAATGCTGAAATTCCTGCATATATACAGCAATAGCATTGAAGCACATGGGTTTGAATTCCATATAACCTTCTAACCAGCATCTTAGTAAGTGCCAAGGATCGAGTCCCCAGTGTTTATGCAACGGTAATTGCGGAGACAAAGACCCTCCACATGTCTTAGATGTCCTGTTGTCGTCAATAAGGTCGTCATTATAACTCTTACTGTCGATATTGTCAAATTTGACTGATCCTGATCAATTGCCGTCCTTGCAAAACATCCCTGCAATTCGACGTAACATTAGGGGGCTATAACGCCACACCCGGGGCGAGACCCAGCACGTAAGTGACACGCAATGTTGGGATGGACGATGATGAAGCCTCAGGGGTAGGAGTGTTGAATATACTTGTGAGTCAACTTTTAATGCTCACGAATGATGCTATAGATTCGTTGAAAGTTCTACTTCGTTATAGGAGAATTTCATATTCCCGTCGATCTCCACGATTGCTATTAATAAAACCCAGGGTCTTTCCCGAAACCGAAAAAAAAAGGGAAAAAAATTAAATCAAAAAAATAGAGAATAAATTTACTCGGGAGGACACAGAATAACAAATAAGAGTAGAGATAGACTTATAGCACCATTATATGTCAATTAGCAAAAATAAAATTATGACATTGTAGATCGACGTGGAGAGTGAAGTGTCTCGAAAGGGCTGATTCTACCCGTCTGCCGCTTGGCAATTTCCCCCGGCGATCCCGTCCTCCTCATTTTCCTCCTCCCTATCTGTCAACATCATCAACGACAACCTCACCAACTCCTACCTCACTACGGCCTTCTGCGCGTCCTCTGAGGCCTCACTCGTTCGGCAAGGGGTATTCGACGGGCCTCGAACCAGGGGATCGACGCCGCTCCGGCTCCTGAAAGTCCAGAATCTCAAAACACACATCTTCACTTTTCTTAATCCCCAAAATGTTGTTGCCAAAGGGTGGAGTTAACTGGAAGTCCGCGAGATCGCGGTTACCGCCATGGAGGGCGGTTCTCGTTCTCCTGACACGCACTCGGTTTCTGATCTCGATTGCCGTGACTGGTCTGATTCTCCTGCTTTGGCGTGGCGTCAGCAAGTCCGCGTCGGAGATGCAAAAGTATGCAGAATCCACTTCCTTGCCGGGTAAACTGGGTTCCATGTAACTGACACCGTTTGGTTTAGTTTCTACTGCTATGGCTCGAGCAAGTCGCCGATGGAGATGTCCATCAACGAGATGGTCGAGTGGAATGCTCACGCCCAGACTCCTGTCCTCTTCAACCACCACGCCCCCTACGAAGTGAACAACACCTCCATCGCTGAGGTGGACCTGAACCCTATCTCCTCGACCGTGCAGGCCGTTTCTAACCGTGAGCGCGTGCTCATCCTGACCCCTCTCCGCGACGCCGCCCCCTACCTCGAGAAATACTTCGATCTCCTGTACAAGTTGACCTACCCCCACGAACTGATCGACCTGGCTTTCCTGGTTGGCGACACCAAGGATGACACCTTGGCCAACTTGGCGTCTGAACTCGATCGTATCCAGAACCACGCCGATGAAAAAATCCGCTTCCGCAGTGCGACCGTCGTCCGTAAGGACTTTGGCGCTGATGTTGAGATGAGCGTTGAGGAGCGACACGGTTTCGCTGCTCAGGGTCCTCGCCGCAAGGCGATTGGGCGTGCTCGCAACTACCTGCTCTACTCTGCGCTCAAGGCTGATCACTCCTGGGTTTACTGGCGTGATGTGGATATTGTGGACTGCCCTGAGCGCATTCTGGAGGACTTCATGGCCCACGACAAGGATATTCTGGTCCCGAGTACGTTGCCTCGGCTATCTTTTGGTTTGATGTTCCGATGAGCTAATTCGGATTGCAGACATTTGGTTCCACCGTTACCGTGATGGCCGTGATGTTGAGGGTCGCTGTATGTCAATCCCCTAATTAATCTGTTTGTTCATTTAGCTGACCCATTACAGTCGACTACAACTCTTGGATCGAATCTGACAAGGGTCGCCGCTTGCGCGCAACCCTGGACCCTGACACCGTTTTGGCTGAAGGTTACAAGGAATACGACACCGGCCGCACCTACATGGTCAGCATGGGTGACTGGCGAAAGGACAAGGACGAGGAGGTTGAGCTTGACGGAATTGGTGGCGTGAACATTCTCGTCAAGGCCGATGTCCACCGCTCAGGTATGTTGATATCCGCCTCTGATTACCAACCTATCAATTCTAACTTCTGCAGGTATCAACTTCCCCGCATATGCATTCGAGAACCAGGCCGAGACCGAAGGTTTCGCCAAGATGGCTAAGCGCGCCGGTTACCAAGTCGTCGGTCTGCCCAACTACGTCGTCTGGCACATCGATACCGACGAGAAGCCCGGTAACCTAGGAGATCGCAAGGCGTACTAAGTTGTGATACCCGCCTTTTGATAGCCGAACGGCTACGTGGGCTACAGAGTTGATCTTTGAACCCGGTCCGTCTCCGATCCAAACCCTCCATTCTGCTCGACCGTACAGACACAACATCCCGTCATGTCAGCGTCGATCAACCTATACCACTGTGATACATGTTCGCTTCTTTTCTTCTCTCTTGTTTTCTTTCACATTGGAGGGATGTTTCGAGTGACGGAGGCCTAATGATTTCCATAATCCACTATCTTCGTGCCGCGTTCTAGGGAGTGTGTGTATTTGTTACCTTGGCGCTACGGGGGAAAACGTTGTTTGGCAGAAATGCAGGTCTATAGAATTCTCCGGTTCTTGTGACCCTTGATATACTGAATTTGTGTTATGCGAGGTGATCCTCTCTTCTTTCGGGGGAAATGTCTATGTCCTGGCTGATAGATGTCGCCTTTCGTTTTTTCTTTTTCTTGTTGCAAACTAAATCCATAGGGACCGGAATGAACCGGACCGTTCTTTTCATGTTGTTTTCTATGCATCGATCCTGTGAGCAGGACACTTCTAATCTTGTTTTCTGGTCTCGTCATCCTGTTTGAGAACGTATGGGGAACATGTAGTAAGAAAAGTCCTGCCTGATTGGACACATTTATCTGTTCCATGTTGTCCATCAGTATTCGTGTTCGTGTATATAGTAAGTATGATATGAAAGATCTCGCAGACTTATCAAGTTGATCTCTATGTATCTTTATCATCAATATCAGTTGCCGTGACGGGCTACTTCTTAGGGTAAAATTGCCTGCTAGTGCCTCTCGCTTTTATCATTTACATAGGTAGCTCCAACCTACAGTCATTGAGGGCAGATAGAAGATGGATGCTCAGCCTCGCTTACCTAGTCTCGTATCCCATCAGCACTAAACAGATTTATGTCTGCAGGTCTTTGATGACCAATGACAATTGACCAATCAAAAAGATGAATGTACACTCCCTCCCGTTTCTTAGTTTCGAAACATCGAGCGCCGGCATGCGATTACATGCACACAGCCACTTTGCTGAGCCATGATATGTAGGACACGGACCTAGCCCTAACCAATCAGGACGTTTCAAGAGAACTCATCCCCTACTTCTGATTTCAAAAGTGAATAGTAAACCGTATGAAAAGCCTTCGCTGAGCCATGATGTGTTGGACACTGATCTGGCCTTGAACCAATCAGGACGTTTCAAGAGAACTCATCCCCTACTTCTGATTTCAAAAGTGAATAGTAAACCGTATGAAAAGCCTTCGCTGAGCCATGATGTGTTGGACACTGATCTGGCCTTGAACCAATCAGTATGTTTTCAGAGAAGTCTCTCCCCTTTTTTGGTTCTGAATTGATTGCTCCTCATATCCCCTTACGGAGCTGAGCCATGATGGAAGGCGTTCATTTCCGGCTCGTCGTGCTTTAGTTTCACCCGGGCGTAATGAACAGGCCATATCTAAACCAATCAGAATTACCAAGGGGTGCTGCCTCCCCATCTTGAGTTCCATTTTCTTCCCATTTTGCCCATTTTTCCTAACCCCCATATGAATTATCTAACATGCTGAGCCATGATGAGAGATTGGAGGACTCTCCCAGTTCCTTGTTCACACCTATTTTTGCCCAGCTCGCCCGGGTAAATATTAGTAGTTATAGACTAGGCCCTCATTGTGTCCAATCTTTTCCAGTAGAAGCCCGGCCTTGAGCCCTCCAGGATACTTCAAGGAGATGCCTTCCCTATTTTTGGTTTCAAAATTGTCCTGAATATGCCGCTGGAGGGCAGCTGAGCCATGATGTGAACAGCGACCTATCCTTCAACCAATCAAGATGTTTCGAGAGAACACCCTCCCTCAATTTGGGTTCACGTCTGGAATCCGAAGTGACGGTATAAATCGGAAGCTGAGCCATGATGAGAACCTTATATTTCCATTATTCTGTTGTCAACTTTTGCTTATTCGGGCCCTATATCCGAACTAATTAGGATGACGAAGAGGTATTGCCTCCCATATTTCGTTTCGAGGTCAAGGGTCTCATGCACTCTCTTGATGCTGAGCCATGAGGCAAATCATAGATCTCCGACCAGTTCATAACTCGAATGTCATTTTCGTCCAGCTCGCCTGGGCAGATATCTAGTAGATACAGCTCAGGCCCTTCATGTGTCCTTTATATTTAAGAGCACCAGCATGATTCTAAGCCAATCAGGATGTTTTAAGGGAACCACTTCCCTATTTCTGGTTTCATTTGAGCCCTACTGCGGCGTTATGAGCGGGGCGCTGAGCCATGATGTGTACAACAATGACCTATTCTTCGACCAATCAAGATGTTTCGGGAGAAACCCCTCCCCATGTTTGGTTTCAACGTGTCGAATCCATTGAGGGGCTAATTTGATTGCTGAGCCATGATGAGAACCCTAGATCTTCCTACTTTTAGTTCTTTTGCATACTCGCGCCCTGTGTCCAGGCCTATCAGGAATACAAAGAGGTATTGCTTCCCCATATTTCGTTCCAGGAAATTGCGCAATGAAGATCTTTACCTTGGGTGAACGGGTATGCTGAGCCATGATGAGAGGTTTGGATCATTCCCTCTATTTATCACAAATCTTTCGCCTAGGCGAGCTGGGCGAACATCTAGCATTTACAGGCTATGCCCTTGATTATTTCCAACATATAGACCCAGCTTCAAACCAATCAAGACGGCGGAACGGTGTTGACTCCCCATCTTTGGTTTCATTTGGTACGCCCACAGATGGGCGCGCGGGGAGCTGAGCCATAAGAGAGCCTTTGATCTCCTCCCAGGATTTAGTCTTGACTTTCTGTATGTGACAGCCCCGCTGAGCGGTGAAAGAGCCTCAAAGCTGCCCCCTAGATTGTTGTTCCGGCTTATTTCCGCCCGAGCACGTGGGTGACAGCTCTGTGTTATACTTAGGCTACAGGCTATGGCCCTATACTCACACCAATCAGAATCATAGGGATACAACCCCTCCCCTTTTTTGGTTTCTAGTTTCAAGTGCGTTCACCGCTACCTGAGCCATGAGCAGCATTGGCCCTCTATTGGCCTCGGTCTCTGTTCTTCCACCAGAATGAGACATGATGGTAGCCTTCAATTATTTCTTTTTCTGTTCCAGCAGGTAGCTGAAGCTTCGATTATACATAGAGCACTTACCTAGGCTCTAACCAACATTGTTATTTGGGGAACGACTCCAAGTGTCAGGTATATTTTTGCAAGGCGATAATCCTAGCTGAGATGATGCCTAGTTGAGGGGCCTGAACATATCTAGACCAATAGGAACTGGTTTAGATCGTGCCCATCTACATCTCGCTTCATTCTTGTACTCCAAAGCTAGGTGCGCTGAGCCATGAGGCTCATATACCCGGACCAATAGGAATTCAATTTGATGCTGCCCGGCCCTTTTCTAGTTTCGCTTTTCCATAAAATATCCAATGGATGACGCAACTGAGCCGTGAGGCTCACTAGCGACTGGATGGCAAAAATAATGCCAGGCGAGAGGTGCCTACACAGATTCGCACCAATGGGAATTCAATTCGATGATGCCCGGCCAATTTTTATCTCCATTAGGAGTCACCTCACCCCCGCACACATACTCCTCAGTGCTAAGCCAGCCATAGGATTTACGCTTCACTAGCAGATAAGTGGCCGATATGATGCCTAGGCGAGGGACCTACATAGATTTCAGACTAATAGGAATCCCTTGAATGGTGCTTGGCCGCTGTTTAGTTTCATTTCTTGCTCTGAGAAGGTGATGAGGCTGAGGCTGAGCCATGAGGTTCACCACCGACTGGGTGGCTAAGATGCTTTGTGGCATGCTGACCCGAAGGTCAGTACTAGGCAGGAGCTGGTTTAAGTCAATTTTGCTGCATGTTACATGTGTTCAATAAACAAGTCTACTGCCAGCCTTAGTTCTGCATCGGCATATCTTACGGTGGACTACTGTGTTGCGATACCTGGACTCTATCAGGCCGTTTGGTGCTGTTACTTCGAGAATTTACCATCCTGCAGTGAGCAACAGTAGTAGAGTGTGGATCTGCTGCTCTTATTCAAAGATGCGAGTTTAATGCAATTTGACTTATATTGATGAACTTATATTGATGGTACTCAGATCACAGCGGCGTACGCACGGCCGACTTGAACTATACGAGACAGTCAGTAACGCATCCCAAAGTTATTTTTATACAACACAACTTACGGGGATGACCTGGGCCTTCTCCATATCCCATACACCAGAGCGAGCGTAGATATCATTCTCCAGGATAGCGCGGACGGCGGCCTCGTTCTCGGCCACGGCGAGCAACATGCTGCCCTTAAAGGAGGGAACCTCACCCTCCGCGGGGTGAGACTCAAGCATGGCACCTATTGGAGAAAGACATGAGCCGAAAGTCCATTTTCAGATTTGAGGTCGTCAATTGGAATAAATTGGGTACACATCCAAGAGAAAAAGCATATTTCACTCCGGTGTATAAGAATGACTGATGACGGAAGACTTACCACCGCTGACAACGGAACCAGCTTCAACCAGAGGCTTGACGCCCGCCAGATGATCACTGGGATGAGTCGTTAGTTCACGCTCGGGATCTTCAGAGGGGTAACTTGGTAGCTTACGGGCGGACGGCCAGGCGCTTCTCCTGGGCGCCGGGGAAATCCGGCAGGATGCAGAGGAACTCGTGCTTGGCGGGTGCGGAAGACATGGTGCGTAGATGAAGAGAACTGGAAATGAAGGAATTGGCAGGTCTGCAGAGGGGTGACAACGGAATTGATTTGGACGGAGCGCGGAGGAATAGCCGAACGTGGGGGGAAGCGGGGACTCGCTGAATGGCGTGGGTGAGAGTATACATGGCGTGTGGGGATGAATTGAAGGGGAAACAGGATCTAAGGGGTCAGACCAATTATAATAGTTAACCGGATAAGATTAGTTCTGGAAGATTTTAGGACATTTTCCGGAAGATCCGTTGAGTATACGACGGGGTCCGGGCCTTCATCTGCACTTTGCATACATCACTTCGATGCCAACCAGTATTCGAATTTTATTTGCAGCTTATTCTCGAAACTATATCATTCTGATAATTGTTTCCAAAAGACTATCTCATCGAATGTTAGATCTCTGGTGAACCTCGTTGACTACAGTGATTGCTTAGGTGATCCAAGCCAATCACGCGCTTATCGAACCTCATCCAGCTCCACACCTTAACAACTACGTACAACCAACTCGCCATGCCAACAGATGGTACCACCCCCGCTAAAGGCGGGGGCATGATGTCGCTCTATGCAAATCTGTTGGGGCCATCCGCTGATTCTGCCCCGGGAACTATTTCTCGCGCGCCTGTTGTATTCAAACAAGGCGATGACGCGCAAGATGAGTCCACTGCAAAGAAGCAGCAACTGAATGCTGGTACTTTTTGAATTTCTTTGATGATTCCACCAAGACAAAAGTTACTCACCTTCGTTACCATTGGACAGCTTCTCTTCGATTCCAACCCACCAAGCGGCCACAGCTTGCAGCGCAAAAGGCCAAACCAAAACCCGCATTACCCAAGGCACCGCAACCTAGTGCCGGCCAGCCCTCTACCTCTAGTGCGGCGCCTGTGAAACCAACTCTGGCCGACTGGGCCGCGGAAGAAGACGATTATGGATACGTGGGCGAGAAGCGACAGCGCGGCGGAAGGAAGAAGCGCAAGAAGAACCACGAGCCGCACGAGATTCCACAAAATTGGGACGATATATATGACCCGTCGCGACCGAATAACTATGAGGAGTACCGACATAGTGACGAGAAGATTCTCGAGGTTCGCGAATGGAAAGACCGTCTTTATGCGCACCGCATGAGACGCTCGCCGAGCAAGGACTCGGATAGCGATGACTATGACCGGCCCATGAACCGTATGAACCATTGCACCCAGAACAATGCAGTAACGAACGAAAAAGCTGACGCTGGATCTTTAGGCCAATTCGCACCACCAATGAGCTTTGCTCCCCCACCGAATCTTAACGATGTGCCCCCACCCCCTCCGGCATCTGGCTCCGACTTGTCCGGCGAGGATGCTTTCACTCAACGTGCACGGTTGAGCCAGCGCGAGAATACCGATATAGACATGCCCGACTATGCCCAGTCAATACCACCGCCACCTCCACCACCCGAAGAACCGCCCGCTCCCCCTTCGGACACTACCGGCGACGAAGCATACAAGCGCCGACTTCAGCAAACAAACCAGCCTCCATCAGGGCAACTTCCGCCCACCCCTTCTCGCCTCGATGCCTTCCAACCCAGTTCCGCGACTATTTCTCGCGCACCCGTCCGCTACACCCTCCCTCCCCCTCCAGCAGATATCCCTGCATCCGAAGCAGAGCTGGAGGAGGTATTCGCCAAGGAACAGCCCGCAGACGCACAGGGCGAAGCAGAAGCCGAAAACGCCGAGGATGCGCCGCGTTCCCTCCGTCCTGGTCAGAAGGGCTTTGCAGAACGTCTACTCTCAAAATATGGCTGGACCAAGGGATCTGGACTTGGTGCTACGGGATCAGGTATTGCGAAGCCATTGCAGGTCAAGGTTGAGAAGCGGAAGAAGCGGCCCGATGCTGAAGGGGGAGGCTTTGTCACTCCTGGAGGACGGGGTACGATCATCGGTGGTAAGAAAAAGGGTGGGGATGATACTGGCAAATTTGGACCTATGAGTGAGGTCATTATTCTCCGGGGAATGCTGGATGGCATGGATCTTGAAGCAGAGTTGCAAAGTGGGGAATTGATGCAAGAGATTGGTGAAGAGTGTCATGAAAAGGTATGTTCCATCCGGTGTTTATACCTCCACTTTTGATACTTACTGCTTTCAGTACGGGAGTGTGGAACGAGTGTACATTGCTCGAGATGCAGGCACACCAGTTCCCGTGTTTGTCAAATTCACCAGTCCTTTGTCTGCTTTGCGGGTAAGTTTGATCCTTTGAACCCACTTGAATGCCCTTTTTTGCTAAACAGACGACTGTTTCTAGGCGGTAAACGCTCTTGAAGGACGAATCTTCAATGGCAACGCAATCACAGCTCGATTCTTTAATACTGAGAAATTTGAGGAGGGGATCTACGTGGACTAATGTACTTATGAGCCTGCCTGCAGGTACAATGATATTCCTCAAATGCAACTATACCATGCCCAGATAAATGCTATAAGTCCTCTCAAAGACACCTCAAAGCCACCAAATGCTCCTCCTTATGCAATTATAATACAAACAAAGCTATGATGCTGCCTCATTTTGATAACAAAGAAAGTCAGAAAGTGAGCTGATCGAACAATTCCAACTCATACGCCTCCCAATCACGCTCTAGCAGCTTATTTCGACTCACCGGAACAGGAATCTTGGACACTGGTATTCTACTTCGCGACTGCTGCAAAATAACATCCCAAGACCCTGCATAACCCAGTATAGGCGAATCCGGGAAATCGACCTCTGTATCGGACTCACATCCATCTCGTCCGAACTCCATCTCCGAACAAGGTGACGAGGGCAGAAGGTCCTCTATACCCTCTAGATCAACTTCTTCTTCTGATCCATCGTCATCATGAGCCTCATACCAGCTGTTCGCTAACCCACCATTCAAATCAGAATGAGATCCTGTAGCAAGTATATCAGTACCTCCAATCCACATATGCATATACCCATCGTTTGGTGTTTGAATATGACACTCTGAATCAATCTCATCAATATCAAACTCTGCTATCTCATCCATGTCAGCGTCAGCGATCACGGGCAGCAATTCATCTGCATTTTTCCGTTGCATCTGCTGCCACTTCCGCTCGCCTTTGCAATTGTAACACTCGCCTGAAAGAGGGATATCAAGAATTGGTTGGAAATGCGGTAGACAATCGTAACCCGTTGCTGTCGCATAGAAGCAGGGAATTGTGGTTGTTTGGGATTGGTCTTGGTGTTGGCAGAGGGCGTGGTACCATACTATAGCGTGACACATTCTGGAGATTGGGTCAGCGATTTGGGGATGGAAGAGACGAGGGGTTATAGCGGGTTTGAGTGATAAGTTATGCGTGCTTGAGTCGTGATTTCTTGTCCGTTGGTGGATTGAGAGGCTTTATAGGCGTTTGATTCATGAACGAGTTCAAGGGCTTTTTGCTATCTTTATGCCCTGTGCCTTAGTCAGTAGGATATTTCCGGCTAGCTATTTCTGGGTAATAGTAATGAATTGGTTGCATGGATTCTCTTTCATTGGCTTAGAATTTGTTTGAGCAATATTTGGATGTAGATCCATGCCGGGGCTCTATTTTCTGAGTGGAGCAGGCCAGGATTGGCTTTCACTTACGTTGAATGCGCCTTCATGCATAGACACTCTTTGTGTGTCTCATGACTGAAAGCACAAAGACTCGAAACATTTGAACAAGGACTCGAGATAGTACATGTATTACGTACTACGTAGTACAATTCCGATTGTACCTTGCTAGACCGAACCCCATGGGGCATCTCATCCAAGTTACACATTACCCTACAACTTGTTTACAATGAGATCAAACACTCATAAAAACCTTGGAACTGATCTGCAAACGCCATCCATTTGCTCAAGAAACGCCACGCTGGTGATCGGTCGAGAAAAGCAGAATGCTCCCTGCGCCGAGGTAAGGATGTAATGCAAGCGAGATACTGGTATGTCTCGCCATATTGCTGTAGAAACGACAAATCAAATGGTAACCGCAAAATGAAAAGCGCCGTTAGTCGTTAGACTCGCTATGCGCAACCCCATCGATTTCCTACATCGGCGGGTTTTCCTTCACCACTTGGCGGACTCGTCGTTCATATGCAGGGCGATCCTTCTTAAAGAGGTTGTAGGCATCGGCTTGCGCGGGCGATTCGGGGTTGGGATCATTCAGCAGATCCTGAATTCCGAGCAGAATTTGGCGGATTGTGATCGCGGGACGCCAAGCTTCCTCCTCGTTCAAAATGGAAAGGCAGACTGTGCCGGAAGGGTAGACGTTCGGGTGGAAAAGCGGCGGAGTGAATTTGCCTGCAGATGAACTTGTTAGTCGAATTCGGAGGAGCGTTGCGGCCATAATGGGCAGTTATGTAGGTGGCAATACGTACACTTGGGTGGCTTGGTAGGATATTCTAGACGCAGCGAAAAGAACGTCAGATCAGTATACGGACCAAAAAGGGATGCGCAAAATAACTCACCGTCAGGAAAGATCACGTCCAGCTTGTAAACTCCACCTTCCCAGAGGGTGTCCTTCTTTCCGGGTACGGCGCATTCCCAGCGCTTAAGGTCTAACGTTCCCTGCGCCGTCCGCTGGGGCTTTGCGACGAATCCAAAGGGGTGGTCACGGCGCCATTGCTTGCTAAAGGATCGCCGAATTTGTCAGCATACACGTAGAAATCAGATTATTTTGCGCTAGGATAGCCTGCAGATATCACATACCGCTCTTCTTGAAGACGATTTTGGCAAAGCGACATAATGTCCAGTCCTGATCAGCGGTGGAGTGAGATGAGTATCCAGGAAGAGTGAGATAGTTAGATATAGCTCGGTCAAGAGGGAACGAGAGCGGAAGAGGAGAAGAAAGGTGGTGGCGGGTTAAATAAAGCTATTTGCGCCGTGCAGCTCAAGATGCGATCTCCAATCGCCCCGCCGAAAGGATTAGGTAAGCTCTTTGTATTGCCATCATGCATGGACGAATAGATGCTTTGGCAGTGTATGTTGGCATGGAAGTTGCCATTTAGATGCGGAGAATGTTCCTTTGAAAGGCTATGGTTTACAATGAACAGATGTCTAATTACCTTTCATCCTAGATCCATAGTCATGCTTATTGTTCATCCGAAGTCTAGAGTCATAAGTATTCATGATCTAGCACACTCACCGGGTGAGTAATAGTCCCCACTTAGATGAAAGATCTTTATGCAGCAACCCTAATACTAACACATGATGTTTGCAAGAGATGTCACTTTCTAGATCCAGGTGTATATAGTAAACAGTAAATTTTGAATCTAGAAGAAATGCCAAGTAATTGCGCCGGTGTCAGTGGCTGGTGTTATCTTATCGGTGACTCAAAGACTGGCCGACATCGCCCCTCGCCGGAAACGAAAAAAAATCGCCAATTGCCGGTTTAAACTCCCCCAGAATTCGGGATTAGTCAATCTTTCCTTCCTTCCTCCCATTGACTCCAATTGATCTCCCACTCAACAAGAGTATCAACTGCCCGTCATGTGTGGAATCTTCGCGTGTCACCAGTACGTTAATCACTGCAAATCCCATCCCACTTTCCTTACCCCCACTATGCCTTTTCATTCCCGGCACGCGATGGTGGGTTGAGTCATTGCTAACTCGAGTCTGAACAGTCACCCCGATGTGCAAAAGTTCAAGCCCCAGGCTTTGCGCATGGCCAAGGCGTAAGTTGTCCTCTTCTTCTTTGCATTCGTTCTGCAATTGAGGGCTTGTCACTAATTGCGAATCCTCAACAGTGTGCGCCACCGTGGTCCCGATTGGAGTGAGTCACCGGATGGATTGGAGCTCGAAAACTGTACACATTGGGAGTGAGGATATTGACTGGATATTTCTTGACAGGTGGAAACTTCTGCGCTCAGAGCACTAGTGAGTCAATCGTCATTCAATGATTATCGTGGTGGGATGAATGTTGGCGCTAATGGCTGTTCTCTAGTCCTTGCTCACGAGCGTTTGAGTATCGTCGGTGTCGGTATGTCGCAATCATCTTCAGATCACAGATCAGCCTTTGTTCCAGCAGTTCATTTTCTCATGTTATCCCAGACTCCGGTGCCCAGCCCCTCGTCAACGATGATGAGACCCTCGCCCTCGCCGTCAACGGTGAGATTTACAACCACCGTATCTTGCGGAAAGCCCTGAAGACCAAGTACAACTTCAAGACTCACTCCGACTGTGAGGTCATCATTCCCTTGGTATGTGACAATGGAAACCGTTAGTTATGCAAGGAACATGTCTGATATCCCATTTTTTAGTACATGGAGCACGGTCTCGATGCCCCCAAGCACCTCGACGGCATGTTCTCCTGGGTTCTCTGGGACAAGAAGCTTGACCGTGTCGTTGCTGCCCGTGACCCCATTGGTATCACCAGCTTCTACCTCGGCCGCTCTTCCTCCACCCCCGGTGCTGTCTACTTCGCCTCCGAGCTCAAGTGTCTGCACCCGGTTTGCGACAACATCATCGCTTTCCCTCCCGGTCACATCTATGACTCCAGCACCGACAAGCTGACTCGTTACTTCGAGCCCAAGTGGTGGGACCCCACCAACGTCCCCTCCACCCCCACTGACTTGATGGCTATTCGCCACACTTTGGAGAAGTCCGTTCGCAAGCGCCTGATGGCTGAGGTCCCTTACGGTGTCCTGCTGTCCGGTGGTCTTGACTCCAGCCTCGTTGCTGCTATTGCCCAGCGTGAGACTCTCCGCATGCAGGATGCTGCCCGCGCCGCCGCCAAGTCCGAGGCTGCCGGCTCTGATTTGGTCGGTATTGATGACGAGAACGATCTGTCCACTGTCACCACTTTCCAGCAGTTGCACTCCTTCTCCATCGGCTTGCCCGGTGCTCCTGATACTGAGGCTGCCCTGGAGGTCGCCAAGTTCCTCGGCACCAAGCACCACGCCTTCACTTTCACCATCGAGGACGGCCTGAACGCCCTTGCTGATGTTATCTACCACCTCGAGACTTACGATGTGACCACCATCCGTGCCTCTACCCCCATGTACTTGCTGTCCCGCAAGATCAAGGCTATGGGTGTTAAGATGGTCCTGAGTGGTGAGGGCAGTGACGAGATCTTTGGTGGCTACCTCTACTTCCACGCTGCTCCCAACCGCGAGGAGTTCCACAAGGAGACTGTCCGTCGTGTCAAGAACTTGCACTTGGCTGACTGCTTGCGTGCCAACAAGTCCACCTCTGCCTGGGGTCTTGAGGCCCGTGTGCCTTTCCTCGACAAGGAGTTCCTGGAGACCTGCATGGCCACGGACCCTAAGGACAAGATGATTACCGAGGGCCACATTGAGAAGTACATCCTGCGCAAGGCCTTTGACACTACCGACGAGCCCGATAACACTCCCTACCTTCCCGATAAGATCCTGTGGCGCCAGAAGGAGCAGTTCTCTGACGGTGTCGGATACGGATGGATTGATGGCCTGAAGGATACCGCCGAGAAGATGGTTACCGACGAGATGATGAAGAACCCCAAGCCCGAGTGGGGTACCGACATCCCCGACACTAAGGAGGCGTATGTTGCCCCGCATGCTCTCACAAAATCAAAATTAACTGACATTGTTTTTTTATAGTTACTGGTACCGCACTATGTTCGATGAGCAGTTCCCGCCCTACTGTGCGGGTACCGTTGAGCGGTGGACCCCTACCTGGTCGAAGCAGACTGACCCCTCCGGCCGGTAAGTAGAAGTCGTGGAGAAATGATGTGATCTGATTGAATACTAACCTGCGTCATAGGGCAATTGGCACCCACAACCAGAAGTACAAGCACGTTGCGTAAGAGAGTTGTTGCTCTTATAAAAAGTGAAGATTTCGAACAAACGATTATTTAGATATTCCAAATAGAAATGGATGTATATACCCTCAGGGCCTTCCCGTTTCCCCGTAAATTGAGTGAAAAGTAAAGTTCAATGATCGGAGCTCTGCCGTTACATAAGCACCAGCACGGCGGATTCGCCCGGCAACCGAGCACCAACCAATCAATCACGGGACGCTCAGCGGGTGCCCCTTCTCCCCCAACACATCACAACCCGCCAAACTCCCTTTCTTCTTCCTCATCCCCCGAGTAACTTCTCTCGTCACACACATTCATCATGTCTGCTCCCGCTGCTTTCTCTGACATCGCCAAGGCGGCCAATGATGTACGATGCTTAATGGAACTGAAATAATCACTCCCGCAAAGAATGGATAGCTGATACTACCTCCAATAGCTCCTGAACAAGGACTTCTACCACGCCAGCCCGGGTTCGTTTAGCCTACTTCCATCCCCAAAAAACGTTCACTAACAAGCTTCTAGCCAACCTTGAGGTTAAGTCCAAGGCCCCCAACGGTGTCACCTTCACCGTTAAGGGCAAGTCCGCCCACGAGGGTTCCATCGCTGGCCAGGTGAGTTTTTTCCGGCCTTCTCTTATCCGCGGAGAAGGCCCAATTCCAGGAAAAAGCAACAACAGATTGCTAACATCGATTTCCACTATAGCTCGAGGCCAAGTACGTCGATGCGCCTACTGGTAAAGCCCCCACTCGTCGCAAACCACCTGAACCAGGCGTGCGCGAGGGTCGGCCCATGACGTTTTTCATATCTTCATCGGGCCACCTCGCGTCACGCCGAGTCTTTTTTTTTCTTTTAACAAATCCTGCAAATGCCAAGCACACAATCAAGCTAATGATTCGTCCCTGCCCAGGCCTCACCCTCACCCAGGCTTGGACCACCGCCAACGCCCTCGACACCAAGCTCGAGCTGGACAACAACATCGCCAAGGGCCTCAAGGCTGAGATCCTGACCCAGTACCAGCCCGCTAAGCAGTCCAAGGGTGCCAAGCTCAACCTGTACTTCAAGCAGCCCAACCTGCACGCCCGTGCTTTCTTCGACCTGCTGAACGGCCCCACTGCCAACCTCGACGCCGTTCTCGGCCACGAGGGCTTCCTCGTCGGTGCTGAGGGTGGCTACGACGTCAACAAGGCTGCCATCACCAAGTACTCCGCTGCCGTCGGTTACAGCGTTCCCCAGTACTCCGCTGCCATCACCGCCAGCAACAACCTGTCCCTCTTCTCCGCCAGCTACTACCACCGCGTCAACGCTCAGGTCGAGGCCGGTGCCAAGGCTTCCTGGGACTCCAACTCCGGCAACGCTGTCGGTCTTGAGGTTGCCAGCAAGTACCGCCTGGACCCCTCTTCCTTCGCCAAGGTACGTTTCTATTGATACTGATATTAAGCATGCAATGTCAAACTCACCATTTTTCTCTCTGTTACAGGCCAAGATCAACGACCGTGGTGTTGCCGCTCTGGCTTACAACGTCCTGCTCCGCCCCGGTGTCACCCTCGGCCTCGGTGCCTCTTTCGATACCCAGAACCTGAACCAGGCTGCCCACAAGGTTGGCGCCAGCTTCACCTTCGAGGCTTAAGTGTTCTACCCTAACCCAACCTGAGAGTATCATGCTATCAGGCAAGTTTTTAATTCTTTGTTTCTGTTGATCGTGCTCCCAAAAGGCCATGTGGTGGAGGAACAAAGGTTTATGAACTATTGGCTTTTCCCCCAGATAATCTGTGTGCAATAGTTTAGTGCTGTTCACACGTTGTATATCAAATCTAAATTCCTTTTGTTTGATGGATCTTCGATCTTATCTCGACTGTAGATTGTACATTTAAGATGAAAGTACTGCGTACCAATATTGACAGTAGCTATAAAATGGTCTCTAGAACGTATCTGCATCATACAACCGGTGTATACGCATACATCAGAATTTCAATTAAGAACTCCTGCCCTCCTTCCTCCGCACCCCATCACTAGGCGCAGAAGTCGGCGGCAACGGATTCGTGAAGAAGCCCCCAACGGCAATCAGAAACCCAAAAATCCCGCAAACAATGAAGAACTCACTAGCCTGGAAATTCCCACTAGCCATAACAGCCCCCTTCTGCTTGAAAGCCTCATGTCTAGCCTTCCTCCTGCGTTCAATCCGCCTCTTATCCTCAGCACTCTGCGTCTTGAAATGCGCCCGCGCATTAAAATGACCCAAAGGATTCCTATAGATAAACCCCATCGGATCCTCAGGATCATCCTCTTTCTTCTTCGTCTCCCCAAATTCATCCGTAGACCCAGCTTTATACCCGCCCTCGCCGCCCGTCCGCCCCGTAGCTCCGTACCCACCCTGCTCGTAGAAACTGGGCGGTGGACCGTGGAATGTTCCGCGTCGCTTACTTAGACCGCTGGCAGGCCTTGAGCCGGCATAACTTCCGCCTTTATTCGGGTGTGCGGTGTGGCTGCTGTGACTTCCGTGTGGAACGCCGTGTCCATGGTGGTGTTGTGCGTGGAAGCCATGATCGCGGTCGTAGATTGCGCGTTTGGAGGCGTGGCCTAGGATGTTGTAGGCTGCTGAGATGCGGGCGAAGCGTTGGCCTGCTTCCGGGTCTTTGCGGTTACGATCTGGGTGGTGCTTTAAAGAAAGTGCGTAGAATTTTCTGGGGTTGTTAGTGGTTGCTCGACTGGATTCTTGGAGTGGCTTACTTTTTGATCTCGGCTGCTGAGGCGCTTATGGGGAGACCGAGGGTTTCGTAGTGGTTTTGTTCTTGGGCGTAGGTTTGTCTTGTTGAAGTGAATGTGCGGATGTTTATTCTTTGTGTGAATTTGTGGGGTGTTTGTGGTTGTGGGCGCTTGGTCGTGTGCGTGAATAGGAAGCAGCTGTGGCGCGTGCGGAGATGAGGAGAAGCACGGCTTGACTTGTGAGGGGTGGATAGGAGGAAAATGGCTGGTCGAGGAGGAGGCATTGCTGCTTGTATGAGGTTTTGGCGTTGGTCACATCGGTGTTAGGGAAATGGGCGGGGGAGTTGGGGGAGGTTAGGTGAGGAGGAAAGAAGGTTGAGGTGAGAAAGCCGGGTGGCGTCATCGGTGATCAGGGCTGATCTCGAGCACTACCAGCTAATCACCACCTTTATTACATAGGCTCGTTCTAGATAACCTTGAGGATCGTATCTATGAGTGTAATATGGTCAAATGCTTCTATTATTTCATATGCTTTTGGTTTGAAAAGGTTGTGTGGACTAGGGGATTTCTCTGAGCTGATGATCAGATTAGATAACAGAGACCATTTAGCTGTACACATCGTGTTCCCCTCCCCCCACTTGTCCAGCTGCCCCTCATGCTCGGATAGACACCTAAATTTACTAGCCCTGGGCATTTCATGGATAGTGATAGTGATGGCTTAGGCATATTCTAAATAGATGCTCTACTGTCCCAATGGCATATCGAAGCTGATTTCAACACAACGTTTGTTGGATAAAGTGTGATCTCACTTGCGGAACCCCTGAGTAGAAGATTGAGAGTGGGGAGAAAGGCCACACATATACTATCTGTACAGATCCACGGGCCCTTTTTGCCTAATTTATAAGAAGGACTCGGCCTTCGCTCTCGCAAAACCCAGGCAGATTTAAGAGCATGTACAGAACACACAGATGCCATTCTTGTATTTGGAGTAACCAAGCAGAAAGTCACTGATATCGTAGACAGTACATTGATCGTTCAGAAAATGGCCCTAATTACTTATATTCAAGCATCCCGTTGCCGCAATGTCTTGGTGAATTTCTGCTGGCATAGAACACCCTGGACAACCAATTTGTTTAATTGTTGGGTAGCAATGAGCTATCTAGACGAAGTCTCATATCTATAGTCTTCTAGATATTAGGAACATAGACTTAGCCAACTGCGTTGTTCAGGGCTTTGATATGGACTGGGCAACCTGGTTGCAACTTAGCTTGGGTATGCCGTCGACGACAGGGCTGATCATGCATAATCGTCCACTTGAATATTGGAACCTTGGAAATAGTCATCATGGACCTGAGACTTTAAAGGATCTACGATAACGATGACTGTGAGGATACGGACTGTTCTAGTTCAAATGACGGAGATAGGTAACTAAGTGTACGTCAACTGGCGTCGCAAAATCCAGATGAATTTCCCGGGACAACTAGAAGTGCTTCCAAGTTGTATAATCATGCTAACTATCTATAAATAATTAATGCAGAAACTTGGATTCCTGAAATGGGAGTAGAAAGTTCATGTTCCTGAAAAATTAGATCTATAACATCTACCGAATTGGATGTTCCACCTTGATTTGCGCACACGAGCACTGGAAAAATCGATATAGAACGAAAAGAAAACCTAAAGATCAATAAATAATACATATTTAATATGGCTAATGATTTAAAAAGAGCAAAAAGAAACCAAACCTTCTATGGAACGTTTTACCCAATGAATTTTCATTGTTTGGAAACCCGCCACTTCTTATACAAGCGTATCTTATCGTAGCAAATTCTTTCCCCGAATTCCGAATTCCCCTCTCTTCCTCCACTTCACCACACTCCTCTATACAACACCATGGCAGCTCAGGCGACCGAGAAGCTGGAAGAGCTTGCCTGTGAGTTTTAATAATCGCCAAAATCGAAGCCGCGGAACTAACGACAATCTAGTGAACGGCCAGAACGGCGCTCCGGCCGATGTCCCCGCAGCCGGCCAGGCCGCCGAAGCGGAGGACGACTCTGACGACGACCAGGAAGAAGGCGCCCCCGAGGCTGGCGCTGCTGGAGGTAGGTTTTCTCAGCGCTGTTTTTTAAACAACGCACCTTCATCTCATATCCCGCCTTTGACAATGGCTGGGAAAAATGACCATTACTAACAATGCTCTCTCACAGCCGCCAAAAAGAAGAAGAAGCGCAAGTCTAAGAAGAAGAAGAAGGGTGGCGCCAAGGTCCAGAGTGAACCTCCTCGCGTACCTGTCGCCAACCTCTTCCCCAACGGCCAATATCCCGAGGGTGAGATTGTCGAATACCTGAACGACAATGCCTACCGCACTACCAACGAAGAGAAGCGCTACCTCGATCGCATGAACAACGACTTCCTCCAGGAGTACCGCCAGGGTGCTGAGATTCACCGTCAAGTTCGTCAATATGCGCAGAAGAACATCAGACCCGGCCAGACCCTTACGGAGATCGCTGAGGGTATCGAAGACTCTGTCCGTGCCTTGACCGGCCACTCAGGTCTTGAGGAGGGTGACAACCTTAAGGGTGGTATGGGTTTCCCTTGTGGTCTGAGCATCAACCACTGCGCTGCCCACTATACTCCCAACGCTGGCAACAAGATGGTCCTCCAGCAGGGCGATGTCATGAAGGTTGATTTTGGTGCTCATCTCAATGGTCGCATTGTGGACAGTGCCTTCACTATGACCTTTGACCCTGTATATGACCCGCTTTTGGAAGCCGTCAAGGACGCTACCAACACTGGTATTCGGGTAAGTTCTTGCGACTAGAAAGTCCTCTGTATGATGCTGACTCAGTTTATAGGAAGCTGGTATTGATGTCCGCATGAGTGATATTGGTGCTGCCATTCAGGAAGCCATGGAGAGCTACGAAGTTGAGCTCAACGGCACTATGTACCCGGTCAAGTGTATCCGCAACTTGAACGGTCACAACATTGAGCAGCACGTCATCCACGGAGGCAAGAGCGTGCCCATTGTGAAGGGCACTGACCAGACTAAGATGGAGGAGGGTGAGACTTTCGCTATTGAGACTTTCGGTAGTACCGGAAAGGGTTACGTCCGCGAAGAGGTATGTCCATGACTGCAATTGAACCGAGTAGAATCGAGTACTGACTTTAATAGATGGAATGCTCCCACTATGCTCTCGCACAGGATGCTCCTAATGTTCCTCTCCGCCTCTCGTCGGCCAAGAACCTCTTGAATGTGATCAACAAGAACTTCGGCACCCTGCCCTTCTGTCGTCGTTATTTGGACCGATTGGGCCAGGATAAATATCTCCTTGGGGTATGTTTGGCTCTGAATTGTGAAGTATACAGTCGGACTAACAAATCTTTAGTTGAACAACCTGGTCGCGTCTGGAATTGTGCAGGATTACCCCCCTCTCTGCGATATCAAGGGCTCCTACACTGCCCAATTTGAACATGTGAGTGCTCTAACAGCATCTGGATGAACCTCAACTGACTCTTATCACAGACTATCTTGCTCCGGCCAAACGTCAAGGAGGTCATCAGTCGTGGAGACGACTACTGATTTGCTAGTGATATTATAAGCACCTCCCAAAATAGTCAACGAAGTGAAGAATCGTAAAAAGCTCCAGCAAATAATATGCAATGTAGATCATATCATGCCAAGCCTCATCAAGTAATGGACCATCCAGGTCTCCCGTGTCGCCCCACGTGGAATCGAGCCACTTCCGCCTTTTTTAAATCCGCATTTCTTTCCATGTCGACACTTCTCGACTCACACAACCTTCAACATGTCTTCGGTAGTTGAAACCACGCCACACCTTAGGGTGTCGGCGAAAAAGTCTCAACCCCAAACCGACACCGCCTCTCCACGAATTCCACCACCGAACGACACCGCGGTAGAGGACAAGTTCTTCTGGACTTACACTGAAGAACCGCACCGGTCAAGACGACAGGCAATTATCAAAGCCCATCCAGAGGTATGTGACCCGTCCATTTCGTGTTGTGGTGTTGGACCGCTGTTTGTTGGTACCTGGATTCGGGAACCCGGGCCACGGTTGAAGTTGAACCTACGTTGTCCGCCAGGGCACAGCACTGAATCTCCTGGAATTACTTGCTAACCTCTATCTTTGACTAGGTGACCAAGCTCTGTGGTCCTGAGCCTCTCACAAAATATGTCGTCCTCGGCGTTGTCTCCCTACAAATCACCTGCGCATACCTCCTCCGCAATACCTCCATGCTCGACTGGAAATTCCTGGCTACTGCCTACGTGATCGGAGCGACATCAAACCAGAACCTGTTCCTCGCCATCCATGAGATCTCCCATAACCTGGCTTTCCGGTCCCCGATGGCCAACCGCATGCTAGCCATCTTCGCGAACCTCCCTATCGGATTACCATACAGTGCAGCATTCAGGGTAAGTGCCCCTCCATGACCAATTGCTGGCCATAGGCAACAATAAACACCAGAGAACCAATATAACTAACATTCGTCAATCAATAGCCCTACCACCTTACCCACCACAAATCCCTCGGCGTGACAGGTCTCGACACTGACCTCCCAACCGCATTCGAAGCCTTCGTCCTGAACTCAGTCCTGGGCAAGACATTCTTCTGTACATTCCAGATCCTCTTCTATGCCGTCCGCCCAATGTTCATCTACAGCCCGCCCTTCACCTACATCCACCTCATCAACCTAGTCATTCAACTCTCATTCGACTACTTCCTCGCCTGGGTTAGCGGCTCCTGGACACCAGTCTTCTACTTCCTTGCCTCCGCCTTCCTAGCCGGATCCCTACACCCATGTGCAGGCCACTTCATTGCCGAGCACTACTTCTTCTCACAAGTCAAGACCGGCGGAACAGAGTCCCTGGCCGAGTTGAAGACCAAGCCTGCCACAAAGACGACTAAGCCTCACCCCCTTGATGAACTTGCCCCTCCGGAGACTTACTCGTACTACGGTCCGCTGAACATCCTTACGTACAACGTGGGATTGCATAATGAGCACCATGATTTCCCGGCTATCCCTTGGACGAGATTGCATAAGTTGAAGGAGATTGCGTCGGAGTTTTATGATCCTTTGCCTTGTCACCGGAGTTGGGTTTGGGTCATTTGGACTTTCATTCTTGATGAGAATGTTGGTCTTTGGTGTCGTGTCAAGCGGGCCCAAGGTGGTCGTGTTGTTGGGGGTGGTGGAGGTGAGAAAAAGGCTGGCACTGGACGAGGTGGCGAGGGGATTTCTGCTGCGTCTGCGGGTCCAGACGGTGAAGAGGGTGATGGATGGAAGGAGAGTGAGATTCAGTGCTAGATTTTGGGGGTTCTTTTTTTCTGTTTGTATACTTCATGGGTTCGGTGTTATTGATTACTAGGAGTAAATATCATGAATGGTATTGGTCAATGCAATTGTCAAGGATTTATTTTTAGAAATGTTATATGATATGTTTATCTACAGATCTAGCAGTAGATCCAGTAAATTCGATAGTCTCAACATGAATGATATTGCTAGAAAGAAGAATTAAATCTACGTAGTCTAATTTCAGGTCTAGAACTCTTGTCTGCATGTAATCCTAGCTATTCTATTGGACATCTACTTGCATATTCGAGATCTAGAAGTAACATCTGGTCCTAAGAACAAGTTTTAATTGCAAGAACATGAATTCCATCTTGCAGATCGAGCCAAGGTTTATCTCACAAAGGCGAAGAGTCAAGACACTCAGTCCGTTCATCATAACGTGATATTAGACAACAGGAAAGATAAGGAAGCAAAGAAAAGGGGAAAGAATGGGATACACGGGCTGGATTCATCCAAAACCGGAAGTCAAGACAGGGTGTGGAATAAATGAAATATGAATACTCGAGGGGGATAGAGAAGCGAAGTCGACACAAGAAAAATGCTGATGCTAGAATCAAAGGGACGGGCTCTTCAAGAGACACTCCAAAAGGTCAAAAAGAAAAAGGGTAGATGAGAGAAACTCGGGAGAATCGGGGCATCGAGTCGTGATAGGCATAAGCACGACAGAGCAAGCCTAAAAGAAGAAATAGGCAATCAAGAAGCTGATCAGGCACAATGCAGCCACGATCTGGAGCGGCACACCAGTAGCACCCTGAACGTGTGTCTGTTGCATTGCTGTCGGGGCATCCTTCTCGCCGCCGGTCTTGCGCTGCCGCAAGCCCTGGTCTGCGAGTCGGTCCTTCAGTCTTTGGATTTGCGCATTCGCATCGGAAAGCTGGGCCTTCAGATCCTCGCTTGAGGGAAGGGAGTTAACAACGGCGGCCTTGGAGCTGGTGAAGGTATTATCGGTCGGCGGAGATTCGGACTTGGGCTTTTCGGAGAATTCGGGGGCGGGAATGGGAGGTCCTTGCTCGGTGCTCATCTGCTTGGGGGCAGGGGTCTCGAAGTGTGCGCCACCGGGAGAGGGGTAGGACGGAGGCTCATCGTCAACATGCTAGTATAGGTGGTTAGTTATGCGCCAATCATAAGAGCAGTTCAAGACATACTTCGCTCTTCACATCCGAGTCTGGGCCCAGCCAAACGACGCGAATCTTGCGCTCTACCACGGCGGACTTGGAAGCCTTTTCGAACTGTGACAGATGTCAGTAAAGAGTACATGAATTCGGTGGATTTGCGAAAACAAACAATTGACGTCACATTCGCGAACTCCATGTCCTTGGTAACTGCGACGGACTGAACCAGAAACTTGTCCTTGCACTTGGCATCGGTAGCCGGCTCCTCCTTCATAGCTTGCAGAAGGACTAAGTCGGATGAATTAGCTCCAGTCCATTATATCGAGGTCGCAGAAGAGATTCGAACCTTGAACATCGACCTGTTTACCAGGCTCCACCCGGCCGGAGTTGGGGCGCACACAATAGCTATACACAGTCAGATCTCGAACTTGAAGACCAAAAGACGAAAGTCGCAGCCGACAATAGTAGGCACATACTGCTTGGGGGCGGTTGTCTTAACCTAGCGCACACAAAAGAGTCCGGTTAGATAAGTCCACGCCTAACATTGCCCGAGGGGATGAAGGCGCGCATACCTTGAACACCAAAGGCTCGGCAGTGGTATTACCCAAACGGAGAACCTGGCATACTTCTTGGTTGAAAGGACCTGTTTACGACAAAATTAAACACTGCGATCAATCTGATTGTCCTCCGATCTGCGGACTCGATCGACTGGGGAACTCACGCTTAAAGGAAAGCTCCTGGGGATCGATCTCGACAGACATGGTGGCTTGGCGGTGGATAGCGCAGAGTATGTGGGATTTTGAAGGGGTCTGTAGCTTGGGATCCCACAAAGAGGGTGCGCTTGAAACGGAGAACGGCGTGGGGAGGTTATCTGGCCAGGGAGCTGGGGTCTCAGGAGTTGATGATTGTCTAATTCGGGATACGCTGACTAATGGATCAGGTGATGGGTTATGACATCAACATGCAAGTTCTAGATGCTCGTCAGATATGGAAAAATAAACTTGGTTATAGAGGCTTTGGCAAGGGTGGAATACTGCCTCGGTAAGAGGGATCAATGGAGATTCATGATTCCTCGGGATGCTATGACGGCGTAAATGCATGTGATGTGGTGGGGTTTTCCAATTAAAGTAGAAACTATTAGAACTATCAGATCCATATCCACTTTTGAATGCTTTGCTACTTCGATCACAATCTGCCATTAGATGGAGTACAAATTGAGTAAAAATGACCTAATAATTCGGAATTTCAAACGTTCTGAATCAGGAAATGCAATTGACGATAAAAATTGAAGTCTCATCTCCAGATTAAAAAGTTTCAACCTAAACGTAGACAACAACATGGCAATCATAAACATGAACATAGCAGGCAGTATCGACAAGACCGTTAACAAGATTTTTCCCGATTTTTTTTCTTGTCTTGAGCCGTATCCAAATCAACCATTCAACACCAATTTATGGCTCATCTTCTTTAGTTTTTGTTTTATCTTATTTTGTGCCGGTAACGAGCCCGAGTGTATTCCGGGGTGCCGAGAAATTTGATTGCAAGCAGACTGTAGGGTGAATTTGGCAGGAGGACTTGCAGTCTAAACATTTAGTTCATACGCACATAAGAATTAGAAAGGACCATTTCAAACATACCTTGAGACCCGACAATACAGGTCGAGAGGGGCTGCCAATCAGTGTGATCAGCAGCATGAATTGAACTTGTGGGTGTTGATGCCCCAAGCCCAGCCTGAATTCGCCCTGACACTCGACATTGGATTTTCTTGTTGAGTGACGCCTGTTCAGAGATGACTCGAGCAACAAGATACTTTGGCCGGTGCTTCTTCACCGCATGCCGTCGTTTTTACCTGTGGCTTGTGCCTCCACACCACAATGAAAACTTTGTTCGGTCAAGCGATCGAGACCCGGAGGGAGGGTGGGGGGGAATGAAGGCCAATTTCGCTGCTGTAACCGCTCCAAACTGAATCTATCCAGACACTCAACTTGAGGATTTGTAGTTTAGTGACACCTGTTCAGAGAGGAGAGGTGAAAGGACCGCGACAAGGAGGAAGAAGCCATTTGACGAGCTCGATGATTATGCAGTGGCGGTGGAATTGATTCGAAGCCTCGGGAGGGAAGAGTGATAGCTCAGCAGGCTCAATTGTTGGCAGTATATGGCGAAGGCATTGTTGCTGTAAGGGCCACCGTATCTCATCTGGGAGTGGTGGATCTTACATGGTCAAAAAGTCAATGCACAGTCACAGGAAAGGGGATTGATCATTTGATCATTTGGGAGGTACCTCAGTCTTGTCAAGGCAATTTGGAAACATTTGTTGATGTTGTTGTGACTTTGGACCAGGCCAACCTCACGAGCAGGCCAACCTCACGAGCAGGACAATGCTGAGCCAGACCAAGTCCAGTCCAAAGGACCAAGCAAAAAATTACCAGACCGAAAGCAATGATGATGAGCCCAACCAAAGAATGTCCTTCAAACATGGTTATTGTGGTCATGTGAATAACAATGGGTATTGTCAAATCTGTGAGGGGGGAAGTCAGCACAAAGAGGAGTTCAAAGAAACGAAGAGGAGGAAATGTAAACATATATGTGGGAAAACTTTGAAAGACGAAAATCAACAAAGATTTCTGTGTGCATGATGACGCAATCCATGGACATATCATGAATTAACAAAGTCCCAAGGGAAAGATGGAAGATGATGAAGAAAGCTCAAGTTAAATTAGGACTTGAACATAGAGTAGGAGAATTTGGAGTTCCAAGAGGTGGAAGGAAGATCGAAGGATGGAATGGGAAGTTCATAGTGGAGTTTGGAACTTGAAAAGATGGAAGAGTGATAAGGAAAGTATAAGACAATAGGAGGGAAGAAGAAAAGTTGGGGGTAATTATACTCTCGGGAATAGGGAGTGAGAGTGTCCCAAGATGACTTTTTACGCTCCAGGATCACATTTGATATTCAGGATTAACCAATCGTAAGAAATTTCATAACAAACACATCACGATTGAATTGCGAAAGCAACGTTTTAATGATCTGTTATGCCCGCGTGATTAGTCGATCCTCACGCAGCCCGATCCAGAATCAACCATCATAACAGTCGGAAGATCACTATGCCATTTAGATACTACCTATAATACCCCCAGGAACCGTACACCAGACTATAATTTTACTTCATGTTTCCTTTAGGATATTTCTCCGTCCAAATAGTATCAGAGCAGCCTATTTCTCTAAGACACAGCACCAGTCTTCCAAATAATGAATTGGATCTCTTTCGTTCCGTTGAAGAGATATATCAATCTCAGGTTCCATAAAACATCCTCGAAGACCTAATCACCAAAATAAAGCCCGATCCGTTATCCTTTGTTTTTCCCGCAAGAAAAGCTACATTGGAGCACTCGCTTAGTTAGCAGGATGAAGATGCATGGAGCTGTTCCCCTCTTATTTGCAGCCCGGACCCACCAATCGACCCATGGACGTTGATGGCCGGTCAACAATATGTCTAGTATGAAGATCAGTGCCTTCGCAATCTTGATACTAGAGCCTATCAAAACATTCATATTCAAGCCCACCAGGTTTCAAAATCATCTGATCGATTTGCGTTAACCACAGTCTAAAAATCAACAGCGACATCGACCATTGGAGATCAGGAAGCGGGTAAACCAGAATGTCGTTCGTTATGCTCGGACTAGGTCCTCTGTGGCTCAAGACCAGCTATTCGAGTCTGGTGCGATTCATTTTATCGAATTACACAAAGGTGAGGTGGTTGTTATAACCATTGGGTCCCAAATCGCCAACTGGAGTGGGCCCGCACTTATCGCTCGCCGCCTTCACGATAACGTCACCCGCAAGCTCAGCTGCTCCCACCTTCACCGATTACCTGTCCCTATCGCCTTAACACCCACCATCCGTTCGGCTTCATCGTACCGCATACCGCACTTGAATTCCCACGCCTGTGATCACTATCGAACCCCTTTCGCCCTCATACACTCCCGCCACCAATCATGGCTTCGGACCTCGATCAGCTCATTGACATGGGCTTCGACAAAGAACGCGTAGAGCTAGCTATTTCCAAAACCGGTGGTCGTAAGTTTTCATTGCTTGAAAATATCCGCTATAGCCTAGCTAACACATCGGACAGTGCATGGCGCTCTGGAATGGCTCGAGACAAACCAGGACAAATCACTGGAGGAGATTAAAGCGGCAGGATCACAGGAAGCAGAGGAGGACGAAGGCCCTGCGCTGCAACCAGGCGAGGAGGCCCGTAGCTTGGTCTGCAACGACTGCGGCAAGAAGTTCCGAAGCCATGCGCAGGCCGAGTTCCACGCATCCAAGTCTGAGCATGTGGACTTTTCCGAGTCGACCGAAGATATCGCGCCATTGACAGAGGAGCAGAAAAAGCAGCGACTGGATGAGTTGAGGGAGCGACTGGCAGAGAAACGGTCAGCACAAACAATGCAGGATAAGGCAGACCAAAAGCGAAATGAAGTACATACCCCGTTGTTGACCTATGTGAGCCAGTGTCTGACCATACTTCCCAGGAAATCCGGAGAAAGAGTACCAAAGAAAGTCAGGACGCAAAGGAGGACCTGAAGCGGAAACAAGCATTGAAAGATGCGGCTGCAAACAAGAGAGAGAAGGCGGAGGAGCTTGAAGCTAAAAAGCGCATCAGGGCTAAGATCGCGGCGGACAAGGAGGAACGACGATTGAAGGCTGAGCGTGAGCGTGCTGAGCGTGCGGGTGTGGCACCGCCTCCCCAGCCCGCTGCTGCCCCAGTGCCTACAGCGTCCGGTCCAACTACGTCGAAGCCTGCATCTGCTTATACCGAGACTCGTCTGCGCTTCCAGACCCCCAGTGGAAACATTATGAAGACACTTCCTGTCAGCACCACTTTGTTCGAGGTCGTTGCGGCCTTGAAAACGGAGGATGGCATTGAAGTTGAGAGCTTCACCCAGAACTTCCCTCGGAAGGTTTTCAATGCCGAGTTTTTCGGGGAGACATTGAAAGAACTAGGACTTACACCAAGTGCGAGCTTGGTTATCCAATAATTAAGCTCCAGGCCCACTGAGGACCTTGAGCACTTTGCTAAGTATGAGAAACGACATGGCTTCTTACGTACACAACATTGTGTAAATGAGCAAGCGGTTGAGTTATTCATGAGTTCAATGAGTATCGTACTGTTACAGCTGGCTATAGTCATTAATTGTTTATAAACCTAGCGAGCCCGTAAAACTAGTGCTGCTGCCTTGGTGCTAGTCCACTAGGTAACACTGGTCGGTGCGAGGCTGTTATCACCACGTGACAGCGTGAGGCCCGCGTGATGACGAGACGCGTTTTACACGTCCCCTCTACGTTAAACAACAACACATCACATCGCCAAATAATGCCAGCGTAAGACATACTCCAGCGATGACATTACGCACATATGAACACCCGCGTATCCAAAGACTGATCTTTTTCCCTCAGTGTTGGCGACCAGCATCGCGGCGGACCCGTAACTATCGGGATGCCAAACAATCCAGGTGCCTCCACGGCAAACCCCTTCGAAGAGCCCGAGCGACGTATAAGCGAATATACAGCATCGGAAATCGCTACACTACAATCACGCCTTGATAAGCAGTTGGGGCCGGAATACATCTCGGCACGACCCGGTGCTGGAGGGCAGAAAGTGCACTATCTCTCGGCAGATAAATGCATTAATCTTGCCAATGAGGTGTTTGGGTTTAATGGCTGGTCCAGCTCTATTCAGAAAATTGACATTGACTTTGTTCGTTGCAATCCATCCGACTTTTTTCTCCAACGGCACAGCTAACAGTTCCCTGACCTAGATCGAGGAAAACCAAAACACAGGCAAAATCACACTTGGCTTGTCAGTGATTGTCCGGGTGATATTGAGAGATGGCACATTTCACGAGGTAACGAGTCGTGAGCTTCTTTGTGTATTGCAAATGACTAACGCTTTCAGGATATTGGCTACGGTCACATCGAGAACTGCAAGGGCAAAGCGGCAGCATTCGAGAAAGCTAAAAAAGAAGGGACAACCGATGCATTGAAGCGTACATTGAGGACGTTCGGTAATGTTCTGGGCAACTGTGTCTATGATAAGGACTACCTTTCCAAGGTCACCAAAATCAAAGTCACCTCGGTAAGATATTGTCGCTAATTTGGCTTTTTTGAAAAAATTGGCTCATCTTTATGCAGAATAAATGGGATATCAATGAGCTACATCGGCACCGTGACTTTGCGCCTGTCAGAAAGGAGCCCGTTCAGCCAAAGAGGGTCGCTGAAGATGATGATCTGCCTCCGCCGCCCACCGTCGCAGCTACAAGAAGCGGTGCCCCAAGCAATGCGATTTTTGAAGGCGATGGCGAATTTGGCAGTACGCATAGATTCAAAACAATCTGTTAAGTCCTTAAGGCTAATTGTCATAGGTGATCTGTTCGATGAAGCCGATTTCGTGGTGTCTGCCTCGAATGGCAACCCTGACGAAATATCACTAGATCCAGAGCCACCACGCCAACAACAACCACCCACGCCTATGAATCGCCCGATTCCACCACGAGGGCCGCCTACAGGGCGATTCGATCAAAATGCAGTAACACCTTCAAAGCCGGAAAGATGGAATGGAGGAAACCCAGCTATGAGGCAGTCGATGCCACCGATGGCGCGACCGAACCCAGCAGCCATGCCAGACCAGAGGCGTCCGATGCCTGGACCTGGCCAGGTCAATAATATGCAAAATGCAAGGCCCGGAATTCCTCCTAAGCCACAGCCCGGTCCTGGACCCCAAATGCAAAATAATAACGCGCAGGTGCCAATCAAGCCAGAACCTGGTCCCGGTTTCAACAATGACTCGAACCTGCCACCCGCTTCTCAGTCGGTTGGGTTCTACTCTGCTAGAGTGGCAGATGCTCTGCGTGATAATCCCAACGCGGTTCCTCTTCCAGGAACTCAATTTGACCCGCACGCAGAAAGCCCGTCTATTCGCAAAACTGCCGGTGTTGACCACACTAAGAGTGTCCCCATCACCAGGCCAATGCTGGGGACCGCCTCACCAGCAGCCAGTAACTCGCGGGATTTTATCAATCCTGCAACCGATTTGCAGCGCAAGGTCGGTGCCCCAGTTGGACCACCCGTTGCCGTCGGTAGCCCTCTGTCTCGAGGCCCGTCAACATCTACATTTCGCCCCTTAACCCGCCCCAACCCCGATGCTAGGAACAACCCCGCAGCCATGAATCGAGGAAGTGTACCTCCTCAAAACAATCCAAACGGGAAACGTCCTCCTTTGAATGATGTTACCAACGCTACCACATCTCCTGGCACGAGTGCTGCCCCCGTTCCAGCGGGCCAAAATGAACCCAAGCGACCACGAGTGTCTGATGTCGCTCCTGAACAGCCACAAGCACCTCAAGCCCCAAAATAATTCTGCTTCGTTCGTTTTAAAGTTCAAAGGTCAAGCATCAAGCTACATTAGCGGGTATCAATATTTTTCTCCTCTGGCGGGTTCATGATCTTTGTCTACGGCGTTGATTACATGTCTACTATGCTGGGGATAGGAGGGGCGTTTTTGTTTTCGGGAAGCGTATTGAATGGTATAGCCAGGGACAGTTGCTGTGCTATCTCTACTTTCCTAACTTTGGTCCGGGTGGAATTGTAGTGAAACTAGATAGAACACATATCAGACAGACTCAGAGATTCAGTCACCAATTGATTCCAAATTTCGGATTCATCGTCATCTATACGCTCCACAGCGAAGGCAGCCTTCACCGCATCGACCCCGTCTTTCCCTGGGCTTTGATTGACTACGTGTTGGTGCCCCGCACTTGGAGATGGGTCAGCGGTGTCAGCCTTGTAGGTTTGCGGTACGGCGCGTTCCTCAGACTCTCCAGAAACGGACTTCGAAGGCCGAAGACCATAATTTGCATCATATATTGGACAAGATTGATGTCCTCCAGAAATAAGAACCTGATGCTACTCCACTTCATATGTGTCAACAAAGCAGCCCCTGCCAATGGCGTCTTGTCTCTTGCCGCTCGATGCGCCTCAAATTCTTATGCGGCTGAGCCTTGCCGCTTCGCCTTCTCTTCCACTCTGCCTAGCAAGTTTTCGTATCTTTTGTATCTTTTCTAAATTCTTCCCTTCTATCATCAATATTGATCACATCGTCTTCGCAACTTTTATTGCGTAGCCGTCATCGAGTCGAAACTTTCGAACACTACGAAACGCCAGCGATTCTGCTAAGATATACATACGCAACCGATTACAAGCTCTCCACGCCCAGGCCCTAGCCATGTCAGACTCTGGGGAGTACACCGTGGGCTGGATCTGCGCGTTGCACCTGGAATACTTCGTCGCCCGGACAGTCCTCGACGAAAAGTACGAGAATTCGAGGCCAGTGTCGCCAAATGATACCAATGTCTATACGTTAGGCAGGATTGGCACACATAAAGTTGCCATCACCGTCTTGACCGATGCTGAATTTGGAACAGCTTCCGCAGCCATTGTAGCGGCAAACATGCTGCGTACTTTTCACAACATCAAAATTGGCCTCATGGTTGGCATCGCCGGAGGTCTACCAAGTAGAAACCATGATATTCGTCTGGGCGATGTTGTGGTCAATGCTCTTTATGATGGCGAGGGCAATTTTATACAACACGATTTTAAAATATCGTTACTAGGTCGTATCTTTCAGCATACGCGGTCCTTGAACCACCTACATCCTATGCTTTTCACTGCGATCACGAGACTTCAAGCAAAGTATGAAAGAAACGCGAATCAACTCGAGGCAACCACTAATCGCATTCTGGACGAGAACATTTGGCTACGAGATAAGTATAGACGACCACCACCGAGCACGGATAGGCTGTTCAAAGCTGAAGTGATTCATGACTTGGAATGCCGTGACGAATCATGTATAGAAGATCCATCGAAATTAGTACCCCGAGATGAACGGGATGACTCGGAAGATAAGATTGCTGTTCATTATGGTCAGGTTGCTTCTGCTGACCAGTTGGTGAAAAATGCGTTCATTCGAGACAGACTGGCAGCAAAGGCCGATATTCTCTGTTTTGGAAGGGAAGCTCCCGAGTTGATGAGTTTCTTACCCTGTTTGGTGATCCAGGGCATCTGCGATTACTCGGACTCACACCAAAACAGAACATGGCAGGGGTATGCTGCAATGACCGCAGCAGCGTATGCCAAGGATCTCCTATGCCAAATTACAACTCAAGAGGTTGAGAAAGAAAGAAGAACTCTAGAAATTCCTGGACCACCAATTGGACGAGTGGGCAAGACCACAGACCGCATTGACGATAAATCTTCGATGCTGGAGGAGCCCCAGGATTATATTGGCCGAACAAGAAAACGACACCCGCGGCGGATCGAAGAATTTCTCGAGAGTGCGGCATTTGAAGACATCCTGTACGGAAGAATGACAAGGAATAAAGATACGGAGCGGTTGTTAAACACGATTCTCACAGCAGAACAACCTCTCACACTCTCTGGACTGGATCTAAAGCTAGCACTCCGAAAGAATACGAAGTTTCTCACCGACGGGAGGCTTCAGCCCATTACCGAGAGGAAGCAGTGGATGATTCATTCTCCCATAATGGCCACACGGAATATATCCCGTCTGCATGTGCAGAATCTTCAGCACTTTTCACAAATGTCTTATTTTGACTCTTCAAAAAAGTCTGCATGGTACCTATTGCAACTAGCAGACATATTGGATGCATCGGAGCCCCACAGAAAGGTTCTTAGCACAGCTGGGCTGTACATGCTACGAGGCTTGAACGACCCGCCACCAACATACCGGAATCGAAGGTTACAGACAGTCACTAGCGCAAAAGAGGATCTCAAGAAAGCGCTGAGTATAGAAACATCTCATTCACTGATTTCCATGAAGAGATTGATATCCGAATGCTTGAAGCAGGGCCGAATGAAACGTGCCGAAAAGCTCCAGGTGCAAATTTTGACGATGCATAGAAAGGCCGCTGGAGAGGATCATCCCAGCACGCTACGCAGTATGAGTTTGCTAGTGGCAATATACCAAGCTCGAGGTCGATGGGATGATGCGGAGGCTTTGAACACCCAAGTACTGGTGATTCTCATGCGGTTGCTTGGCATAAAGCATCTATACACGCTCAGTAGCATGAGTAACCTAGCAATTGCGCGCCTGTATCAAGGGCAATTGAAAGATGCCGAGGTACTAGCCGTACAAGTACTGGACACTCTGATGGCTTCTTTCGGAGAAGGTCACCCCTACACGCTACGCAGCCTGGGAAACCTCGCGTCAATGTACCGAAATATGGACCGGGTTGAACAAGCTGAGGCACTACACGTGTTGCAAAAACGGTTTGAAAACACCAAGGTGCTACCCCACAATCATGGAGCTCTCTTTGATTCTGCTCTACAAGTTCCTTTTACTCTGGAGCCTCCTCTGGTAATTCTTTTGCATCCTCTATGGTTTCGGCATATATTTCAGGTTGGAATACACTGAGTAAAGTGGAAATGAGGAAAGTGGCCATGTACTGTAGGTCGCAGAGACTCATCAATGTTGTTGGCCTTTGTGAAAGCAGCTAATTGAAGCGGGAAGTTCATGTTTCACGGTGGATTTCTTGGTTACGAACAAAAGTGAGGCCAAGAATCAAACCAGGGTATCGTCGAATTGAGTGGAAATGTGTAAGTTATGTGCTCGGCACCACACCTCCCTGCTTGACCCTATAGCACCGTTCGAGTGCCATGACAGCGAAGTCACTACTATCTGGCGGCTTTGATATCAATACTGACTTGTGACAGGATTGTGGGGCAGATCTATATGCTGATTTCCAGGGCGGTGATACGGAAGATCTCGATAAGTTGGCTTTCTCATTGCAGAACCCTGGACAGGAAAGCACCGAAGATACGTCGAACATTCCACGTAGCTCAGCAGATACCCCAATCTCTAATGACCACCAAGGCCTCCCACCAACAAGCAGCAAAGGAGGAGAGATATCCTCGGACAGCTCGACAACGAAAAAAACGCTTGATGTTGCATGTTCCAGTAAAACCCTTCAACCTAGTGACGGGCAAGCAAGATTTTTAGCCCTCTGTGTCAACACAGGCACAATCTATAAGACCTTGGCAGAGATTGAGACGTCTAACGTGAAATCCGATGCAGCTGCGTTCAGTATGCTCAAGGACGAGTACCTCAAGATACGAGGAATGCGTTCACGTTTCAGATTCCTGGTTGAGCCAATAGACATTGAGTTTGTACAAGTAAGTCGTTAATCAACCCATGGCTGGATCATGTCATGATCAATTACTGATGGCTGCATAGTTCACACTTTGGAACCTCCGAGGTGGCTATATATCGGTATGTGATCGGCCGAATTGTGTTCCTCCAGACAACTGCGATGAATATGAGTTTTCGAGACTCCCTCAGCCGCGAAGGCCAATGCCACCCGATCTCTTCATCCATTATCTCGGGCATGGACCAGGAGACTTGAACCCCTCACGAATGGACTGGCTCCCTAATTTGCCAAAGCGGAAGGACAAAAGGGTGATTGACAGTGGTGAAGCGTGCTTGGGATGGGGTATGCACATTATTGAAGGACCAAATCGTGTTATGATCTTCTGGATTATGATGTTTACGATTTTTGCGAGCGTTTTGACTAGTGTGTTGTGGTCGGCTATTCGAGGGGATGTGCAGGGAGGTACAGGGATGGGGACCCTCATTGTGGCTCTCCCATCGGCGATCCTGACTGCGTTCTTGTTTCGGTTAGAGGGGATATAATACTATGTTAAGTCTGTAAGCTGTTTGGTATCACCACTTGAAGGTTGATGACTGGTGCTGGAAAGGAGATCAAAATAAACGACGGAATACACTAAGTGGCTTTGTGGTACATTGCGTAATACTCTGAAGACCTATCATACTTAATTGGCTATTCACAAGCCCTGGGGTTTAGTCAAAAAGTAAACATTTTTCTGATGTCTTGATATTGGTTCCTAGAAATAAAAACGCAAGGGCGAGGACAGAAGCAGAATTTGCCAATCACTGCATTTCACCAAAATGTATTCGAGAAATCAACCCCGCCGAACTCGGAAGTCCATGGGAGTTGATCCCCGGCCGAGACAAAGGAATAACTCTCAATCAAAGCTCAAAGAACGCCCCAAAGGCTATTTGAACATGGAGACCTGACCCAACCTCAGGCGAGTACAGCTCATGTTTGTCAAACAAAGAGAAAAGAAAGATCACCGGCACTTCCCATGAAATTGTAAATAAAAATCGATCAAACTGCCAACTCATATCTTCTACTTCAACCAACTTCACGAATCCCTTCTTTTCTACTTTAATTAACCTACCTTAAGCCATACCATACCACTCAGCAACCCAAAATGTCTTATCCAGCCCAGTGGGCTGCTATCAATAAAGTGGTTCAGGACCGTTTCCCAGAGCCATCCTATGCCCCCCAAGTTGCACAGGCTTATCATGACAAAGCCCAAATCCTGGCCGCCTCGCCTTACAAAGATCACGGCTGGAACGTTGTGCGGCGCCTCAAGTGCCTCAGTGTAATCGAGGAAGAGCTCGAGTCCCGAAATGACCCTCAACTGAGCAATGTCAAGGCAATTATCTCGGCTTATAAGCGGGATGCAGATGACAGACTCCGTTGCGAGCCTGGACCTGTGTCGTATTGGGTCCAGGGAAACCCTGTGGGCGACGTGCCAAGATATTTTGACTGGGCTGAGTGTCTGGAGCTTCAGCAACAGGCAGTAGGACATGGTGGCCTTTGGATTGAGGGTGTAAGGCACAACTTTTTCATATCTGTTGACGGTACTTTACTGACTATGGCAGACTGATTTTGCGGGTCCGATACCTCTTCGTACTTTCTCTGCAAACCCACCATTTCCGGGACAGGTATGTCTTGTGCTTTTGCTTCTAATCTATCGATATATATTCTGATATCACGTATAGTTTTCCCTAGCATTCAAGCCACCAGGAATCCCTAAAGACCAATTCTACGGATTGGATTTCGGTACTGAATTCCGAGTGGATGACATCAAGGCGCTATTGAGCTCTCCAATCGGTGTGCCCATGCCCCGGTTCCTGCTGAGCGAGAATGAAACCACCCTGCTGGTCTCTCCCGATGTCATGAAAGAGATTGAAAAACTGTCCAAGGCAGATATCTCCTGCGGGTACAGCGTTTTTCATTGTGGAGAGGGGATACTCAGGGCTTATCGTACTGTGGTTCTTGAGGTTTGTCTGGCTAAACCAGATGTTGTCTCTGCGGACTGGGCCTGGAATACCACCCGTTGTGCTGTTTGCCCGAGTCTGGGGGCAAATGAGGTTCGGATGTCGTACATTATGAACTATCAGTCGGCGAGGAATGAGTTGATTGCGTGGGAACTCGAGGATGATACTGGCGAGCAAGCAGTCTTGGATCGGTTGCTAGCGTGAAAGACAAGTTCATAAGTTCTGGATTTGCATCTTGCTATGAGCCAATGAAATAAATGTGGGACATTATCGTTGCTTAAACCCCATTCGCAACCCCCGTAGGCCTTGCATCGTTCAAGGCTCACAAGATACTGCTTCAACCCCTGAGACAGTTTTCATTCTAGTCTTAATTCGTTGAAAGCATGCAGCCAATAATGTGTCGAGTATGAGGTTGATGTACCCCATCACAGTGTTTGGCGTAATGACTGCGCAGAATTTCTGGCAGGGTTCCCCTCTCGGCCCCCTCGTACGGTGGCCGGCTAGTGTCGACCCAATCGTTTGACACCACGGATTTGACCCATACCACTATTCACCGGTTGAGTGACCCCCTTTTCCCCCTCCTACCTTATATAGGCTTACGCCACGCCAGCCCAAGACTCAAGGCCGATTCAAATACAAAGGTTGAGAAACGATTGAACAAAATGGAGGCGAGCCGTGTACCTGTAAAGCGAAGCAGTGCGTTCTACTTACCTTTCAATGACCCAAAGGGGCATACAATCCCAAGAAGTGTGGATTATGCTAAATAACTCTGGCGACTAGGAGCTGAGTTCGAAGATGATGAGTCGACAGATGGACACAACAAATTTGACGACAGTGAACCCGAAGAATGGGGGAGCGAAGACGACAGCGAAGACGACAGCGAAGACGACAGCGAAGACGACAGCGAAGACGACAGCGAAGACGACAGCGAAACCTTGAGTCCCCAACAGGACATTGAAGAGCATGAGTATACTATCCCCAGTAACACGGCACGATCGGTAAAGATTCGGCTTTTTTGGGCCGATGAGGGAATGGGCGGGTACAACTGGATGAGAAACTTTATCGCCGAATGCACTTGCGAAGGCGTCGTTGTCGCGACCGCTCTATCCAGATATATTCATCGAGAGCGCATGAGTTTTGAATTCTGGGAGAAAATGGAAGAGCGCAGCCAGGAGATGTGTCAAGTGGCCTTTGGTGCCTTTGATCGATATGGGACACTCAAGACGAAGTTTAAGGAGCATCCGGTGCAAAGAGGAACTGGTGTATGGAAAAATGAGCTTGATGATGGCCCTCTTTTCCTGATTGAAAGCCTTCATATTACAGCACTGGAACTACGTCGAAAAGGGCTGGGACAGAAAATAGTGTCTTTACTATTGGAAAAAGCCAAACGCTTCTGCCTGGGGGGTAAGCCAGACGGCAAAAACGCAGATTTTTTCTACGGTTCCAATGAGGCCTTTGAGCGAGCATGGACTCTACATGCTATAGTCAGTCCCGGGGTATTGACAGCTGATGTCAAACCGCGGTTAGTGGGCAAGTCTGCAGAAGAGCGCTTGATGATACGGACTCAAAGTGAATCCTCTGTTAATGACTTTTGGCGATCATGCGGTTTTCGCCGAGTCGGCGCATCCCACTGTTTTGCATTTTCCTTCGATCCCCACCATCAGTCTCACACCCTGGCGGCAGGTGCCGATTTGGACCCGCGCACTAGTTATGCCGAAGATCTTGAGTATGAAGAGATTGGGATGATCTACGAGACAGATCCTTTCATTGACGTGAACAAATTGAAGATGGGAAGACTTTGCGACCCCCTGCCGCTGCATCATGCAGCTCTCACTCTGACGGACGAAGAACTGAGAGCTTTCTTCATCACTCAGGATCATGATAAGTTTGACTGGAATCAAATAAGCAACTCTGAAGCCACCCTTCTGCATTTGACAGCTTGTGAGCTCAAGCCCTTGAGTACACAATGGCTGCTCGAGAATGTCCACCACGCCGACTCCTGGAAGGCAGCACGCGATATTGATGGGTACACCCCGCTCGAAGCATTGCAGGAGAAATTAGAGAAAGTGCGGACCATGAAGAAATATGGTTTTGGCAGGATTCTAAACGTATCAGGTTACTTTGAAGGAAACCCTGACACCGCAGTGTCCTGTCTCACTTTGCTGCTGGGACAGGACGCTTTGGAGCTGAATAAAGCATGCCTCCGATACGGGTGTACATGCGGAGAATGTGTGGAAGGATTTCTATCCGCCCGAATGAGGCACTCTCTGATATCTGAGGGCTCGGTCAAATTTGACCTCATGCAGGACGAAATTGATTATGGCAGCACTGGGATGGATTTCAACGACTGGACAGTCGGAAACCTTGATCCCGGTGTGCGAAAGAAATTAGAAACCAACAAGTCACTGCGACAGGGCTTTGTCAAAATGTTCCAAATAGCTGTGGTGTGTCTTAAGTTGAAAATAGCTCCCACCGCAGAAAACCTCGAGCAGTTCTGTACAAGTGGGAGCGAATGGCCACCGTATGCTAGGAACTACCTGCGCCGTGCTGGAACGCAGATGGGCTGTCGGGCAGTGCTTCAGGGTATGTTCGACGCTGCTAAGAATGAAGAGTGTCAACTCTCATTGCGGAAGGAATGGTCAGACCTACCAACATGCAGAAACGATCATGAGTATGATTTTGTTGCCAGGGCTTGTGGTTACGGCAGAGATGATTTATTCTATGACCATTCTGGCTGGTGAGATGGTTTCCATTCCTCCAATGCACAACAAATGTTGATAATTGGGCCGTCAGCTCCTTCTGAGCAAGATTGACCCCATCTTGTATCCCAAGGCGAGGTTCCTTGAAGTCTCAAACATCGAGTTGCCGCTTTCCACCTTTCAAACTCTGTTAGGCTACCTTTGACCGCGTTCTATGCTTTGTGATCTATTTTGTGGTCTTTCTGAAATCTTCTGTTCTGTGGCTTTTGGAACAATATTAGCTTTGGATTTCTTTGTCGTAGTCTATTCTTGGTCCATGTGGCTATCTTGATTAAATTCATGCTCTTTCAAAGATTTGTCACTTTGTCTCTCTTCTTTTCATTCAAGTTCCATCGTAGACCTTTCACTGGACTCGATGGTCTCGGCGTTCCATCTTATATGAAAAGGCAACAGACTGTCATAAGAAAATGCCGCAAAGCTTCCTCATTCGAAACCCAATACATCAATTAAAGTATACACATTTATAACCATGGCGACAAGATGGACACCAGAGTATCTTACCCACCTCGAAGGACTTACACCGGCCGAGATTCACGCAGAATTGGATGCAACCCTTTTCTGGCCCCCAGGTGCTGTTCCCGCTTATACTTTTCATGAAGAATTCTGCGATTTTCGGGAGCACCTTCTTGCCAACCCACGATCACTTCGCGCGAGGTACCCGAAGGTCGCCGCGGCGGTCAGGACTTGGGTGAGACTACCACATACCAAGGATCTGTTCATGACCTCTCTTCGCATGCATCCATGCAATTTGACACTTCGCAACATGTTAGCTCCTGCTGGACCTCAATTGGTCGTGCCAGTATTAGCCAGGCCATGGGCGGTGCCAGGCGCTCTTGTCGCGGGTGCCCGAGATGCAACAGCGGCCAGTCCCAACGTTCCAGACATGCTTTCGGATGCAGTTTCTCTCGGGTGCCATGAATGTATTAAGGCATTGGACGACATAATGGTGTTGCCCCTGGACTCTGCTACTATCACGTACATGCCTTATACTGAATGTGGAGTTAGTCTTATTATGATTGCACAGCTGTCCTTTGTCGGGCGTAACATCTCAGAAGATGAGTGCAACAACGTGATAGACATTCTTAGACGGACAAATGGTCTGGGGTCGCAACTGTGGAACCGTGCCTGGTACACGCTTGTTGGTTTACCTACTGCCGGACCGCTAGTGCCACCCTTAAGTTCATTGAGTATCCTTCAAGACGCCGTTATGAGTTTCCCATCAAAGTCAATTGAGATGTTATCGGAATGGCACGAAGACGGCTCCGTAATTGCTCCTGACCCTCTGATGGCTGGGCACATGGCCCCTTCACTTCTTTATGAATGTTGTAAACGGGCCTCGATCCGCATTCCCGAATGGTTCAAGCGCCATGCGACAGCTCTCGGCCATGGATATATGGTACACTTCGCCATTGGTCGTATGGCACTAGGTAGAGGTCCCTGGCACGCAATCGTGAGGAATCCAGCAGGAGTACAGCTTTTCGACTGGTTCGTTAGCCAGGGTGCTCCTGGAGCACCTTTTGCTGCGGATGCACCTCCATGGGTGCGAAGCAACATGACAGATGAGAGTCCGATGTTTGACGCAATCACTATGGATCGTCCAGTATTGGTCGTGAAATTTGCCAACTATCATCCTCCGATAGTGTGGCTCAACTATCCCCTCCGCCCATCTGAATTCTTATGGGCCCTTGTCAAGACCAGTGTCGAGTCCGCCACCAGCTTGTATCATGTCGTCGGGATTCAAGAATTCCAAACACATTGCATAGGTGGCCGGGGTACTCTCGAATTGGCAATTACACGCCTGGCGCATTATTACGTCCTCGGTTGGTACGAGTGGAATTATCACTTCCAAAGGGACTTGGAAAGACTCGGCTTCATATCCCGAGCTGATGCGAGGGCGCTTTATGCTGAGTTGCGTCGTGTTACTAGTTTGAAAATGACAGCCGTTCTTCACTATATGCCCCGAACTTGGTTTGGTACAGCCGGAGAGCGGTTTGTCAAAGCCCGTTGCGCGATTGTTGGGGCTTATTTTCTCCTGTGTCACATTCGACCTGAGACTAGGTTCCATGTCACGAGGTGGAGTGGTAGATCTCAGGGTATTGTGGAATAGTAGAATCTTTGGAAAATAGTCATAGGTTTACAATCGATTGTTGTTTTTATAGTAGTGACCGCTATGTCCTTCCATGTCGGAAACATAGAGAGACTGTTCTAAACCCTATTCATGTGACATGTCAATCCAGTAATCGATATGTTCGGTAGCCTATCAGGTGATAAAAACCTCGTTTTCAAGACAACACTATGAATTATACAGCTGTCTGCTCTGAAACTTCAAGCCTAGGATCGATGCCGACTTCCACGGCGCGAAAAAGAAGACCAAAAGATACCCACTCCCACACCTCGACTGCCTAATTGAAACATGTGTGTTCTATTTCCTGCAAAAGAATTGACATAGCAAAGAAGCTGTTGAGGGTCTGAGCACATCTATTTGAGCGCCCAGGTCACATGATGTTGAGGCTAAGGATGAGGGGTCTTCTATTCCCTGAGAGTTTGAATATTAGCTCTGCACAGAGATACGTCCAAATGAATCGCGAGCACACCATGACTTCCATATCGTTCGGCCACGCAAACTCAGGATACCAGGTGGGAATAAATTATGGAGAGATCCAACTACCCCCAGGTAAACTTCACAAGGCATATTACTCCAGCCAGGACTAATAGCCGCTTCTTGGCTCAGAGCGTCCGGAAACCCCACCATCCCCTGTCTCGACCGTCCCGTTCCGTCGCGACCCAGATTTCATTGACCGTGGAACTCTACTCGATCAAATCCAAGCGAAAGGCGCAACGCAAGGTGCTCGGATAGCACTTGTCGGCCTAGGTGGTGTGGGGTAATCTTTAATAAGATAGACAATATACGCACCTGTTACTAATTCTCATATAAGGAAATCACAACTTGCAATAGAATATTGCCATCGAGTTCTAGATCGATCGCCCGACACGTGGGTTTTCTGGATATATGCGAGCAATGCAACTCGCTTTGAGCAGAGTTGCCGAGAGATCGCCGACCGCGCCAAGATACGAGGCCGGCAGGATACCAAGGTCAATATCTTCCAGCTCCTCCGTGATTGGCTCAATGATGCAAAGACTGGGAATTGGGTTCTCGTCCTGGATAATCTCGACGACGATGATTTTCTCCATATACCTGCAAGAAAGTCTAGCCTGGCGAATAACGATAGTAGTGGCCCTGAACCATCTATCTGGTCGTATTTCTGTCAGAACGCAACTGGCTGCATTGTGATGACAAGTCGAAGTAGAGAGGTGGCATTAAGAATCGTGGAAGACTATGACATTCTTCTGGTGGAACCGATGAAAAAATCCAACGCAATCTCGCTTTTTGAAAAGAAGATCGACGCACAATATGATCGCTCGGCAATCATTCAACTAGTTGAAGCTCTAGAATTCATGCCGCTCGCGATTGTGCAGGCGGCGGCCTATATCAAGCAAAGAGCACCACGAGAGTCAGTCACAAAATATCTAGAAAGATTTCAAAAGAGCGATCGGCAGAAAATGAAACTTCTTGATTATGAAGGAGGTCAGCTTCGCAGAGACCCAGAAGCAAAGAATTCTATCCTTCTAACCTGGCAGATATCGTTTGAGCATATTCGGGGGAAAAAGCCTTCAGCGGCAGATCTTCTATCTCTTATGAGCTTTTTTGATAGACAAGGGATTCCTGAAAGTCTTCTGCAAGAAGACAAAGCTGCAGAAACGGAGGATGGAGGTAACCCAAGTGACACAGAGGATGATGAAAGCGTATCCAGCGAGATTGACAAGTTTGAGGACGATATCTTATTGCTCAAGGACTATTCGTTGATATCTGTGACCCCAGACCAAGTGGTCTTCGAGATGCATCGATTGGTCCAGCTAGGAATGCAGGAGTGGCTTCAGGCTCAAGGCCTTATAGAGCACTGGAAGGAAATCTTTATCCGACGGCTCGACAGAAATTTTCCGGAAGGAAGTTTTGAGAATTGGAAGGGGTGTCAATTACTATTCCCCCATGTGCAGTCCACACTGACGCGACATCCTGCTGGAAAATCCTCAATGGAAAATTGGGCATCACTGCTTCACAAAGCCGCATCATTTGCATCTACGAAGGGAGATTTCGTCGATGGTATAAAAATGGCAAAGAAGGCAACGATAGCAAGGAAAGATTTATTTGGGCCGGAAAATGAGAAAACACTGAGCAGTTCAAATTTACTTGGCTTGTTGTATATTGACGGAGGGGAGTGGAAGAAAGCTGAAGAGCTCCAGCTACAGGTTATGGAGACTTGCAGGCAGGTGCTTGGGCTAGAGCATCCGGAAACTCTAAGAAGCATGAGAAATCTGGCATCGACCTACTGGAATCAGGGGCAATTGCAGGAGGCCGAAGAGCTTGAGATCGAAGCACTCAAGCTCTGCTCCAAGGCACTTGGGCCAGAGCATTCACAAACTCTAGCCAGCATGAATAGTCTGGGAGCAACCTACTACAATCTAGGGCGATGGAAGGAATCCGAAGAGCTTGAGATGCAGGTGATGGAAACTCGCAAGCGGGTGCTTGGGCTAAAGCACCCAGATACTCTAAGCAGTATGGCTAATTTAGCAACGATGTACGGAGAACAAAATCGATTGAAGGAGGCAGAAGAGCTTCAGATGCAGGTTTTAGAGACTCAAAAGCTAGTGCTCGGGCTCGAGCATCCAGGCACTCTACATTGCATGAGTAATCTGGCATTAACCTACAAGAATCTGGGACGATATAAGGAAGCTGAAGAGCTTGGGTTACAGGTGGTGGACACTCGCAAGCAGATACTCGGGCCAGAGCATCCAGCAACTCTGACTAGCATGAGTAATCTAGCATTATTCTACCAAAAGCAGGGGCGATGGAAGGAGGCTGAAGAGCTCGGAAGCCAGGTATTACAGACTCGCAAGCATGTGCTCAGGCCAGACCATCCAGACATTCTAACCAGCATGAATAACCTGGCAATCAACTACCACGACGAGGGGAGATGGAAAGAGGCCGAAGAGCTTCAAGTGCAGGTGTTAGAGGCTCGAAAGCTAGCGCCTGGGCTAAAGCATCCAGACACCCTAAATAGCATGGCCAATCTGGCATTGACCTACCAGAGTCAGGGGCGATGGAAGGAAGCCGAAGAGCTCGAGGGCCAGGCGTTCCAAAATCGCAAGCAAGTGCTTGGGCCAGAGCATCCAGGCACTCTGGCTAGTCTGGGTCATTTAGCAGTATGCTATTTTTATCAGAAGCGATGGAAGGAAGCTGAAGAGCTTTGGGTGCAGGTAGTGAACACTCGCAAACGGGTGCTTGGGCCAGAGCATCCAGACACTCTTACCAGCATGAATAACCTGGCAACCAACTACCAGAAGCAGGAGCGATGGAAGGAAGCCGAAGAGCTTTTGGTGCAGGCGGTGGACACTCGCAAGCGGGTGCTTGGGCTAGAAGATCCAGACACCCTAGTCAGCATGGATAATCTGAAATCATTCTTCGAAAAGCAGGGGCGATGGAAGGAAGCCGACGAGCTTCTGGCACTTTTGTTAAAAACTCGCAAGAAAGTGCTTGGGCCAGAGCATTCAAAAACTCTGACCGATATGAATAATTTAGCAGTACGCTATTTTCATCAGGAGCGATGGAAGGAAGCCGAAGAGCTTTTGGTGCAGGCGGTGGACACTCGCAAGCGGGTGCTTGGGCTAGAGCATCTAGACACTCTAACCAGCATGAATAACCTGGCAAGCAACTACCAGAAGCAGGAGCGATGGAAAGAAGCTGAAGAGCTTTGGGTGCAGGTGGTAGACACTAAGAAGCAGATGCTTGGGCCAGAGCATCCGGACACGCTAGTCAGCATGGTTGATCTGGAATCAAACCTTGAGAAGCAAGGGCGATGGAAGGAAGCCGAAGAGCTTCAGGCGCATTTATTGAAGACTCGTGAGAAAGTGCTTGGGCCAAAGCATCCAGAGACTCTGACCAGTATGAATAGTTTAGCAGTAAGCTATTTTAATCAGGAGCGATGGAAGGAAGCTGAAGAGCTTTTGGTGCAGGCGGTGGACACTCGCAAGCGGGTGCTTGGGCTAGAGCATCCAGACACGCTAGCCAGCATGGATAATCTGGAATCAACCTTCCTGAAGCAGGGGCGATGGAAGGAAGCCGAAGAGCTTCTGGCGCATCTATTGAAAACTCGCAAGAAAGAGCTTGGGCCGGACCATCCAAAGATTCTGACCGATATGAATGATTTAGCAGTAAGCTATTTTCATCAGGAGCGATTGAAGGAATCCAAAGAGCTTTGGGTGCACTTGGTGGACACTCACAAGCGGGTGCTTGGGCTAGAGCACCTAGACACTCTAAGCAGTATGGGTAATTTGGCAGTCACCTTGAGATCCTTAGGCGAAAACGAAGCTGCTATGCAAATGATGGCTAAGTGTGCTGAAGGTCGTGGCCAGCAATTAGGCCCTGACCATCCAGACACTTTGAAAGCTATATCCATGTTGGAAAAATGGCGTGGTACAGCTGGTGACGAAACTTCGGCCTTCAAGCCTGCTAGATCGCAGATTGAAACACCACCAGAGGAAGAGACCCACGTCACGTCTACGAAGTCTGCAACTCAAGTGTCTTCTATTGCGACTCTGTCTAAGTGACAAATTCCCATTTCCTTGTCTGTCCTGGCTGTGAGCCCTGTTTATGTATTTAAAAAGAGTTGGAAGACATACTTAGACGGCCACACTGGATATAAGAAGTTGGATTCCAGAGATCAGTGTTCATGCAGTCAGCGTCATGATTTTGACATGGAGCTTTCTCTCCATTTCTTCTTCCTCTTACCCCTGAAACGAGACTGATTACTTTCATTCTTTCTTCACTCGTACTTCAATTAGTATATTAGCAAAACGCGGCTAATAGTAGCCTTAGTTTTCTTTGTCTTCTGCTTATTTGCCTTCATCATTCAACTAACCGCCTTGCTGATGGCTCAATCCAAAACCCCCCCAGCTCCTATCCTGTTCCTTCTCGGGAGTGTTAAATACTCTACCAGCTGCCCTCCATACTCTCTAGATAACTGATATCAAGAGCGAACTTCAGCTCCTGTTCGTTGGTAGGTACGTTATTACAATTGACGTACCGATTGACTCGCACCCTCTTACAGTCTTCTTCCGGGGCCGTGAAGAGAATCCGCAATGGCCCAGACCACGAGATGGATGAACTTTATTCTTCATTTCCATTCCCAGGGCCCGTTGTGAGTTATTACTCCATGCTACTAATTCCAACTATACTGACTGCTAGCAAAAGGCAATATCTCAATGTGCCCAGAGATGTCCTTATTGCGATTACATGCCGTACCTAAGAGCCCCTAGGAATGAGAGTCTGATGCGAGCTAGGAGTACGTAGGAAAACCTCCAACGGTCAGCCAAAAGTAATGCAAGGTGCCAGAATGCGAGTCCATATCGAATTAAAGCATACTGTAATCAGCAGGCCCCCTATTACTTGCCCCATATTACTTGCGACTTTAATGTTAATTAACACATCTATCAAGATCAAATACTAGACGCGTCAGGGGCTGTATATTGTCATTTACAAGTAAATGCAGCAGTGGTCGTAAGTTCCAACCCTCGCTGCGACCTGAATGATTTACTAAATCTACTAGCAATCACCAAGGACCTGAGCCGCCTGATGAGTGCGCCGAAAATTTGCTGTCCCTACGCTGACACGCGATCAATCCGGTTCAGACATCTAGCTTGGGTCAAGTCGGCAATTCAGTGTCCCGCAGAGGAAAACGCCTACGCATCGAAACAGGGGTATAAGTCCCAGCACCAACCTTCCTCCCCTCAACACATCTCCCTCCACTCTCAAATTCAATCAAAGCACCCGCAGCATATTAATTCCACAGACATGAAAAGAAATATTTGAGTGGCAGAGAGATTAAGAGTTGAAACTCCTCCCAGAAGGAACAAGAGGTTTTGGCAAATATGAATGTAGTCACAAAATTGAGGGTGGATCCTTGCCGCTGCTTCATGCCGTCGAGGGGATGACAAAGAGAAAAGAGCAGAGAACTAGATACCTACTCACTCGGTGGGAGACCTTCACCATTTCACTCGCCATGCAGGCCAATATCCCGTATCGGAGAACCCCGAAGAGTGGAATGAGAACCCAGTTCCACGCAGGTACTTTTGTACGTATCCTAAGCTAGAATAAAGTAGAAAATGGAGCAGCATTACATATGTCAGCTTCTGCACAAGGCAGGCTTGATTGAAATGCTCCGAGTTCGGAGTTGGAGAAAGATTTCATGCAGCATGCATGTGACTGTAGCGAGAGTATTAGCGGCGACGTACTTTGTCTTGCACAATCACAGTACTAGGACAAATCGAGACGTGCGACCGAGACCAGCCGATCGAGAGACGTTGAAATTGTGTTATTTCGGCAAAATGTTTATGCAGGGGATTCCACTTTCAACCATGCACCATCCCGCCCCTGAGGCCCCTGAAAACCCAATCGTCGAGAACTCTTGGCCTGAAAGTTAGGGCTGATGCTACGTCACGGGCCGAGCTCTGGGAACTGTAAACAGTGGACCCATGGTTCAGATCCGTCTCCCTGGACAATTATATTGGAATAGGTAATTACCTCGAGAAGAAAGTAAACAAGAAATCGAAAGATCGCGAGATCGAATCCCAGTGAACTTGTCAATTCAGTTTCTTTTCGCAGCTTTCGGTGCTCTGGATGTCCACGAGCTTTTGAGACCACTTTCGCGCCATTTTTGGTGTGTAAACTTGCTGGTCGGAAACGGAAGAGGCATGCGTAGATGAGGTTTGGATTTAAGCGATTTTGAGCTGCGTGCGACCACAGGATTTGCGCGTCAAGTACGGTGATGTGTGATGAAATGTGATCTATCTGTTCTGACACAAGTACCGTAAGCAAAAGGACACCGTTTGATCGGCTAGATGTTCGAGAATTTAGCTCTGAAGGTGGAGACTCGGCATTTGGTAAATCTAGTGCTTGAACATGTGGTCCCGCCGGGGAATCCTTGATCGCGTCCCGTGAGCCCTAAGTGCCAAAGCACCGTCCAGGGTAAAATGCTGGTTGAGCGCTCAAAATTCGGAAAAAATGGAAAAGAAAAATTTGGAATATACTCTCCGCATGGAAAAGATTCATTTCAATTGGTTTGGAATCCCAAAGCCATCTGCATTGACCTGTCGCAGCCTGATGTTGGCCGGTCGCGCAACCTCCGTGGGAATAGCTTCATAACCAAACCGCATCGCCAACCTCATTTTCGGTCTACAAAGCGCCCCGGTTAACGAATGAATTCCTGAGAAAAAGGCGAGAGGTTAAATCAAAGCTTCCCGAACCCACAAGTAAATCTTAGTATGGTGGGGCGACTCCACTGTGGTGATCCACCTACCTGAAATATTCATGGGGTTCAATCAAAGAACGATTTGGGGGAGGTTATTCTAACCAAGGGTGAGTGGCGTAGTGGTCTGGCCTCGGTCGTCCATTGCTGCATTCAAGCGAGTCCGCGGTTGTAGCTCCTAGAGTTACGGAAGCAACGCACCTGCCTCTCGGGAGAGGGTGGGAAAAAGCAAGAGCCGATCCTCTGCCAGCGAAACTTCCTAAACCCTTCGGGGTTTGTAGCCTTGGGCGGCAACGTCCGGGGTGAGTTTTTGCTGATCTATGGAAAAATCTTGTGTTAGGGCATTCATTCCACCGTTGTGTTAACCAACCATTGTCATATTTTGAACCTTCTCAGTCATTGTTGTAGTTTAGCCGAGCGATAAATTCTGACTGCAATCGTGGAGTTGCACTAAAAGGTTCCTTTCATGGTGACCAGCGGTCGGGTCAGGCTTTGGCCTTTGTCAGTACTGTCCCTTGAGGTGTCATGAAGAAGGCTGTGGGGATGCATCTTCATCTTACCGGCAGTGTATTCAAATGAATGATGATGGCCGCGATCGTGGAATCGAAGTTCAGCTTTCATTCATGCCGGTCGGGTATCGAGGCCAGTAGCCTCTACACCGAGGGCATTGCCCCTTAACGTGCCACGCAGAGGGTCTTTTGAAACCGGAAGTTGCATCTTATGCAGGTGCTCAGCAGTTGGGACATCATTCCAAACACAAAAGATGATTTTCATGATAGCATGGCTGTTCTTTTTGCTCCATGGGCGATCAAGACACTGGGGCGTATCATTCAAATATCTCGAGCGGCTCTCGGCAATTCGTTCAGAGGATAACGGGGGCATGGCTACTGGGGAGAACAGACTAGTATAGACCGATGTGAAGATTGAGATCGGAGCTGTGTCAAACATAAGTTAGCATTCTGGTCAGTGTCAAGTTGCACGATGGTAGTCCTGTCGTCGCGCCCAGGAAGGGAGCAGAGACAGGGTCATTGCAAAAAGCCAACCCATTTCCAGTCTAATGTTTGACAGCATTGAAAATGAAGTGACGAAGTCTTGCAACAGGCGTACCTTGCCGACCGGAGAGAAACACCAGCCAGAGCAGGGAATGTAAGGATATTGTGATGCACCTGGTTTTCATGGACTTTCAACGCAGGCGGGTTGTCAGTTATGTCAATTTCCGATAATTTAAGTCTGATCGCTGTTCACTCATCGGAAAAACAGCATGTCACCATATTCTCGGAGCTGAGCAGATTGTGTGTGACCAGTTGTCCATCAGTGATGGAACTAGGCTGGGTTCTTCCATACATTTCCATCAAGTTCTTCGTGGGAAGGGAAATGGGGCCAAAATGGCGACCATGGTGCAGATTCACCTGGGTGTGATACCGATCGCTCCAGGCAGCCCCTTCATCAAATGCGGCTCCTAATCATGGGGCGAAGCACGCCCCAGCCCCACCGCCCTGATATTGACCCAACAGCCCCATGAGGTTGTCGAGTTCGAAGTCCTATCACGCATGCATGCACTCGATTTGATGGATAGGATGACTCAATAGTTTTCTCTGGGTTCTTCGGCTCTTTCAAGCCAACGTGCGGTAAAACGGCTCCGCTTGCCGTATCATTTCCGAATGGGACTGATCATTTTGCACGGCCACGATGCACAAGGGTGGATCCCATTGAAATGAAAAGGCCAACACATGCTTCTCACCGCCGCTGAGGAGGGCTATTAATCGAAGGGGAAAAGGAGAGATAAAGGGGGAGGGGGAAAACACAAGCAAAAAATGAAAATTTAGTAATGATGCAAAAAAAAACTTGATAATTACAGTTCAGCCATAGGTGCATGTACTACATGCATCATTTGGCTTGAAGTAGTGCCCCTTTAGGGGTCAAAGTGCCGGACAAAACCACATGGCACCGGGCGAGCAAATCAGAACTTACATGAGCCTTCGACGGGTTGCTTCTGCAGTGATGATCTGATGCGATGTGATGGTGGAGAGAAAGATACGGGCAATCAAAACCAAATCAGACAAAAATCCTGCATGAGTAGACGGACATCCTGCATGAGTGGAGAGCGAAAACGGGGATACCCACCTCCACAGGATTGCGCAGGCCAGGTCCAGCGGCGTTTGTTGAGTGTTAGTCCCATTGCAGAATAAATTCCACAATCCTTCCGAAAGATGGCTTAGATCAGTCGAGTATCATGATCGCGGTGTGTGGTGAAGGTGCGTCAAGGCACCGGGTTTGCTCCCCCAGGCGATCTAGATAGACTCGCAACGGATCAAACTTTGGTTTCTCTTTCCGCTGCATTCTGAACTTCTTTTTTTTTCTTTTGCTTTTTTTGGTTTCCTGTCTTGGAAGTTTCGGGCGCAGGAGATCTGCGGATGTCAACTTCCAAGGTTGATTTGATCCATGCAATTTGCGTCATTCTGCATCCATGACACCTGTGTACAATCTTTTAGCGATGTGTTCTTTTGAGTAAGAATTCCCCGGTCCCTGGTCCCCGGGCCATACCGCATCTCTTGGGAAAAGCGCTTCCCAGTAGCTTTTACGTTGACAGTCCCGCACCAACATGCATTGAATGCATAAATAGATCAAGGGACTATACATAAGCCGTGGTTACTGAGGGCCCTTTTTTTCCTCTTTGGCGCCATCGAGATCGAAATAATGCGTGGGCTGATGAGTGGGTTATAATAATCCCTGGCTTTTATGGTAATTGCAAACGTACATCCACGATCTATCAAATCGTACTGTACTTTTGAATTTTCTAATCAAAACAAAAACACCAAAAGCTGGGTGGGAAACAATTTTTTCTGGTTTAGCGTCTCATTTCATTATCTGTACTTGAGGCGTCATCCCTTATGCATCGGAAACGCAGTGCAGGGAGTCAAAAGTACAATGCATTCATATAGCGGAAAATTCAACATTGACCAATAACCGCCTACTAAGCTATTTGCCTTGATCGCCATGGTACTTGTGGCCGGAATCTCTCTCTTTCTTCCCCGAACCAATCTCTGACCTTGGTTCTACTGTATTTAGGGCTGCAGCCGGAGGAAAGTACTATGCATTCCTAGTCTTGCCTGGCCTCTGCGATTTCCACACTTGAGTAATCTATGCGTGTTCAACAGGTTAAATTCGAATCGGTGAAGAGTTAGCAAGGTTGACCAGGATTTGGGTGTCCCGGTCCTATAAAGGCCGACCCCTACCTCTCCCTCCTTATTTCTGCTCATCTAGTTTCCAAAATATATTTCTCCTCATCTGTTCTCCAATACTTGTGGGACTTCTTCAACAAAAATGCCCGTCGAGCAAGAGCTTCGCACCGCCGGCGCCGCCATTGTCAAAGTTCTGGCGAAAATATTTCTCGCCGAGCCAACACCGCCAGTGGAAGATCCACCCGTCGAAGAGGAAGGAACCGACTTGCCAGTTCGTATTGAAGATCTTGAGCTCATACATTGGTCTCCATTGCTAACCAATTCTTCACTCGTGCTCTAGGAACCTATCCTCATCCCATCGAACGACACGAACGAGATTCAAGGCGTTAGAAAACGCTCTACATACATTTTTGACAATAGTGAGCCAAATCCATGCTCATATTCACACAATAAAGCTCACTCATCGGCCTCAGACTAGGGGCGTAACAGCGACCGCGGGTCGCGAAGTTTGAGAGGCAGGCTTTGATGTCGGGTAGATAAAGAATGAGCTGCTAAAATATTGGTTTGGGGGGGCTTTGGGGGTTGGGTGTTGTGTTTTATCTGGTCTTGGATTACAGTATAGGCAAAAAAATGCTCTGGGTTGAAATTGTTCAAGTTGAAAGGCAGGACAGGACCATAATAAATTGAGGGATCAGATCTTTGCCCTTCGCTCCCTACGCATCTAGGTAAATAGACGAGGGGTGATATCCATGGATCTTTATATGCTTCATGTACTGCCCGAACACAAACAATGTTTGCTAGTTCCCAGAAATGAAGATGGAAATTCGGAGCAGTAGTATTATCAATGACATATCCAGGTATCTATCTACATGTGGTCAGGTGTCCATCCAACAACACATTGTGCTGTTTGAATAGCTCCTAATGGTCGACCACTCACAGTCAGGCGACGTGGTCTCTCAGCCCTTGAAGACCTGGACTGAGATTGGCTACGACAGAGCAGGTATTACGTACGGATGATGGCTTATCTCATTTTGAATTTTCCTCTTGAAATAATTGAAACCCCCCCCCAGCAAATACATGCCCGCGACTCATGACGAGCATCTTAGCTTGTTTAGTACTCAAGATCTATGACTCTTTCGGGATTGACCTGTCAACTCTAATCATCGGTCGAACGTGCGGGGCCGACTGTTTCATATTAAAAAAAGGAGTTCCGAGAGGGATTGCAAAAGACAAACAATAAAATTGGCGAAGTTTGCTAGTTCTTGGTGGCTTAGACCGAGATTTCCTCAAAGTACGAGTATTCTTATCTTACGGTCACTCAAGCGGTCCGTCCCGCAGATGTGGAATATTCTTTGTTTCTTTGTTGACCGAATCAGGCTGGACCAGAAAGCCTCCTAATCCTATCTTTTCCCCATCAACAGCTTCAGTAGCTTTCCCCAAAGGATTTTCGCTTTCTGGAAGCTGATCCTTAACGAAAAGAGAGGGATGATTAACGGAGTAATCAACGATGTGGTTCTACGATAGCCTATGTAACGTATTTCGAGGCCCACGTGAACAAAGTTTTCGAGCACCCACCTTCTCCCCCTTTCTTTTGGAGTCGGAAAGCGCTGGGCTCCACTCCGCTATGACTTCTCAGAGCGGTCCATGCGGGATGCTCTTTTGTCTCTAACGGTGCTTTACTCTGTGATATCACGCTTCTGAAAAGCGAACTGGAAGTGGGCCCGAGTGGATCTTGAATCCACCATTTCCCGAATCGAACTCCAGATCCAAACCCACACTTACCGGGAGGACCAAAACTTTGGAAACCTGTGCGGGGCAGTAATATGGTGAATTATGCCCCATTTTAGGTTTGCCCCCGGCAAGTTCTAAGCTTTTTAATGGACAGACATCTCGTTGGGGCTTTAGCGGCTTGTCCGTGGAAATGAAATGGTGATCTCTCTTGAGATGAAACAATAGAGCAAACGACTACACTTTGGCGACCGCTTTCATCACTACTACATCAGTCGTTTGGTGGCTGAGAACTTTGGACACGGTGAATCTCCTGATAAGAATGAACAAATATCTCTTTAAAAGGAGAAATGATGAGATGAAGAGGTTACAAGCAGAGTAAGGATTTTTCTGAATATCTCGGACTGACTGATGATAAGTTACGTAAGATTAGGCTATCTGACCAGATCTGCAAAGTAGTTCGACTCTGTAGATACTCCATGAGATACTATATCGCCTGGATTATGCGTTCAGCCTTATTTCCTTGGTTTCAGCTTTAATAATATTTTATTCCTGGCTTGAACCATTTTATCATTCATATCTTCATACGGCATCAATACAACGCTAATAATCTCAAAATCACTAGTGTCCTGTTGAAGCCCTTCTAATCCCCTTCTGTGATAGGGCTCCTCACCTGGTTACGAGTAGGTATGGTGCCGAAAAAAGATCCAACCCACATTGGGGCTCGTCCAAAAGGGGGTGGGGAGATCCAAGTCACTTCAGAAGTACTAGCCTGATCTGCGTTGGCAACATAGTCCTTCGATTGGTCAATGAAATCCAAAGTAAGCTCGCGAGGCGCGGATATCCCGCCCCCAAGCGGTCGGACTTCACGCACTCACAACTCTCTTTCTCTCATCGAGCTCGATTAGGAAGTAGGCCTGTCCGTAGTGGGAAATCCAAGGCACGAACGAATCGGATCATGGAGTTCCGACCATCCGCCAGTAACGGGAATCTAAAAAGGTTCCTGTATCGCAATCGTAGTAGCACGCACAGCCTCGTGTAAGCGAGATTCATGTCGGTTATAAATTCCGGTAGTGAAAATGTTTTTTTGGCCTGAAACAATGTGTGCGTACTATTGACTGCACCTTGCCCGAATAGGGTGATGGTCATACTGCGGGTTCAGAGAAGACTCAAGACTGCAATGGGAATGGATCTCTTTCTTCTGGGTGGAATTTTACAGGCGGCCTAAGCGCACATTGTTGCGCTGGCAACTTTGGAAACCAACAAAGGATTGTCGTCCGCCACCAATCATCTCCGAAGCCCCTTTTCTTCAATACTAGTGTTCTGCAATTTCCCTGGTCGTGAGTCGAGTCGTTTCTCGACCCGCTTCTCGACCCGCTCCTCGACTCGGTTCTCGACCCGCTTCTCGACTTGCTTCTCGACCCGCTTCTCGACTTGCTCTTCGACTCGCTCCTCGACTCGTTTGTGGACTCGTTTGTGGATTCGAATGTGGACACCCAAGTACTGCCTATTTACCTAGCAGCCACACACATGCATCGCAAGAATCGGAGCTAAAGGTAGACAAAGTGTATCGAGAAAGACTGGTCTGAATTCTTAGGTCAAATACCCCACGTTTCCAACTCCAAAGGCACGAGAACGATCCCTCCAATGAATTCAGTGCGATCAAGAAGCTCCGTACGATCGCTCTGACTTAGCGCTCGGACTAAAGTACGATCACCCGGGTGATTTTCCTTTAGTCTAGAACATGCGGTCTAGCTAACGGGGTATTTCTGTTTTCGATCGTGAAGGATTCAAGGGGAAAAACTCTACTAGAAAGTCTTCCTAAACGCTTCGGGGTTTATAGCCTCAGGCGGCAACCTCTAGGGTGAATCTTTTGCTGATCTATAAAAATCTTCATTTGCGGGCAATCATTACGCCGTTATTTTAATCAATATTTCCTACATATTTAGACAGACTGCAGCGTTCACAATTATTGTTGTAGAGTCTTGTAATTTGTCAGAGTCTGGCTGCAGTCAGGTGACCCGAACCTCTGTAGATAGATGGCGCTTCTTCCTCTTCTCCTTCTTCTCTCCTCCATACAACCACAATACACATTTGCTCTGTCTGTTCGTCCTTTCTTGTAGCAGCTTACGTTTCCTCATTCTCCTCTGATCCTCTTCCAGTGTGTGACGCTGGCATCAGTAAATAATACTGACCGTTGTCGTGGAATTGCGGTGCAAGTCTCATTTATGGCGACTAGCGATCGGGTTATGGTTATGCTTTAGCCTATGTCTATGTTGTCACTTAGTCTATCACCTAGAAGGCTATTGTCAGAGCCTGGAGATCAGGTGACCCTAGTTCTGTAGATAGAGCAGCGCTTCTTCCTCTTGTTCTCTCCTTCTTTCCTCCATACCACCACAATACATATATTGTTCTGTCTGTTCGTTCTTTCTTGTAGCAGCAAGCTATAGCAGCCGATGCTTGTTCTTTTTTCCTCTGATTCTCGACCAGCGTGTGACGCTGACAGCTATAATAAACGTAGGTTAGCCTTAACGGCAGTGTGTTTCATGAAGATGATAGCCACAATCCTAGAATTGGAGTGCAGCTTTCTTCATAACGGTTGGGTATCGGGATCAGCAGTCTCATCACCGCAGGTATTGCCCCTTAACGCGCCTCGCAAAGGGTCTTTGCAGATGCGAACCCGTATACTGAGTGAAAACGTAAGGGTTCATCATCCTTGGAAACACAAGCCCCGTTCCGCTGTACCACAGGTTGACCCTGTTGCTTTATGAGCAAACTTATCGGCGGATATGAGGGTGATTGTCGGAGCTGTCCTAAGGCCAATTTAGCATGCTAGCCAGTGTTCTGTGACACGCTGGCAGTCCCATGGTCGGCGTCCTGGAAGGGAGTGAAAGTGCGGTCATGCAAAACTTCATCCCTTCCAGACCAAACTTCCAGGGCCATGATCATGAAATGAACAGATTTTACTTTCGGCGTACCGTGCCGACCGGAGAAAAGGCAGGCAGAAAGCCAGGCAGGGCAGGGCAGGGCATGTAAAAGGATGTTTGTCGTGGATTTTGGCCGCGGCCGCGCTGCTAATCGTGTCAAACTCCTATGGATTCAGTCAGATCACCACTCAGTCGTCGGTCGAAGAGGTACTGCACCAGCTCACATGCGTTCAAATTGTCCTCAATCCCTTGATCCGCATGGACAGAGAGGACCATTCCGAGATGGATGACGGCCATAGGCCACAAGAATCCAGAAAAGAGAGCCCTTCTGCAATAGTGAGACAGGTCTGGTGGTGGTTTTGCTGTAAGCTTCAAGGTTGGGAAGTGGTCTACCAGGACTTGGACTGGGTTTTCCTCGCACTTTTGTGAAAATTCCTCGTAGAATGTGGTACTGGAATCAAGGGATGAATGGCGGGTCGGGATGGTCTTTCTCAACGAAACTCAAAGCAGGGAAGTAAATCGGGTTCATTACGCGCTAGTAACTTGGTTGTGAATGGAGGCGGAGTCGTAGTGCGGATACTTACCACTCGAGGCACTCCGTCGACAGGGCAACTGATTTCTCCAAGGCTACAGTGTTGCATTTGACTCGGTATCCAAGCTCAAAGACGACCGACGGAACTGCCTATTTGGAATTGTACATTTTGATAGCCTCATTATCTTTAGATCTATTTGGTAGTCAAAGGGAAGGCATCCTCTCTGATAAGCTTCACCAAGGGATTGTCTGATCCACACGTTAAGTTCAAATAAGATTGAATTAGTAGAAGCTTACGGCTGCCTATCTCAACGGAACTCGGTAC